CGTACGTGTCTTTGCGTAACCGATGCACACAATACGTACAGCGCTGAAGCTGGACTGCGGAGCCTCAGTCTCCTCCGTGTCTTCTCCCGAAGTGCACTCGCTAAATTAAAGCTGAGGTACCAGTTCGACTACCAGTTCATGTTAGTTGTGCCAAAAAAAAGTAATGGTTTGAGCAAATCAAACAGATTTAATGACATTCTGCATTTCAGACTGTTTTGAAATGTCCCTCATCTGTAACAAACAATGGTTTTGGTCTGAGTCTAAACAGAAAGACAGATGTTAATAATGTTAATTCCATTTTATATGGATTTATTGTTATAACAAACAAATACAGTACATATGTACACTCATTTATCTTTCCATTCAAACAACAATTTACAGAAAAATATGGCATAATTTTGCCAATAGTTTGAAATGCGATTAATTACGATTAATTAATTTTTAAGCTGTAATTAACTCGATTTAAAAAAATTAATTGTTTTACAGCCCTAAATATATCATCTGGATAGGGTATAACTAGCTTAAACAACCCATGTGCTCTGGGGCTTCCCTCAATACCGCAGACTAAAGAAGACTAAATTCAAGTCGGTTACCCAGACATTTTCCCCATATAACTCAATGTAAACTAAAACAGCCCAATCTCAGCTAACAGAGAACCTACAGCTTTTATAAAGGTCCGTTTTTGTGGCGATTTTGGTGTCCCTTTTTATCCTGAAGTTTTATTCTTCTTATTAGTATTCTTTATCCATCGGTTTTCTTTAAATCCACACTTTAGTGCCACAAACTGCTCGTTTCCATCCCACTCTATTCTGCTCTGATCTTTTGAAAAAGCCCATAGAAGGTGTTGAGGAATCAACACCTTTTTAAACTCTGAGATGACTACAGGGTTTAAATTAGAGCTATAAAAAAAATTGAATTGAATGGAATAACATGTTTTGGTTTCACATTTGGTTGCAGTTGATTTACAGAAATATAAACGGAAATATAAAACATTTTCTAACAAGTTGTACCTGTATACATTAGAGGTGCAACGGTTCATTACTGATCCGTGATCCGTTCAGTTCAACGTCTTCGGTTCGATACAGATTTGATTTATGAAAAAAAAGTTGTGCGCACGTTGTTCAGTCCACACACAGCGTGGTCACGGCGAGCAGAGGAACGGAGATGCTTGAAAGCCCCGTGTCATTTAAATCCCCTGTATGAGAGCATTTTGGCTTCACTGTAACTATACTGATAATTAATATTCGACAAAACTGTCACAGTGTGTAAATACTGTGGCACAAGAAAGACATGAGTGAAAAAAGCGTCTCAACAACCGCTTATTGTCGCGGCATTTAAGCAGCCCCTTTACGCACAGTCAGACCGGGCTAAAGTCAACTCTCCCGCGCATCCTCAGCTGCGCTCACAACTGACACTTGGACGTCCCGCAGAACCTATAATAGATTCATGAGCGGAACCGCTCACTTCATCACCGCAGACTGGGAGATGAAGAGTCTGGCGCTGCAGACACGCCCCCTCTACGACAGTCACACAGGCACACAGCGCAGACCACTGACACAAGCAGCAGAGGAATGGAAGACAAAGGCCTAGTACTAATATCCCAGTCACAACTTATAATGCCAAAAATTAAATAAATGCAGTGAATGAGGCTGGGCCCAGAATGGAGCGCCTCCTCGGGAGAATCAGGAAGGTGGTTTAATATATGAGGGTAAATATCCTCATAAAGCGCCTTCTTATGTTGCACTTTGTTTTGTTTTTCATTAATGATGTTAAAAAGACATAATTGGATGGATGGAATATGCCTTCCATCCATCCATCCATTTCCTTCCCCTTATCCATTTCTAGGTCAGGGGGGGTCAGTCAGAGCAGGTGCTGAGTCCACATGAGCTGTGTTTATTAAAAAGACAAAAGTTTTTTTTTTTGAAAAATGAACCGAACCGTGGCCTCTGAACCGAGGTACGAACAGAACCGTGATTTTTTTTTTCAAACCGTTGCACCCCTAGTATACATGCATATAGAGTAATACTCAACAGTTTCAGCAGAGTTCGTTCTATATTTACAATTATGTTATGTGTTGTTTTTGTTGCAGAGGAGCCATGGGACGCAGAGTTGGCTGAAGCAGGACGTCTCGCACCAACAGTGAGTTCTGCAATTCTTCACCAAAACTGCACACACAAAGTAAACGCAATCTTCAGAATTAGTAGCAAGGCTTGATAAAACTGCGATAACGCTGATTTAATTTATCCGTAGCAGACGTCCTGTGAATTTACGAGGTTCAAACACGGTTCATATTTGATTAATGGGGAGAGACGATGTGGAGTAGGGATGGAGAAATTCCTACAGCTCCATGTGGCTCGGATCAGACATGAGTTTCTCTGTCCAAAAGCAAAAGGTTTGCTCCAGGTGTGGGGCCACAACTTGGTCGTTATTAAACTTGAAAATACACTGTTTTTGGCTTATTTTTTAACATATTGCTTTGCAGCCTGGCATCAAAATCTCCTTCTAATATCACTGCTTGGGGAATCTAGAGCCCAAGTGTTTTTGCCTGGCGACAGGTCCATATGGATCATAGAGGAAATCTGAAACTACGTGAACTCCCATAGCTGTCATTCTGACTGCTCCCATTTAAATCAATAGAATTCTGAGAAATTACCCAAAACTATTTTTAGCTTTCCACCAGATTTATAAAAAGTAATTTCTAATTTTCTAATATTCTTTACCTTTACTAACAAAGACTAGAATTATGGTCATTATTTACACATTTTTTTACAAATTCTAGTACCTGCTCAATAGATTAATAGTGCAAAATGTCATGCTTATTCCAATTTTTCGTGGGACATTTTTTAATGTTCTAGTTAACATGAAATTATAGATAACTCTCTGATTGAAAAATGTCCCCAACCTTTTTCAATCAAAGAGCTACTTTTATACAACAGAAGAGGTACTCTTTTATTTTTTTTATTTTTTTTATAGTTGTATAACATGTAATATTTACTACAAAACATGGAAAACACATCAAATATACCATAATACTGTATAGCCCTATATTTATACTCGTATAGTATAAATATAAATATTAGGGCTGTCAAACGATTAATTTTTTTAATCGAGTTAATTACAGCTTAAAAATTAATTAATCGTAATTAATCACATTTCAAACTATTGGCAAAATTATGCCATATTTTTCTGTAAATGGTTGTTTGAATGGAAAGATAAATGACATCATAGTGAACATATGTACTGTATTTGTTTTATTATAACAATAAATCCATATAAAATTGAATTAACATTATTAACATTCTGTCTTTTTGTTTAGACTCAGACCAAAACCATTGTTTGTTACAGATGAGGGACATTTCAAAATAGTCAGAAATGCAGAATGTCATTAAATCTGTTTGATTTGCTCACACCATTACTTTTTTGGCACAACTAACATGAACTGATGGTCGAAAGGAAAATTAGGTACCTCAGCTTTAATTTAGCGAGTGCGCTTCGGGAGAAGACACGGAGGAGACGGAGGCTCCGCAGTCCAGCTTCAGCGCTGCACATATTGTGTACATCGGTTACGCAAAGACACGTACGCACACTAGAGAATAGTTCTGTAATAGTTCTGTGCGTGGTCTTGGATATGATCCCGTTACGCAGCGCCGTTCGCCGTGATCACAACCGCTGGAAGTGGAAACTGCTGTCCAGAGCGCTGTGGCGCCCGCAGCTCATCATGCAGAGTTCATACAGGAAACAACAAGTGCCCCGCGGTCACGCGTGTATTCTTTCAAAACTTGAATTCCCAGAGACCTGCTCTGTCCCCATCTTACACACGCATGTGTCCGCGGCATGAGTGTTATTATGGGACGCATGGGCATGCGTCAAATGCGTTATTTTTTTTAACGCGATTAATGACAAAAATTAATTAACTTGCGTTAACGCAATAATTTTGACAGCCCTAATAAATATATTTATTCTATATAAGTAACCGTTTTGTTACCATTACATAATATACTGGTAGCTCCCGAGCTACCAGTTGGAGACCCTTGTTCTAGATGGAGAGGGACTTATGGTTTTGGTTCTGGTTACTTAATGAATATTGGTTTGAGTTGTTTCAACACCTTTCTTAGCATTTTTAACATATCATTTTGGGCAAGAATTTATTCCATTACAAGCACAAAAACTTATTTGAAACCGGAATTCAAGTAATTTCAGGCTAAGCGAGATAAATTTTGCACTTTGCACTGCATCTCGGCTCTTCAGAGTTTTAGTGTCTTTCACAGGGAGATGAATCAGTGCTGTGTCCGGGCATCATTCACTCTGTCCCAAAGGAAAGCGGACAGCTGTGTTGAACGGAGAAATTGAGAAATACTGTAACCGTCACGATTACATTTACCTTTTTATCACTCTATTGCACAGCCTGGCTCATAATTTCATATTACAGAAGGCTGTTCTAACCGCTTACAATAACAATGCGTTTTATATTTTGCTAAAAATGTACATATGCAATTACTTGGTGCCACTAATATAATCACACTAAAGCAAGATTGTCTTACTCAAAATTTGGGAAAATGAGATAAACATGGCTCCAATAAATACATTTAATGATATTTAAAGTGATCAATTAAAGAGTGACTAAACACCTGTGCCCAGCCTTACTCCGCCCACATGAACATTCGTTGCCCGAGGACCAGGGGACAAGAAGGGGGGCTTAGAGTTGGGCGTGGTCTGGGCTGTGTTTGACAGCTCACTTGTCACACAAAAAAACAAAGTTGTCAATGCTGCCTAAAGCAATAGTTTACAAACCAGAAAGTCTATTTCCACCCATGTTTACACACCAAGATAACTGTATAGCTACACACCTGAACCTAAGCCACTAAATTATCTCAGCAGTAGTGGCGGCCACTAGAACACCCTACAAGAGATAGTGACGCTCCAACTTTAAATACATTTTTTGCATTTTATTTTCTACTTTCTGTGGTGTTTTCTTTTCTGCAAAGTCTCAATAAGGATCAATGTTTGATGTGGCTTCTCCCGCAGGGTTTCCCAGTGTGGATGACATGGCCACTGCGTCACTGAGAGCAGAGTCCAGCCACAGCCTCAGAGGAACCTCGCAGCTCCATGCCACCGGTGAGCCGCTCAAATCACGGGGAAATAACCAGGGGATCACAATAAACGTAATAAATGTAGAAAGACTCAAGAGATTTCCCACATGAAGAATTATGTCTTTAGCTTGGATTTATCTCCCACATATTTCTTCTCCCAGAGGTCCCTTACATAAGGAATTTCAGATATTTTTATTTTGTTGCTTTTTCCCATATTCAGGAAGGCATGAATATACTATGTTAACGACATAATCTATAGATGAAGCTAACCCCCTAGCTAAATGAAGCCCAGTAGGAAAATGCTCATGGATGAAGTTGGCATTGGTTGACTTGCATTGAAATGTCAACTCCTCAAGCTCAGTAACAGTTTGTGTCGCACTTATTTTATAGATTATGAGAGATGATTTATTTTTTTACTTTTCTGCCGAAAAAAACTTATATGACAGATGCCAAAATGGGTGGTTAAAACTAATGATAGAACCTTTTTGAAAGCTAGAAACTAGGGACATGTACAGTGCCTTGCGAATGTATTCGGCCCCCTTGAACCTTTCAACATTTCGCCACATTTCAGGCTTCAAACATAAAGATAAAATTTGTTTTAATTTTTGTCAAGAATCAACAACAAGTGGGACACAATCGTGAAGTGGAACAACATTTATTGGATAATTTAAACTTTTTAAACAGATAAATAAACTGAAAAGTGGGGCGTGCAATATTATTCGGCCCCCTTGCGCTAATACTTAGCGCCACCTTTTGCTGCAATTACAGCTGCAAGTCGCTTGGGGTATGTCTCGTATCAGTTTTGCACATCGAGAGACTGGAATTCTTTCCCATTCTTCCTTGCAAAACAGCTCGAGCTCAGTGAGGTTGGATGGAGAGCGTTTGTGAACAGCAGTCTTTTGGATTCAGGTCTGGACTTTGACTTGGCCATTCTAACACCTGGATACGTCTATTTGTGAACCATTCCATTGTAGATTTGGCTTTATGTTTTGGATCATTGTCCTGTTGGAAGATAAATCTCCGTCCCAGTCTCAGGTCTTTTGCAGACTCCAACAGGTTTTCTTCCAGAATGGTCCTGTATTTGGCTCCATCCATCTTCCCATCAATTTTAGCCATCTGCCCTGTTCTTGCTGAAGAAAAGCAGGCCCAAACCATGATGCTGCCACCACCATGTTTGACAGTGGGGATGGTGTGTTCAGGGTGATGAGCTGTGTTGCTTTTACGCCAAACATATCGTTTTGCATTGTGGCCAAAAAGTTCGATTTTGGCTTCCTCTGAACAGAGCACCTTCTTCCACATGTTTGGTGTGTCTCCCTGGTGACTTGTGGCAAACTTTAAACAAGACTTATGGATATTGAAGAAGATGTGCCAAGTCTGGGATCGCGTCTTTAATTCAAACAGAAGACATGTTTTATTGTCGATGGTAGAGACAGCACGAACAAAGCACACAACAGAATGCAAGTGTATTATACAGAGCGGAGGCATGGAGACCTCCAATCAGCAGCTTCCACGGTGTGCTTGTAGCTTGGCCTTCAGATAGACAAAACAATGGAAAAGTACTGGCTTCTGCACATTGATAGAATGATGAGTTTAACCTTAACAAAAGTTGCTTCAAAGTGTTATGAAATCTCACATTCCCCCCTCTGGTCACACATTCCCGTGTGACCAACAGGATCGATAAACAGCGACATAACATCATAACTCAATACTTCAACTCGGTACTTCACTCTGTACTTCAAAAAACTCAGAACTCGGAATACTTCAAAAACTCATAAAACATGTTCAGATCTATCATAAAACTTGTCAACAATCTTCAGTAAAATACCAAACTTCATCAGTCGATGGTGGTTCCAGATATTGCTTTGAAAACAGTCTCTCCCACTTCTCTGTGTTGATTCTTCAGGCTGCATTTGTGTCGAGCCATGAATTCTTCTGTGACGTGTCTTTCAATCACACGTTTCAGCTTTAGTGTCCAGATTCAGCAATTCAATTCAGTCCAAATGATGTCCAAATTCAGATATCCAATTGTTCCAAATCATGTCCATGCAAAAGAGGACGCTGCTATTTTCCATGTCTCAGCAGCTCACAGCAGGCCTGACTGGAATCAGGGGCTGTGCAGATAGTCCAAGTGTGCTGGTCCAGATGCATGGTTTCTCTTGAGGTTTTTCAGTTTTGGCTTAAAAAAAAAACACTTTGTGTAAAAAAAAAAAAAAAAAAAAAAAAAAAAGGCTTCTGTTCTGTAGATGTTACAGACAAGGCCCGCATCCTTCCACCACCTGAAGAAGATGACATAGTCTGGGATCGCGTCTTTAATTCAAACAGAAGACATGTTTTATTGTCGGTGGTAGAGACAGAACGAACAAAGCACACAACAGAATGCAAGTGTATTATACAGAGCGGAGGCATGGAGACCTCCAATCAGCAGCTTCCACGGTGTGCTTGTAGCTTGGCCTTCAGATAGACAAAACAAGGGAAAAGTACTGGCTTCTGCACATTGATAGAATGATGAGTTTAACCTTAACAAAAGTTGCTTCAAAGTGTTATGAAATCTCACAATATGTTTGAGAAATGGCTTTCTTCTTGTCACTCTTCTATAAAGGCCAGATTTGTGCAGTGCACGACTGATTGTTGTCCTATGGACAGACTCTCCCACCTCAGCTGTAGATATCTGCAGTTCATCCAGAGTGATCATGGGCCTCTTGGCTGCATCTCTGATCAGTCTTCTCCTTGTTTGAGATGAAAGTTTGGAGGGACGGCCGGGTCTTGGTAGATTTGCAGTGGTCTGATACTCCTTCCCTTTCAATATAATTGCTTGCACAGTGCTCCTTGAGCTGTTTAAGGCTTGGGAAATCTTTTTGTATGTGTATGTATGGCATGCGCCTCCTGTACTGGCGACCCCGCTCCCATCTCTGTGTGGAGTGAGAGGACAAGTGCCCAAAAAAAAAAAAAAAAAATAACATTTGTAAACCGCTTTGTGACTCTGGTCTGTGAAAGGCGGTATATAAATAAAGATTACTTACTTACTTTACTTGTATCCAAATCCGGCTTTAAACTTCTCCACAACAGTATCTCGGACCTGCCTGGTGTGTTCCTTTGTCTTCATGGATCTCTCTGCGCTTTAAACAGAACACTGAGACTATCAAAGAGCAGGTGCATTTATACGGAGACTTGATTACACACAGGTGCATTCTATTTATCATCATCAGTCATTTAGGACAACATTGGATCATTCAAAGATCCTCACTGAACTTCTGGAGTGAAAATAAAGGGGCCGAATAATATTGCACGCCCATTTTTCAGTTTTTTATTTGTAAAAAAAGTTTAAATTATCCAATAAATTTCGTTCCACTTCATGATTGTGTCCCACTTGTTGTTGATTCATGACAAAAAATATTTTTTTTGTATTTTTATGTTTGAAGCCTGAAATGTGGCGAAAGGTTCGAAATACTTTCGCAAGGCACTGTATGTTAATAAATTATGACGGTTTCAAAAGTAATGGCTAAGGTATTGCGGCTTTAAGTTGTTCAGATAAATGTTACCATAATAGTTTTGAGAGATTGTCACTCTTGGTTGATTTATACATGGGAAGTAATGGATTTCTGCAAGCATCAATGATAGTAAAGTAAAAATATAACATTGGCTCAGGCCTGGTCAGTCATATTTTATCAATGTCTCTCTGTCCATTTACCAGTTTCCTGTGCCAAAATCAAGAGGAAGAAGAGTCTGTTTGGGGCGGCCATTTACGTCGAAGCATCGGCAGATGGAGAGTCTCGACGAACCGCCAAATCCCACAGCTCATCCAGCCCCAAGTGGGACGAGCGACTCACACTGTAAGACACTGCTTACACTCGAGACGTCTGTTAAAATGTGTGTTACTGTCAAATTACTCTTGTTATTTTGCCTAAGGGCTTAAACAGATTACTCGAGTCAGGGCCATAATATTGTTTTATTTTTGTTTAGACAGGAAATAAGACCAAATCTGATCGTTTCAAAAGCCAAAATACACATTTCAGTCAAGCAGATCACTGTAGTGTTTACTCAAAGATAAATGAGCCCTTCACAGATAAGAAGAATCCCTACGGTCAAACATGGTGGGAGCAACAAGGTTGCTTTGTTGATTCTGGTAAAATCTGCGTTCATGTTCCTGAATCGTATTTCAGTTGGAGCGCAGGTGCTAATCCAACGCTATGGGGAAAAAAAAAATTAAAAATAATTGATGAATGAATTATAATATTTGATTTGATCCATTCCCTGGCATATAATCGTAATGTCTGAAAGATGTTTTAACTGGCCTAGATCATGCTTATTTTATTTTTTATTGCCGCTACGGATTTTTGTATATTGACCCAGAGAAATTTAGCCTGACTCTCACCAGACCCATGTAGTTCGCTGCACTTCACACATGAGTCTGGTACTGAGCCATAGTGGTTGGATTTCAGAAGGCAGGGCCTTGTAAAAAAAAATCCTTGTATGTATGTTGAATGAAGTCTGCTTTCAACCACTCACATCGAAGCACACGGCTCCCATAGGTTGCCAAATCCCAGCAAGATTTTCCAAACCAAAATCCGCGAGAATACCCAAAAAAAAAAAAAAACACTAAAAACGTAATGTAATCAACTTGGGCTATCATGATTCTGTTTGTCTTTCTGTTTATTTAATACCTACAAGTCTCTTGGAAAAAAATATGCGGGAACCACCAAACCTGGCAACCCTGCTGCATAGTGTGTAAAGAGGAACACTGAACCAGGGCTTCAACCAAACATTACAGGAACAATTGACTCTTAAAACACACATATATCAACATAGAAACATCTACATCTCGCCTCAAATTGCATTAAAAGTGACATCCGTGTCTTAATTCGATCGTATTTACTCTTTTAAAAAGATTCGCGGACTTTACGTCCGCCATCTTGGATTCTTCTCGCTGCTGCATGAGAGAAGCTTGAGAAGGCAGTGCAAACACCACGTAACACCGGCAATCCTGAGTGGTCGATTAAAAAAATAATCTGGGGAAGGCGTTCGCTATGGCGTCGATACCAGACCCATGTGGTTCAGCCAAAAGCCTCTGGTGGAGCATGGCGGAACTACAAGGGTCTGGCAGAGCCAGGCTAAGAGAAATTAGCTTCAAACAAAGAAATTAAACCGGTCATAGTCACCAGCAAAGATTATTAAGCTTCACCTTAATAACCCGAGAATTATGGTGATTGTGTCTTGTCTTTTTTTGAGGTAATTTTAATGAGTTTCATTTTTGACGTTTTCAAATGCAAGATAAACATGGGAATACCAAAGCATTTGTAATTACTACTGAAGCAAAAAGAGGCTGTACTGTTCCAAGGCTTGTGGCTATTGTACCATGTCTTCCAGGAAATGTTCACCACTCTTGTTTTCACTTACGCTTGTAAAAAGTAAATACATTCAATTCCAAATAACTTTACTTCAACATACATATGAAGTCCTTGTTTTTGCGTCAAAGCACCTGCAATGTCTCTTTATCTACAGCATATGTATGAATGTGTGAGAAAGCTGGTCCAATACAAACTGAAAATGTGTCTATGGGTTCAGTTAAAAAACCAGAGCGTGGTATTGTCCAAAGCTGAGATAATGAACTCTCTTATACAAATCTATTCGTCACTTTTAATCTCTTGCATAATTTCTCGTCAAGGAATGAAAAAAAAAATCTTATTGAACCAGTCTGTTTCCACAAGACCCTCAGGTGAATCATCTGATCTTTATTTATACACTAAATATTCACTTTGCTCTCCCTCTCTATCGAATCCAGTCCACTTTCTAATCTTGCCCTGGGCCCTCGGATCTCCCTGATTAGCTTGGAACAAACGCCAGATGACTATGCTAATTCTCTAATTGCTAATTAACATGGATGAGATGGATGATGATGGGCGTGTACGTGCGTCATGGCTCTGTCTATTGCTGCTAATAGCTCTTCATATCCGGATACTTGATTCATTCTAGGACATTTTGACCTCTGCGAAAAATGGGGGTTTTTGTTCCACTTGAGGCGATGTGGTAGAACTGTAATAAACGATGCTTGGAACGGAATATTTTGAGACTGAAAATGTTCTGTATTTTTCTGGGATTTCTTCTGAGATTTTCTTGCCATTTTCATGGTGGATTAAAACCCCAACTGGCAACTGTTTAACCCTATATGCTCGCACCGATGCACGCGCACATGTTTTACAAATGATCAATTTACTCGCGAACGGTAAAACGTAGCAACTTACTTTTTTTCCTCTGTGAAGTACGTATTCAGGGCTTTCCGAAACTAGTTTTGATTTGTCTGTGCGATGCACGTAGGATAAACTACGTTTGTCTGAAAGTCCGTGTCCAAAGCGTGACCCGTGAGGTACAAACAGCTGTGAGATACAAACACACTGGGGCTGCCAAAGATCGTCAGAGAGTGAGATCTCTCACTCCTCTGCGTTTACTTGTTGTCCCACAGTTGAAACTACAGCTGCGATTGCAATAACCGGCTGAAGAGTGCGCATTATTGATAAAGACGATAATAAATACAGTAAAATTACATTATGTGTATATGATGTATATAAATATATGTAGTATATAAATATATGTAGTATATAAATAATAGATGTTTATTTATTTTTTTTGGCTCAGTTTCTTATGTTTTACGTTTTTTACAGCTGTACTACAGAAGCAACCCCAGCATTATAGACAAACTGCTTCAGGAAGGGCATCAGGAGTACAGAGTTTTTTGCTTTTATAGTGGAATTTTGTAAAAAGTATAATAGTTAGAGATTCAATTTTTTCCCCATTATCCCCAAGACCATAAATAACATTTCTATGCAGTGTAAAAAGTTGTTTATAGCATTTCATTGTGTTTTTTCAATACATTTTTGTTAAATTGATTTACCGTTTGATTTTTTTCTTTGTCTTCATGATTCCACAATTTTTATATAATTCATATGACAGCTTTACAATATGAATATTCTAAAACCCCAGGTTGTACTGAAAAAAAACAAAGTATACTGCTTGACTCTGCATCAAAAGATGACTGTTTTATGAAAAATTATACACAAAGAAAACCAGGCGAGGAAAGTTCCCCAAAATGAACCATGTGCATAGAGGGTTAAAGAAGCTATACCCGATTTTTAAAAATTCTTTTTATGAGTTCATAAAAATGCTTATTACTACATACAAGTTGTATTAAAATCCGTAATTTAATAGAAAACTTGAGCTCATTGATTCAGCTGTGTATGATTTCAGACCGTAAAAAGAACATTCATACACATTATGTTTTCAGAGTCCATTGCAGTTTATTTCACACATTGTAATTAATGTGTGCCCTGACAGCAGATAGTAATGTGTAAAACCTCAACCTGTTTTTTCTATTTGAAAAAATAAAAGTGAACTGCCATAAACTGCAGATTGTAATAAGCGTAGCAGTATTCCAGCACCTTAACTGTGCAATTATGTTCAGTGTAACAGGTTTCTTTTTTTTTCTTTTTTATATTCAACATTTAATCATTATGTATTTTAGAAACAAAATGCTTCTCTGCAAAAAATGGGTTTTAAAACATGACCAACTCCCTGAGAGGAAAACAAAAACAAGTTTTGATGTGCAAAAATGGCAACTTTAATCCTCCCATCCTCTCAGTGGCTGCTTCATTTTGCAAATCTTGTCAAATCTGGGTTGCAATTTTTCGTCCCACGCCCCCTTGTACAATGGCATGATTTTTCACTTGCGTGTATAATTTTACTGGATAAAAAGGTTGTTGTTCATAAAATTATGCATATTTTCTATCTACAAAAAGTGATGCACTGCTACTTTAAGTAAATACTGGTTTATTGTAATTACAGTGGCGACTCATCCAACTGGTCTTTAAACCAATTTACATTTAACTTAAAAGCTGGGATACCTAACTTTTTTCTTCCAAAATATAACATGCCCCAACAGAAAGAGATGGACAAATAAAAAACATGCTGCCTTTATCTTATTGGAAAATATATCTTTTGCAGACTTGTAAGAAAGAGCCTTGTGAGTCACTATTTGATGCTTTAGGCCGAGAGCTGGTTGGCTGAGCAAGGGTGGTCCTCTCTTGAAAAAGATGTGACCGAGGCCAAAACATATGATACATGCGTGTGAAAAGTAGTGATAGAAGCAGAACTGCATTGAGAGCAACCAAGTAGTTATTTTATTATATATATTTTGGGGGGAACTGAGAAATTATTGGTTATAAAATGTTGTTTTGTTTTAGGAATGTAACGCCGCTCTCCCATCTGGATTTCAAAGTATGGAGCCACAACACACTGAAGGCAGACGCTCTCCTGGGGAAAGCCTCGTTGGACTTGATGCAGGCGCTGGAGCAACACGACCGAAAGTGTACGTACCCACCAGATTTCAGGAAGTACCTTTTACTTTCTACTTTCATTCTATATTTAAATGAGGATTTCCCTTTTACACACTCAAAAGTTATTTTTAGAGAAACTCAAGCATGATTTTGTTTGTCAATTTTCTCATCTGATTATCTCATCCGTGATATGATACAATACAATGCAGCAGTAACAAATATCTGCTGATTGATAGCTTCATCTGCGAAATAGCTTTAATGTGACCACTTGTACGGTCTTGGTCTATTGAAGCAGAATGCAGATCAATCTTGATCTGCAAGACTGATTTTTATGACATGGTCAATATGGAGATCGCAAAGGTCGCAGATGACCATTACTGCAGATGGACTCCCGCATCTGGGACACTTTCTATGAACCACCCTGGCTTCCCACAAACATTTCCCTACTTTTTTTTTACATCTGTCATGTAATATTTCTGTTATTATTATTAGTGTTCCTATATCTCTCATAAAGCTCGGGGCTCCACTTTTTGTAAGTTTCACACAACTTTTCTGAAAAAAAAATGTCTGCACCCAAAGCGTTACTGAAAGCATATTTTATACATTTGATTTATTACTCTATCTGGTATCCTTCTCAGAAAGTGCTTCAAGCTTAAGTGTCGGTTGTTCTATTTCATCCCTTCAGACCGCCAGAGGGCGGTGCATAGCACTGAATGTTCCCTTCGCGCATGCGCAGTTCGAGTAATAATACCAAATGAGTCACACCTGTGACCCCCTGGGTGACACACCGGAGGTAATAAAGTCCAGCGTCATCCAGCACTCTGTTCCTTTTTTCTTCTCGCGTGCGGTTCGAATCGTTGTTGCTTGAACTTCGTCAACGTCTGTCGCTGAAAGCCCTCTTCATCGGAGCTGCGGTTCGCCCTCCGTGGGGCGCGACGGTGACGTTGTCCTTTGGGTATTTATTGGTGTTTTCTGTCTTATACGTGTGTATTGGTTGGTGTGAAGGCTGCTGTGGCGCCCGCTCCTCCGTCAGTACTTTCTTTTGGTACATGCATTTCGTGGTGTGAAGGCTGCGGTTCGTTGGCCTGCTCCTCCGCCTGTGCATGTTTGAGTTAGCTTAGCTAACTGTGTATTGAGTGGTGTGAGGCTGCGGTTCGTTAGCCCGCTCCTCCATCGGTTCTTATTTGGGTTAGCATTTTGCTACCTGTGTATTGTGTGGTGTGAGGCTGCGGTTCCGCTCCTCCATCAGTTCTTAGTTGGGTTAGTTTTTGCTACCCGTGTCCTCTGTGGTGTGAAGGCTGCTGTTCGCGCGCCCGCTCCTCCATCAGTTCTTCTTTGGGTTAGTTTTTGTTACCGGTGTCCTCTGTGGTGTGAAGGCTGCGGTTCGTTGTCCCGCTCCTCCATCAGTTCTTGTTTGGGTTAGCATTTGCTGCCTGTGTTTAGTTTGTGGCCGGTGTATTGTGTGCAGTGTTTCCCACAGGTTTGAAGGCAATGTGTGGTGGTCGTCGACGGGGGGGAGTGGGGTACAGTGGTACAGTGGTAGAGGACAATCTTGAGGTCATGAATCCAGTGAAATTAGTCGCACACCTTTTTACAGTAATAAGTTACAGCAGATCAAAAGTGACATGTTTTGACAATTTTTAGGCTATTTTGGACCAAAATGGCTGCTTTAAATCAATATTTCTACAGTAAAAGTGTCTGGTCTTTGGTACAGTGGTAGAGGGCAATCATGAGGTCGTGAATCCAGTGAAATTAGTCGCACACCTTTTTACAGTAAAAAGTTACAGTAGATCAAAAGTGACATGTTTTGACTATTTGGAGGTATTTTGGACCAAAATGGCTACTTTACCTCAATATTTCTCAATATTTCTACAGTAAAAGTGTCTGGTCTTTGGTACAGTGGTAGAAGGCAATGTTGAGGTCATGAATCCAGTGAAATTAGTCGCACACCTTTTTACAGTGAAAAGTTACAGTAGATCAAATGTGACATGTTTTGACCATTTTTAGGCTATTTTGGACCAAAATGGCTACTTTAAATCAATATTTCTCAATATTTCTACAGTAAAAGTGTCTGGTCTTTGGTACAGTGGTAGAGGACAATCTTGAGGTCATGAATCCAGTGAAATTAGTCGCACACCTTTTTACAGTAAAAAGTTACAGTAGATCAAAAGTGACATGTTTTGACTATTTTGGAGGTATTTTGGACCAAAATGGCTACTTTACCTCAATATTTCTCAATATTTCTACAGTAAAAGTTTCTGGTCTTTGGTACAGTGGCAGAGGGCAATAATAAGGTCATGAGTCAAGTGAAATTAGTCGCACACCTTATTCCAGTAAATAGTTACAATACTTGAAAATTGCACTAGCGGACCAAATTGTGTACTTTATACATGTAAACAATAGAGTGGCTATCCTCCTGAGGACTCACAATCTGCCGGAGGAATCGTAGGGGGCTGGTGCTATGTGTGCCGGGTGGCATCTCTATAAGGTTTTAATCACAAAAACGTGTCTCCCTGACCCCAGCGCGCTTTCTGTTCGATAAAAATGGGTGACTCCGAAAGGACGTTCCGCTGTTACCGTAAGTTCTCAACAAAACGCGCACCGTCTTTTCCCCGATGCGGGCCGCATGTTCATAGAGCTGAAAGATGCGGGCCACTTTACCGCGGTAAATTAATAGACACAGCTGCTTACAGCGATGATCGCTGATGGAGACGGAGACACGCGGTGTGCACGAAGGGGAGGGGCTGTGTGTGTGTAGGTCTCTGTATGTGGGAGAGACGCGTAGCTTGAGTGAGAGTTACGAAGGGCCGCCACATTTTAAACCCCCCTCCCCGCTGTCAAATTGACCGCTGCGGCGGCACTAGACGATGCATGTTTTAAATAGCGTAACAAAAAAAAAATATATATAATAATACGAAACGCAATTTGTGGCGGGCGGTCTCTAATCTGTGGCGGTGCGCCACAGATTAGTCTATGTGTGGGAAACACTGGTGTGGTGTGAAGGCTGCTGTTAGCGCGCCCTCTCCTCCATCACTACTTTATTTTTGAGTTGGCGTTTTACTGCCGGTGTATTGTGTGGTGTGAAGGCTGCTGTTCGCGCGCCCGCTCCTCCATCAGTTCTTCTTTGGGTTAGTTTTTGTTACCGGTGTCCTCTGTGGTGTGAAGGCTGCGGTTCGTTGTCCCGCTCCTCCATCAGTTCTTGTTTGGGTTAGCATTTGCTGCCTGTGTTTATTCTGTGGCCGGTGTATTGTGTGGTGTGACGGCTGCTGTTCGCGCGCCCTCTCCTCCATCACTACTTTATTCGAGTGGCATTTTGCTGCGGGTGCATTGTGTGGTGTGAAGGCTGCTGTTCGCGCGTCCGCTCCTCCACCGTGCTATATTTGGCTTTTCTGTTGTGAAACTGCAGTACGCTGATTCAGTTCTGCAGTTTGTATACCGTTTGGGATTAATTCCATATTGAATTAACGACACAGACAGACGAAACAAGAATAATAATTTAATTAAAAACAACCTTGTTATGGACGGGTGACATGCGTGTGTGGGCTGCGGGTCAGCACTCGATGTTGATGACGGCCATGACCTGTGTCCGGCGTGCCTCGGCCCCACTCACTTGAGGGAGGCAGTGTCCGATAACCCGTGCATGAACTGCAGCTGCTTGCCCTGGGCTGTTAGGGTGGCGAGGCTGGTTCAGCTGCCTTCGTCTGGCGACGGTGGTAGTTTGCCAGTGGGACCTGCTGTGGCTCCGCCCCCTCGGCGTTCTAAGCGCCGTGCTGAGGCCTGTGCTTCGGGGGAGCGGTCTGATGGCCATGGTCCTTCCAAGCAGGCCAAGCCGGATGCTGTCCTGGTGTCGAGGGTGGAGCAGTTATCTGCAGAGTTGGAGGCGATGAAATCTGCATTCCAGGCACGTTGTGCTGCTGATGCCGTCTCTGGGGCTGGTTCTTGCTCCATGCCATCCCTCCATCCGGAAGAGGATGTGCTTTCTCTGGCGGCATCTGCTTCGTGCTTCCGGGACGAGGATGACGCGCGGTCCCTTTTGGGGGACGATGCTTATTCTTCCGCACATAGTGTGTCCAGCCGGTCTGGTGACGGCTCAATGCAGGAGGTTCTTCGCAGGGCCTTATCCCGTCTGCAGGTGGAACTTCCCCAGTCGGGACAGGCTGACCCTGGCAGTGCTTTTTTCAGGCGTGGTGGTTCGTCTCCTGCTTTTGTTGTGCCCCCGTCGGCGGAGTATCTGAAGGAGCTACACGCGTGCTGGAGGGACCCCAGCCGTCTCTCTAAGCTGTCGGCTGAGGGTCGGGCTTTGGCCGCGATGCACGATGCCTCTTCGGCTGGTCTGGATTGCATGCCGGCTGTTGAGCCGGCGGTTGCCTCCCTCATTGTTTCTCCAGAGGAGTCCTTGCGGGAGAATGTGAGGTGCCCTCGGAGCCAGTGTCGTGCGACGGATCACTTGCTAACAAAGGCCTACAATTCTGGTGCTCGAGCTGGCCGTATTGGTAACTCCTTAGCGCATCTGCTGCTTGCCCTGTCTGCCTCCCTCCAAGAGGGTAGTGCTGTGGGCACTGATGTTACTGCGTTTAGCGAGGCAGCTCTGCATGCTTTTGCCTTGATGACCAGGGAACTCGGACGGGTCATGTCGGTCCTTGTACAGGCTCGTCGGCAGGTATGGCTGGCTCAGTCTCCCCTGACTGAGGCCTGTCGTAGGACCCTCCGTGACGTGCCTGTCGAGCCGGGTCAGATGTTTGGGACGGCGGAAGTCCTTCAGACTGTTGGGGCCGGGGAATGGTTCACGTCCGTAGATTTGAGGGACGCGTATTTTCACGTGCCCATTGCGCAGCCCCACCGGCGGTTCCTCCGGTTCGCCTATCGGGGCGTTCACTGGCAGTTCAGGGTTCTTCCCTTTGGCCTCTCTCTCTCTCCGAGGGTGTTCACCCGATGCGTGAAGGCGGCTCTTGCTCCGCTGCAGGCCAGTGGCATGAAGGTGTTGCCTTATCTGGACGATTGGTTGATCTGCGCCCCGTCCAGGGCACGGTCCTTGGGAGATACGGAGCGCCTTCTGACTCATGTCGCCCGCTTGGGGTTCAGGGTCAATTTCGAAAAGAGCAGCCTGGTACCTTCGCAGGCCGCTGTTTTTCTTGGCCTGAGTCTGAACACGGTGACTATGACGGCGCGTCCGTCGGTGCGCCGCCTGGTCGACATCCACGGTGTGGTGTCCCGTTTCGGTCTTGGCACCCTGCACGGTTACGTCAGCTTTCTACAGCTGGTGGGGAAGCTGGCCTCGATCTCTCGTGTGGTTCCACTCGGGCTGCTTTCGCTTCGCCCGTTGCAGAGGTGGCTGAACGGGTTTCGTTTGGATGCCGTTCGTCACCGCCACAGACGGTTACAGGTGACGTGGGCATGTTTTCGTGCTTTGGCTCCATGGAGGGACCGCGGTCTCCTGTCACGTGGGGTCCCCTTGGGGGTGGTAGTGTGCCGCAGGGAAGTGGTCACCACCGACGCCAGCCGTACGGGATGGGGTGCTGTGTGGCAGCGCAGGTTGGCCCGAGGGGTTTGGTCTCGGGCGGAGCGCTCAGACCACATAAATGTACTGGAGCTTCGGGCCGTCCACCTTGCTCTCCAGGAGTTTTTGCCTCACCTGCTGGGGAAACATGTCCTCATTCGTTCGGACAACACCTCGGTCGTGTATCACATCAACCATCAAGGGGGTGTCCGATCGGCTCGGCTCCTCGAGGTGTCTCAGGCTCTGCTGGTTTGGGCTGCGCCTCGCCTGGCTACACTGCGTGCAGCGTATCTGCCAGGGGACTGCAAACGCGTGGCGGACTCCCTGTCTCGCGGGAGGCCTGCCCCGGGGGAATGGTGTCTCCACCCCGGTGTGGTCCAGAGGGTGTGGGGCCTCTTTGGTCGGGCACAGGTGGACCTGTTCGCTTCGGTGGCCTCCACTCATTGCCCTCAGTTTTTTTCCCTGGACGGGGTTCCGGGCTCTCTCGGCCAGGATGCCCTGGCGCACAGTTGGCCTCAGGCCCTCCTGTACGCCTTCCCCCCTTTTCCTCTGATCTGGCCAACCCTCCAGAGGGTCCTTCGGGCGGGGCACAGTTTATTACTGGTGGCTCCGTTTTGGCCTGCACGGCCCTGGTTTCCACTGCTACTCAGACTTTGTTGGGCTCCCCCCTGGCCTCTCCCTCCCAGGCGGGATCTGCTCTCACAGCTGGACGGTCAGGTGTGGCATCCCTGTCCTCACCGCCTCAAGTTATGGGTATGGCCGTTGGCTGGCCCGAGCTGCGGGCACTCGATGTCACTGGCCCTGTCAGGCGTACACTCCTGAATGCCAGGGCGGCCTCTACTCGGCGGCTGTATGAGAACAGGTGGAAGTTGTTCTCCCGCTGGTGTTCTTCCCGCGGTCGGGATCCCGTGTCGTGCCCGGTGGCGGTTGTCCTGGAATTCCTTCAGTCTCTCCTGGATGAAGGTCGGGCCCCATCTACTCTGAAGGTATATGTTGCTGCTATTTCATGTTATCATGGCCTGGTTGATAACTGTACTGTGGGGGGCCATAACCTGGTGTCTCTCTTTTTACGCGGAGCTCGTAGGCTGCACCCTCGCGTGCCCGCGCGGTCTCCGGTTTGGGACCTGGCCTTGGTGTTGGAGTCTCTCTGCCGCCCTCCGTATGAGCCATTGGCCCGAACGGACCTCAAGTGGCTCTCCTATAAGACTGCTTTCCTGTTGGCTGTGGTCTCTGCAAAAAGGGTCGGTGAGTTACATGCACTTTCTGTCAGTCCCTCATGCCTACACTGGGATCCTGAGAGGGCTGGCGTGGTCTTGTGGCCTAATCCCACTTTCCTCCCTAAGGTGCTTTCCCGTGACTATTGTAACCGGCCTTTGAGGTTGGCGCGGTTTGTGTCCCCCCTGGATGGGGGTGAGGACAGACTGCACCTGCTGTGTCCTGTGAGGGCATTGGAGGACTACGTTGCTGCGACGGCAGGTGTGAGGCGCTCAGACCAGCTCTTTGTTGCTTATGGTGGTGCTAGACTGGGGAGTCCGCTTTCGAAGCAACGCCTTTCCCACTGGGTGGTTGACGTTATCAGTCAGGCGTATATTTCGGCCGGCCGCGACCCGCCAGCCACGGTGAGGGCCCATTCTACCAGGGGTGTCTCTACCTCCTGGGCCGCTATGCGCGGGGTGCCGTTGGGAACTATTTGTGCTGCTGCGTCTTGGGCTACACCGAGCACGTTCACCAGATTCTATAACATCAATGTGGCCACTCCGGCTCCTCTTGGCGTGGTCCTTCAGGAATCCTCTGGCTCTCCTCCGTGAGGTGTGTGGTCAAGTTCCTTCGTGACATAGCTGGTATAAGGTCATTCAGTGCTATGCACCGCCCTCTGGCGGTCTGAAGGGATGAAATAGAACGAGGGTTACGTATGTAACCACGGTTCTATGAATCCCGGATGACCGCCAGAGGCGCTCTGTCACTCAGGGTCCTTGCATCCGCGAGAAGATTCTGCAGGAACAGAGTGCTGGATGACGCTGGACTTTATTACCTCCGGTGTGTCACCCAGGGGGTCACAGGTGTGACTCATTTGGTATTATTACTCGAACTGCGCATGCGCGAAGGGAACATTCAGTGCTATGCACCGCCCTCTGGCGGTCATCCGGGATTCATAGAACCGTGGTTACATACGTAACCCTCGATTTATGAAATGAAACATGCCCTAATAGCCATAAATCTAACTTCAACCTAATGATATGGGAAAACCATTATAGAATTCAAGCATATTATATCTCCCTTAGTATCTGTGTTGACACTGTCCAGACCATGTTTACTCAGAATGGCCGAGACTCAAGCCTCTCATAATAAAAGGCCATTTATTTTGCAAATGGACATACAAATGATGTTGTTGAAATGTTCTTGCTCTATGTGGAATACAAAAAAACACCAATTAGTCTTGAGTTTCTTGCATTCAGAGACTCGTAAAACAACAAGCAATGGATGTTGACGTGGTTACGCGCCGGCTCTGTAGTCGATGCTACAGTTGTGGCCATGAAGCTATGAATTTGCACACGGCCACTCGTCTGACTGAGATGGTGTGCTGCGGGAAAAGCATAGAAGCATAAAAGTGGCCATAAAGTGCAGAACTTTTCCTTCTGTATAAAGAATTCATTAAGGCAAAAAGATGAATAGCTTTATGTACAATTTCTATGTTCCCATTAAAGTTTATGGAAGAGAAATCCTCCCCATGTAACTGGCTACTGAACTTTATTATAGATTGTAAATTCTGATTGATGGATATTTGTCTGTATCTGAGGTCTCTATTAGATGTTTACAGATACGCATACAGCAGATCGAGTCAGTAACTTTTTTAGAATTTGGTATTTATTGATGTTTGTTTGGATGTATGTGTTTCTACTGCACCACCTGCATCTGTCTTATCTATTTATCTCCATCCATCCTCAATAAGTATAAGTAGTACATTCCAAAGATCCTTATATTATTTAAGGACCAAAATGAACAAAAATAAGGGTTGATTTTTGTGTATAATTCCAAATGACTAAATTATATGTGCTGTAGTGTTGGTTCACTACGCTAGTATGAATACACTCAACTTGTACATGACAACATGAAGTTAAAGTGTGGTCTCTGTGTTTTCCAGTGGACAATGTGAAGGAGGTTCTGAAGCTGAGTGTGGATCAGAAAGGATCCGTGGTTCAGACCGGAGAGTTGACGGTGTTCCTGGACGGACTGGTGCTTTCTGAGCAGAACGAGCTGGCTCCTCTCACCAACGGCAACGCGGCCAATGGCAGTAAGATCCTGGAATACTTCTTCTTCCTTCTCAGTGGAAGGTTCTAGACCCATTGATGATGGTTAAAGTGTGTCTGCATATTCTGGAAAAGTGGAAAATAAAATCAGTCGGATGCACAGCTACACAAACCTGGATTTGAACACTGACAGAAGTGTCTTTCATATAATCAGGAAGATTTCAAGATTTTAGCTGGATACATCTGAAATAAAACATTTACATAATATTATTTATTATTATTTTTTTTAATTCTTTTTTTATATAAACAATGACAAAAACCTATCTTTTTAACCTAGTTTTGTTGTTATGTGTTCTGCTCTCATAGTTTTAAATATAATTGTTGTATTTTCTATTATTTGTCTTAGAAGTCCAACAAAACGGAGATGCGATTCATGAAAATGGAGAGTCCTCATCCTCACGGGCTGCGAACAGGTCGGTCTCAAAACTCTAAAACTGTGATCTTTAAGTCGACGTGTTAAAATATATTGTAATCACTGAAATCTGTTTTCTCTTCCTGTTAGTCAGTTAGAGTGGGCACTCTCGCCTCTCAGCAAAAAGGTCTTGGATTTGAACACAACTCCTTTCTGAGTGGAGTCTTGTTCTTCCTGTGTCTGCCTAGGTTTTCTCCTGAGGCTCCGGTTTTCCCTTTATAAACAAGTATAATAGGTGGAGATGCTCCAGCTCTGGTCCTGACCGAGGCGAGCATCAACATATGGAGATGGCGCTGTACAATGGCAACCACTGCTCCTTACCGCCCCCTAGTGGCCGTGTATGATCTGTGGGTCAAATGCAGAGGCAACAGTAAAGTAGACCATGTAACTCAAAAAGTTATGGGGAATTTATAAGAATTTTTAAAACTTGGAAATGGAACAAATGCTAGATCAATGAAACTCTTGGCAGAGAGCTGCTCTCTACGAATGATTTATAGAAGCTCTTAAAGAGTGGATGTACATTGGTATCAGATTCTAGTACCACATGGATTTCCCTGTTTGAAGAATTTACTGAATACTGTTTTACTTTGTTTATATAAAGAACATTTACTTTATATAAAAACTAATTTCTATAAATGATAACGGCTGGTTTCTGGTTCAGCCTGAGCTCCATTTTACATTCAACATTTCTCTTTGTGTAGCAGCGTGTTCAGAAACTGCATTGCAGAGAGCGGTGCAGCCTCACTGCTTTTTACAGCCACGAAAAAAAAAAAACTAGGGAAGTCCTTCCACAGTCACTGGCTTTCAGCATTAGAGCAAGAGACATCACTGCAGTGAGAAAAAGGACAAATTGTGTTCAATGGAAGAATAATGCGTTTGACATTAACAGTGTCTCGGGGACAGACAGTTTGATTCTAACTGTGATCTGTCTGAAATTGGCTGCATCTGAATGAGTAATAAAGTACCTCATTCCCTCTTTCCTTAACCCTTTCATTGTTGTGTGAGCCATTACCTTTAAGGCAAGGGAGGTTTTCTTGTTTACCACAGTTCATACACAAGGCAATTCAAAGTGCTTCACAGAAAAATATCAAACAAACATTCACACTAGGCATTATAATGATGAATGATAACAGCACATTAACAATAATACAATCCCTCAGTTGTATGCATAACTAAACAGAACTGTTTTGACAGATTTGAACATTGTCATATAAGCCTGTCTTACATTTTCAGGAAGACTCTTGTAAATCGTAGCAGCATAAATCTGAAATGCCGTCTCCTCATGATTAGTTCTGACTTTGGGCATCAGCAGGAGACCAGTCCATGTGACTCTTTGAGTCAGAGTTGGTTCATATGGGACTAACGTGTCTCAGATGTACTTTTGTACGACACCATGAAGAGCTGATTAAAGTCTATTCTTTGAGCCACAGGAAGCCAGTGCAGAGACTTGAGAAGCAGCATTACACATTTTTTAAAAAGATGGTCAAGTACTTTTGATCAAACCAAAGTTGATCTTGAGAAAAAAGTAAAGCCTGCTGACCTTGAGCCTATCCCATAAAAAGTATAGTTTTATGGAGTCCTTGTCTATAGCGCACTGTGACGCCCTGCTGTTTGAATGAATGGTGAGTGTTAATAAGCAACCTAACTAATGTCTGTAATAATGGCCACACTCTGCTTTGTGTTTCCCACTGAGATGTTGCAATGGAAAAACTTAAATCCATGAATTTCCCCTTTCAAACCAAAGCTTATGGTATCCAAGAATATATTTACTATTTTATGTTCTATTCAAACAGGAGACACCTTGATCATTGTCTTTGTTCAAACAGCTTCTCGGTTCCAGCTTCGCTCTTTGTAAATGTCAGAAGTCTGTACAGCCTCACAATTCCTGTTTGTTCTCAACAATCCAAAAGGCAGAAGTCTTTCAGGTGGTTCCAGACAAGACAAATAACTTGGTCTGGAACCCTCTATCCTGCCATATTTATCTGATCAGTTCCATGGCCCTTTGATTGCCGAATCTGGAAGTGCAAAGTTATAATAGGGTCGACTCTTTCAATAGGTTTTGTCAAGTTTTTCCGATTATGTAAATGATATCTTCATGAAAATATATGTGTGAAATTAGTGTCAAATTGATGGAAAGCCACTTTGTTAGTGGTTGAAATTATGTACGACTCAATCATTTATAGAGGTTTTTAGACATTTCTATCAGAAATAATGCACACACTGTCAACATCCATTCAGTTCTTTAAGGTTGGGCAAATGCAGTGTCCCATTTGTCTGTCTGGACTACAGCTAAATAAAGGACTTTTGTCATTGGTATAATTGGCTGAGGACGACTAGAGGACAAGTGATGTGACGCAGACTCACCAGAATTACAAAATAATGTCTATTAACTAGATAGGCTCTACAATAAAAAATGTAAATTAATGTTTTATATGACGTTATCCACTAAATGCAACAGTCCTCACAATGTGAACACAGGTGCAGTAACTTCTATAAGAAGTGGATCATTGTGCACTTTTTGCTTTCACATCTTCGTCAAATGACCACAATTGACCCCAATTGAGCCAGAGTTTGTGTTGTGAACTGTACGTGCCCTTTAATGAGAATCTAATGATGACGGGAGCGAGATGTCGAGCACACTGGCGCGACAAAGCCCCAATCAACACCATCCATTCCCTCTCATTGCATTCAGATCTATTGTGCAAGTTTTTAGTGGTAGGGGAAACCAGAGCACCTGGAGGAAACCTACTCAGACACCGGGAGAACGTGCAAACTCCACTCAGAAAGACCCTGTTTTGACAGGTATTTGAACCCAGGACCTTATTGCTGAGAAGCGATAAGGTGCTATCCACTCAGCCATTGTGTCGCCCAATTATTCTTGTTAGATCTTTTACACTGTGACCTGAATAACGATGATACAAACAAACCATACAAACATACACACAAACATTTGCATACACACAAACATTTGCATACACATACACACTAGTGCACACGCATGCATGCATGCACGGACGCATGCGGGCACACGTTCTAATCGAAATGTATACTGCTCTCTTACAAATGCTTGATGTGGGATGGACAGTCTCTCTACTTTTTAGTATAGATCAACATCTTATTATTTCCTATTATTTTGATAGCCCTAAACCCCAGTGTCTCTCCCCACAGTGTAATGAATGGCACGGAGCTGGGGGTCCGATCCGGCTCCTTCTCCACCTCCAACAGTGTGGACAGTGGGGCTCCGTCCAGCTCCTGTAGCCCCGCTCTGGGCCATGTGCTGAACGGAGACTCATCCCACAGAAACACCCCCACCCACCAGCCCTCCGACAGCGACACAGACAGCAGGACCGGTGAGTTCCTCCAGGCGGAAAAGCCCAGATGTGATTTATCCGTGCCCCTTTCTGTTCCTTATTATTGACCATGTTGTGTTCAATGTAAAGGAAACTGAATATGATTGTATGTTATCGTATTGTCCAATATAATATTGTTATTGGATTGAATAACTTGCCGTTAGTTGTTGCATTTAAAGTGCGTTGTCTCAAGGCAAGGCAAGTATATTTGTGTTCCACAGTTCATACACAAGCCCACTCAATGTGCTTAACAAAGAAGAAGCCGGCCTCACATTTTCAAAAACTGTCCCAGATTTTAGCTGCATAAATCTGAAACGCTGCCCTCCCATGTCTTGTCCTGACTCTGGGCTCCAGTGGGAGGCCAGTCCCTGTGCTCCTCAGTCTGGTTCATGTTAGTCACAAGTTAGTCACTCCCTCTTCATGGCCAAAGTAGTTCATTTTTATGCTGCTTACAAAACCACATAATAATGATCTTAACTTTTCACTGAACTAACTGAATATACTGTTTGTTGCTTCACTCACACGCTGTTGTTTTCTTTAGTAAACGGTGAATCATGTGACGCTGCCCCTGGGTCGTCCTGTCCAAACACTGAAGCTCCTCCCGTCTCAGAGAACTGCTCTTCAGACCCTGTGCCACCGGGAGGCGCCACAAATGGCACATCCCCCACCCCCACTCACAACTCTTCTTCTACTGCTGATTCCGTTGTGAACCCCTCCACCTCCACAGCAGCAGGAGGCGCTACCACCACCACCACCACCTCACCCAGTTCTTCACCAGCGATCGGAGAAAACAACACAACGGCGACGGACGCAGCGAAGCCCAGACAACAGGCAGCGAATGCAGGAGGAGCCGACCCTCTGCCCCCAGGGTTAGTACCTCTTTGCTTGTTTCGCCTTCGAAATCTTGGTAATAATGAGATGAGATAATGCATCGGTTTTTTACAGCGCTTTTTTGGACACTGAAAGATGCTTCACATGTCAATTATTCATTCACTTCATACACAGTGATAAACAACTACTGTAGCCACTTCTGCCCAGAGGCACACTGATAGAAGCGAGTATGTGCTATCAGCCCCTCCGGCCGCCACCAGACTCTAATTCTAATGTGGGTGAAGTGTCTTGTCTAAGGACTAGGGCTGTCAAACTATTAATTTTTTTAATCGAGGTAATTACAGCTTAAAAATGAATTAATCGTAATTAATCACATTTCAAACTATTGGCAAAATTATGCCATATTTTTCTGTAAATTGTTGTTTGAATGGAAAGATAAATGACAGCTTAGTGAACATATGTACTGTATTTGTTTGTTATAACAATAAATCCATTTAAAATGGAATTAACATTATTAACATTCTGTCTTTCTGTTTAGACTCAGACCAAAACTATTGTTTGTTACAGATGAGGGACATTTCAAAATAGTCTGAAGCAGAATGTCATTAAATCTGTTTGATTTGCTCACAACATTACTTTTTTTGGCACAACTAACATGAACTGATGGTCGAAAGGAAAATTAGGTACCTCAGCTTTAATTTAGTGAGTGCGCTTCGGGAGAAGACACGGAGGAGACTGAGGCTCCGCAGTCCAGCTTCAGCGCTGTACATATTGTGTACATCGGTTACGCAAAGACACGTACGCACACTAGAGAATAGTTCTGTAATAGTTCTGTGCATGGTCTTGGATATGATCCCGTTACGCAGCGCCGTTTGCCGTGATCACAGCCGCTGGAAGTGGGAACTGTTCAGAGCGCTGTGGCGCCCGCAGCTCATCATGCAGAGTTCATACAGGAAACAACAAGTGCCCCGCGGTCACGCGTGTATTCTTTCAAAACTTGAATTCCCAGAGGGCCTACCTGCTCTGTCCCCATCTTACACGCGCATGTGTCCGCGGCATTCTGAGTGTTATCATGGGATGCATGGGCATGCGTCAAATGCGTTAATTTTTTTAACGCGATTAATGAAAAAAATTAATTAACGTGCGTTAACGCGATAATTTTGACAGCCCTACTAAGGACACAACGACAGTTTGGCACTTGGCACCCGCTGTGGCACCTGGTGTTCCCAGAGGTCTCCCATCACAGAATTAACTAGGCCCTGCCCTGCTCTGCTCAGCTTCAGAGGTCTAACTGGATCTGGCTTTCACAAGTATGGCTACATGAAATCTAAGGGGAGTACGGCAAGGTGAGGCAAGTTCACTGCAAGGCAACTCAAAGTTCTTAAATAAATAGAAGTAAATAATCTTAAAAACAGTGACAATACCATCCTTCTGTAGTATGCACAGCTAAACAGAACTGTTTTTAAATCCTGACTGTCGCTGTGCTCCTCAGAGTTGTTTAATATGGCACTAACATTTCTTCTCACACAAGCATACACACACACACACACGCACACTTACAAACATACACACAAACACTCTCACACAGGCAATTCCAATATCCCTCTTGGTGGTCAAGCCAATGTAATCTATATTCTTTACAGATTGTATCTGATAAATGATAACCCCAAAGATGCGAATATACTATTTATATTGTGAATCAATAAATCATCCTCAAATCATAAGAATAGTATTTCTCCTGTGGTTAATCCTGTGAATGAAAGCTCATAGAGCTTTGACTACGAAATATTTGTCTCACTATTTACAAGCAGTCCTCCTCCAGAAGTACTATGTTTTTTGGCGTTCTTGTCTATAGCCATCTGTGAATGATGTTAATCATCGTTCTGGATTCAGCAGAAGTTTGAAAAAAGAATAGTGTCGGAATCAGGAACGTGTGGAAAGTGCATCAGTCTTTCTGTGTTGACCCAAATTGTCAAAAAAATTTAATGCCGACATTATTCTATTCCTGCTGTCCTCCAAATCCGCCTGGAAAGTTTTTACAGCGTACAAGCTCATAAATATTCAGTTTTTTGTTATCATTTGCTGAATATTTCCAGCTACGACCATATATCATTTGAAATAAGCATCTGACCTGCCGTTATGTGATAGTGTTGATTTAATCAGTATCAAAATATGACAGATGCCTTTCTAAGCAAATGTTGGATCATCTCCGATAACAATGAATCTGTTTTCATAGTTGTACCTAAAAAAAAATACATAATGTGTCTGTTTTTATAATGAGAATCTATTTCAGCCAGGACTCATTATTACCTCCGCCCCTGAGGGAATGATGAAGTTTGTTGGTCTGTTCTGTTTGTTTGAACTCAAAGTTCTGGAAGGATTTGGATTTAAAAAAAAAACTCATGAATAAAGGAAGTACTCCCTTGAAAGATAGCTTCTTAATCTCAATGGGACTCTCCTGGTTAAATAAAGATAAAATAAAATAAAATAAATAATTGAAAGGAGGGTACCTACATTTAAAATAAATAAATACATACAAACATTATTTGTATGGCACTGAAATATATCTGACTTTTCAAAAACCGCTTTGGTATATGAAAAATTACATATTATATATCATATTTAGCACTAACATTTTTGAAATACACAATTTAGTTCTTTTTTCTTTTTCTTTTACTGTATAATGAATTTGACCTAAGATCTAATGTACATGCTGACTGAAGAAATAAACTGCTACTACGTTGAGAGTAAACGTTGAGTTTTGTTCAGGGACATTTAAGTCAAGATCAAGAGCAAAGATTGGCTAAATTTCACCTAAACCAAATAGGGCCTGATTCCTCTGATTGAATAATCTGCTTGGAAAGTATGAATAACTGCTGTTTTGTTCAGAGCAGGTTCATTTTGTTGTGTTGCCCATTATCTGGAGACACATGTGTAAAAGATGTAGATGTAATTTTAAGGAAAATATCACATACTGTTTCTTTAGTAAAATTTTATGAACAAATCAGACCTGTCTTTCAAGTTCTAAGAAATCTGAAAGAGAAACTTATTTTCTGTCTGAGTCTAAATATGTGACAGAAGCCAAAACTCCACACACACGTGAGAACTAGAGATAAAACCATAATTGTGTTGACAGCGAGTAACACGTTTCATAGATCTTATTACATATGTTATTTTTAATGGTTTCTTTGAGGTACCCCAGCTTTAAAAACAAAGGGCTTGACGCAGTGTTCAAAAGAGCCAGAGGTAGCGATGGCGTAAGAAAACCTCTCACTGTGTAAATGACAATGGAAAACACCAAACTTGTTTTAAAGCTGTGGATAGAAAACTTTAATTGAATACAGAGAGTCACTTTTTTATTGCTCAAAAATACATTGAAACTCTTCCATTCCTACTGTTATTGGTTTTGCCTCTCCATAAATGTAATCGATAAAGACGGGTGCGTATATGGTCAATAGAAATATCAAAAGGGCGTCAAAAAATGATTGATTTGCCAACAGTAGATTAGAAAGTACAACGATTAGGACACAGCAGTGACACTAACCTGTAACCAACAGCACAGGATAATGTATAAACCAAAGTCCATATTATCCCAGATCATCTCCTGTCTTCAGACCCTCCAACATCCACAAGCAGCTATTGTATCATGTTATGATATCTCAGAAAATGATTTGCACATGTTTTCTTTATTATTCTATTGAGACAACGTCTATCAAATTCACATCTTTGAATATTCAACACAGGTGTCAAACCCAAGACCCTCTTTTGTGGCCCCTGAACTTATTTTTGAATATTGCCATATGAACCAACTCAGACTCTGAGGAGCACAGGGACTGGCTCCTGCTGCCTCCCTGAGTCGGAACTAAACATGGGAAAGCAGCTTTTCAGATTTATGCAGCCGAAATCTGGAACAGTCTTTCTGAAAATGTGAGACAAGTTTCTTCTCTGTCAAATGTTAAATCCAGGTAAAAAAGTTACCTAAAGTTACAGCATTGATGGTAAGATGGTAGCCCTAGCATGTTATCCCTCATTTTAAAGCTATTTTCCTCCAATAAACCAGCAAGTCATTTAATCTATTCTAAAAATTTGAATCTAATTAAAAAATCCAGTCTAATTGCTCACCATCAAATATGTGGACTTTAAAAGGTTATGACGAAGCTAAATTTACTTTTATAGATTGGAAAAAAGATTTCCAACACAGACATATTGAAGATATATTGTGGATAAAATCAAAAGGAAAAATTGACAAAAACATTTTTGGCAAAATTTTCAGATCAGCCTCAGATTTAATAATTATACTGTGACTTAGTTACATTTTAATAAAAAGTCCTAAGTCTGAAAAAAGCGGCGGACAAGATTAACACAACATCAGTAAATCACTTGATTTACCAACTACCAATTGAGCCACTGTCGCCGGGCGACAAGCCTTTGAGCCCGAATGTCGTTGTGTCCTTGGGCAAGACACTTAACCCACTTTGCCTATGAGGAGCGTGGAAGTGATGTTCGCTGTTTGCCTTGATGTGTATATCTATTTGTGTATGTGTATGCATCAAACTGAAATTTCCCCATTGTGGGACGGATAAAAGACCTTCTGCTTTTTAAAAAGGAATCATTTAAAAAGATAAATAGTAATAATTCAAATTGAATTACCCTTGAAAAATGTGTAACGGACGTGAGGGTTTCCGTCAAATAAAAAAATTAAAATGTTACTTGAGAAAAATAAATTCTGGTCTGGTTTCACATTTAATGGGTTTGCTATATGAAAGTAATCGCTTTGTTTCTACTTAAATTAGATGTGGATCTGATTTTGCATGTGCCCGCGGGGGTTGTAGGGTGTCCCAATACTTAGGGAGAAGAGGCGAAGGCCTTCACACCCTTAAAAACCACCCTCACCCTCATGATCCCATGATGCATTATGATAGTTGTTGGTAAAGCAGCTGTCGGGCAAAGCCGCGCCACAATGAAAGAAAACAACATGAAACACTCGCGTGCAAGTTTGTGCTGAACGTGAGGAAGCTCCGAGGCATGTGCGAGTTATTCAGAGTTTTTAATGCGTGTGTTGGTGCGTGTGTGGTGACGTTCGCTCCCGAAGCGGCCGCAGTGTGTGGCGTTCACTGAGGCTTCAGAGACGTGGATCCATGTTATTATTATAGATCCATGATGTTGTTCATCGCTTTGACAGGAGCTTTGTGATCCGCGGCTGTACTCGTCTGTCTCTGTGCGCGTACGTGTATGTACATGTGTCTGTCTCTGTTCGTTTGTCTGTGTGTTTGTGTCTATCTCTATGGGTGCGTGATGTGCAGCAGTTCTGTACCTAAATATTACAAATCTTCATATGAAATAGAATTAAAAACGTCTCAATTTATTAAATACTTTATTTCACAAAGACATATCTGTGTCAGATCTTATCTGTGGTGAAATCAGATACATTGATAATGTGTGTGACGGAGAACATGTTTGCTGCGTCATTTGCATATTGTCCCCTAGATCCAGTGGTGTCCCAATTCTTATGTAGAATATCCTGTGAGTGCACTCTCCTTTTCTGGTGAGGGCAGTCACACCTGGAGGGCCCTCAGAATTGGGACGGGGCCTAAGAAAGCTTGTCACTGAGATTGTATTATTTACATTCGGCCCTGAACCAAAGTGAGTGATCTGTGGGAATCACAGTGAGATCTGTGGTATGTACCATAAAGACAGGCATGAATGACGCTTCACACGTTTTACAATGGGATGTTATGGTTATAGATTGGCCTGCACTTTATTTTCCACTGGCTGCAGATCCAAGGTAAAGAGTAATATCTTCAATCTCCCGTTCAGAAAAGTCTGTGGATATGATGAAATGACACTGCTCTTTCACTTCAGTTGTTTTGACCCTTTGCAGCTGTACTTTCCACTGATATTACTAATGCAGTTTCATCGAGATCATTTTCAATGTAGTAAATTATTAGGAAATTGCTTATTGAGAGTGGCTTTTTGCAATTAATACATTTTGATTGAGGAACATTAGACCGGGATAATGAATGAGTGATAGAAATGTGCATTTTAAGTAAGACTGTTACGTTGTTTTTTTTGTTTTTGTTTTTTTGTTTTTTTTGAGGACTAGAAAGCACATGTTAAGACTTAGATATAAAATGTTTTTCTCACGAATTGGCAGAAATTCAGTCAAATACTTACAATGCACTAGATGCTGTATATCAATATGTGTAATTCCCCCCAGGTCAGGGGAAACGGGGTAAAACTGTTCAGGCCTTTCCCCATTAGTAAATCCCTGATGATGAATTAGGTTTGTTAAATTATTATTGCATGATCTCCCTGTTGTGATACAAAAATATTATCAATTTAAGTGGTTTTCTTGAAAATTTTCAGTCATTGTGTTATGAAAAGAGTGACAATTAAGCAGTGTTTGAGTTTAAAAAGGAAAAACGGACTCATGCGACTGCTGGCACTGCTACTACTGCTGCGACTACTGCTGCTACTACTGCTTCTGGTACTGCGCCTACTACGATACACTCAATAAAAGAACTATTCAGAGAAAACCTGCTTGTCGTAAGAACAGTTAAGGATGGGTTTTAAGTATGCTAATCTCACTGATGTTGTGTGTTTGTTGCGTGTGTTTCTCAGGTGGGAGCAGAGGAAGGACCCTCACGGCAGGACGTACTATGTGGATCATAACACGAGGACAACGACGTGGGAGCGACCACAGCCACTGCCTCCTGGGTCAGTTTGAAAACATTTACTTTATCATGAAATGTGCATCTGGCTTTAATGATTTTTTTCCCCCTTCATTAAAGACAATTTTGACAATCTTTAAATAGTATTTATCTCTAGAACAAGCAGCTTTTGTCTGATTTTCATGTCCAATTGGAAAATCTTGTTTTAAGGCTGCCAAAATATATTCCTGACTTGATTTTTGGCCTTCTCTCCAGTCTTATTTTATTTTTATTTCAATGTTGTATTAAAGGTTTTTGACAAAATGCTGTCAAGGCCGGTACTTACAATAGTTGGAGCATGTAAAAAATGAAATTATGAGCATATTTAGAGATATTTGTAGATTTTTTTTTTTTTTTTTTTTTTTTTTTCCCCCAAAGTTTTTTATTTTTTTATTTAACACCATGTGATACAGATTCCATAAAAACATAAATTACTATGTACAACATAGTAGTGCAGAATATATTGTGGGGGAGGGAAGGGGGAGTAGGGGGGGGGGCATTTTTAAGGCATCCAGAGCATGAAACAAAGAAAACAAAATACTTAATAAAAAAAATAAAATAACAAGCAAGTACTGTCGTGGAAATATGTAGGTGCTAATGTGTAAGTGTGGGTGTTAATGTATTTGAGTGTTTGTGTATATGTATAAATGTGTGACCATATGTGTCTGAAGAAGAAATAGAAAAAATAGAAAAACAGAACAATAACAGTGAATAAAACTAAAAAAAATGAGTGCTGCCACTTGCTGTCTCCACAGATCCCAGTAACGTATTTTGGCTGTTTATGTGACAATATATTTATTTGCTTATTTTGTATTATTATTATTATTTGTATTTTTTCATTTATTTATGTTTTTGTGCGCGTCTAGTGCATTAAAAACATGCACCAGACACGCATAGAACATGCTATTGCTGGAGGGGTCTCCTCCAGCAACAGCAGGGCCACTTCCTTGTTTAATCTTGTGTGTATTGTATGTGTGTGTTGAGCGTGGCTTATGTTATGCATTAAAAATCCAGGGTTCTGTGGGAGGTCTGCGCTCCAGGGGAGTCACCTCTAGAGCGCATGCCTCCCCTCCTGAATGGCCTGATCTAGTAGGTGTGAGTCTGTTGTAGGTTTTTATCATTTTTTTTTCAGTTTTGGTTTGGTAAAAAGGGCTTTGGTTACTGTGGTGACAGGGTTAGCAGCATAATACTAATGGTGTTAGGGTTCTGTGTGTGTGTGTGCGCGTGTGCGTGTGTGTGTGCGTTGTGTGCCAGTGGATAGTGGGGGGGGCTTCCAAACACTAGTGATTAGTATACGGTGATATTGAGGTATTTGATGAAGGGTGACCAAGTTTCCGTGAAGGACAGTACGTTATCATCCTGAGATGATGGGTGATGTGTGGTGATGTGATGAGTGAGGGAGTTGATCCAGTGGTTGATACTTATTGAGTTTTTGGTTTTCCAGTTTAGTAAGATTATCCTCTTGGCGATAGCTAGAGATGTCAGAAGGCATTTTGTGCATCTGGTAGGTATGGGGCTGGTAGAGGTGGCGCTCAATAGACACAGAGATGGGGAGAGCGGGACTCTGCAGCTCAGGATGTCAGAGAGTTTTAGAGTGACTGTGCCAAAAGGATTGAACTGGTGTGCATTCCCACAGTGCATGTATGTATGTGTCTGTGGAGCCCATTGTGCATTGAGTGCATGTGCTTGTGTCTGTTAGTCCCATTTTATGCTTTTTGTGTTCAGTTATATGTGTTCTGTGAATAATCCTGTATTGTATCATTTGTAAATTGGTGTTTGGTGTCATGGAGAAGGTGTTGGTGCATATTTCTGTCCAGAATTCGGGTGTGATGGGTGAGTTAATGTCCAGGTTCCATTTTTCTTTTGGGGTGTGTATTGTTTGGTCTGTATTCAAGAAGTTGTGTAGTTTGGATATTAATTTTTTCATAGTTTTAATGTTTTTTATATTTTCAATGAGTTGGGGTGCAGTTAAGGGGTTGTGCTGTATGTTAATCTTGCCTTTGATTATGGATTTGATTTGGAAATATTGAAATGTGGAGTTTTGGTTGAGATTGAATTTGTCTGTTAGTTGTTTATATGTCATAAATGTGTTGTTGTTGAATAGATGTCCGAGGTGGGTGATTCCTTTTTGTTCCCATGTGTTGTAGTGCAGTGGTGTGTTATTTGTGTGAAAGTCAGGGTTGTGCCAGAGAGGAGTGTATTTGCAGGGTGTAGGTGATGAGTTAGTTAGTTTTAAAGCTTTCCACCAGGCTGTCAGAGTTGTTGAGATAGTTATGTATTTAAAAGAGGTATGTTTTTTGAGTGCAGTGTTCATTGCTGGTAAGTCTGTCAGTTGGATGTTATGTAAGATAGATTGTTCGATTTCTGTCCAGGAGTTATTGTGTGTAGGCTTTATCCATGTTGCTAGGTATTGTAATTGGTTTGCAAGGAAGTAGTGTGTGAAGTTGGGTGCGTTAAGGCCGCCCTGTGATTTGGGCTGTTGTAATGTTGAAAGTTTGATTTTGGCTTTTTTGTGTTTCCAGTAAAATTTTGATATGAGTGAGTCGAGTGATTTGAACCATTTATCTGTGGGTGTGACGGGTATGTCAGAGAATAGGTAGTTGAGTTTTGGAAGGATCTTCATTTTTATTGCAGAGATGCGGCCGATGAGAGTGAGTGGGAGGTTTGTCCATCTGTCTAGATAATCTTTTATTTGGTCAAAAACCGGGGTGTAGTTTAGTGGGAACAACTCTGACAACCGATATTTGTAGATTCTAAATCCATGGTGGAGCTATTGAAATAGGGTGGTGAGCTACAGGTCTCTTCCAAGCTATAGGTTTGAGACCACTGTTAAATAATAAATAGAACTGTAAGTATTTTATTTATACGGTATCTTGCAAAAGTATTCGGCCCCCTTGAACCTTTCAACATTTCGCCACATTTCGCTTCAAACATAAAGATATGAAAATTCAATTTTTTGTCAAGAATCAACAACAAGTGGGACACAATCGTGAAGTGGAACGAAATTTATTGGATAATTTAAACTTTGTTAACAAATAAAAAACTGAAAAGTGGGGCGTGCAATATTATTCGGCCCCCTTGCGCTAATACTTTGTAGCGCCACCTTTTGCTGCAATTACAGCTGCAAGTCGCTTGGGGTATGTCTCGTATCAGTTTTGCACATCGAGAGACTGGAATTCTTGCCCATTCTTCCTTGCAAAACAGCTCGAGCTCTGTGAGGTTGGATGGAGAGCGTTTGAACAGCAGTCTTCAGCTCTTTCCACAGATTATCGATTGGATTCAGGTCTGGACTTTGACTTGGCCATTCTAACACCTGGATACGTCTATTTGTGAACCATTCCATTGTAGATTTGGCTTTGTTTTGGATCATTGTCCTGTTGGAAGATAAGTCTCCGTCCCAGTCTCAGGTCTTTTGCAGACTCCAACAGGTTTTCTTCCAGAATGGTCCTGTATTTGGCTCCATCCATCTTCCCATCAATTGTAGCCATCTTCCCTGTCCCTGCTGAAGAAATGATGCTGCCACCACCATGTTTGACAGTGGGGATGGTGTGTTCAAGGTGATGAGCTGTGTTGCTTTTACGCCAAACATATCGTTTTGCATTGTGGCCAAAAAGTTTGATTTTGGTTTCATCTGACCAGAGCACCTTCTTCCACATGTTTGGTGTGTCTCCCAGGTGGCTTGTGGCAAACTTTAAACCAGACTTTTTATGGATATCTTTGAGAAATGGCTTTCTTCTTGCCACTCTTTCATAAAGGCCAGATTTGTGCAGTGCACGACTGATTGTTGTCCTATGGACAGACTCTCCCACCTCAGCTGTAGTTATCTGCAGTTCATCCAGAGTGATCATGGGCCTCTTGGCTGCATCTCTGATCAGTCTTCTCCTTGTTTGAGATGAAAGTTTGGAGGGACGGCCAGGTCTTGGTAGATTTGCTGTGGTCTGATACTCCTTCCATTTCAATATAATTGCTTGCACAGTGCTCCTTGAGATGTCTAAAGCTTGGGAAATCTTTTTGTATCCAAATCCGGCTTTAAACTTCTCCACAACAGTATCTCGGACCTGCCTGGTGTGTTCCTTTGTCTTCATGGATCTCTCTGCGCTTTAAACAGAACCCTGAGACTATCAAAGAGCAGGTGCATTTATACGGAGACTTGATTACACACAGGTGCATTCTATTTATCATCATCAGTCATTTAGGACAACATTGGATCATTCAAAGATCCTCACTGAACTTCTGGAGTGAGTTTGCTGCACTGAAAGTAAAGGGGCCGAATAATATTGCACGCCCCACTTTTCAGTTTTTTATTTGTTAAAAAGTTTAAATTATCCAATACATTTCGTTCCACTTCACGATTGTGTCCCACTTGTTGTTGATTCATGACAAAAAATAAAATGTTTATATCTTTATGTTTGAAGCCTGAAATGTGGCGAAATGTTGAAAGGTTCAAGGGGGCCGAATACCTTTTGCAAGGCACTGTATAACGCCTTCCATAGACTGCACTTTATTTGTTGGCATTAATCCTTCACACGGTGATGGAAGCCCTCATCAGCACCACGAGACCTCACCATAACACCCTGTTTGTGTGTGTTATTGTATAAAATGTGCAATTAAAAGCATTTTCTGTTTTTTGGAAGCTACATGTAATAATAACGAGAATGAACCAAAATCGGGCTCAAACTCGATCTCTCACAGAAGCATTTGTGAGTGAGGCTGCAGTGACACCATGAGGAAATACACTCACTTTGGGATTTTCATTTTCACTCGCCTTCTTTTCATAAGTTCCATTTTTGTTTATGGAAAAGTGGATACAATGTATTATCTATTAGTGCTGCACAATATTGGAAATTAGTGCAATATTCCATATGAATGTTTAGTGTTTTGATAACGAAATTATTGAGATATTTTTGTCTTTCACCTAAAAATGCAATCTGCATTGAAACGCAAGAGACTATAATAAAAAATAAGCACAACATTAATGACATTAAAATGCATATATTTATATACTTTTTTGTTAGTTTGTTTGTTTGTTGTTCTTGTTGAATGTTGATGTGTCTGTCTGTTTTGTTGTCTTTTAATAAGATATTTTCGATTTGGATATCGCGCGCACCAATATCGCGATAACAATATTATTTTGATATATCATGCAACCCTATATCTAGTTTTATTATTATTATTATTCTATTTTGTTATGCTGAAATATGATTCATGCAATAAATGCATAGGTTTAGATGCATGTGTAAACCACATGCATCTAAACCTAACTTTCAAATCACAAATACATTTTGGGTTTTATTACATTGTTCTAACTACTGCAGTCCGGGCTTCAAACAAGTTGGTGCTGTCACTAGTTCTCATATACTTGTATTTTAGCTTCTGTCACATCTTTAGCTAAGTTTTCTCAGTCAGAAATGTGAAAAGAGTGGACAACTCAAACGGGTGACAACCTTTTAGCCCAAAAGGTGTCTAGCTCAACATCAAATGTTCAACTTGCATGTTGCTGCAGGTGGGAGCGGCGCGTGGACGATCGGGGAAGAATCTACTACGTGGATCACAACACACGCACCACGACCTGGCAGCGCCCCACCATGGAGTCTGTGCGCAACTTTGAGCAGTGGCAGAGTCAGCGCAGCCAGCTGCAGGGAGCCATGCACCAGTTCAACCAGAGATACCTCTACTCTGTAAGACGCACACACACACTCACACGCACATATACACACACTCGCACATGCACCCACCAGTTCAACCAGAGATGCCGCTACTTCGTCAGACACGCACACACCACTAAAAACAAGTTTGACATCTCACGTCTGTCATCGCTTGTGGAAAGAATGGAAAAAATATTGGTACTCAAATTGTTTAGCGCTTTGTGACACCATGGTCTGTGAAATGCGCTATATAAATTAATATTAAATAAACTAACTCGACTCCATTAAAATGGCCCAGAAACGACGTGTTGGGCAAGAGCTCTGGTGTGTACTATGGCGCACACTGGAGTAGTCAGATTCCGTTTTTTTTGCCATTTGCACATTCAAATAACTGTTATTCTCGGAACAGACTGTATTTTCACACATTATTTGGCGCACAAAAGTTTACGTCAGTCTTCATTGATGGGATTCAAATGGAAGAGGTGGAGATTTATGTTTTTACCAGTTCTTTGCACTAGTGACTCAACTATACAAAAGATGCCCACTATCAGAAAGACAATGCAGTCCAAATCATGAGAAAAAAGTTACATCTCTTCTTTCACTAATTTATTTACCCAATGTTTTTGTTTCTGCATTCCTTCATTAAAGTTTATACATACGTGCTCGTCACAACTTTCAGGACCCGTTTAGACAGAGACACTGCAAAGCAATTGACCAAGCTCCATATTCGAAGTGCTCAGTGTCTACATGACGAGGGAAAACAATGTAGTTCTAGCACTAAAGACAAACTCACACGACACAGACATAACAGGTAAACAGTGTAGAGAGTACGAATGTCTAAAGCATAAAAAAATCAAATATTAATTGATAGTATTGAAATTGGATATTACTTGGATACACTCTAGAACAGCCATTCCCAAACTCAGTAACACCGAGGCCCCCTTAAAAATCTGACGGGTCTGCGTGGCCCCCCAAAAATAATAACCAAGAAGACAACATTAAGAATAGGCTCTTCTGGTTATTTTATTTTGGGGAAATAGCCTCTGCTACAAACATTGTAATACAAAAATTATTACAGTGGATTATTCAAGTCAAATAATGAACACAAATATTTTAATATTACAAACAAAACATTATAAATTTAACATTAAATAATTATATTTTTTATTTTATTTTTTTATGACCTCCCGCGGCCCCCCTGCAGTACCCTCGCGGCCCACCAGGGGGCCGCGGACCCCACTTTGGGAGACACTGCTCTAGAAGATGTGAATACTCAAAAAATGACACAAACAGGACTAACATTCTCAGGGTCGTTTTTTTTTATTATTCAGATCCAAATTAGAACTAATAATCACCTTTTGGTATCCATAAAAAGTACTATAATGTTGTATTGTTATTTATTTAGACAATGTGCAATGGGCGGCATGGTGGCGCAGTGATTAGCGCTCGTGCTTCATAGTAAGAAGGTCCTGGGTTTGAGTCCAGCTTCAGACATCTCTGTGTGAAATGAGGGTTACGCAGAAACACTGTAAAACGCTTTGTGACTCTGGTCGGTAGGGGTGGGAACCTAAGGGTACCTCACGATACGATACGATACACGATAACGATGATATCACAATAACGATATCACGATAACGATTTTATCACGATACGATTATTGATATATTGGTCAGAAATATACAATATGCCAATTTATGGCATAAATAAAATAAAAATTACTCTTTATTTCATGATAAATAGACTGGAGATGCGTAATGTAGCCATATATTAAGTATTGATATCAATTCAAAAAAAAAATTGTAAAAAAACAAACAAAAAATATTCAATTTTTTTTTTTTTTTTTTTTCAAAATCAATATTGATACTTGGCAAATGCATATCGATAATCGAATCGCGGGAGAAAGTATCGTGACCTACTGGTCGGTGAGAGGCGCTATATAAATAAATATTACTTATGTATTTACAATGTCATCTCGTTGTCCAAAAAAATGGTTTCTATCACTGTGGTATTCAAATGGTGTCTGTTATTCTATATATAAAAATCCAGTTTGTAATTTAAGTGGAGAGAAGTCAAAGATCATGTAAAATGTCAGATATATTACACTGTCACATTTTTATGAAACACATGAACATCACACTGGGCTGTTGCTACTCTTTCAAAGAATTCTCAAAACCTTCTTGAACTGCTCGGATCCAGAACCTACATGCGATCCACGTTATTGCGCAATATTTTACACAACTGCAGATTTTTCAGTTTGCTCAGCAGAACAAACCGCGCACGCCTCGTAAAGCTCTTTATGAGATGTGGGCTCATAAAAGAGGTCAAGTGTGACCACAAATCTCAGCGCGAACCAAACATCATTGAATAAATGTTTTACACAAAGGATTCGAACGTCGTTTTTCACCCGGCGTCAAAGGAAATCAAGGGAGCAGCTAAACCTTTATGTTCTCATTCTATTGTAATATTAGTGATAATGTTGTCCAAGATGACGTGGTGTAGTGACTGGAGAAATTGTCATACTTTGAAAATAAAAGAAAAAGAATAATCAGAAAAACCCGTTTATTAATGACATTTTTGGTTGTTTAATCAAGCAATTACAAAAGGAACATGCAAATGAGTGAATAAAACACAACAATCCAACAAAATCAGACTTTGTTTTATGGTAATTTAAAAATATGAACTTGTAGCAACCAATGACATTGTATACGTTTTTGGATGCTGTTTAAAGTGGAGGTACCTGACATTCTGTGAACAAATCAGACCACAACATGCTGTCTTCATCATATTGAAAAATGTGCTCTGAAAAGTGTTTTCAGAGCAAGAAATTAGTTACGTGGATTTGATTACATTGTCACATTATAATTACTTGTCAGTGTAAATGAGATGGAACTTTAAAATCCTTTCTTGCGATATGCTCCAAATGTAAACAAAACGGCAGCTTTTCTGTGGCTTGCTTTCTGCTCATACATCCCATGTTTTCAGGCGTCCATGATGTCTGCAGAGAATGATCCACTGGGCCCTCTACCTCCAGGATGGGGTAGGCTGATTTTTACCTGCGTTTAATACATTTAGGGGAATTTTGAGAGAAAAAGCTTTGTTTATTGAATACAAGTCTTTTCCCTACTTTTGTTCAGAGAGACGCGTAGACTCCAATGACCGTGTCTACTTTGTGAACCACAACACCAAGACGACGCAGTGGGAGGATCCCCGAACACAAGGGTGAGAGATTACAGCTAGATTATTTCATATTATGACCAATCTGTGCTATTTTACTGCTTCTACACACTACTACTACTACACACTACTTTCACAGACCAAGTTTACCCAAAGTTTTTCAAAAGTATAAACAAAAAATGTGCTTGAAAACGTATATTTCAGTAGTCCCCCGTAATGCAGTTCCCCGGGGTCCTGGCTGCACTGGGCTTTGCTTTCAGAAGACTGATTTTGAAAGTTTTTTTTAACTTTTATTTTGAAACGTTCCTGTCTTCACTGTTGAAAAGCAACACAGGTCTAAACAACACGGCAATCTTTTCCCAATGGTGTACCGCAATTTGAACTTGACAAGGATTAGATACCACCTCCAAACAAGGCGCATTTTCTCCCTGTGTCTTTTGTAGATTCCTTCCGGGTGCTCCCCTGCCACTAAAAACATGTACAATATTTTACGGTGAATGAGTATGTGTTTATGAGTGCACCGTCTCAACCATTTTTAAGATAAATTGCGTAAGTGTTTTATATTAAAGCTCTGGTCTACAGTGTGTGAATAACTATAAACATGGACAACATTTTAACAACCGGTTGTTGCAAAATACATGGGTATGAACTAAGTGAAGTAATGTCTTCCAAAGCAGTGACATTTATATTGTTTTTATGAGAACTAAATGAGATTTTTAACTTGTTTTGAATTGTCTATAAATCAAAATAGTGGCCAAACACACCAGATTAATGCTGGTCATTATAATGTAATGGTATATGTCCTGGGTGTGTTCACTTCAAATCTCGTGCATCCCAATAGAGGTTTACTTTTCATTAAATCATCAATCAACTTTGTCAGTTTCTCTGCGCTGTATTAAAAGTTTTAGTAGTGCAAAATCACCTCAGATTTGGAGACTTCACAGTTCGATAAGGGCTGAGAGAGGATGACATATTTAAAGAAGTGGGCTCATTATTACACGTTGGACTTATTTGAAAGCTCTACTGAACAATGCTCTAAAACTGATAAACGCTCACTGGCTCTTCTCTCCTTTTGAATGGCGTCAGCCTCGCTCCACAGCAGGTCGAGAAACAACCGAGAAAAGCTGGGGGAAAAAATTGTTTGCATGTTACTGTGGTGATGGCAATATAATAAGAATATTGTAATAAAATATGGATTGGTATAAGACAAAATTACTATAACATTTGTCTTAAACTGCACTTATATGGAAACCTACCAAATTTCGCAGTGCTGTGGAGCCGTACTGTGTATGTGCTACAAAAATATCTAGTGGATTAAAATTAAATTACATGAGTCATTCTGAGATTATTGAGTGTGATTAGGTTCAGATGTGTAGATTTACAATTATCTTAGTGTGTAAACAAGGGTGGAATGAGACTTTCTGGTCTGTAAACTATTGCTTTAAGCAGCAGTGACTACTTTTTTGTGTGACAAGTGAGCTGTCAATCACAGCCCAGACCACGCCCAACTCTAAGCCCCCCTTCTTGTCCCTAGGTCCTCCAGGCAACGCCCTTTTTAGAGAAAATTTTCAAATCTTCATGTGGGCGGAGTAAGGCTGGGCACAGGTGTTTAGTCGCTCTTTAAATGTCACTCTGTTGTTGTCCATTTGAACTGACCGTCTCCAGATGCGGTCTACACACAAAAAGCACAAAAATGTGGATTGTCATTGTTTTTCCCAGGCTGCAGAACGAAGACCCGCTTCCAGAGGGTTGGGAAATCCGTTACACCAGGGAGGGGGTGCGATACTTTGTGGACCACAACACGCGGACCACCACCTTCAGTGACCCCCGCACCGGGAAGTCGTCTGTGTAAGCTCACCTCATTTATCAGCAACTAAACACCATGGAGTGGAGCATGATGGGTTACTCAAAGGACAGCCAGTTTTATGGTATATTGAAGTCATCATTCAAATGGGGTGTGTTCCTGTAACATCACAACATCTCAAGCAGCCTATAGTTTCACATGTGGCGCAGACCAGCTGAAAAAACGTTCCTGGAAACTACGGCAATCTGCAAAAGTCAGATTTGAGTCTAATTTCTCTCCCAATCCTGAGTCAATTCACATGAAACAAAAACTCACAATGTTCCACATGGACATTGTGAGTTTTGTTTTGAGGACTAGTTTTTTTTCTCTTTAAGTTGTCTAGAAGTGGTGACAATAAAAATAAAAATATGCGTAATGGTGGCTTGTAGAAAGGACTTTCAGACATCATAAGAATATGTAGGGTGTGAATCTGTCAAATAATGATCTGAGAAAACATTTGGACATTTTATTTTATATTTCTTTGTCCTAGTTTTGTGACGATTTCATTGATTTTCACTGTTATCTGTTTTCTCTCAGCACCAAAGGACCTCAGATCGCCTACGAGCGAAGTTTCAGGTGGAAACTCGCTCACTTCAGATACTTGTGCCAGGTTTGTCCAACTTCACTTTTCATTACTGTAAGAAATAAAAAATTTTTCATGTTTGTTTTTTACAAAGTCATTTAGTTGTTTATATCAGTTTTACGTCAAATTTAGATATATATTCTTCCTAATTAGTTGAACGCAATGGAGTTATAGTTAATTTCATTATTACAATTATCTACAGGACATAATTAGTAATGGAATTAAGCTTTTTTTAAATATAAACAGGAAAAAGTTATGAAATGATGCAATGTCATATTCTTCTATTTATAATGAATTAAACTGTTTTTACATCTGTGGCCATATTCCCACACTTAGGCTGTTTTCGTTTTCCCTGTTGCTCCATTTAAAATAATAAAATCATTTGATTGTCTGTTTTCCTTCTTCTCCGCAGTCCAACGCTCTCCCGAGCCACGTCAAGATCACCGTCTCCAGACAGACGTTATTCGAGGACTCGTTCCAACAAGTGTGTTTGTATTGTGTTAATTTACTGTTTCATTATATTTAACAGCAGCCATTACACATCTGGGGAAATAGTGATAGTTGCTTCACAGATGCCACTTTTAAAGCAGTATTTAGTGTTGTACAGTGACTCCTCTATGTTCACCTTTCATGGCCTCGCTGTTTAGAGGATTTATTTGTTTGCATTTTTGCTTGTTTTTTTACAAGCAGCATGTGCTTCTCATGCGCTGCTTTTATACTCCAACATCATACACATCACGTGACTGTTTAACATGAGTTTTCTTTATTCAAAGTCAGTAGAAAACCTTTTTGTGTTGATTAGTTCAGAGGACTTCTGCGGTCTTCCTGTAGCCCTCAGTCCTGCTCCTGCACCTTAGTGTCCTCTGTAGCTGTAAACTACAGTGTATGCATGGCTTTTGACAGCTGCAGCAGTGCTCAGACCTGCAACCAAATGGTTTGATATCTCCACAATCTTGAGTTCAGGTGGTCAGAAAAGTGTATAAAGTGTGTGTCACACCCTTAAAAGCTGCTACTTAAAAGATTTCACTTATTGCTGGTTATTTTTTAGATCAAAACCCATGTGATAAACATGGACCACTGCACTGTAGAGACTTTAAAGAATATATTTTCCTCTTTTTGGACTTTTGATCCATGTTGCTTCATCAGAACTTATCATGAATAGTTTTCAGCTCCATTCAAGAAGAGGAACTTTCTTACACAAAAACATCTTTGTGCTCTTTCTGTCCAACTGCGTCTCATTTCAACTGAGTGACACAGAAATGTGTATCAGTAATACTCTCCATTTCTGCAGTTAATATCTTTGCCGAGGCATGTACAACCAAAGTGTTTAGGAATTTCCTTCCTTTATCCGTTTTATATGTCCTGTTGTGTTGTAGATTATGGCACTGAAGCCGTACGACTTAAGGCGGCGGCTGTATGTCATCTTTCGAGGAGAAGAAGGGCTGGACTACGGAGGACTCGCTCGGTGAGAAAGAATCCTCTTGTTTATTTATCTGTGTTTTTAAAATACTACTGCATATATATACTAAGTGATTAGCAGTTTTAGTCATGAAAATCGCACTATGCATTCTGTCATTTTTAAACCTTGCTCCTGAATCTTGGTTTCTCTAGGGAGTGGTTCTTCCTGTTGTCCCACGAGGTCCTGAACCCAATGTACTGTTTGTTTGAATACGCCGGGAAGAGCAACTACTGTCTGCAGATAAACCCGGCCTCCGCCATCAACCCGGACCACCTCTCCTACTTCTGCTTCATAGGACGCTTCATCGCTATGGCAAGTGAAAAAAGCCACAGTTTTACTATACAGGTCAAGGTTAGAAATGTTGCTCCCATGGTTTAATGAGATTGTATTTTAGGCTATGTTGCGAAGGCCTTCTCACCCAACCGTTCATTAGGGGTTGCAAATGGCATATTCGGGACACAATTAAATATTATTGCAATTCTTAACATATTGCAATACAGCAAGTATTGTGATTGAACTCTTTGATTGATTTCGATACATGTCCCTAAGGTTATTCAAAGGCATAACAATTACTGAGGAAATGGTCTACACATTAACTATAGTGCAAAAACTCATTGTGTAGAAGCGGTTGTGATAAAGCCATTTTTCTTTGAACTTTTTGTTAAAAGAATGCACAAAAACAAAGCATCAACAAGCGCCACCTTGTGGATGTAAAGTGCACATTTAAATGACCAGAATAAACTCAGAGAAAACACTCAAGTGAAAAAGATCATCAGAAATCATTTTATTAATATTGCAATACTTTGCTGTATTGTATCCATTGATAGGCCTGTCACGATAACAAATTTTGCTGGACGATTAATTGTCTCAGAAATTATTGCGATAAGCGATTATATTGTCGTTCTGAGATCATTTGCATCGATTACAATGATAATGCAGGTACACCTTTTCAAAGAGAAATAAACTTTTATTTTTAACGAATATTTAACGCTAGAACACAATAAATTTACCAAAAACAATAAATAAAATAGACTCAGTCTCTTAACAAAAAATGACCAGGAATAAAACTGCCAGGACCTTTTGTAAAGAAAATATGAAACAGATGCCTCAAATGTCAATAATTTCTCAGACTTTATGGCAGATTACGAGAAAGAAATACCAACATGTTGACTTTGTGTGGCTTAAGACAGGATCTCTCAGGAGTAGTCCCACCTCCCCACACACCAGGCGAATGACAAGTGACTGACATGTGGGTTTACCAATGGGGCGTACAGAAGTCCTGCAGCGGTAGCGCCCACCGGAAGTAGCGGGGCGGGCTTTGATGCTAACAGCTAAGCTAGCGGGTTTTTTGTGTAAAGTTCTACTCCAAGAATGCAAGTCTGCAGCATCTCTGTGTTCAGAGACCTTCTAGAGACTTTATATAACAGCAGTATGTGTTCACGGAGGTGCGCCATAAGTTTATTTTATTGGTATGGTATGGTACTTCTGCATCGGCGAACACGCTAACGCTAGCTGCGCTAGTATAGTCACTAATCAAGCCTGAATGAGAACTCAGCTGCCGGCATATGTTCACAACTACTGTGTCCCCCATTGTCAATCCTGGTTAAGTCCTGGTTTAGGTCCTGTTTTGGCTGTATTTTGTATTTTTGAGTAATTTCCGTCTGCTTGCTAGACCGCTAGTGTTCCCGTGACCACTTTGCGGCTCTCTGACCCGAGAGAGACGGGGGAAACAAACAAGCATGCAAATGAGATTTATCGCGGCCAGAAAAGTTATTGAGCAAATTTTATTTATCGTGCGATTAATTGATTTATTGACTATCGCGACAGGCCTATCCATTGATCAATTAATTTGTTCCCCCCATCACTACCTTTAGGCTAGTCTTAGTTCCCCAATCACCATCACATGACACACATTAAGTGAATTAAAAACAGGTAAAAAGTCAAATGAGATCAACATTTAAAGACTTGGATTATGAGCATAAGAACGTGTTGGCCTCTGCTAACTGAACCGTTTCTTTTCCTCAGGCACTTTTTCATGGGAAGTTCATTGACACTGGTTTCTCGTTGCCTTTTTACAAACGAATGCTCAACAAAAAACTCATCCTCAAAGACCTGGAGTCCATCGACCCGGAATTCTACAACTCCCTCATCTGGATCAGGTAACGTTCTGTCGTCAAAACAACAGGAACAAAATGGATAATTACAAATAGTTTGGAAAACTCAAGTCATCAAATGCTACATAATCCACAGTGATGGGTCTATCAGTGCAGTTCATTATTTAACTTCAACATTTTACAACTTAATTAGTGGCCAGAGGGATTTAGTGTCCCAAACATGTGGAAGGATTAAGAAAGAATTCTGCGGTTACTAATACATTTCTTCCTGTTTGTACTTGGCATTTATGAGGTAGATCTTTATTGTCATTTTGTCGGTTTATACTTCAGGTAAGTTTCCATTTTTATGATCAATTTATATGTATTGAGAAAGAGTCTCACTTTGGTCCGAGGATTGTCTGGATCAGCTTTTTGAATTAAAATAATATTGTTTTTATAATATTTTGTTTAACACTAGGACTCCCGCAGCAGTCCATTTTCCGGCTCTTAGTTTTGGAACTGTTTCTAAATGTAGTTTATTTAAATTTCATTATCCTTTTGACCCTGGACTGGTCCTGGACTGGTTCAGACCAATCTTAGCACGGAGCAAGCGCTAGTCACCATAGCAAGATCCAGTTTACCTACAGCCATTAGTATTTTACTTTGCTGTATTTCATTTGTATTAACCAGTTTTAGCAGATATTACTGCAATAATTACTTATTTTTATGGAAGTAGTAAAAAACTAAAACTGTCTTAGTGTCTTTTGGGATTGTTTTCAAAATTCCATTAATTTGAAAAGGAGTTGACAATAACAGCTTGAGGTTTCCAAGGGCTAAAACTCGCTCTTGTCTTTTAGCCCAAAATTGTCTGTAATTGTCAGTAGTGCAAATGGAGGAAGGTCATTTGAATAAGTCGCTTACGGAGACACTCAAATCCCACTATTTACGCTAGTTTTATTGTTTGTGTTCAGTACATTTTGTAATAGTTGTGCCAGAAGCTCAAAGTATTGTTTGAAAGGTCACTCACAGACTAGAAACCTTCTTGGAGTTTTTCACAGAGAAATAGAGAGTTTACATTTTAGTTGTGGTCTTAAACTATCACTTTAATTCCACAAATCCATTTTTTATCTGAGCAAGGCCAGAGATCCAGAGAAGGCAATAGGCCAGGCAGATGTGCTGTTTGAAAACTTTTGAATTTGAGTGTTTTTGTCCATTAGATTTTATAAATGCATTCTTGACCGGAAAAAGGCATCTTCCATTTTACTGGAGAGGTACTTCCTCGAGTGGAGGAGTTCAAGTATCTCAAGGTCTGTTCACAAGTGAGGGAAGGACAGAGCGTGCACAGTGATGCGGCCGTTGGTAAAGGCAAAGCTCTCGATTTACCGGTCACTCTACGTTCCCTCCCTCACCTTTGGTCATCTGCTTTGGGTGACCAAAAGAACTAGATTGTGGATACAATCGGTGCACGTGAGCTTCCTCTGCAGAGTGGCTGGGCGCTCCCTTAGAGATAAAGGGAGGAGCTCAGTCACGCGAGAGGAGCTCGGAGTAGAGCCGCTGCTTCTCCACGTCGAGAAAAACCAGTTGAGGTGGCTCGGGCAACTCTTTTGGATGCCTCCTGCCCTGGGGAGATGTTCATGGCATTTCCCACGGGTTGAAGGCCTAGGAGAAGATGCAGAAGACACTAGAGGGACTATGCCTCTCAGGTGGTTTGGGAACACCTCGGGAATCCCTCAGATGAGCTGGAGGAGGTGTGTGTGGAGAGGGAAGTTCACATTGTTTTTAAGGCTCTTTTTGTTTTTCTTATGAATTCATTATGTGTGGATGCTCCCTGCTGAGTTCAAATGTTGTGTCTAATGGCTTCTAGATAGAAAACGTTGTTTATGAAAATATGAAATGTTTTCCTCAGAGACAACAACATTGAGGAGTGTGGGCTGGAAATGTACTTCTCTGTGGACATGGAAATTCTGGGGAAAATCACATCCCACGACCTCAAACCTGACGGAGCCAACATCCTGGTGACTGAAGAGAATAAGGAAGAGTATATCAGGTACCCCTGTCCAAACAAAGAACACCCACACCATAAAATACCTCCTTCTGTGTGCTTTAGAACTGATGTATTCAAAGAAAACAGGCCTGATGGACAGCAGCCGTGCCAAAAGTAACATTACTGTGTATTAAGCACAGTTAACATATCAATTGAGTTGTAAGAACAATATTGGACACCTGCTGCATACATTTTCAACGCGTTTTTTTTGGTGGAAAAAGATGGGGATAAAGTGCTCGCACATAGACAGACTATGTTTATAGACGTGACTTGAAAGTGATCTTAATTTTTACACCGGTTAAAAAGGCAGCGGCTGCACACTTCTCAGAACAAGAGGATGTAGCACCTGCTCCAGTGGAAAGTAGAAGCATGTGGTAACTTCTTTGTTTTCATGTCGCCAGTGTAAATGGGGCATGAGTACCCCCTTTCTTTGTACCCCAGGGCTCACGCTCATGCATCGTGTCCAGAGCCACAATTGTTTTAGGGGTTTTACGGTTTCAGTGGTCCCTCAATAGAATGTGATTCACGTGTTCATACTTTTTCACAGTCTCAAACACCACAGGTTCCTGATTGGACGCAATTAATTCAAATTCTTGATAGAAAACTAAGGTCTAACTATTCACTTCCAGCAAATTTCTGTTTACTTATTCCAACAGGAGGGACTCTTATTATGAATTATGCCCATTTACATACATTTCTATTGACTTTTCCCTGTGCTCTTAAACGCATAAAAGTCCCATGTCTCACAAGGATCCATGCACCTACTTCTCCAAACTATCGGGTATTTCACATCTTAAACACAACACACTGGTTTTGAGTCTTTGTCAATTAAATGAAATTGGAGGAGGTGGAGAGTTCGGTTTTCGCTAGTGCTTTGTAAACTCACTAATGATGGGATTTCAAGTACCAAGCGCTATATACTGTATGATGATGATCCCTGGTGTCGTAACATTAATATGGGCCTGCAGCAGAATGGAGAAGGTGGAGGGAGTTCGCTGATGTATACATTTGTACAAAAGCACACTGTCACAGATACAGAATTTCCGTTGACTTTTCTGATACAATGAAATTTTAACAGCTTTTGACATGCCTTCTGTTTTTGCTGACTAAAGACATTGAATAAAAGATCATTTTAACTTAGATTCTTCAACGGATAGTCCAAATAGCATTAGATCAAAGAAACAAGGATTGTTTAGTTGAGCAAGAATTTCTTTCATCGCTTTCATCCCTATTGAATGTTATGACTTGTCTAAAGAAGTTGGCGCAAATACAAACTATGAAGTGGCTCCAAGGTCATATTTTTCCATATTTTTCTTTCAATGTATTCTTTATTACGAAGTACCTGGGATTTAGTTTCATGAAATATTATAAAACACTATTATTTGGCACAGACTTAAGGCAGAATCACATATGTCTTGCATATCTTAGAAATTATTCTTTAAAACAAACTAAACCTTGAAAACCGATGCCATAAACACCTTTGCTCATCTCACTTGAATGAGGATAATTTTGGCCCCTTGTATCTGATTTTTTTCGGGACCAAAGCATAGAACATAGGAGCAGACGAACCCAGTATTGACGTCACCCATATTGTTTGCCTAATGTGGAAGCATCAGATTAGAGCTAACTAACTCATCTAGAATCTGGTGGCAAATGGCACAGGTAGCAACGGCCTAGCAACCAAAGAGCCCGCTCACAAGCTAAAGCCAAATTTGGAGACAGAAGGCACCTGATTGGTCAGTTGATTGCGCTTATATCAGGATGTACCAACCACTGTCATAGATCCTGATATAAGCTTCCATAAACCATAAAAGAAGTCTATATCCAACTAAACCAAGGCTTAAAATGATATAAACTCCAGGATCAGACGGAGCTTTAAGCCACATATTTATAAGCCCAAAATGGTGAGTGTGAGACAAACCGTTGCTGTCCAATGTAAGTGAAGAAGATGGAGCTAGCATTGTCCTTCTGTTTACAGTCTATGTGCCAAAGTGAACACATCTTTCTCTATATTCGGACATTTGACAATACATGTAAGCATTTGTGTTTTGTTTCTGCAGCTTGATGGCAGAGTGGAGGTTTTCTCGCGGCGTGGAGGGACAGACTAAAGCCTTTTTAGACGGTTTCAACGAAGTGGTTCCTCTGCAGTGGCTTCAGTACTTTGACGAGAAAGAGCTGGAGGTGAGTGGAAATGTTTTGGTAATTCAAAGTCTGTTATTTTCCCGACACAATTACAGTTCTCGGAAGGCTGCAGAAGACCTTAACTAAAAACAAGACTTATTTTGAGCAATTGTGTATAAGCATGTCAGAAAATATCATATTGGGATTGCATCAAGCATAACAACTGATGACTCTGACTACTACTACTTCTACTAATTTACGTGTGTGTGTGTGTGTGTGTGTGTTAGGTGATGCTGTGTGGGATGCAGGAGGTGGATCTTCAGGACTGGCAGAGAAACACTGTGTATCGACATTACACCAGGAACAGCAAACAGATCATATGGTTCTGGCAGGTACTGGACAAAACCATCTCTTCTTCACTGAGTATGTTGGCATGGTACGAGTGGGCACGGGAGAGCTCGCCTCATCCAATTTAATTAGATTGACCAAGACAATAAAAGTCTATTTGGCGTCAATGGATCCAACACTGCGTCTTGAGGGAACTGAAATTAGTACATCAGCGCTTAATTCTACCTTGGTCTGTGAAATGCGCTATATAAATAAAGATTAGGTTTATGAGGAAACCCAAAAGCTCAATGCCAATCTCTGGTGAGTGGCATTGTGCTCACGGTTTGAACAGAATTACACAAGTCATGTTTACTGGAGCAGAGTGGTCAGACCGGTTTGAAAGCAACACCAAATGGAGCCCATTTTCATTTGGAATTATTGTACAATAGTTAATCATTACTAAACACTGTAAAGAATCATACAGATATATATTCAGTTATTGTTTGTGTTGTTGTGCAGTTGGTGAAAGAAGTGGACAATGAGGTTCGTCTGCGGCTGATGCAGTTCGTCACAGGGACCTGCAGGTTACCGCTCGGAGGCTTCGCTGAACTCATGGGTGAGAAAACCACCGCTGCAGACTCTCTACAGACTTTTTATTGTTATTGTGTTCATCTTTTTCCTGTATATGTTTGCAGGAAGTAACGGGCCTCAGAAATTCTGCATTGAGAAAGTGGGGAAAGACACGTGGCTTCCCAGGAGCCACACCTGGTGAGGACCTTTTCTTCCGATAGAAAAGACAGTAAACCTTTTAAAGACTGTTTGAATTCAGTCTTCCATGTTCTGGGGAAGTACAAGAACAAAACTAAAGACCTTATGTAGATCTTGGCTGAAGCTGGTAAGAATGTGTCAAGAAGAAGCCATTACTCAATTATTATACTTACAGAAGCGCTCAAGTTTAGGAAGCAACAAGGCAGGGCTGAAATGAATTTCTCCAACAATGGCAATCCGTCAGATAGAGCCCTATGTCCTCGATCCAGAATCGGACCATAATTATTTAGTTTACAGTGGTATACAGCGAGTTAGTAGCACTGTTTGTACAGACGGGCGTTAGCGTCTTGGTGTTATTCCCACAAAAACCCTAACCCTATGTTTGAAGATCAGCTTTTGAGCAAGTCCAGATCCCTGTGAATTGAAAGTCCAGCTACATGCACCAATTTCTTCATCTTCCCAAATTTACACCAAAAACGCACATTCTCCATGTCACATGATGCCAACACTTTTAGTCGCTGACCATAGCAGAAAACAATATAAAAGTGAAAACGGACTGTGGTAGACACTGGGTCACTGGGACAGACTGCGCACTAATTCGCCTCCTGGAGGCGGGGCTTCTGGAGCTTGTACCACATCACAAAATGAATCGATTTCGGTGCCTCTCAAGAATGAAAGGGAAAGATCGATCTCTAACTAAAGCTTGTAGGAATCAATGAAAAAAACTGTATGTAGGCCACATAGAAAATAAAAAAGCGTAATAAGGGACGGTTAGAGAATGCTCAAAGTATGGCCTTTAAAGCACAAATTGGTTATAATTATTGTTCTTAGATACTATTGATTTTGTGAATGAGCCTTTGATTCATTGGTGTAAATCACAAGACCAGATTCATTGCTGTAAAAATCACTTGAAGTCCTTCTGACATCCTCTGGTATTGTTTTCCCAGTTTTAATCGCCTGGACTTGCCGCCGTATAAAAGCTACGAGCAGCTGAAGGAGAAGCTTCTTTTCGCCATTGAGGAAACGGAGGGATTCGGCCAAGAGTGAAACGCCGCCTTCCCCCCATCCAGCCTCAACTCGGAAAAAAAAAAACTAAAACTAAAAATTGCACAAATTTAATCACCAATGTATATAAGCTATTTTCTCATTTTTAAAACCAAAATCTTAATTTGCAGCATTGATTTCTGCCGCATTTTCTTTTTAACAAAAAAAAAATAAATCTATACTTGGATTTTACCATTTTATCTTCATGAAATATGCAAGCATCAGCATTATACAGGTTTGTAAGGTGCGCCCCACTGGCTGGCTTTTTAACAGACCGATAAGAAGGAGATTTTGTGAAGAAATCTTGGTTTATGGCTCTAGTTCTATAGGGCGACCTAAAGGTGAGTGGATGCGATTTTAAGTTTGTGCCTAAAAATGTCCTTCATTCATTGTGCTTGCATGGCTGCCTATAAAAAGACTGTTTTGAACACATTTCTCATTTTTAATTAGGACAAATCCACCGTTTTGTTGTTTTTGTATTTGTTTTTTTTTTATGGACTTGACGCGACGCAAGATCCCTTTACCGGAAGACTGGAGCGACTTCTGTCAGTCTTAAAGCCATTTTAAAAACAACTAAACAAAGTGATAAATAGTCTTTTTTTTTTTCGCCGCCGATGCAAATGAAGTAGTATTTTTGAATGAGACACAGAAACTTAGAGATTACACAGATTAAATGCAAAACCGTATTAAAAGAGCTTGATGCAAAGTAGTAAGGAGTACATTATGACTGCTTTAAAACAAATTTGGCAATAGTGCACGCATATACAGTTCCTCTCGAAAGTACTGGTACAACTTGGACTGGTTTGGTCATGTTTACGATGTTTACAACCATAAACAAAGCGGGAGACACTGTGGAACTCTGTGGTCCAAATGCAAAATGTTATGTACGGCTCAAAACAAAACCCGCTCATCTCCCTCAGTGCAACATCCCCAGAGTCAAATATGGGGGTGGTAGCATCATGTTGTGGGGATGCTTTTCTCCAGCAGCAACAGAGAAGCGAAATTACAGGACATCTTTGGAAGAAAAGCTGCTTTAGTTTTCGATTTTTTAACAATATCTGTGTGGGAACTTTCAGTACAAACATCTAGATAAAATATTTAATGTTTTTGGTTGTAAATATGACAAAAGATGCAAAAGTTCAAGGCGTAGCTTTCGAGACGCACTGTATTGTCGAAAGAAAAGGTTCTGTTGTCATGGCGTGTTTCACATACTCGCATCAAGATCCAACTGTTCAAGCTGATATTAAGTTATTTTTTTACCATGAAGAGTTAGAGTTCGCAGATTCTACGGATAGTTGTTTGTGGCGAGTTCTGCTACGAAGCTGTCAGTGCAATTATAGAATTCATACGTGGATTTTAAGTCTAATGTTGACTGGTTATTTCTGGTTTTAAATCTGGCATTTTGTTACCATCGTGGCATATTATATTAGAATTTAAAAATGGACTTTGAACTAGTGCGGTCTCATCCCAGTCCGATACCAGAGCAAAAGCTGAAATTGATTATTATACTTACCATTCAGAAATCTACCTCAGAATAAATCTATATTTTAAAGACATACAACTTTCTGGTCACTCTTAACCCTTTTATTTTCACTCCTTGAAGAAAGAAAAAATATATATCAACATTGCTAAGATTTTTTTATTTTTGTAACCTCTAGTTTTTTTAATCACAGGATCTTTATCAAATGGTAGAGACGCAGTTTAATGGTAAAAATACCCAAAACCAAGTGATAGACACAACAATGAGGTAGATTTCAGTTCCACGCTTCAATAAGATCTAGTGACTCACAAAGAATCCACCAAATGTTTGAGGAAACCATTCAAGGGTTAAACAGACTTCAATTCAGATTATTGTGGCTCTTGCGTCTCAAATGGAAGAAAATAGTTTGTATGCCTCCTGAAATCTCTTTCAATTCAATTCTAGATTTAGGTTCTTTGTCGTCATGATTCCAGACGGTGTTTTAAAGAAAGGCATTTATTTATTATTATATTTATTTATTTCATCACGTGACCACTAAAATATCCTTTTTCTTCGCTAAACGCCAGTGTTATCATTCCAGCCACAAAGCTCACAGAGGTCTCAATAAGTTCAATTTCATTCTTTCATTTTTTTAATTATTCACAGAAAAATCAATAAAGAAAACTTCATAGTTTGAAAAGAGATTGGATGAATTAGTATTTCTTCTTTAAGATGAAGAAATCGTTATTCTTCCCACAAAAGGGGAAATGTCAGTGTTGCATCACAAACTACAGAACAGTAGGAATGAGGAAAACACAGCACAAGATGAATTGATAATAACTCTGTACTAAAATAGAATACAATCTCTAACTCTAGCATAAAAAGAGGCATAATGATAAAGAATAAGTCTCTTTGTCTGTAATCGCACTGGCAGCTTCTACACGGCCACATTCCTGCTCAATAAATGCTGTTTTTATCCTCAAATCCATATCATAAAAGCATAAAAACCGAATAGAGAGTGACTAAGTTGTGGATCAATCGTCGGACAGCCAGCTTCGCACTCCCCCTTCCCCTTCAGAATTGCATGTATCTATCGGTGGCAAAATAAAAAGTAGATATAGATTTCTTTGAGGCCAATGGGGTTACGGGAAAAGATGAAGCCACTTTGTCTTTTAAAGTCGTAGTATGTTAATTTAGGAAGTGAAAAATACTCCTTTGAATCTATGCAGTGGCTCTGTGATCGTTCACGCCATTTTTACACCGGCGCCACTTTTCATCGACATCTTTTTAGTTTTAATCGATCAGAATAAACGGATGATTACAATTGGTCACACATGTAGAAAAAATAATAGCTTCTTTTAAACAGTTGTAGTGGAGGATTGCTGTCATTATTTATCTTTATGTTTTTACAACTTTTTGACCATTTTCAGACTTGCAAATAGCATTTATTTTTAGCTTGGTTTATGAATTTGATTTGGAAGGACATTTATATTAGTAATGATAGCAACAAGTATCCTGACAAGCCCGATACTTGGCTCCCAGACAAATCTTGGTAAAACATTCTTTCAATGGATGTTTAATAATGTTTGAAGTTTTGAATGATTTAAAGGAGCAGTAAGTAAAAATCTGGACAAAAGTGGTACTGCAGCCTCTCCCACTCTCCCTGACTCAGGTTGCCAGATATGCAGACGAATCCAGCTGGGACCATAACAGCTGAATAGACTAGAGTTTTGTCAACAACAAATCTTTAACCAACACCTTTTTCACAAAGATAGAAATCCTGGTTTTATTCCTTGTTTTGTCGTTAATGATTTGAGAATCAGAAGACCTTTTTTTAGTTCTGCGCCACATGGTACTTTACCAGTGAGATTAGCTCGACGCTGTGTCATGGACTTTCTGATTGGTAAAACGGTGGAGGGCGGGACATTAAAATGAAAAGAACAAGATTTAGGGACTCAAAAAATAATTTTGAAATCCAAATATCTCTGAACTATTGTTATCAGTTAAAGACGTATTGAAAAAGAGCATGTTTTATTAACGCCTTTTGACAGATTAGGGCCAATTAATGACAAATTGACATGAAAATCTTACATATTGCTTCTTTAAAGACCAGGAATCTTTGTTTGAATATTTTTGCACAAACAGGATTCAAAATGGTTAATATGATCTGGGTCTGGTTCAGGCCAAGATGTTTTTAATGCAGTAGAAACTTGAAACAAAAAGACATTTTGTTGCCTTGTTTACTTGCACCATCCAAGCTGCTATGCAAACATTTCTTTTTGTGACACATTTTTCATCATATTCAAACCAATTTAAGACTTTTACAGCAATCCTTACACAACAACCAGATTGAAATGTCTAAAAGAAGCTATTTCCATGACGCTAATCTCACAATGCTATTCAAAACACAGGCCTTCGAGCTAGTTTTTCCAATTGTTTTCTATTGTAGTAATTTGTCCAATTTTAAAGAATGTTCTCACTTTGGTGCTTTACTTTAATTTCAGTGTTTTTTTTTTTCATATTTCCAGACCACTTCAAGGTCATAACTGCAGCGATTTGCTTTTTTGTAAATATATATTGTGATAATAATGACAAGATTGAAATCAATGGAGAGAGCACTGTAGCAAAAGGGAGGCCACTGCGGACGAGATGAAATCGCGCTTCCTTTCTGGGTCAAATCAACGGTGTCTGTGAATATTAAATGTATAAAAAAATATTATTAATTATGACCGAAAACGCCGCTCCATTGATGGGAAATCTGTGATGCCTTTGTTTTTATCAAATCAACAGAAGTGGTCGGGTCTGCAGCCGTCCTGGGTGACAATACCTGGTTTTTGAACTTGTGTCCAGAGAGATTATTGCACGTTGATTTTATGGATCAAAGTGTTAATTTCCGTCGATCTTTTTCATTTTGCCTTACTGTTTGTACGTCTCCATTTCACTGCAAAAATATGATAGGTTTGAATCTGTATTACAGGTTTTTCCCATGTTTTTTTCCTATAGACGAGAAAGCAGGATTCAGTGCAATACGTGCAATAATCACTGTACAGTATTGCACATTTATTTTTTTAGCATTTTAAAACATATGAAATTAACTTTTTTCACAGCTCTTGCCCATAATGCCACCATTTTTTCACCCTCATCGTTCACTAATGATTGTCTTGCTGATGATTCGCCTGTATTGCGCAGGTATTTTAGCTCGAGAGGGGGAAAAAGTTTGACGATTGCTAACTTTATATGGCTTGAGCTGTTCAACAATATATATACACAAGCCAGAGAGTAAACGTTTGCATTTACTATTAGAATACTTATGGTTGCAAGAATATATTTTTGTATATCTCAAGAATAGCAGACAAAACCACCACGTTTAAGTCTTAAATTAATGTCTATGGGAAAAATAAACGAGAGAAATACACTGTAATATTAATATAAGTATAATATATATATAATATAGGTAGCAGAGTGAAAAACTGCCTTTCTGCGCCTATTGGCATCGATTTATCACTAAATATGATGGCGTTCAAGCAAAAATGATAAAAAATTCAACATAATGACATTACTATAAGTGTTCAGTGTTTATTTTCGACCAATCCTGGATGTTTTTCATAAAGGCCTGTTTCTTTTTCGATTCATGCCTAAAAATGGTTGAAAAAGAGCAGTATTCGACCAGGACCGCTGCAGAGTCTCGAAATGCTTCTATTTGTAACATATCGCTGTAGATACACACTGTACAGGGCGCCCCCTACTGCTGACGATGTGTATAGACTCATTTTTAATCTGCTTTTGCCCATTTCAAATAAAGAGAGATGGATTTATGAAATACCAATAAAAAATATGGAGAAAATCTTTTGGAATTTTTTTGCCTTTGTGTGTATTAATTTATATGGGACATTTGTTTTTGTATGACCAGGTTTGTGTGGTATTAAGTTCAGCAACAGTAGTAGTTGTAGTATACATTCTCAACTTTATTCAATTGATCAGAAAACAATAATTACTATTTTACTCAGCAACTTAGTCGTTTCCCATATTAAAGACAAATGGCAATAATATAGAGCTTTTTTGGACACTCAAAGATGCTTCAGTATTATTTATTTACTCCATACACAGTGGTGATAAACGACTAATGAAGCCACAGCTGCCCTTGGACACACAAAGTAGCGAGGCAACCTGTCTGTGCCATCGGCCCCTCCCACACACACACACAACTCATTCTAAGTGTTTTGCTGAAGAAAACGGATAAAAGCAAAACTAAAAAGGTCTTTTTCTTTAGGTTGTCGTCAGAAAAACTACTGTAGGTTCATTAACGGTTTGATTCTCTGATCTGTGTCGGCGAATCAACAGCTTTTTTAAGTCTTCTGAGGTAACTACTGTTGTGATTCAGGGTTTTACAAGATGAAAAGCCGCTTTAGCTCAACGTGTTAAAACTGAGTTCTGTTTAATCGTCCATAACGTTTTTCACACAACTTTCAGGTAATTCAATTAAATATGTATTTCTATGTGGAAAATGATGTTCCTCATAATTACTTTTGAAATGAAACAGTGGGCTATATGGTGGATTTGAATATATATATATATAAAAATATTTTACAGATAAAACAATTGCACAAAAACAGATTTGTAATGAGTTGAATAATTTTGTATTTTTTCCAGTTTAATTCTCCCAAAAAAATAAAGTGATGTCCTACTGAAACATGGATTTAAAGCTATGTTTCTAATTCAAGTATTTTCAAAATGACAGAGACAAACGATCACAATCTATATTCATTCACTCCAAGTAAAATGTCTTATTCCGAAGTCTTAAAAATGCCCAGTTCCAGTTCAGGTCCATGAAGGCACCGTGATGCGTTTAAGGACCTCGTCAGCCCAGAGTCTTGAGCAGATCTATGGCCTCTTTCTGAACCTGCATAAACAGAATTCATTTTAGAATCAACATGACACAAAGAAATGGGGCAGATTAAAATATATTCTGATAAAAATATATATATTATTGAAGCTAATTTTAAGCAATAATAAAATCTATAAAACTACTTCCTCGCTCTCAAAACAGTTGGGCTAGTTTTTAGATTCATGTATTCTGATCAATATCAATATTAACTCTTGCACAACTCATTACTTTGAAATAGAAAACAATCTTTGCTTAATAAAGAAACAAAGTGTAAAAAAGTATTTGTTTATAAAATATAGACCTCTATACTCGAGTACAAGGAAATAAAAACCTGTGTAGATACATCTGTAACAAAAGCAGTAGGTCATGGCTCTAGGTTCATATATTCACCAATTTCACTAAACTACACCTGGTTTCGACCGCTTCACCGTCTCATGGGGCGATTACTTTTGACGATTGCACCGTTTTGTACTTTCTGAGGTACTCACAAAAATACAAGTACTTTTTCCCATTGACTTCCATTGGTCCCCTTTCATCAGATTTGTACTTTTACCCCAGTTTTGGAGAACGAGATCCCTGCCTCTGTCCACAGTAACATGTATTGTGTTGTGTATTGTGTGTGTTGTGTTGTGTGTCACCTGTTTGTCCTCGTGTGTGAGCGGGGGATAGGCTTTAGCTTTTTCCAGCCACACTTTAGCGTTGATCTTATCTTTGATCTTCAGGTACGTCTGTCCGAGCATGAGCAAGTTTTTACTGAAGAAGTTTGGATCCACTGCAACGACAGTCAGAAACTCAGCATGAGACGAGGGTTCTCAAACTGGGGCGCCTAAACCTCCTTTTGAGCCAGTTGCAGTTCAAATGAAAAGCTTGCTCTTTGTCACTTGATAAAAGGTGAATGTGGAAATCAAATTTTCGACAATACAGCCCCACTGTGGCGCATGCTGCTCCCAGAGGTCTCCCATCACAGGCGCTGCCCTGCTTAGCTCCAGATGTCTAACAGGATATGTCTTTCACCTGCAGGGGGCGCCATTTTTAATTCATAATTTAAAAACATTCTAAATGATTGGATTCATGAAAACTATCACTCTTGGCCCCTCCCCCAAGGCTCCGCCCCCTTTGAACAGATGTAAACAAAATTAATGTTTTTTTTATGGGGAAAAGAGGAACACAATCATGGACTACTTTGAGAATATTAAAGTGGATTTGTTCAGTAAAATTACAATATATTGGTAATATTTGGTTCAAGGCAATCGTCCAATCAGATTTGAATTCTTTACCTTCTTCTGCTTTCAAGAAATGTTCCAAAGCCTGAAAAAGATACAAAAGAAGAGCGTTAAAGCAGACACAGAAGGAGTAGAAACCTGAGGACGTTGACCTGGGATGACGGTGGGAAAGGTTAGCGTGTTGTCTGGACCCGTGTCACACTTTCACCGCGGGGGAACAGAGGAACACGTCAAAACCAAAAGGGTCAAAAACTCCTTACATTAGATTGCTGCAACCCCCACCCCGACCCAGAAATGTGCCGGGGTCGGTCAGTGTGCCCCAGGGCAGCTGTGGCTACAGTAGTAGTTTATGACCACTGTGTATGGACTGAAAGAAACGACGTGAAGCGTCTTTGAGTTTCCTGAAAAGCGCTGTATAAAACCAATGCAGCATTATTAGTATTATTACTATAGAAATGTATCTATTAAAGGGGACAAAAATGAATGAATGAGTCGACACAGGTCCAAACAACTCGCCAACCTTTCCCGCTGTTGTCCCCGGTCAACACAGCGTTTCCGTTGGTTTCTTTGAGCTCATATTCTCAACATAAATCATCTTTTCTGAGTGGAGCCTGCTGCGTAACTGTGAGAATGTTTGTAACGACAGACTTTACTAATAAGTGTCCTCAGATCTCGGCGGCCATGTTTTTTATTTGATCCTTCAGAGCGGAGGGAAAATTAAAAATGAGGAAACTTTCGGAGTATTCCAAAGACGAACGAAGGGACTGACCTCTTCGAACGTGGCGGTGGGCGGGGTGGCAAATATCACAGCCGCCATTTTGCGCTGATACCAGGGCAGATCTGCGAAAACGAAACACCTGCAGACACCAGAGTGATGCAGAGAACCCAAAGCAAGTTTATTAGTATCGCACAATTCATACACAAGGCACCCACAAAGCGCAAAACACCCAAAGATATGAATGTACTTTTTATATTTGCGCTTGGTAACCTTATATGGGGTGAATATTAGGATTTCTACAATTACGTCATTTTCAAGCGGCTTATTTTTCTTAAAAGTAGTGTTTCTTCTCTTTTCCATCAATAAATCATCCTCAAATCATCAAGAATATTATTTCTCCTGTGGTTAATCCTGTGAAAGAATGGACACGCTAAAATATGCTTTGACTTTGAAATATTTGTCTCGTTATTTACAAGCAGTCCTATGTTTTTGGCGTTCTTGTCTAAAGCCCTCTGTGAATGATGTGTTTAGTCCTGACTCTGGGACCAGCAGGAGTCCAGTCCCTGTGCTCCTCAGAGTCCCAGCAGGAGTCCAGTCCCTGTGCTCCTCAGAGTCCCAGCAGGAGGACAGTCCCTGTGCTCCTCAGAGTCCCAGCAGGAGGCCAGTCCCTGTGCTCCAGAGTCCCAGCAGGAGGCCAGTCCCTGTGCTCCTCAGAGTCCCAGCAGGAGGCCAGTCCCTGTGCTCCTCAGAGTCCCAGCAGGAGGACAGTCCCTGTGCTCCTCAGAGTCCCAGCAGGAGGACAGTCCCTGTGCTCCTCAGAGTCCCAGCAGGAGGACAGTCCCTGTGCTCCTCAGAGTCCCAGCAGGAGGCCAGTCCCTGTGCTCCTCAGAGTCCCAGCAGGAGGCCAGTCCCTGTGCTCCTCAGAGTCCCAGCAGGAGGCCAGTCCCTGTGCTCCTCAGAGCCCCAGCAGGAGGCCAGTCCCTGTGCTCCTCAGAGTCCCAGCAGGAGGCCAGTCCCTGTGCTCCCCAGAGTCGCAGCAGGAGGCCAGTCCCTGTGCTCCTCAGAGTCAGAGTTGGTTCTTACAGCACTAACATGTCACAGATGTACTTTGAGGCCATGGAGAGACTTGTAACAATTGGTCTTAAAGTTTTAAAGTCTATTCTCTGAGCCACAGGAGCCAGTGCAGAGACCTGAGAACCATCCTGCTTCTCTCAGTCTTCCTGAAAACGTGAGACAGACTTCTTCTCTGACAATGTTCAAATCCAGGTCAAAAACTGTGCATAGACCTGAAGGACTGGATCTTCTCTGTTGAACGTCCTGTGATTATGACTGTGGTGTCTTGTTTCTTTCAGCACTTTTGAGTCGTCTTGTGGATGAACTGTGCTATACAGATAAACTTGCCGTGCTCACCAGTATCCCAGAATGTGCATTGAAGTGGCGTCTTTTGGATTCAACTCGATGGCTTTCTGAAAACAAAGTGAACAAAGGCATCATTTAGACTCTCATTTTGCTCGTGTTGGGGATAAGGTTCTAACTCAAAAACTAAAAATACTATCATAGATTAGAAAACAAATATTTAACACACAGACATATCGAAGAGATATTGTGGAAGATACTTTTTTTGGCAGATTGTTAAAACAACCAAATCGGCCTCAGATTTGATCTTTCTGCTGTGACTCCAGTGACAGAGCAGCCGATGAACTCCCACAAGATCAACATTAACACAAAATCAGGAAATTTAAAAAGGAATCATTTTTGAATAATAATCTACTTTAAATAACCCTTGAAAAATGTGTAACAGACGTGATTATTACTGTCAATTTCTTTCTGAAAATCTGACTTCAGGAAAAAACATGATGGTCTGGTTTCACATTTAATTGTTATACCATATGAGAGTTCTCACTTTGTTTCTACTCTGTGTAAAAAAAATAAGAATCTATAAATGAAATGTGTAACAAACTTCTGCAGCTTCAAAGGATCAGGTCTGTGACACGGATAAACACAGACACTTTGACCAATGAACTTCTGACAGACAGAAGAGGTGTTCGGAATATATTATTAGGCCCGAGCCCCAACCGGGGTAAGGGCCTATTGCTTTTCCAACGAGTAATGCCTGGGCGAAGCCCAGGCATTACTCGTTGAACTGTTTTAAGTCACAATCTCCGGGCGCAGCCCGGAGATTGTGACCTGCACGCGACGGCACGTGCCCAAGCACTGATAAATCCGTGCCGGAGGCACGGAATGGCTTTGTTCCTGCTGTAGTACACAGTGAAATGATTGAAGTCCTATTAAAGGGGGGTTCCTTCAACTGTTTTATGGACGAATGTCCGGGCGAAGCCCGGACATTCGTCCCCCAAGCCCGACGGCGCGTGCCCAGACACTGACAAAACAGTGCCGGAGGCACTGAATGGCTTTGCTCCTGCTGTAGTATACAGTGTAATGAATGGGGTCCTATGGGGGGGGTGGGTGACCTCATGATGGCGAGGTGATTGACGAGCGCGTCAGCGCTCGTCAATCACCGAGAACCCAATAGTTGCGTTCGTCTGGTCGTTCGCTTTAAAACGACGTATCATTTGTATTATAGGTTACTATGGAAACCTATATTGTTTTTGCTCGAAGTTTAAAAAAAAAAAATTCCTTCTTATTATTTCTTTCTTTCTTTCTTTCTTTCTTTCTTTCTTTCTTTCTTTTTTCTTCTGCGCTTTGAACCTTAATTTGACCCCCTGAACATTGATGAAAAGTTGTGAAATTTTGCCCAAAATTCAGAACCGGTGAAAAATAAATTTTTTTGGTGTTTATTTTTATGGGACAAAAAAAATGTCAGAATAGCGCCCCCTACAAAAGTCAGTTTACATTGCGCCTATGGGAGGGGGTCGAAGGTCAAGTTTGTCGTAGAGCCACGAAATTCGGTACACATGTTCCTCAGGTCAAGACATGAAAAAAAAGTTATTATGGCTCCGCCCCCTGACAAACAGGAAGCTCATTAATTTAATTGGAAAATGGAAAAATGAAAATTGATCTTTTTCACACATGTCGGCTGGAAATTATCTCCTCCTCGGCCGCTTCACCGATTTGTCTCAAAATCGCTCCACATGGTCTAAACCCATGTCCCATCTATTATTGAATATAGAATTTGGATCAGTTAAACGTTGTCCGAGCAGCGGAGCGGCAAAATGTGACATGTTTTTTCCAATTTTTGACAAAAGTAAATTTGCTCCCATTTGCACAAAAAAAGTCAGATTTGCACAAATTTTTTATCAATTGTTCAGCTCCAGGGTCTAGGTCATTGGAAAGTGGAAATATTGAAATTGGCTCATTAGCGCCCCCTACAGACTATGTAAAAGATTTACATGGGCCTAATAAAATTTAGTTTTTTCAAAATGTTTGAAATTTTTCACATAATTCTGTTTTGTCATCTGGATTCAAAAAGTCAATGACATCATATGGTTATTTTTTACCCTGTTGCCGTGGTGATGACCAACACTCCCCTGTCTGTGTCTATGAGAAAATCGTTAAATCTCTGAAAAGTACACCTCGCTCAAACATCAAACCAGCCTCGGCCCTTTCACTAATTTGGCTGAAAATTGCTCCACATGGTCTCCACACATGGACCATCAATAGTTGCATATAGAGTTTGAATTAGTCAAACGGTCTGCGCGTGACAGACTCCCAAAGTGTGGTTATTTTCATAGAGAGGTGTGAAAATCTCATGTTATCCAATGGAGACTGTATGGACACACTCACAGATTGTTTGAACAAACAGGAGCACATTTACAAGCTCTGATTTGCACTAAACTTGACTCGGTTGTTCAACTCCTGGGCCTAGGTCACATGACAGTGTGAACAATGACATTGGCCCATTATCGCCCCCTACAGGCTGAGTAAAGGTTTACATGGGGATACAGGCATTATGGTTTTATGTTGTTTGATCTCAAATTTGACCCACATAACAAACACAAAAACTCACCAAACTTTGCCACAAGCTTTTTTCAGGCATAAAGTGTATTATTTTGGTGTTCTTTGGTATAACACTACAACATTTAAAATGTAGGGGGCGCTATTTTACAACATAAATGCCACCATTTGCACATACAAAGTCCGATTTGCACAAAATTTGAATTGATTGTTCAGCTCTCGGGTTTGGGTAAACTGAAGGTGTGAATCATGATATTGCAACAATAGCGCCCCCTACAGACTGATAAAAGTGTTACATGGGGAGAAAGAGGTTTATCTATTCAGTAGAGACACAAAATCACTGCTCATTGGAACTCAAATGGCACAGTGTCGCTCCCATCAGGGCTCTAGGAAAATGGCGCGTCAGCGCCACCTCCTTTGCGCGGTGCGGCGAGGGCCGTTAGATGCCGCTTGCGGCTTTAATTATATTATTAAAATCCATTTTTCAGATCACCAGAAATATTAGAATCATGAATAGTCACAGTGCATAAAAAAGAGTAAAACAATGAATCTATAGAAGAGTGCGTTCACAGTAAAGTGTCAAGTGTCTGGACTTTAGAAAATTTTTTAATTACTATCACAGGTTGGAAAAAATATTGTAAACACAGACAGATCAAAGGAAAGATCGACAAATACATTTTAGTAAATCAGCCTCAGATTTGATCATTTTACTGTGACTCAGTTTCACAGAAAATAAAAGGTCCTCAGTCTGAAAAAGTGGCGGATGAACTTTACAAGATTAACACAAAATCAGGACATTATTTGATTATAAAAGGAATCATAAAAGAAAAAAAAAAATCAATAAAAATGTGTAACGTTTGTGATGGTTTCCGTAAAAACATTTCTAAAAATTAAACTTGGTTCCACTTTTAATTGGTTTAGTAAATGAAAGTAATCACTTTGTTTCTGTATTAAAAAAAAACATAAATATATAAATGTGAAAACCTGGAGATGGTCCCGAATGATGTAAGAGTTTCCCAGCTTGACTTTGACTCCTTCATAGTCTCCCATGTCGCTCAGACAGATGGCGTACCACTGAAACAACAACACTCGTTTAGAGTTAATGCTTCATCAGGATTCTCTTTGTCCCACTCGGGTCGAAGCGGGTCGAAGACTTCTGTCATCAATCACTTCACTTTGAACTTTCTGATTCATGAATAACACATGTTCTTTGTCCCAAAAGAAAAAGTCTTGTTAATAACATGTGACTGAATCAGACCACGACATCCCGACTGTGTCTCAGAAAGAAACCATGTTCATCTCTGTGCCTGTGTGAGGACGAGCCCTGGGAGTCACCTTTCGACTCTTTGGGCCGAGCTCCACTTTTTCACTTTTCTGTCTGAAAAATCTGATCTAAATATGACAGAGGCTGGAATCACACACACACGGTTAAACTAGTGATAGAAGCGACTGTAAGAGCCAGGAACCAGTTAACAGGATGTGAAAGCCAGATCCTGTCACCCCTCTGAAGCTAAGCAGGGCAGGGCCTGGTTAGTACTGTGATGGGAGATCTCTGGGAACACCAGGTGCGGCTGTAAAGTGCCAAACTGTGGTTGTGTCCTTAGGCAAGACACTTCACCTACAATAGAATGAGTCTGATGTGTGTGTGAATGGTTGGTGGTGGCGGTGGGAGGGGCAGATTGCACAGACTGGTTGCCTCGCTTCTGTCATTGTGCCCCAGGGCAGCTGTGCTTGCATGTGTAGTTTATCACCACCGTGTATGGAGTGAATGAATTATACCATTTGTTTGTTTTTGTCCAAAAGCACAATATAACATACATTATTATTATTATTATATGTTGTATGATATAGTTCCATGTTTAAAGTAAGGTACCGCAGCTTTAACCCGTCTCACTTTATGTGCAGCGTAACATTTGTCGTCTTTGGCCAGCGCTCGTTTGGCGACCTCGAACGCCTCGTACAGCAGCGTCTTCTTTCTGTCCGCTGACGTCTCTGGAAGAAGAGCCAGGTCCCGAGTCGCTCGAGCCAAACGCCACAGGAAGTCCACGTCCTCTCTGCGGGAAGGAAACACACATACATCTGTTACAAGATTAGATTCATATGGTCTGGACATGTTGGTCTCATGACTCTTGACAGACGCTGGTACCTGTCTTTCTGCTGCACCAGAAGTTGATAGAGTTTGTCCGTCTCTGCGCAGCTGTAGAGGTAATCGGCCTGCTCCAACAGCTCCACTGAGGAAAACAACACTTATTTTACAAAAAAAAAACAAAATACTCTAAACACGTGCTTCTTAAATGACTGGGAGCAACGGCTGATATGAAGGAAGCTCTTGTTTCACAGGGAGCCGTTTCTGTGTGGCGCCGCACTGACTGACTGAAGCTACATTTAAGATTCATGTTATTTCACACAGAATCTCCTCATTTGTTTTGATGACGAATGTTTAAGATGCATTTAAAGCTGGGGCACCAAACTTATGTAAATACTGCATTTGTTTTGTCATGGTGTGGGTTTTTTTGATTACTTTTACCTGGTTTTATTTTGATATTGGCTCTTTAAGCTTTGTCCTACCCTAATGTGTCTGTCTCTCCCGGTGCATATTTAGTTTGTGTATTGTCTCTAGCACGCTTGATCTTGTTTTGTTTTCAGTTCTACAATATTGTGTTTTTTGTTACTCTGGATTTGGATTCTATTAAATTGCATTTTAGGTCCTTCATTTTTTTTTTCATCACGCGATACATTTGTCCAAACAGAAAGAGTTTTGTCAAATTAAAATGTCACCAAATCAGACCATGACACGCCATTATCTCTCTTATTATAAAACGTAAATAAATGAGAGGTTTTTATTTTGATTTCTTGAGAGGATGAGCCCTGTGAGTCACCATTTGACACTCTGGGCTGAGCTGAACGAGGTTGATTCTTTTTCACTCTTAATACTAATGTGTTCTAACTCACAGTGATTGGGTGGAGTGGAGTGGAGTGGAGTGGAGTGGAGTGGAGTGGAGTGGAGTGGAGTGGAGTGGAGTGGAGTGGAGTGGAGTGGAGTGGAGTGGAGTGGAGTGGAGTGGAGTGGAGTGGAGTGGAGTGGAGTGGAGTGGAGTGGAGTGGAGTGGAGTGGAGTGGAGTGGAGTGGAGTGGAGTGGAGTGGAGTGGAGTGGAGTGGAGTGGAGTGGAGTGGAGTGGAGTGGAGTGGAGTGGAGTGGAGTGGAGTGGAGTGGAGTGGAGTGGAGTGGAGTGGAGTGGAGTGGAGTGGAGTGGAGTGGAGTGGAGTGGAGTGGAGTGGAGTGGAGTGGAGTGGAGTGGAGTGGAGGGAGTGGAGTGGAGTGGAGTGGAGTGGAGTGGAGTGGAGTGGAGTGGAGTGGAGTGGAGTGGAGTGGAGTGGAGTGGAGTGGAGTGGAGTGGAGTGGAGTGGAGTGGAGTGGAGTGGAGTGGAGTGGAGTGGAGTGGAGTGGAGTGGAGTGGAGTGGAGTGGAGTGGAGTGGAGTGGAGTGGAGTGGAGTGGAGTGGAGTGGAGTGGAGTGGAGTGGAGTGGAGTGGAGTGGAGTGGAGTGGAGTGGAGTGGAGTGGAGTGGAGTGGAGTGGAGTGGAGTGGAGTGGAGTGGAGGTGGAGTGGAGTGGAGTGGAGTGGAGTGGAGTGGAGTGGAGTGGAGTGGTGGAGTGGAGTGGAGTGGAGTGGAGTGGAGTGGAGTGGAGTGGAGTGGAGTGGAGTGGAGTGGAGTGGAGTGGAGTGGAGTGGAGTGGAGTGGAGTGGAGTGGAGTGGAGTGGAGTGGAGTGGAGTGGAGTGGAGTGGAGTGGAGTGGAGTGGAGTGGAGTGGAGTGGAGTGGAGTGGAGTGGAGTGGAGTGGAGTGGAGTGGAGTGGAGTGGAGTGGAGTGGAGTGGAGTGGAGTGGAGTGGAGTGGAGTGGAGTGGAGTGGAGTGGAGTGGAGTGGAGTGGAGTGGAGTGGAGTGGAGTGGAGTGGAGTGGAGTGGAGTGGAGTGGAGTGGAGTGGAGTGGAGTGGAGTGGAGTGGAGTGGAGTGGAGTGGAGTGGAGTGGAGTGGAGTGGAGTGGAGTGGAGTGGAGTGGAGTGGAGTGGAGTGGAGTGGAGTGGAGTGGAGTGGAGTGGAGTGGAGTGGAGTGGAGTGGAGTGGAGTGGAGTGGAGTGGAGTGGAGTGGAGTGGAGTGGAGTGGAGTGGAGTGGAGTGGAGTGGAGTGGAGTGGAGTGGAGTGGAGTGGAGTGGAGTGGAGTGGAGTGGAGTGGAGTGGAGTGGAGTGGAGTAGAGTAGGCTAGGGTATAGTAGAGTAGAGTAGAGTAGAGTAGAGTAGAGTAGAGTAGAGTAGGCTAGGGTATAGTAGAGTAGAGTAGAGTAGAGTAGAGTAGAGTAGAGTAGAGTAGAGTAGAGTAGAGTAGAGTAGAGTAGGGCAGAGCAGGCTAGGGTATAGTAGAGTAGAGTAGAGTAGAGTAGAGTAGAGTAGAGTAGAGTAGAGTAGAGTAGAGTAGAGTAGAGTAGAGTAGAGTAGAGTAGAGCAGAGCAGAGCAGAGCAGGCTAGGGTATAGTAGAGTAGAGTAGAGTAGAGTAGAGTAGAGTAGAGCAGGCTAGGGTATAGTAGAGTAGAGTGGAGTTGAGCAGGGCAGAGTAGAGTAGAGTAGAGTAGAGTAGAGTAGAGTAGAGTAGAGTAGAGTAGAGTAGAGTAGAGTAGAGTAGAGTAGAGTAGAGTAGAGTAGAGCAGGCTAGGGTATAGTAGAGTAGAGTGGAGTTGAGCAGGGCAGAGTAGAGTAGAGTAGAGTAGAGTAGAGTAGAGTAGAGTAGGCTAGGGTATAGTAGAGTAGAGTAGAGTAGAGTAGAGTAGAGTAGAGCAGAGCAGAGCAGGCTAGGGTATAGTAGAGTAGAGTAGAGTAGAGTAGAGTAGAGTAGAGTAGAGTAGAGTAGAGTAGGCTAGGGTATAGTAGAGTAGAGTAGAGTAGAGTAGAGTAGAGTAGAGTAGGCTAGGGTATAGTAGAGTAGAGTAGAGTAGAGTAGAGTAGAGCAGAGTAGAGTAGAGTAAGCTAGGGTAGGGTAGGGTAGATTAAAGCCAAGCAGGGCCTTACACATGCAGAGAGTGTAGCTGATATTTCTGTCCCTGGGTCAGACTTTCCCGTCGTTCTGTACAAAAGTCAAGATGATTACATTTTCTCATAATTATTCTTCTGTTTCTGATTGCGCTAAAGTCAATCGTATGATGTAGACACAATCCACCATTACACTAGGTCGAGGGAGAGGCTGTGAATGTGGACAGGCTCACACTGTGGGTTACTTCTGTTTTTGTCCAGCCTAGTTTGATTGCACTATGGAAGCTCAAGGAAAAAATGAATAAATCCTAAATCAAAACCCAATATAGAGGCCACAAAATGTAGGAGTGTACTGTTTTTGTACAGCAGAAAAATAATACAGCAGTTAAATAAATAAAACAGTTGAATTCTAATGTCTGCCTGTTTGGTCCGAGAGCTCAGAATACGTCCTACCTGTTTGTGACGCCATCTTGAATATCTGATTGTTTAAATAATCTGGTCCGTCTGGTTTAAAACTTCACTTTTCATTATGAGTTTTTTGTGATGACGAATTCTGACCACAAGAGGGCGCAAACGTGGAAGTGTGAGCCCTAATGGAACAATACATTTTAATTTTAGCACATACAAGTACATTTGAAACTAGGCTGGTTGAGACAGGGCAGAAAGAAAGAGCAGAAGTCTCCATTGTAATTACTACATTAGATATATATGACTACTTTAAGGCAAGAGTATTTGTATAGCACAATTCATACACAGGGAAATAAGAACATACTACAACTAGTACCTTTAATAACTGTTTCATTTAGTTTAACTTAGAGCGAAAGAGCAGGAACAATCCCTCGAATAAAAATATATATCAGTCCTCAATGCTCTCTAAAACATGTTTCAGATAAAGGACTACTTTATGGGCAATAAGCTCCTTAGCAACTGTTGTCGGGACCTAAACGTATACAGAAGTATAAACATAACCTTTCAACTATGTATTACAATCTGTCAAACTATCTGCAGGGTCTAAAAAGTTTGGTTTTATCACTAGTTTTCACATGTATTCTCCTATGACATATTTTTGGATTTCAGATTTTTCAGACAAAAATGAAAAATAGAGGGCCACGCTCTGGTAGTTGGCGTCACACACTTCATATCTGTGGATGTGGCCCAGCTAAGTAAAAGAACCCTTGAAATAATTCACATTTAGTTTGACAATCGGCCCAGACATAAACTACACATCTTCTTCTTTTCTTTCTTTTTATTCTTTATTCTTTACATGTGTTTAACGATATACCAAACTATACATCAAATGATCGAAATGTACAGTTCACATGTCAGAATAGGAGCATGTTGGAGACCGAGTCTTATTGTTCATGCCCCTAAAGCAAAAAAGAAAAAAAATAACACTTATTTTGATGATGATGAGCGCCTCAAAAAAATAAATAAAAATACAATCTACACACATTTGCTTATATACAATATACACACATTTAGTTTCCTCACAGTATAATTACTATTGTTATTATTCTCTTCTTTTTTTTTCTAAATTGTTTTTTGAAATATATATTGGTCAATGATTAACACACATTTTACTTTATTTTAACCTCTAATTCCAAATATTTTGTACATGCATATACACACACACACAAATATGCACACATCAAAGTATGTACACACACACACACATATGTACACACACACACCTCTGTCGAGAGCAAGCACCGCGGCCGGTCTCTGTCTCTGGAGCATCTGGAGTTCAAGCCCGAGTAAACCCACTGCAGGAACCGCTAAGAGCACGTACCATTTCCCACGCTGAAAACAAAAGAAAAACATGAGCACAGTAAAAGCTCTAGATTAAAACGGTCTCCAACTTGTAGCTCACCATCAAAGTAGCTCCCCAAAAGATTTACACATTACAGAGACTTAAAACATTTCAAACTGATTGCTAAGTTTAAAACTACTGTAAGTGTAAACTAGGACCTGCACTTTTTGTGCGTCTTGATTGAACTAAAGATTCCAGAAACTGCTGAAACCTGTGACCTTCATTTGACACTGATCTTATTTTATCCTCTCCCTTTTTATTCTTGAACCACAGATGTAGTTCTCCTGAAGTCAAAAGGTTGGAGCCTCCTAAGATAATGTGTAGGGAGTAAAGAGATCCATTAAGGATGTTCTCAGTTGCAAACATTTTTCATAGGATATAAATGTTATGGAACATAGTGATCAGTGAAGACAGTTTTAAAAACTCACACAAACAGATGTAAAAGTTAAACATATATTATCAGGCTTGTCATAATCATTACGAGAGATTATAGGATTGTGCAGGTGCGGCTCAACATTTAGTGTCTGTACTTTTCCTTTGCAAAAGTGAGACATTTGTATTTTCTTTGTGCTGTGATACAATATGAGCTGAATATGTCACTTTTATGATTAATAACTATGCCTTAATTTTGGTATTTGACTCAGCTAGTTATTATAGTGATGAACAACTTGAAAAAGGTTCAAAGGAATTCTCCTGCTTTTGTACTTGCGCCTGTAGCTGAAAAAATAGATAATTGTGTCATTTATCACAGTTCACAGCCGTCAGAGTGAGAGATGTCGTTCTGTGACTGTGCTTTTAACATACACCTCCATAACATTTATTTCTGTATAGTCCTACATCACAACAGCAGTCGTCTGGAATGACTTTACCAAGTTGTTCTAACATAGGAAATGCCATAATAATAAAAAAAAGCACAACGGAGCCATTGGTCCATTGGGAGAAAGCTGTCTTAAATATCCTGGATCATAACTGTCCTATACCCTCCCTGCAAAACTTGTTTAATTACTATAGTTTGCATAAAAACAAAAAAAAACACATAGAATAAAATGCCAACTTTGTCCGTGATCCGTGAAATGATCAGCAGAATCAGAATAAAATGGCACAGAGTTGAAATAATAATGTTATTTTCTAAAACAAAATATTCAGTAACAGAGGATTTAGTTGCCTCTAAATTGTTTCATTGCTCAAGAATCCTGATTAGCATTTGACACAATGGTTCACTGTTTAGGTCAACTCAACTGGTCAGCCTCCTACTTAAAGATGGAGCACCTAACTTTAAAACCACTAACATTTAACTTTGTAACATATTCCATCCATCCAAGTTCATATCACACCAAATAGTCTGGTTGTATCTCTAGCTTTTGGCATCTATCACAAACTTAAACCATATTCTTATTATTATCATTATTATTATTATTATTATTATCATTATTATTATTATTATCATTATTATTATTATTCTTATTATTATCATTATTATTATCATTATTATTATTATTATCATTATTATTATTATTATCATTATTATTATTATTATCATTATTATTATTATTATCATTATCATTATTATCATTATTATTATTATTATTATCATTATTATTATCATTATTATTATTATTATTATCATTATTATTATTATCATCATTATCATTATTATTATTATCATTATCATTATTATCATTATCATTATTATCATTATTATCATTATTATCATTATTATTATCATCATTATTATTATTATTATTATCATTATCATTATCATTATTATCATTATTATTATCATGTTTTTTTAAGAAGATAAAGACAGCATTGTATCTGTATTGTTCACAAATGTTACAAGAATCTTCGTCTTCATTTAATTTTAAAAGTTAGGTACTTGTTTTTAAATGCCAATACTGTTTGCAGAAAATGAAATAATCTACCTCATATCTCTTTTGTAGACTGCAGATTCCTCCCTGATGATCGAATCGCCGATTGTATCCTCAAAAAAATCAATATGTACAAATAAAATAATAAAAATAGATTGAGAAAACTTACCTTAATTGCATGCGTGGTTCTTCTCGCAGCTGCCAAGTAACAAACCGCTCGTCTATAGATGTTTTTACTTCTATAAACGGACAGAAAGGTGTTGGAGAGACCAGTGACCGCTGCTGCTGCCATTGTCACAGGCTCCGAGTGTCAAATGTTTACACGAACTGGGAAGAGCCGTCCTCACAGCTAGCTTACTGCTACACCATGGATCTACACAGGCGCACAGTGTCGCCCCCGAACGTAAACAAACCAAGACAGAGTTAGCAACACTAAAGTATCTTAACAGCCTTTAGTTATGTTTAGAAGTACACACGCACTCTATCGTGCTCTTAAAAGGTGTTAAAACAAGGAAAATTACATGCTATGACAAGGCGGGTGTAAGATATATAGTTTATTCAAAGTTTCATTCCGGACATGTAGCTACATAGCTAGCTAAATGGCCCGTACTGAAAAAATTGAGTCCGGGCTAAAACAATGGATTAGAACAATCGTTCCGCTTTGTGGGCGATTCCTTTATAATTGTTATATCTTAACAATATACCTAAGATATAGCTTCTTTTCACGTACAAAACAATGAAGTAAAACACTTTTGTCACCATTGCAAGGGTTCTATTTTCCAATTATTTATTCAATCTTCCAAAGATCCATGAAATACTTGAAATAATAACAATAATAATAATAATAATAATAATATAAATACATCCATAAACACGGGTAATTTATCTTTTTATGGATTTGACACGATATTATCATAAATCCATGTTTGACACTGGTCTAGTCCATGGTCCACGCCCACTCCTCGCGTCAGTCTCTCAGCTGTTCTTGTCACATACGCATAGCTAACAGAGACTTCCAAAACAACTCAAAGAATACTTTTTGTCCAGTTTAACAGGTATTCTGCGCATGTTTCGTATCCATGAAATTGTATATTTAAGTCTAACAACAAACGCACTGGTTGGAAATGTGCAGTTGCTGTTTGTGTTGGTCTTGCTTTGACAGTTGATCTTCTCATCTTTACACGCCCATTTCTGCTAAAGCTAAAGCATCACTCTGAACCCTAAGGTCTCATCGTTACCATACAAATTATATTTATTGTCCCTGTTTTCTACCCTAAAACACCTATAACATCATGTGGCCTTATTTTATTATACAGTCTATGTAACAGGCACACGTGGTGAAGAAAGGCCATGTTATTGATCTCTGGATACAGAAAAAACATCTGTTTATAACCAGAGGTGGCAAAAGTACCGGTCAAATATAGATACTAAAATATACCCTAAAGTATTGACATAATTCTATGAAAAAAATAAGTCCAACATTTGAATGTAAAATGCATTTTTGTTTTTAAACACATAAACAACATGGTTTTATTGTTGAAAGATTGATACTGACAGATAGTATGACAATAAACAATGTACAACATGTACAATTTGAAGCATGGCTAACCAAAACAAGCAATTTCACTTAGAAGCTATTTGAGTAAAAAGTTGATGGATTAAGGTAGTAAAGTACTTCCATCAAAATAAACTGCTACAGTACTTAAAATACTCATATAGATACTGCATACTGTACAGTGATGCGGTCGCTGCATCGGACTGTTGTGTAGAAGAGGGAGCAGCGTCTACAGTCAGAGCTTTATCAGACTGTTGTGGTGTAGAGAGAGCAGCGTCTACGGTCAGAGCTGTATCAGACTGTTGTGTTGAAGAGAGAGCTTTGTCGAACTGAGTCTGGCTCCTTGATGCCCAGGGGAAGTATCATTACATATTGTAGTTCCTCAAATGGGAGGCACTACACTCATGATCCCCCTGGATGAGCTGGAGGAAGTTTTTGTGGAGAGGGAAGTTTGACTTTGACTGCTGCCCCCTCAATGGATGAAACGGAAGAGATGGATGGATGAAGGATACATCCATCTCTCAGTAACTTTCTACAAAGTTACTTTTTCTTGTACATTCTGATTATGCTGCCATTTCATCCACAAATGAATGGCTCTGTAATATTCTGTTTTGTTCATGTTTTTGATACATCTCTCTCCTCAGGCTGTGTCCATGGCTTCATTTGGACCCCCCTCTTCAGGGTCCTCACACTTGGCCACAAAAGTCGAGCTCACCATTTCCTGTGAGAACCTGATGGACATGGACATCTTCTCCAAATCTGACCCTCTATGTGCCTTATACATCAACACTACAGACTACAACTGGTATGAGGTGAGATACATATCAGCTGCAGTATATTCAAGACGCTGCAGCTCCAGTCCTGACCAGAACCAGGAAGTACAATCACATTCGTCCAGTTCTCAGGTCTCAGGTCTCTGCTTCCTGTGGCTCAAATCCATGTTAATAATAGTTTTGTTTAGCTGTGCATACCAACACAATTGTATTAATTACATTTTTGACCTAAAATTCATAATTTTAGAAACTAGTTTATTCAGATTTTAGTTTGCGCAGTTTAGATTTAAGCACAGACAAACTATTAGCCATAGCTCTGACTTTAAGATGAAAGATTTAAATGAATGCATGAACCTAATGCAACTTTGAATGTCCTCTGCTTCTCTTAGTTTGGTCGCACTGAAATGATTCTCAACTGCCTGAATCCAAAGTTTGCCAAGAAGTTTGTCCTGGATTATTACTTTGAAACGGTGCAGCGGCTCAAGTTTTGCGTTTACGACATCGACAACAACACACACGACCTCAGCGACGATGACTTTCTGGGAGAACTGGAGCTCACACTGGGTCAAGTAAGAACTGTTTTATTAAGAGTCAGTCTACTGTATGTCCCCAGCTGTGGGCATGAGCTTTGGGCACCTCCCGTGTTTAGGAGGTGTTCCTTTGCATTTGTGTCTTCGCGTTTAGATTATTGTAGCAGTCTGTTTTCATGTTTAAACAAGAAAGAACTGTCTCGCCTGCAGTTAGTGCAGAACTCTGCAGCGAGAAGCCTGACCCGCACCAGCAGGAGGTCGCAGATTACCCCTGTCCTGAAAGCTCTTCATTGGCTGCCAGTGTCCTACAGGATACATTCTGGTTGTAACCTTCAGAGCTCCTGATGGTTCCACACACTCGCTTCAAGACCAGAGGAGACCGGTCCTTCCAGGCTGTCGCTCCCTTTGGAACGTTCTCCCGCTTTCTCTGCGTTCTATAGAGTCTGTTGAGTCCTTCAAAAGTCAACTGAAAACCCATTTCAGGCTTTTGCTTAATTTTGTCATGCTGTTTTTTTACATGGTTGTCTTGGCCTTTAAAAATGTGTATGTCTATTTTATACTATGTCTGTTTTTATACTATGTGAAGCGCTTTGTGAGCCTGGTCTGTGAAGGGCGCCATATAAATAAAGTTTTGTTACTTACTTACTTACTTACTGGCATTTCTAAGATAAGATAAACCTTTATTCGTCCCTCTGTGGGAAAATTTCAATGTCATTGTTGCACATTACAGCAGAGTAAACAAAGAAAATAAGAGAACTCACATTACACAGGAGCTATCATTTAAGATAATGACATATGAAGCTCATGCGGATGTTCAGACTGAAAGACCGAGTGCCTGCCAATCTCACAGCACTGCCAGCCTCGAGCCTCAGCCAATCACACAGCCCGGCCAGCCTCCTGCCAACCCTCTGGCACCAAGTGGGCAGTTTAAAAGGCAGCCACTTCCTGACAAACAGCGCTTCCTGAAAGCTCTAAACACCCGCCACCTCCCCAGCACCCCCCTCGGCTCCTGCTTTGGCTCTGGCTTCTGTTCCGGCTCTGCTCCACCTACGCCCCATTTTCACACCATGCTTCTAGCCACCACCAGTGATTGACCCCGGGGGATCTGAGATCATCTCAGCTGCAATCGATCTCATAGCTGCAAGTGTCACTGCCGGGGTCAATGCGCCAAACAAATAAATCATTTTAATGTATTTATCGTGTCTTTGGTCTCTTCAGATTGAAAAAATAGTAAAAGTCACTACTATATATACAGTAAGCAGCATCATGATGTATACAGATGTTTATATTGTACTTTAGTGGAATACACAATAATAATAATGATAATAATATTAGCAGCAGGTAAAGTGACGAGTGATTTATCAGAACAAGACTCAGCAGTTCTCATTGTACAGTCTGACAGCAGGTAGAAGGAACTGTCTGGGACTTTCACTCTCAGCTTTGTCTCTCAGCTCTTTTTGCCACAATGCCAGTAGTTTCATATCATATCAGGAAAAACTCTAAATTAAGTATAAAATGCCTTTTGTCTCTCCTGCTGGTTACTCACTTAAAATTACAATTCCTGCTTTACACGGCCCTCTTGTTCAAATCTAAACGACACTACTAACGTGAAACTATGATACTTAATTATTCACATGTGTCAGTTTTGCACGTTACTTATTGACTGCAGAAGTTGCTGTGACACTGGGTTTTCTGTGTCCAGATCGTGTCCAGTAAGCAGCTAACCAGACCGCTGCTTCTCCCAGACCGCAGGCCCGCGGGTCACGGCAGCATCACAGTAAGTTCCACAAACACCAAAATAATGTCAGTCTAGAACAATTTCTGCTTTGTTCTTTTCCCGTAGATTTGTGCAGAGGAGATCACAGACACGAGGATCGCAAATTTTGAAGTGTCGGCGCGACGTTTAGACAAAAAGGTGAATCTTCTCCTTTTTGCTTATCTCCGGTTATCACCACCGGTTGTAATGTCATGTATTGTATGACATGTATAGTGTACTATTTATTCAATTTAAATATATGTTCGTATAGTTCTAAATCACAAAAGCAGTCGACTCAGAAAATACAATATTAGATCATAGAAGAAGAGTCTTTTATGTTTTTATGAGCTTATAACCGATCAGAGATGACTTAACTGGTCGTACTGTATAAACATTGTTATACACAATTTTTCTTTTCAATCATTCATAGTTCTCGGCCGCCGATCTGAAGCCTGTTACAACATTTGATAACTTGATATGCTCTCACAAAGCCTCAGACTCAGCGTATGACCTCATGCACGGAGCAGTTTCCTGCCTTGTCGTGTGTCTACATTAGTTTTGTGAATTTCTTTCGACTTCTGCACAACTGCGTGTTTTCATGCAGACATGTTTGATATTTACTGAAATAGCATAGTGTATTTTCCATTTTCTATCACTTGAAGGACTCAAGACCTTTCTTTTACCATCATACATTGTATTCATATATGTTTATTTTACATTCTAAAACCTAAAATGTCAATGTCCAATCCACTTAGTTTCCAAAGTGCTGCACAAAAATTCAATAAAATGCTGAAAAATAATGTAAATGCAGCACAATAAAATGTATAAAACCTGAAAAAATAAAATAAAAGTTAAATTATTTCAATAACTGTTTACCACGATCTGTTAGGATTCCACTGCAAACTACCATTGATTAATAGTGTTTAAACCTCGTGTTAAATTACCATATCACCATAGTAACGCACAGCACTGAGCAGAAACATACCGTTTGGATTAAAGTTACTTTTAAAGCTCTTCTACAGCAGGATGTTGAAAAAGGTGTTAAACATACTAAATATATAAGGAGCGTTTGTTGACTCTTGGGTAAAAAGTAGTGTCTTTCCTCACACATGTTTTTGAGAGTGTAGAACAAAGTATATTTTTTCCGATTATGTTGAGTGTGTGATTGTTTTGTCCATGGTATAAGCGCAACTTAGCTAGCTTCAGCATCATGCTTTTAAACCGCAGATCGGACTGTGCTGTGTTATTCAATCCAAATGAATCCATACAACAGTTCTTAATAAGCGTTCTTGATAATTGAGCTAAATTAAATTATCTTTATTTCAGTATTTGTGGTGGTCGGATCCGTTCCTGGAGTTTTTCAAGCAGACAGAGACGGGATGGCAGCTGGCTCACAGGACAGAGGTGCCATTCTTATATTACTTATTTATCAACAATTGTACATTTTACCTTTTCCAGAGTGATCAGCGGCAGTTATTATTGGCAGGTGGTGAAAAACAATGTAAATCCAACATGGCGCCCGTTCAGGATCTCTCTGCGTGCGCTGTGTGGAGGAGACGCAGAGAAGACCATCCGGGTAGGCCACACAAAGTTAACCTCATCAGAACAAATGCCCATATAAGGAGATTGGCTCCAGCTTGTGTTCAAATCAGCTTCTTCTGTTTTCGGCTTATACTATGATGACGTCAGCACTCTTCCACTCCTAATGTACGCTCTATGGTTGGTCTTTACTGAAGTACGCAAATAACAGATACCATAATTTTTGGACTACAAGCCGCTACTTTTTTAATGTTGTTTTCTGCCATGGTAACTGGTAGAAACAAACTGGCACCAGCACAGAACACCTCCGTGAAGTTGGCCCCTCGTTGCTCGCGTACGCACACAAAAACTACACCAATTGTTTGTGCAGCAAAGATTGTTGTTTTAAAGTTTTAAGCAATTATATTATCGATGACATCATACAGCAGTCTGGGAGGCTTTGTTTCGCTTTTAATGACCAAAACAATATTAATCCTTTATAAATGAGTGTGTGTATATATTTATGCTTTTCTTTGAAACATTAATGACATTTCTTGCTTTGATTTGTGCTGTTGTTTGTTTATTTATAATAAAAAGTGAATGAAACACAGTGTCTTTCCACTGACACGAGTTTGGATCAGTTTGGATCAGTTTGGATCGGTTTGAAGGTCAATGAGGAACTGCGTGACTCCAATATGACCTATTAAAGAATCGTTATTATCTCAAAAACAGACGCAGCAAAAACAAAACTTTTCGCTGCACAAACCAGCGCAAACAATTGGTGTCGTTTTTGTCAATGAGGTTCCAGAAAAGGGGTGTAGTGTGAGGAGCTCGCTCACACGGGAGGAGCTCAGATTAGAGCTGCTTCCCCTTCACATTAAAAGTAGGAGGGATTCCCAATGGAAGCCTCCCTGAGATGGTCCGTACATGTCCCACCCTCAAAATGTGTCAGTTGAAGTTAAATGAGCTTTAAACATGAAATTCACGGAAGACAAGAAGAACGAAGTTCAGGGTGCTCAAAGTCCTCCCACTGTTGCTTCACGGCAACAGCATCAGTCAATCACGCTCAGCTGCAGCGCCACACTGCCCTCATCTGGCACCAATCAGGCACTGCCGTATCAAGCTTCATATAGCGACGAAGCTCCATCCAAGCAGCAGCTTCATTCACGCTGCAACCCTCCTCCTCCCGGCTCCACCTCATTCCAGGTTCCAGCTCTTTCATCCTTCTCCTAGCTCCCACCACCAGGGTCTAGGCCCCGGGGATTTTATCTTATTATCTCTTTCCAATTCTGCAAAAGTGCAGTACTCTACCGGGGTCTTAGCACCAAATCCTAACCACATTCTTTGCAGCAGCAGCAGCAATAAATGTAATCTTGAAAATGTTGTCCTCATCATATGTGTAATTTATGTAGTGTCAGATTCCTTTCAAACCAATATACAATTCTAATAATACTTAAGTTTTGTCTGTTTGAGTTTCTCCAGGTTGAGATAATATGATTTTTAGTGTATGCATGTCTGAAACAGTGTGATTAAACTGCACGCTCTAACTCACTAACCGTCTTTATAATGTTATTTTATTTTCCTTTTGGATTTGCTCCCAAACTAAACCCAGGTGCTTGTGTGATCCAGTGGACTGACTGACACTTGTGCACGATTAACAAGGTGTGAAACTTATCCTTTTGTTCATACATTCATCATTATTCTGTAGTTTTCTGAAACAGCCTAGTAACAGCTACCTAAAAGAGATGACAAAAACTGTGCAGATTTCATGGAACAAAAGTATTTACAAACGTTGAGATGAAGAGGACATGTCAGCGTTGCATCAGCAGTTACAGTACAGTAAGAATGAGGAGCACACAGCACAAATTCAATGAATAATAACTTTATACTAAAATAAATAGATCAAATCTGAAAAGAAGCAGTGCAAAATCTCTTTCTCTAGCATAATAAGGATAGAAATCTAAAATCTCCAACTTGAAGAAGCAGTATGTAAAAATCTGGCAAAAAGTGGTACTGCAACCTCTCCCTGACTCAGGTTGCCAGATCCATTACCCAATCCAGCTGGGACCATAACAGATGAATAGACAAGAGTTTTGTCAACAACAAATCTATAACCAACACCTTTTTCACAAAGACCCTGATAGAAATCTTGTTTTCTCATTAATGATTTGAGAATCTTAACAAAACCTTTTTAGTTCTGCGGACACTTATTTTACCAGTGAAATTAGCTCGACACAGTGAGATCTGGCAACCCTGATCACAGACTTTCTGATTAGTAAAACGGTGGAGGGCGGGACATCGAAATGAAAACAAAAACAAGATTTAGGGACTGTTAAACTAATTTAGAAATTCAAATATCTCTGAACGACTGTTATCAGTTAAAGAAGTATGAATATCTTTTGACAGATTTGGCCCATAGTGCCTTGCGAAAGTATTCGCCCCCTTGAACCTTTCAACATTACGCCACATTTCAGGCTTCAAACATAAAGATATAAAATTTAATTTTTTTGTCATGAATCAACAACAAGTGGGACACAAAAGTGGAACAACATTTATTGGATAATTTAAACTTTTTTAACAAATAAAAAACTGAAAAGTGGGGCGTGCAATATTATTCGGCCCCTTTACTTTCAGTGCAGCAAACTCACTCCAGAAGTTCAGTGAGGATCTTTGAATGATCCAATGTTGTCCTAAATGACTGATGATGATAAATAGAATGCACCTGTGTGTAATCAAGTCTCCGTATAAATGCACCTGCTCTTTGATAGTCTCAGTGTTCTGTTTAAAGCGCAGAGAGAACCATGAAGACAAAGGAACACACCAGGCAGGTTCGAGATACTGTTGTGGAGAAGTTTAAAGCCGGATTTGGATACAAAAAGATTTCCCAAGCTTTAAACATCTCAAGGAGCACTGTGCAAGCAATTATGTTGAAATGGAAGGAGTATCAGACCACTGCAAATCTACCAAGATCCGGCCGTCCCTCCAAACTTTCATCTCAAACAAGGAGAAGACTGATCACAGATGCAGTCAAGAGGCCCATGATCACTCTGGATGAACTGCAGATAACTACAGCTGTGGTGGGAGAGTCTGTCCATAGGACAACAATCAGTCGTGCACTGCACAAATCTGGCCTTTATGGAAGAGTGGCAAGAAGAAAGCCATTTCTCAAAGATATCCATAAAAAGTCTCGTTTAAAGTTTGCCACAAGCCACCTGGGAGACACACCAAACATGTGGAAGAAGGTGCTCTGGTCAGATGAAACCAAAATCGAACTTTTTGGCCACAATGTAAAACGATATGTTTGGCATAAAAGCAACACAGCTCATCACCCTGAACACACCATCCCCACTGTCAAACATGGTGGTGGCAGCATCATGCTTTGGGCCTGCTTTTCTTCAGCAGGGACAGGGAAGATGGCTAAAATTGATGGGAAGATGGATGGAGCCAAATACAGGACCATTCTGGAAGAAAACCTGTTGGAGTCTGCAAAAGACCTGAGACTGGGACAGAGATTTATCTTCCAACAGGACAATGATCCAAAACATAAAGCCAAATCTACAATGGAATGGTTCACAAATAGACGTATCCAGGTGTTAGAATGGCCAAGTCAAAGTCCAGACCTGAATCCAATCGAGAATCTGTGGAAAGAGCTGAAGACTGCTGTTCACAAACGCTCTCCATCCAACCTCACTGAGCTCGAGCTGTTTTGCAAGGAAGAATGGGCAAGAATTCCAGTCTCTCGATGTGCAAAACTGATAGACATACCCCAAGCGACTTGCAGCTGTAATTGCAGCAAAAGGTGGCGCTACAAAGTATTAGCGCAAGGGGGCCGAATAATATTGCACGCCCCACTTTTCAGTTTTTTATTTGCTAAAAAAGTTTAAATTATCCAATACATTTCATTCCACTTCACGATTGTGTCCCACTTGTTGTTGATTCTTGACAAAAACATATTTTTTTATATCTTTATGTTTGAAACCTGAAATGTGGCGAAATGTTGAAAGGTTCAAGGGGGCCGAATACTTTCGCAAGGCACTGTAAGGATGACTTGACATGAATATCTTACATGTTGCTACTTTAAGTTCAAAATCTCTGACTTTAGCATAATAAATATTGATTGCACAACATTATAGGATTTCTTAAGCATGTGAAAAAAAACTTAAAAAGAAGATGATGAGTAAGCTAATTACTATGATAAAACTAGGTTGATCATGATACTGTTTGTCCACTTAATGCATTCATTTGGATTTGCCGTTAGAGGACGCCATGCTTTGGACTTTTAATGACATATGTATGAACTTTTAGGTGGATTGTTTCGACCATCACATCAGCGGCTCTCACTCGCTCATTGGGAGTTTCAAAACAACACTGGCTCAACTGCAGGAAGCCTCACATTCCTCACCCGTAAGATACTGTTGAATTATGAAATTGTTCGAATGACAAAACTGTTTTTATTACCATTTCTTTGGCAGGTTGAATTTGAATGCATCAATCCCAAAAAACAGAATAAGAAGGACTATAAAAACTCTGGAGTTATTTGTGTGAAACGCTGTCAGGTAAGAATGTCAATATTATGTACAGTAGATAAATAGACCTAAACGTATGGCTTAAATGTATTGGTTGTTTCTTTGTATTGAGACATATACTGTAAAAACCTTATTATTCAATGTATTTTGTTTCTTAGGTGGAGAGAGAGTTCACATTCCTTGATTACATAATGGGCGGATGTCAATTAAACTTCACTGTACGTATAGCTCAATCTGAAAAGACTGAGAACAAGTCATAAATGATTATATGTTTGTTGAATTAGCTTTGTATATTGGTTACTGCTTGATTAGACTCAGCGGCCATATTGTTTGGTGCAAAATTATATGACATATGCGAGAAGGTATTGAATTGGCATTATGGAAGTGGAATCAAAACCCTAGTGGCGGTGGGAGCTGAAGTAAGCTGAAGTAAGTAAGGAGGAGGCGGGTTACTGCACGAGCTGAAAGCATTGGAATCCCTGACACAAAGAGATGATGATCCTGAAATATGTTTTGCTGTAGATCCCTTTTTGGGATATGGTTGTATTTTAGTCACACCTGTAAAGTTGCATCTGTAGGAAATATATATCGATATTTCTTAGCTTTTTTTATTTGGAAGCTTTTGTTATTTTTATAAGTCCTTTGTTGATTTATGTGTTACAGAGCATTCAATGTGGTCATGAGAAGTTATTTCTTATGTAGATCATTTTCAGACTCAGTAAGACACCCCTATATAGTGGCAGTACCGGTAACATTGTTTTTTTTTTTTTTTTCACATGGCACGATCTAATTTAAAGCAGTTGTGACGAACTTAGTGTAACTGGAGGATTTCCCAAGACTAATTTAGACCAGAGGGGCCTGATGGATTGAGCTACAAGCTAATTTGCATAATATGGCTCAATTACCATTGTTAGAAAACGCTTTTGGACTTTTATCGTCACAAAGCCAGAGTTACCTTATTATAAAACATTACTCAAATATTCTGTTACTTCTGTTTTTCTCCACAGATCGCCATAGACTTCACCGGCTCGAACGGAGACCCCAGGACGCCCCAGTCTCTGCACTACATCAACCCTGAAGGATACAACGAGTACCTGGCTGCGATTTGGGCCGTGGGAAACGTCGTCCAGGACTACGACAGGTGATCATGCACACTTACGTTTCTCTAGGAGTGAGTTTGATGTGAAAATAATGTTAGTTTTGTCTCTTAAAGTACAAAGATGTTCCCAGTGTTTGGATTTGGAGCCCAGGTGCCTCCGTTAGGGCAGGTAGGGCTGCATGATTTTGGCAAAATATTGAATTGCAAATCTGAAAAATATTACCTTTGCTGTACTGTTTATATATGTGTTTAAATGGGTTTTTTAGATGAAACAATATCACCTAATTATATAAGCGTTTTTAAAATATTAGCTATGGCTTTGACTTCTTCCCATGTGGTCCATATGCTCCCATGAGATTGTTTTAAATTTTTATACCTTGTTCTAATTCAAATTTTTAACTTGTTTGCTCCGAGACGCAAAACAATGTCCTAGTTTGAGACTTCTTGTTACTCACAATGGCATTAAAAATAATTATCTTTCTGATTCGGATTCTGATAACATGATAACTACACAAAAATATGTTTTCTATATCTACAATACGCAGGTTTGTTTCAATCTAAGCCTTACGGTACCTAGTTCCATTCAGAAAAGAATATACAGCAGTTTGTTCAAAATACCTCCATAATAAGGAAATACACATATATAAGAACAAATGCAAAGAGGAGCTACAAACAAACACACCAAAATAATAGTATCTGTGTTTTCCTCTCCTCCTTGATATGTTTTTCTCCCATCCTTTTCAAAACAACCCTTTTTCCATAAACATCATGAAGAAATAAAATGCCATTTAAATCGGGGAACACTCAAACAAACTTTGAAAATCAGACAAATCTGAAGCAGAAATTGGCCACACCGGCATATCTCTTGTTTGTTTTCTGAAAATTGTAAACACGTGGCTGTGCGTTTGTTTCAGTTATTTCCCAGGAGCCTATTTGGGTTTTTGCGGCGTCTAATGGATTGTTATTGTTAAAAGATTTTTGCACAATTTCACTTCATCTGCACATTTCTCTCCAGGTTTCTCATGAGTTCCCAATCAATTTTGATGCAGCGAATCCCTTCTGTGCAGGTCAATACATCTACGATAAGAGCCTAATTTGAATGGATATTTTTCATATAAATAGATATTTTTTGCACATTCCAGGCATTGAGGGAGTGGTGACGGCCTACCAGCAGTGCCTACCGCAGCTCAAGCTCTGGGGGCCCACCAACTTCTCTCCAGTCATAAACCACGTGGCCTGTTTCGCCCGGCAAGCGCTGCAGCAACACACAGCATCAGTGAGTCTCTTCAACTCTTATTCAGTAGTCGAAAATGAAAATGTTGTAAACGTTGAGAAATGTTTGTTTTATATTTTACATACAGATAGCAAATACAATGCACTGTATGGTTGACTGTGTTTACATCGACCACAACAGACTGTATACAAACAGGCTGGATTTGATTCGTGAATATAAAATAAGCATTATCAGTGACACATATTGACCCTGTGCTTTTAGTGCCCCCTTGTGTTGAAAGAGGGAAACACATTGTTCATTAGCAAAATTGTTGATGCAAAATTGTATGCTCTTTGGAGTGGATCCTGACCGCGTGAATTGGTGGTCTGGTGGTTTAAACTACGTGCTCACGATGCAGTAACTCAGCTTCGATTCCAGTCGAGTCTTTTTGTATTTAATTGCATGTTATCACATTCTAGGACAGATTGCTCTAAAAACGGTAAAAGATGAAGGTCAAGACGTTTTTTTGCAGATTATAGCTTAATTGTAAAAAGAATCATTTAAGACCACATGTACCCCAATTAAAATAATGTCTTTTTGATGTGGGACCTATTCATGTTTGTCTAAAAAATAGGGAATAAATAAAATTGAAGGGTGATATCCTCTGGAGCAAACCCTGATGTTGATACACTGAAGAAATACGTTCCAACATCCATTCTTCCCACTTCTATTTTGGACATCAATTGCTTATTTATTTTGGATAATCTATAATTACATTGCTTTTATTTTGTTTTGTGTTTTTTATCTCAAATGTCCATGGCAATGTGAATGGAGACAGACAAACAACTGATAAAATAATTCCCTGTGTTTGCTGCTGGATTTGGTGTGTATCTGGCAACCTGAGTCAGGGAAAGTGGGAAAGGACTACACAATATTGACTGTGACTGCAGTACCACTTTTGGCCAGATTTTTACATATTGTTCCTTTAAGATATCTTTTTTCCTTTGTTTTCTTTTTTCTTTCTAGTAGTATTGCAGACTATAAACAAATTGAAAAAAAAAAAATCAATCTTTCTCAATCCTTTTTTTGTGCAATTTTTTATCTTATGGAAGGTCTGTTACTTATAACTATATCTTATAACTACTATGATATACTTTTGCTATTTCTACACAACAATCTGTAATGCTCAATCCCAAATAAAATGTAAAATACTAAAGATAACTAGAATTATTTTTATAGAGGCTTTAGAATTAATTCATTCATTTTGACTTCTACGCCACAGCAGACAATACTTTCAGTTTTCATTCGCAAAGTTAGATTCTTTACTTTTTCATAAATAATACGTACTCTTTCTCTCAAGAGAGAGTCTTGTAAAAGTTAAATATTGGGAAAAATCAGACCACAACAAGCTGTCTTCATCTTATTAGAAAGCATATTTTGCATACATGTAAGAAAGAGCCCAGTAAGTCACTATTTTGGGCTGGGAGCTGATTGTCACTTCTCTGTCTGAAAAAGCGGATCGAAAGAAGTGACAGAGGCCAAAAAAAATACATGTGGTGGTGGTTTAGAAAGTTGGGTTCCCTGCTTACTCTGAGGAGCACCGGGACTGGCCTCCTGCTGGTGCCCAGGGTCAGAACTTTAGATCCAGTTCTGTTTGCCTGTGCATACAACTGAAGGATTTATCTATTCTCTTTTACATATTTGTTATTCATTATCTTAATCCCTTGTGTGATTTTAATTGTGTTTTTAAAGGTGATTTTGGTGTTTTATGTTATTTGCGCCTTGTGTGATGTGGACTGTGAGCGCTTTGTGTTGCCCTGTGTAGGAAAGGTTCTCTACATATAAATATTGATTAATTGATTGACATTATACATATTGTTTATCACAGAACACATAGAAAGCTGATTTTCTTTGTTTTTTCTTGTCGGCAGCAATACTTTGTGCTGCTGATCATCACAGACGGCGTGATCACGGACATGGACCAGACGCGCAGTGCCATCGTCAACGCCTCCCGTCTGCCCATGTCCATCATCATCGTGGGAGTGGGCGGAGAAGACTTCAGCGCCATGGAGTTTCTGGACAGCGACGACTCACTGCTGCGTGCGCCCAACAACGAGATCGCAGCTCGAGACATCGTTCAGTTTGTGCCGTTCAGACAGTTTCAGGTGAGGATTATTATGAGCAACAGCACTGGCATTCACAGGAGGAGAGGAGAGGGAAAGATCAAATCAGACTTTCTACATGGAGAAAACCAGGTTCACTTTAATTGGAACCAGTTCACCAGTCAACATCGTTTCCTCATCAAATATTAGGAACATCTGGCACAAACATGTAGCTCTGGCAATAAAAGCTCCTGTCTCATCCTGTGTTCATGCGATATCGGAAACTCAGAAGGGAATGGGAAAGTCATGTAATTTTTTCTCCTTTATTATTCCATGTCTGGGTTTGGGGCAATCAGAGCTGCCCCCCAAGTCTCATAGCACCAGTCCCTCGCTGATCCTCCTGCAGGTGGTGGGTCCACATGATGATGGCTTTTCCAGCTTTGCAGACATGGCCTTGGTCTTTCAGTGGGGGCTTCAGGCAATGTGGGGTTAAGTGTTTTGCCAATGAACACAACAACAGCAGACTTCAGTGGGAGCAGGTGACATGGGTCGTGGTGGAATTGCATCCACGACCATTAGGTCCAAAGACCAGTGCTACCAACTGAGCTACTGTTGCCCAAAATCAGAAAGTAAAAATTGAGAAAAAAGAAAGAGTCAAATTACAGCATGTAAACATAAACATTAAACTATAAGAGTTTAATATTAGCTTCAATAAACCTTCAGAGACGTTAAAATGAATCAAAGAGCTTTCGAACGCTCTATGTTTGTAGGTTTCACAGCCTGCTCTTCAGGACTCACACTTCTACAAATAGATAGATAGATAGATAGATAATCTTTTATTATAGTGTCTTGCACACGAAGATGCCCAGCCCACATGGGCTTATAAGACACCATTTACAAATACAGAGACACAGGCCAACATCAGGCACAGAAGCACAATCATAAACAAAATAAAATAAAAAAAATAGAATAAAAAAGGAACAAGATCAAACACCAAAGCTCTCATTTAAATAGATGAGTCTGCCGCTTCTTCCAGGCTTTACTTACAAATGAAGACAATTTAAACACTTGATTTTCAAATAAGAATTTCATCTTATCATCATCACTGCCCCAAAACAAATCAGAATCCCGGGAAAACGCTTCATGAAACAACGCGTTTCTAAATTCATCATAAAAAGGACAATATAACAAAAAATGCACTTCACTTTCCACTTCATTAAGTTCACAAAATACACATAGTCTTTTCTCCTCAGGAGTTTGTGAAAACCTCCCTGTTTCTAAAGCTAGCGGAAGAATTCCTGTTCGTAACTGAGCCATCAAAGATCTCTGATTCCTGGCCAAATTTGCTGTGACGTAAAACTCTGTTTTAAAACGTTCTTTTAACTGAATATATGTTCTTAGTTTAGGTTTTGCCAAAATTCCAATTTGCCATTGTTTTTCAAAATTAGCCACTAGTTTTGCTCTAATACTACTGACGCTGCATGGCAGATTGTTATGAAAAACATATTGGAGTTGTACTTCCGCAAACACAGATCGAAGCTCAGCAGCCCAGGGCGACATGGCTTTGCTCCACTTAAGGACCTTTTTTGTTAATCTGTTGTCTGGCATATTAATGATTCGATTCCACAATCTAACCATGTCACATTTTCTTTGGACTGTGCCAGGAACCCAGCCCATATCCCCCTGTGCTGCCAGAGCAGGAACAAACTTGTGAACTCCCAAAAAGAAACGGATTGCTCTGTTTTCTACTGCATCTAAGGCTGAATACTGTCTGGCCCCCCAAACACCAGCCGCATAGTTTAGAACAGGAGAAACACAGGCCTCATACAACTTAGAGTATGTTCTATAGCCAAGATCTTTACAAACTTTACATTTGTTTATCACAGAACCTAAAGCACGGCTGGCAGAGTCAGCAAGAACTTTGACTCCACAATCAAAACTCATGAACTCACTGAATCTAAAACCCAGGTATTTATACTCAGGGACAAATTCCAGTTCTATGTTGCCGAGCTTGAGGACATTTCTGCTTAACGGAATTGACTTCCTTCTGAAATGGACAATCTGAGTTTTAGTTTGATTTACGGAAAGTTTCCATTTAGAACACCAGTCTTGTAACACGTTTAACATAATCTGTAAATCCTCTTCTGTTTCAGCCAAGAGTGCAACATCATCAGCATAAAGCAAAATGGCTATTGTCTCAGAGTCCATGCGGATACCTACGTTCAATTGTTTTATTTCCAGAGCCAAGTCATTGATAAAAAGTGAGAACAGGATTGGAGACAGACTGTCCCCTTGTTTCACACCAGAGGGTATCGAAAACCAGTCAGTCTGGAACTCATTTAATTGGACACATCCAATACAGTTTGTATACAGTGATTTTAGTGCTTTATAAAATCTCCCATCGACCCCTGCCTGAAGAAGTTTCAGATACAATAGATCTCTGTTTACCCAATCAAAGGCTTTTTTAAAGTCTACAAAACAGAGAAATGTGGATTTGTTTTCAGTCAATCGGGTTCTGACAATAGTTGAAACAGCAAAGATGTGATCAATACATGCTCTGTTTTTTCTAAATCAGCATACAGTATATATGCATACAGTATTTGTCATTTTTGTCAACTTTACATCAATACAATACAATACAATACAATTTATTCTTGTATAGCCCTAAATCACAACAGAAGTCATCTCAGAGGACTTAACAAAACCATTGAAATCACCATCAATGGGAGCAGATCCCTCAAACTGCAATTCACTATGGGATTTGCGCAAGTAGCAACTATAAAATTATAATAATAATACATCGTTTTATATAGTGCTTTTTAAGAACTTAAAGACGCTTCACAATTCACTATATAATACTGGCCTAGGGCTGGTTAGCGCTGTTATTGATGAGGTCTGTCGTCTAGTGGGATCCAACCGTCTTTTGGAGGAAGTGTGCAGGCTTCATTCTCTTCTCATCACTTTTTCACAGCAGTAGCCTGGCACCAACTGATGCGCTTATACTTGACACTTTTTAGATTTTGTATTATTCTGTTAAAGTTTGGGTCTAGTACTAGACTTGTGCTTTAGCAAAATAAACCTATAAATAAATCTGTCCACCTCACATTCACTATAAATAACAATAAAACTCACAATCCTTCACAATAATCCTCTTTATTTGTTGGTCTTATTTCTCAGGGAAACCGCGTGGCTTTGGCTCAGAGCGTCTTGGCGGAGCTTCCAGATCAAGTAACGTCTTTTTTCAACTCTTACAAACTCAAACCTCCGAACACGTCCAATGCACCTGAGTTGTTATAAGCAGATTAATACCGCTGCTAATCTAATACGCTACCTCATCACTGCTCATCACTAACGTCACACTACCCAGGCTCATTTGAGTCTAACGATCTCAGAAACGCCTCAACTAAAACCTATACTCACCCATAAATGACTGTACGTTTACTGTCCTTATGTCTTTTTTGCAATCAATGTTAATAAATGTGAAATTCTCAAGCCTTTGTGTCTATTGTTTTTTCACTCCCAATGTTGAAAATTGAAAAGCACAATTGTAGAAACATAAACATAAAATTGTGTTCACCTAAGTAGCCAGGCCCTTTGTTTATTCAATGTCCAAACTTACAGATTTAGTTCACTGTTATGTAATTATATGTAATAAGTTCCACAGTTTCCAGCATAAAGGTAATTTGCATTGGTGAGAATGTACCGTAAAGCACAAAAAACTGCAATGGAGTCAAAAACTGTAGGCCTTGAAAGCCGGGCTCACTCTGATAACTGAGGGCTTTCCCGACTGTACAGTATGTACTGTATGTATACCTAAACTAAGACCTCCCACTTTACACCAAAGAATGTAGCAATTAAAATCAGTCAGTTAGCAGAAAGAAAATTAGATGCGTACCTAGTTTATATTTTTTTATGTTGTCTTTGTAGATTCAGATTTGAGCCACATTGGGATGGATCAATCCGATTTCATCATTGGCAGGGAAAACTCCAGCTTTCCTTAGCAACCATCTTAGCAACACGTCTGGCCCGGATTTGTTGTGAAGCTAACGGCATCAGAACAAATACCCATTAAAGGAATTAGCTCCAGGTAGCAAGACACTTAACCCCACTTTAGCTGAAGCCCCGGCTGAAACACCAAAGCTGTATCATCACTGACAGAGAAGCCGTCCTCCTGTGGACTCATCGCCAGCACGAGGATCAGCGAGGGGCCGGGGCTCCGTGAATCAGAGGGCAGCTCTGATTGCCATGTCCATCCATCCATGAAAACTGTTGAATGGATGTGTAGCTCATGTCCAAATTGACTTCTTCCTTATTCAGCAAACACATCGTACTTCAGCACTTGGTGACGGTCAATCTGTAACAAGAGCTCAACAATTTTAAAGAAAAAAATATGTGGTTTATTCTCACTTGAAGAAAACCAACGAACCTGTTACCTGATTGATTTGAACATGTTTGGATATTATTTTAGCAGTATAGACTTTGAACCTGATATTAGCTTGTGTTTCAACAGACCTTATAATTAATGAGATATTAACCATAAACCATCTGCCCTTTGACAAGAACAGAAAACCTACCCTGTCTCTGTAATATTCCTACAGTCAAACTATGAGCTGCATGATCGTTGTAATACCATACACAGCAGCAGGAGTCATGTGACTCTCAAAATCACATTATACATAATTCCTCCTTAAGCCGTCCCAAAACCAAAGCAGTGAATGTTTTATAAAACAAGCTCTGGCTCTGATCTGCTCATTTTGCAACTAATAATATATGGGTTTTAGTAAAAATTAAAACTGCCACACTTGTCTTTGTTCCTTTACATTAACAATAAACTGGACTGGTCCTACAACACCAACGCCCTGTACAAGAAGGGCCAAAGTTGCCTCTTCCTCTGAGGAGACTGAGGTCCTTCGGGGTGAGCAGGCCTCTGCTCAGGACTTTTTATGACTCTGTGGTAGCCTCTGCCATGTACTACGCTGCCGTGTGCTGGGCCCCGGGCAGCACAGAGCGGGACAGGAGCAGACTGAACAAGCTGGTCAGGAGGGCCAGCTCCACTCTGGGCTGCTCCCTGGACTCTGTGGAGGAGGTGAGGGACAGGAGGCCCCTGGACTCTGTGGAGGAGGTGAGGGACAGGAGGCCCCTGGACTCTGTGGAGGAGGTGAGGGACAGGAGGCCCCTGGACTCTGTGGAGGAGGTGAGGGACAGGAGGCCCCTGGAGTCTGTGGAGGAGGTGAGGGACAGGAGGTGCTAGTCAAAGTCACCTCCATCATGGACAACACCTCCCACTGCACAGGACTGAGGAGGAGCTGAGGAGCTCCCTCAGTGGAAGGAGTGCGACCGCAGGGCCTTCATCCCACTGCTGTCAGACTGTACAATAAGTCACTTTATGTCACTTGCACTAGGACTAGAAACTTGCACAACTATTGCCACTGTTTTTTTTAATTGCCACTTTCTATTATACATAATATATCCTGCACAGACTATATTTTTTGCCTTAAGCATGTTTGCACACTTCTTTCTTTTGCACAAATCTTGGGTAATTCTATCCATGCCAAAAGTGACATATGTACATTTCTCCTTTGTGAGATCAATAAAGTCTATCTTATCTTATCTTATCTTATATAGATGGACAATGCTAACCTTCTAACTCAATGAAGCCCAATGGGGAAGTGCTCATAGACGTCAAAGTTTTTCTCCAACTCGCTCTGGCTCAGTAACTGTCTGTGTCACACTCACCCTTTGCGCGCTCTCTGTGACCCTGGTGTTTCTACTTTTATATTATTTTGTAAATTCAGATATGAGCCTTATAAGGATTGACCAATCAGATGCCTTCATTTGCCGGAAAATCTTCAGCTTCCCTTATCAACCACTCTCAAGAAGATTTAACAAACACAAAACTAAACTAAAAAACTATATTCTTTCTGCAGCTGCAAAGTCCTATAGTGTTGTTGTGTCCTTAGGCAAGACACTTCACCCACATTGCCTACATATGAGTCGGGTGTGTGCATATGTAGACAACACTATTGGACACTCATTTATACCGTTTATCAGCAAAAAAAAGTGGATTTGAGGGTGAGTTGTCCTTTCAGGTTTTAGGGAAACTGTGGCCAGTATTTACAACAAACATGCATAGACTGTGTATGAGGAGTGGATGATTTGAACATAAGCTAAAGCCAATTTCCTTATATGGACATTCGTCCCATTGGAGCTAGCTTTGCTCTGTAACAGTGACAACTCTTTTAGTGTTGCTAACATAGTTGCTAAGGAAAGCTGGAGTTTCCCCATGAATGAAGGTATCTGGTCAATGCTTGGGCTCACATCTGGATTGACCAATCTTCATTTTTTGTGGGGTTTTTTTTTTTTTTTTTTTTTTTCTCAATGCATCTCTTTTGTATCATTGATTTTGTATCTTCTAGATGCCCAAATAAACACACACTTAACTTAACTTAACACTTAACAAAGACAATATCATAATATAAACACCAGGTTGACAGAGACCACAGATTTTTAAAGTCAAAATTATGAGTGTGAGTGACAAACAACTCCTGAGCTAGAGGAGTTTACTTTTCAATGTAAGTAATTCAGAGCCAGAGCGCGTTGGAGAAAATGCAGTCAGTAAAGATACTTTATTTTCCCGTAGGAGAAATTCAGGTGTCCAGCAGCAGAAGACTCATCCAGGTTTGTTGTACAGTCTGACAGCTGTAGAAACAAAGGATCTCTTGAAACGTTCCGTTCGGCAGCGTAGTGATAGGGGCCTGTTGCTACGATTACTCCTCTGAGCGGCCGTAGTGTCATGCAGAGGGTGTCTGGAGTTACCCAGGATGCCCTGCATTAGAGCCCTCATCCTTCTCTCCAGCAAAGCTCCCACAGAGTCCACACTTCTCCCCATCACAGAGACACATTTCCTGATCACCCTGTCGAGCCGGTTACCTTTAGGGCAGTCACTAACACTTGTTGGTTGTTATAGGCCTCCATCAACTTGCAGTGATGCCATCACATCACTGTACCAGCAGTTGCTTGTGTAGAATGCAAATGAGCTGGTTCTTGTCGGTGATCTGAACCAGGACTGGATGACTACAGCATCAGTCAATTTAAAATCAGTCTGTGATTCATTAAATCTTACACAGATGATTGACAGTCCTACCCGACCAAATATCAAGATTCCATCTAGATCATCTTTGATTGACCTGATCTTGACAAATGTCCCTCACAAATACAGTCATATTGGAATTTTTGCAAATGATCTTAGCGACCATTGCACTATTGCTATAGTCAGAAATACAAAATTACCAAAGACAAAGCCTCATGTTATTGTGAAACGAAACCTTAAGCACTTTAATGACCAAGCCTTTTGACATGACTTGTCCTTGTTCAACTGGAGTTCTCTTGCACTGTTTGATTATGTTGACTTAGCCTGGAAATATTTTTATGATGAGTTCCTGAGGTTGGTAAACAAACATGCACCCTTCCGTAAATTTAGGGTGAAAGAAAGGAACAATCCATGGTTTTCCATTGAAATTGATAATCTTCTAAAAGAACGAGATAAGGCATGGTCCAAAGCGAGGAAAAACAAACTTGATGCTGATTGGCTTTGTTTTCGATAACTCAGAAATAAGTGCACATCTTTGATAAAAAAAGGTCTAAATCTGAATTTTTTTTTTTTTTTTTACATTTATTTTTTATTGAAGAGACAGATAATTACAGATTTTCTTTCAAATAGTAGTGCGATTTTGCTCTTCCATTTTTACACATGAAACACGCACAAACGAAACAATAGAGAAACAATAGAGAGGTGGGGTACCCTTTCGATTTACATAGCAAAATAGACAATTGCAATCAGTAGTATTTATATTTCAACATTACATGAAATCAGATCTTATCGGCTTAACATATTGTGTCCATTTTGACCAAATCCTGTAAAATGAGTCAATTTGGAATTTCAACTGAGATGAAATTTTTTCCATGATGTAGATGTCATGCACAATATTGGTCCAATCCTCGTTTGTTGGCTTTCCAGGTTTGAGCCATCTTCTGGTGATGGCCTTTTTACTTGCTGCTGAGAGAATGTAAAGTAGTTTCTTGTCTCCATTGTTGAGACCATCCAGTTCTATGTCACCAAGATAAATTGCTTCAAATGATAGGGGAAAAGCAATTGAAAATACATTTTGTATATGTTGATGAATCTCTACCCAGTAATCTTGAATAACTTGGCAGCTCCAAAAAACTGGAGAAAACGGTTCGCCCCTGCAACACCACACCTCCAACACGCATCTCCAGTTCCCTGGTATCTTTTTTGTGCTGGTGTAATGAAAAAACGCATTGTGTTTTTCCAACAGAATTGACGCCATGTATTTGACCCAGTTGAGACCCACTGTATTTCACAAATATGATCCCATTTCTCCTCAGTTACTGTAAAATGCCCTTCTCTTTCCCATTTTTCTTTAACATAGTAGGTGCTCTCTCCCTTACTCCGCAGGATGCTGTTGTATAGTTTGGAGATAAGTTTGGTAGGGGACATGGATTTTGTTAGTGAAATAAATGTTTGTAAGAGCCCCTGGTCAGATGACGGTATTTTAATATTCTGATTGAAATAGTGTCTGACTTGCAGGTACCTGAAAAAATCTTCAGAGCCCAACCCATGTTTTTGCCTCAGTGTGTCAAATGTTTGTAGAGCCCCCTTGTGGACAAATGAATTGTAGTTGGTTAATCCTTTCCTAATCCATGTTTTAAATCTGTTATCATAGTTATTAGGAGTAAATTCTGAGTCATATGCACACCATCGCAGAATTTTAGATTCCTCCTGTAAACCACATAACTTGATTATTTCATTCCAGGCCGTAATTGTTGTGAATGATATGTGTTCAGTTGAAAGATTGATTTTGGATTGTAATTTAGAGTCTGCTATTAGAGCTTTAAGAGGTATCCCTTTGATCATAGTCCCCTCTATGTCCTTCCATCCTGCTGTGTAGATCGGAGAGCACATACAAACCAGGGGCCTCAACTGGGCAGCATAATAATATTCTCTTAAACATGGGAGGCCCATACCCCCTTTTTCTTTCTTAATTTGTAAAGTTTTGAACTTAATTCTGGGTTTTTTACCCTTCCATATAAACTTCGATAGAATTTGGTCCCATTCTGTAAATTGTTTTTGGGGTATGGTAAATGGCAGACATTGAAACAAGTATAAGATTCGAGGAAGGATATTCATCTTAATAGTGTCAATCCGAGAATATAAATCGAAGAATGGTATGGTATTCCACCTTTCAATGTCAGATTTTATCTTTGTGTTTAGGGGTCCATAGTTAACATCATACATTTTGGTGAAATCCCTATGTAGGAAAATTCCAAGATATTTAATCGATTCTGTGTCCCATTTCCATTTATAGTGGTCTCTAATGTTTTGGGGAGGATTATAATTTAGGGTCAATACTTGAGTTTTGTTTACATTAATTTTGTATCCTGAAAAGATACCAAAGTCCTCAAATATCTTTATAGCTTTTGGTAACGTCAGGGTAGGATTAGATATGATCAGCAATAGATCATCAGCAAATAGGGCCAATTTCTGATCTTTTCCTGCGACAGTTACCCCGACAATATCTTGTCTCTGCCTGATCCACTGTCCAAGCGGTTCAATGTACAAAGCAAAGAAAAGTGCAGACAAATTACATCCCTGTCTCACCCCTCTTTCCAATGCAATTGACTCAGTAAGGTCTCCATTGATCTTAATTCTAGCCACTGGTTTGTTATATAACCCTGCAATAATTTCTGTAATAGATTTATGAAAGCCGAACTTACTGAAAACCTTAAATAAGAAGGACCACCTCACTGAGTCAAACGCCTTTTCTGCGTCCAGACTCATCACCAAGGTTTCTTGTTTTTTCTGTACAACATTATGCAGCACATGTAGCACTCTCCTTATGCTGTCCTGTGTCTGTCTTTGTTTAATGAATCCGGTCTGATCCTTGTGTATTAAGTGTGGCAATATTACTTCCAATCTCCTTGATATGATAGATGCAAACAGTTTGTAATCGATATTTAGGACACTAATCGGGCGATAGTTACTACATTCAAGTCTGTCTTTCCCTTCCTTTGGGATGATGGAGATTATTGACTCGTTCCATGAGGGAGGAATTTTTTTCTCTTGCATCACCCAGTTAAATGTCTTCAATAAGTTTGGGGCCAGGCAACTGTCCATTGTTTTATACCATTCAGGGCCAAATCCATCTGCTCCTGCCATCTTTCCTTTTTTCAGTTTTTTAATTGCCAGCTGGATTTCCTCTTTGGTTATTGGGGAAAGGAGTCTGTTATTTTGCTCATCTGTCAGTGTTGGTAAATTCAATTGTGAGAGAAAAGCATCTACATCTTGATCATTATCTGCGTGGGTTTGAGAGTAAAGCTTTAAATAGTACTTTTGAAAGCACCATTTGATTTGATTTTGTTCGTTTTCAATTTTATTGTTAAAGGGATTCTTAATTTTATGAATGGTTCTCTCAGCTTGTTGTTTCCTGAGTTTATAGGAGAGAAGTTTTAGGGATCTCCCGCCTGCTTCATAGTACTGTTGTTTAGTGAAAATTAGTTTTTTTTGTATATTCAGTGTATTGATGTCGTCTATTTCTTTTTTTAATTGTTTTATTTCAGATTTGGTCTCAGTTGTCATATGTTTAGAGTGTTCTTGTTGAAGTTTCAGTAGTTTATGTTCTAAGTTGACAATTTTGGTAATAGTTGCTTTTTTTTGATGGGAAGAGATACTTATTATTTTTCCCCTAATTACTGCCTTAAAGGCATCCCAAAGTATTCCAGGATCAACCTCCTCATTATCATTATGTTCAAAATATTCCCCTATAGCAACTGTCAAGCTTTCTTTAATATTTGAATAGTTCAGAATGCTTGTGTTTAACCTCCAAAGAGTAGATCTTTTGTTTTTTGCAAGGAAAACATGTACATAAACAGGGCTATGGTCAGAAACTGTGCAAGGCCCAATTTCACAGTTTTGTATCCTAAACAAGTCACATTTGAACATGAAAACATAATCCAAACGTGAATAAACGTTATGGGCATGGGAATAGTGGGTATATTCCCTTTTAGTTGGATTGATGTCTCTCCATACATCGAAAACACCTGTATCTTCCATAAATTGTGTAATTTTTTTCCCTATATTTTTTGAGCCACCTTTCCCATTTGAAGCATCTAATTTTGCGTTTAATGTAATATTGAAATCTCCACCACATATTAAGATTCCTCGACTTTCGGTTGTCATTAATAATTCTAATATACGTCTATAAAAGGACCAGTCGCTGCCAGGAGGTGCATACACGTTTAGCAAGGTTGTGAGAGTACCGTCTATCTTACCCGTTATCATTACATATCTGCCTTCTTTGTCTTTATGCTCTGATACATGCTCATAGTTTAGTGCGCCGGAAATCAAAGTTGCCACTCCTCTCCGCCGTCCTGAACTGTGAGAAGAATAAAATACATGTTTAAATCCCAATTTGTTCAATTTTAAATGCTCTTCATCTGAGAGATGTGTTTCCTGCATCAAAGCAATTTGTGCTTTATCCCGTTTCAACTTGGATAGGGCTTTCCACCATTTAATTGGATTATGCAAGCCATTGATATTAATTGTTACAAGTTTTACATATTTGTCATTCATTTATATTGTACTTATATCTACTTCATACACATTAATTGGTACCCCACTCTCAATAGTGAACACTGAACACACAACAAAAGAAAAAGTCAAAAGAGAAAAACAACTACAAAAGAACATGAACTTCCAAGGCTGGGGTCCTTTAAACAGACCCTGTGGTGCCTTCAAAGGCTGCTTCCACATCGGCAACGATGTGGGCCCTTATTGGCTGTGGCTTTGCTGTCGAGAATAATCCCTCAGAACCATATTAACTTTAAAAATTAACACCCAAAGACATATTTATAGTATTCAGTCAGTGTACGTGGATTTAGATATGTGAAAGTGTCTTGGTAAGAGTCAAAGTGAAACCTCAAGTCCCTGAAGTGGTGGCTACCGTTCTCCTGAAGGTACGGAGCTTCTTCTTATAGCCTGGTTCTTGTCCCGGTTGCGCTGCACTGCTACCTCCTCCTCTGGTCACTCTGGTCCAGGTCAACTGCTTCAGTTGCTCCAGGATTGTTTCGGGAGGTTTGATGATCTTGACAGCGTAGCCTCTCCGGGACATATCCTCAGTCGCTTCTGATGAAGAGGCGTAGGTTATTTCTCCATCCGTGAACTTCACCTTTAGTCGCGCTGGGTAGAGGGTTTGAAATGGTATCTGCTTTGCCTTCAAAATCTTGCGTACTTCTGCGTATTCCTTTCGTTTCTTAAGGATGAGAGGGGGGTAATCGTTGTCCAGTGATATGTGTTTACCATTCCAAGTAAATCCTTTCTTCTGCCATGATTTGCGGAGTATTTGTTCTTTGATCTTAAAGCTTAGAAACTTAACCACGATAGAACGTGGCGGAGCGTCTTGGGGAGAAGCGGGGCCTAGCGAGCGGTGGGCTCGTTCAATGCTAATGTCCACGCCGTCCAATTCCAAGCCTTCACGCAGTAGTGTCTCAACAAAAGCAATCATTGATGGAGAGTCTTTCTCTGACGATTCTGGAACACCATAAATTCTCCATATCCACCATCTTCTCCTCCAGCTTTATGTTTAGCTGCACTAGCTCGGTCATAGCTTCTTCCACGTTGAGAATTCTCTCTGCTTTCTCAATCCGCTCCTCAGCTTCTTCCAGCCTGTTATTCGCTCTAGTCAGCTCTTCCTTGATGCCCTCAAGTTGTTCTTTGATTTCTAGTCGAAAGGCTCTCAGTTCTTGTAGAATAACTTCGTTATTTGCCATGATTCGCCGTTTAGCTCCAGGTGTTGCTGTTAGCTTTTCCTTTAGCAGCAAATGCTAGCGCAAGGTTTCCACTTGAGAAAAACTTTCGGTTCACCTACTCTTTGTCCAATCCAATGCGGAAACTGGTGTGTACTTCTCTCCCCCGCTTCTTAGTTTGCATTTCGTAGATTATTTACATAGTTTAAGCGGGTTCAGATCACAAAATGCTCTGGTCCTTTCGGGAGCTCACTCACAGCGCAGCCATTAACGGTGGTGGTCCGGCCGGAACCTTCTAAATCTGAATTTTACCTTACAGAAATGACAAGAAATTTAAATGATCCAAAGAAGTTCTGGAAAACTGTTAAATCTACGTTTGCTTCAACGCAGTCAAGTGCTCTTCCGGCTGTGGTAATCAGAGATGGGTCGCATGTGACAGAGAAAGACGAAATGTTGAAACTTTTTAATGAACATTTTATCTCAGCTGGCTCTCTTTTTGATGTTCTTAATCCTGTACAGAAAACTGCAGGCACTTCTACACCAGATGCAGAGAGTAAATGTTCTAGAGCACAAACATTTATCTTTTCCATGGTGTCTTCCTCTGAGATGCACAAAGCTTTACTAAATATGAATCTTAAGTTGGATGCTTTGTTTTTAAAATTGGCTGCCGATTTCATTGCTGAGCCCCTGTCACAAATATTTAATTTGAGTCTTACCAGTCACAAGATTCCTAAAGTATGGAAATCTGCTTTTGTGCTGCCGCTTCTGAAAACAGGTGACCCATTTGACGTAAACAATTACCGTCCTATCTCCAAATTATGTGTTTTGGCTAAGATATTTGAAAGTGCTGTTTGCAGTCAGTTAAGATCCTTCCTTGAAAACAACAACATTGTTAATGAATTTCAGTCGGGATTCAGGAAGAAGCACAGCACTGTCACAGCCACCATGAAAGTTTTAAATGATGTTGTAAGTGCCCTTGACTGCAAAAAATACTGTGCTGCCTTGTTTCTTGATCTTTCCAAGGCGTTTGACACTGTGGACCGTATGTTTTTAATAGAAACTCTTTCCAAAATTGGCGTCTCCGTCCAAGCAGCCGAGTGGTTCACTGACTACCTGTCAAACAGGTCACAGTGTGTTCAAGTATCTGGGTCAACTTCCTCCTTTTTAGAAGTGTCTAAGGGGGTTCCACAGAGTTCAGTTTTAGGCCCTCTGTTGTTCTCAACTTATGTGAACAATCTGTGTGATGACCTCCCAAATGCGTCTTACCATCTTTATGCAGGCGATACTGTCATTTACTGTTGCACCACATCTTTAACACAGGCCTACGAGCAACTACGAAATGCTTTTAATATTGTACAATCTCGTCTGCATTCCTTGAAACTAGTCTTGAATGCTGAAAAAACTAAACTAATGATATTTTCAAATCAAAAAGAAAGAAAGGAGGGTGTTCCTGGAATTTTCACTACTCAGGGTAAACAGACTGATTGTGTGGATAGTTTCAAGTATCTGGGTTTTGTTATTGACTCTGGACTATCTTTTAAAATGCACATTGCAGCTCTGATCAGAAAATTAAGGGTTAAGCTAGGATTTTATTTCAGGAACAAATCATGTTTCACCCTTAGAGCCCGAAAACGATTTGTTTCAGCAACTTTTTTACCCTTAATTGACTCTGGTGATGTTATTTATATGTCTGCATCAGCTCAGTGTCTGCAGTCGCTAAACACTGTGTATCACAGAGCTCTGAGGTACGTGACAGGATGTAGTCGCCTCACACATCACTATGAACTTTATGCTAAAGCCCAGTGGCCTTCACTGGCAGTGAGGCGGTACACACACTGGCAGTGAGGAGGTACACGCACTGGCAGTGAGGAGGTACACACACTGGCAGTGAGGAGGTACACGCACTGGCAGTGAGGAGGTACACGCACTGGCAGTGAGGAGGTACACGCACTGGCAGTGAGGAGGTACACGCACTGGCAGTGAGGAGGTACACACACTGGCAGTGAGGAGGTACACGCACTAGCAGTGAGGAGGTACACGCACTGGCAGTGAGGAGGTACACGCACTGGCAGTGAGGAGGTACACACACTGGCAGTGAGGAGGTACACACACTAGCAGTGAGGAGGTACACACACTGGCAGTGAGGAGGTACACACACTGGCAGTGAGGAGGTACACACACTGGCAGTGAGGAGGTACACGCACTGGCAGTGAGGAGGTACACGCACTGGCAGTGAGGAGGTACACGCACTGGCAGTGAGGAGGTACACACACTAGCAGTGAGGAGGTACACACACTGGATGCTGTTGGTGTACAAAGCTCTCCTTGGGTTGGTTCCTGTCTATCTGTGCTCCCTCCTTCAGAGAACCAGGAGCCTGTACAGTTTACGTTCCAATGATTTTTACCTCGTGAATGTTCCACGTGTCCGGAGGGAGCTGGGAAAGCAGGCATTTAGTTATTCTGCTCCCGCAGCATGGAACAGTCTGCAGTCACAACTGAAGTGGTCCAAATTGTTCTCATTTCGTTCACTTGTATTTAAAAAACAACTCTCAACCATTACCTCCTCCACAGAGTCCATTACCAAGTGCTCATGCTTTTAAACTTTAACTTGTCTTATTGTTGCCTTTAGTTTTTTTTGGATGATTTGGATGTAATTTCACTGTTTGTATTTTGTTGTATTATTGTATTGTTTTATTGTTGTTCTGTAAAGTGCCCTTGATGTGTGCTACAGACCTCTTGGCCAGGACTTCTTTGAAAAAGAGATCTCGATCTCAATGGGTATTTTCCTGGTTAAATAAAGGTTAAATAAAATAAAATAAATAAATAAACTGTCTCTTGAGGTCAGACTGCTGCCCCAACACGCGACCCCGAAGAACACGGCACTAGCTACCACAGACTGGTAAAATATGTGCAACATTTGACTGCTCACATCAAAGGACCTCAGTCTACTCAGAAAGAAAAGTCTGACCTTTCTTATAGACTGCATAAGAAAGGTCAGCTCACACATTGGCCTGAGCTGACCAGTCCATTCTGTGGTCCAGCTGGACTCCAAGGTATTTGTAGGACTAAACCACCTTGATGTTCTGTCCATTTACTGTGATCTGTTGATGGGAAAGGCTCTAGTGGAAGTCAATGATCATCTCCTTTGTCTTGGACGCATTGAAAATCAGTCCATTTCTCTCTGAGAAGGCAGGCCCCACCTCCCTGTACTCTGCTTCACCCCCCCTTCATACATGCCACAACAGCGGTATCGTCCAAGAATTTATGTACATGGCATGTTGCAGAGTTGTGTGCAAAGTCTGCAGTGTAAATTGTGAAGAGGAAGGGAGCCAGAACGGTACCCTGTGGTGCTCCAGTATTGCTCACAACAGTCAAGCGACCATGTGAAGGAATAATGCCATGTGAAGCATCTTTGAGGCAGTGATCTGAAGCTTTGAGGTCACAAAAAGCATTATATAAGACTTACTTAATACTTACTTATAATATGAAGTTATATCTGCTTAAAAACAGTTTCGTATTTACCTTGTTTTTTTACTTTGATATTATGTTTTTGCAGTAAACCAATGAGCGTCTGTCTCTTTAAGGCCGTTTGTGAATGGTCCCGCCCCCTGTGCGCTTGTGCCAACAGGACATTACCATTACGCACGGTTCTCTGACAGATCCAGCGCTGTCCCACGGTAAGAAACCATTGGAACTAACCAGGAACCGTCATTTTTACTTCGTTCAACCCAACTACCCTGAATGTACTAGTGTTTATTACTACTTAACAACGCCCAGACACTATTTACTTGTCGACTCAAGACATACGCACGAGAAAAACAAGATTTTACAAGATTTGACGAGAGAGATCTTTAACATTTCACAACATTTCGCCATCTACTAATATTCTTAAGCTGATTCCAAGTGTGATTAAGTCTTTAAAGTCTTTGGAAATTACTTAAATTGAGCGCTGCACCAAAATCTGCGCGATGCCCTCCCTCCGTTAGATGAAGTGGACACACCTCAGTCTTATAAGCAGTTTATAGCTTTTATTATTGTTTTACTGTAAACATGACCAGGCCCTCACGTTATCAAGTGTACAACTGTATTATGCTGTGATATTATTAGTTTTGTCTAGTTTGGAGTGCTTTTCCATGAGCTCTGCAGGCTGGGTGGGTCTGAGCTGCCCAATCCAGTGGCATGAAGAAAGCGCTTTCGGCATTTTCCATTTGCTTCTGGAGGTGTCTGTGTGTAAATACGTGACTCAGATATAAGTCTATTCAATTCAATGTATTTTTGTATAGTCCTAAATCACAGCAGAAGTCATCTCAGACAAAATTACACAGTTGTGGATTCCTCATCAGCAGATCTGAGAATCAAACAGGAAATACAATAATAACAAACGCATAGGAGCCATTTGTCAAGAAATGTCATCCTGGATCATCTCTGTCCTTAGGCCCTCATGTGTCAGGAGGAACTCAAAAAACCCAGTGGGGGGGAAAGTGAGACCCCTCTGGGAGGCCCCTATTTAGAGGCCCTGCGAGTCACAAGTTGATGTCTTGAGCTGAGAGCTGATTGGCTGGTCCTCTCCTTTACAATTTCTGTTTGAAAAAGCTGATTTAAAGATGTAACAGAGGCAATAAAATACATGCATGTACAAACTAATGATAAAAGCAGAGACATGGATTTTATAGCAGTTAAATTGTTGTTGAAACTCACGTACGCTTATGCCAAACATGACTTTTCCCTGTTCAAAAACAATTGAAGACCTCGTTGGACTAAAATTACAACACCTTTTGAACTTTTGCTCCTCCATGTCTTGTCAGCTGCTGTTTTATACAGTTTTTGGCGCTGTCTTACTCCCACCAGAGGCAGGACACCAGCGCCAGAGTCAAGAGTAAACAAGAGAGTAATCAAACCCCTGCGTCCCAGTTGATGGTCCTGAGGGCACGTTTCTGTATTTCTATCACCTCTTTGCTCCAGCGTTGAAAAAACCCTCTGGTCTTAAAAAAACCCAAAACAACTTAACAATGTTATAATATTGTTATGACAACTGGGTCTGAAACCAGATTATATATTCATACAGTTGTGGAAATATGTTTTAGTGAATACTGATCTAATTAAAAAAGAAACAAAGAAAGTATAGTCCATGTTTTTGGTATTTTCCAGCTCTGTAGTGCACCTGTGATGTCAGATAAAGTTTTTATTACGTGGCGCATGGTGTGTCCTTCTCAGAGCTCCTCTCTCCACAGATCTGGTTGGGTTGTCTCTCTGGACGATGGCTGCAGTGGGACAGGGACCCGGTGCGCCTCCGTGCGTCACCAAAGTCTCTCTGAGCGTGTCGTGTGAAAGCCTCATGGACATGGACGCCTTCTCCAAGTCCGACCCGCTCTGTGTGCTCTACGTCAGCACGTCTGGGGCTCAGTGGTGCGAGGTGAGAGGACATAGTTACCTGTATGTCTCTGTATCTATTATTAGTTCTATCTATTTTATATCTATCTCATCTGGTTTATCTAGATAAGAGGGTAAGGGGTTAACAGGCTTTATTCATAACCTGGAGTCAACAGTACATTAAAGGAGACATATTTAACTATGGATCGTATTGTATTGTGTCCTTACTAAAGATTAATAATAATAAATAACAATAATATTCAGTAAAATGGACTATCTAGAGCTTTTAACCATGTTACGGCATTGTTCCCTGATAAAAAACAGACCTGGAGTTGGTTTTAAATCCATCCATGCTCATATGATGAACCTTTTAAAGCTCCTTTCTCTTGCTACATTCATGGAGTCTTGGAAACTCATGAGTTCTGAATTACCGCTCGGAAAAAAATTAGGAAGAATTGCTGTTGAACTGTGAGGAGGCGATATTGACTGTTAGCTTCCGGGATGAGACTGATTACAAGTCTAAAAACTACAAGTGCATCCCCTTGTGTTGACTTTCTGCTGTTCATACTAATAGAGCTGTGTTGGCTGCATCACAGGCTGCAGGGTATTAAGAACTTAAAAATAAAAAATGGTACCAGCTTATAGTGGTATTATGGTAGTTATTATTTGTTTTTTGTAAATGTGTTTTTTTCCACTGTAATCACATGGTGCACTGAAGCCACTGTGTTCCTGTGTCGAAATGAGTCATTCCATTTCCAATTTGGAAACTCTTAATGATGCATCATGTTTCCAGTCATAATTAGATTTTTACAGCTGCTGCTTTAAATATGTCATGACTAGTTATTATTATTACTTTATTTGTAACTGTATTTAGTAGAGCACTTTTCAGTATTTCATAAAGATTCTCTTTTCAAGGCAATACAGGGTGCTTGCTTAAGTCTTGAAAGTCTTAATAAGTATGGAATTTTGAAACACTGTTTTCCAGACCTTGAAAAGTCTTGAATTCTGTGTGAAACTCCTAATAAAGTATGGGAAAAAATGTAAAAAAAATTATATTTCTAAAAACACAGTTGGTACAATCTCAACCGAAGAAGTAGGCAGTAGGCACACAAGTACATAAAGTGAAGGTCTTGGGGAAAAAAATATCAGTTTTAAAAAAGTCTGGAAAATGTCTGGAATTTTAATTTGGAAAAAGAGCAAGCACCCTGCAATGGTTTAGGATTTTACAGGGTTTATGTCCCTCATACTTGGTACATACATGATACATATATGGTACATACATGGTACATACTTGGTACATACATGGTACATACATGGTACATACTTGGTAACATATATTTGATCATTCTTGATAAATCTCCATGTTTGGTGAATTCTGAAGCACTTTCCCTTTTCCAGACAAAGTGACAGTTATAGTGACGCTGCCTCAACTCCCTCGTGTTGGATTTGTCTTTTTCAGATCGGTAGAACGGAGAAGATCATGAACTGCCTGGACCCCAAGTTTTCCAAAAGCTTCATGGTGGATTATTACTTCGAGATGGTGCAAAAGCTGAAGTTTGAAGTCTACGACATCGACAGCGAGACCTCCAGCCTGGTGGACGCAGACTTCCTGGGGCAGCTGGAGTGCACTCTGGGACAGGTACTGGATCAAAATCCCCTCAAAAACCATTTACCAGTGAGCATCAGGGCCGTTCTACTCACACAGTATTCAAAATAAGGTTATTATTATTAGTTTGTTTGGTAATTAAGATCAGGAAAGTTCCATTGAGATTAAGATTCAGAGTCAAGTCCTGAAGGAATACAAGTTGAGGATTTATTTATTGACAAGAAGCAGCAAAAGCACATAATTTCACAAACTTACAGATTTAAAAAAAACTGTTACATGTCAATGATGATGTCTCAAGTGCTCTCAATCTTGACTTAAAAGCATTTAATGAAATAAATGCAGTTATTTTCCAGCGTTTTTGATCCATGTAGAAGGAACAAAGCCTTTTTTTCCCAGTTCTTTGTGGAACAGAGAGAAACAAAAGATAATTTGGACGTAAACATGTCTCTGTGTGATTAAATGACGGATGTGGCAGCAGACCAGTCATCGCCTTGTAATAAAAACCAGTACCAGTGTCCTGACCTCCTGCTGGACAAAGTTGGCCCTCCCACTCCGGGATTTAATTCACAATGTTTTTATAATGTTGGAATACTAAGACAGTATGATATTGTTACATGTTTCTTCTTTACGTTTGAGTTAATTCAACTTGTTTATTCTGTCCTAAAGTCACAACATGTTTCTTTCCAGATCGTATCGTCCAGGAAATTCACCAAACCGTTGCTACTGAGAGACAAGAGGCCTGCGGGACGAGGGACCATCACTGTGCGTTCAGCCGAGCTCAGTCCCCACATTCTCTGACGATCGCTCACTTCACTGAGTCGTTTTTGTTGTTACAGATTTGTGCAGAGGAGAGGACAGACAACAGAGTGGTCGACTTTGAAATCTCAGCCAGAAATCTGGATAAAAAGGTTTGACTTTTTATCACTGCATTGCTTTCTTTCATTCATCCATTTTCTACCGCATTGTTTTCTGTGAATGATTGATATATGTGGTAGTTTGTTGTGCGTTCTTTTTAACATGTATGAAACAATGTCAATGGGAGTTTGTTTGTTTCATTCATACATTCATTAGTAACATATTTTTCTATGGTTCACTCCAGTTAATGTTTGACTGTTTGGAATGTGCTTTAAAGCTGGGGTACCTGACTTTCAAAGAAGTGTTTCAAACAGTTTGGTTCTGTCACTAGTTTACACATGCATGTCTTTTTGGCTTCTGTCGTATTTTAGATCAGCTTTTTCAGATATAAAAGTGAGGACCAATCAGCCAATCAGCTTTCAGCTTTCAGCTCAAAACATGAATTAGTGACAGTAGCAGTGTCTTTCTTAAATGTGCAAATGATAACTTGGTTTCTACTAAGATGAAGACGGCATGTGGTGGTCTTATTTGTTCACAACACTGTACTTTTACACGACTTTTTTCAAAATATAATATTTATGAAACAATAAGTCAGGTACCCCAGCTTTATGTTAGAAGTAGGGCTGTCAAAATTATCGCGTTAACGCACGTTAATACATTTTTTTCATTAATCGCGTTAAAAAAATTAACGCATTTGACGCATGCCCATGCGTCCCATGATAACACTCAGAATGCCGCGGACACATGCGCGTGTGTAAGATGGGGACAGAGCAGGTAGGCCCTCTGGGAATTCAAGTTTTGAAAGAATACACGCGTGACCGCGGAGCTCTTGTAGTTTCCTGTATGAACCTGTATGAGCTGCGGGCGCCACAGCGCTCTGGACAGCAGGTCCCACTTCCAACGGCTGTGATCACGGCGAACGGCGCTGCGTAACGGGATCATATCCAAGACCACGCACAGAACTATTACAGAACTATTCTCTAGTGTGCGTACGTGTCTTTGCGTAACCGATGCACACAATATGTGCAGCGCTGAAGCTGGACTGCGGAGCTCTCCTCCGTGTCTTCTCCCAAAGCGCACTCGCTAAATTAAAGCTGAGGTACCTAATTTTCCTTTCGACTACCAGTTCATGTTATTTGTGCCAAAAAAGTAATGGTGTGAGCAAATCAAACAGATTTAATGACATTCTGCATTTCAGACTATTTTGAAATGTCCCTCATCTGTAACAAACAATGGTTTTGGTCTGAGTCTAAACAGAAAGACAGAATGTTAATAATGTGAATGCCATTTTATATGGATTTATTGTTATAACAAACAAATACAGTTCATATGTTCACTAAGCTGTCATTTATCTTTCCATTCAAACAACAATTTACAGAAAAATATGGCATAATTTTGCCAATAGTTTGAAATGCGATTAATTACGATTAATTCATTTTTAAGCTGTAATTAACTCGATTAAAAAAATTAATCGTTTGACAGCCCTAGTTTTTTGTTTTTGTTTAGAAGTTTCCACATGTTTTACTTCCACATGTTTTACTTCCACATGTTTTACTTCCACATGTACAGTAACACAAAGAAAATTCTAATATCAACAAAATCAAATTCGACAGTGCCTGGAGAGAAGTTTTTTGTTCCAACATAAGTGAACATCCGAGTGTCAGTCCATTTCTCCTAACAGAGCGGTAAAGCATGAGTTTCCTGCCTTCCTCCGCTGAGCCCTCGGGGTCCTGGTTCCACAGCGACAGTGGCCTGTGCTAAAGCTAAACACATCAGAGGCCCCACACACTCCAACCATGACACTCTTTATGTGGTTATCACCGCAACGTGCACTCAAGGCTTTTATGGACACAACCGCACTGTGTTTTGCAAAGATACACAAGAAGCACTATTGTAACGAGCACATACTAACCTGCTTCAACATTACATTCACTATTCATTGTTAAACTTGACAAATTTAGATGTATTTTTTTGCTGTAAAAGCTGGAAAGAGAAGCAAATGAGGAGGCTTAAAATACAAGAAAAGGAATCAGGGATAATAAGCTCTATAGATGCCCAATATTCTTGCAAATTATGTTAAGGAAACACAAATTAATTTAATCTGTTAAGAATAACATTCATTTTAAAATGTGAATTGTTTGTGGCATTACTAATCTTTGAGTTTACTCTGAGGGTGTAGTCTGCCACACTAACATACATTGTTGTACAGCTAAGATAATACTTTAGGCTCAATACTATTTGTAGTGAGCTTCATATTGTTTTGTTTGCCCTTTATACCCTCAGGCAAAACGATGTTCTCGTTATAATAAAATGAATGTGGCATAGTATCGTTTCAGTGGACTACTATGAGAAGGCATTGTTATATTGCTGAATGTATTAAAAGAAAAATAGTTGAAATTGAATGGGAGTGTGTTTTGTTCCACTATGCAAATACTTTGAATGCAGAATGAATGTTTACCTGAAGTCTTTTTCAGGTAAACAGTTTCTGGAGATTTGATAAGTGATGTGCAGGTCTTAAAAAGGTTTGAGATACAGAGGATGATGAGGCCGTAAGTCTGAGCTCAGTCCATCCAAAGGCCCTATACCTGCACAGATAAGGCCTCCTCATATCTGCCTGTCCTTTAATACACATTCAGGCCAAAATAAATATACTTATGGACAGACTATTGGATTATTTAATGTTGTTTTGGAGATCCTTCCAGAGAGTTCAGCCCATTTGACCACTAACAGTCTTTGTTTGAGTCCTATCAAAGACAACATGCACGAGTCTATGAAGTGTGCTGCAGCAAAAGCCACAGGGCCTATACCCATTAATGGACCAGACCACTGTCCACACACACACACATTACATTTACCCTTTCTCCTGTTTATCCATGATCCAAGTCCAATTACCCTAGTCTTCATCATTCAGATCTCCTAATGCCTCCTGTTCCTCTTGTTAAGGCCCCATCCATCCTGGTAATGGTTGTAATCTGCACTGTCCCGGGATGCTGCTGGCCTTCATCCTCTTCCTCTTCTTCCTTCCTTTTCTGGATGCTGCTTTTGGACATTGCACATGAAGAGAAACATGTCGAGTGTCAAAATTTACCACGTCAAACTCATTTTTGCAAGTGCCACATTTTTTATCTTTTACTGTATACAAAGGTCTTCATCTTTTTCTTTGTGGATAGTTTGTCTATAGCTCATCTTTGTGAATGTCCATGATATAATACATAAGAATGTCTTTAATTGTATGTAGGGCATATACCTCGTACTATAAATGCTATTCTACTGTAAGCTATTCTACCAGTATTCTATACCGGTGTATGCTAAGATGTAAATCTATGGTTTGTAGGCACAGTCCATAAAGATCCAGGAGACACAAAAGAAAAACTGTTCACTATAAAATAGGGCTGTCAAAATTATCGCGTTAACGCACGTTAATAAATTTTTTTCATTAATCGCGTTAAAAAAATTAACGCATTTGACGCATGCCCATGCATCCCATAATAACACTCAGAATGCCGCGGACACATGCGCGTGTGTAAGATGGGGACAGAGCAGGTAGGCCCTCTGGGAATTCAAGTTTTGAAAGAATACACGCGTGACCACGGAGTTCTTGTAGTTTCCTGTATGAACCTGTATGAGCTGCGGGCGCCACAGCGCTCTGGACAGCAGGTCCCACTTCCAGCGGCTGTGATCACGGCGAACAGCGCTGCGTAATGGGATCATATCCAAGACCACGCACAGAACTATTACAGAACTATTCTCTAGTGTGCGTACGTGTCTTTGCGTAACCGATGCACACAATATGTGCAGCGCTGAAGCTGGACTGCGGAGCCTCAGTCTCCTCCGTGTCTTCTCCCGAAGCGCACTCGCTAAATTAAAGCTGAGGTACCTAATTTTCCTTTCGACTACCAGTTCATGTTAGTTGTGCCAAAAAAGTAATGGTGTGAGCAAATCAAACAGATTTAATGACATTCTGCTTCAGACTATTTTGAAATGTCCCTCATCTGTAACAAACAATGGTTTTGGTCTGAGTCTAAACAGAAAGACAGAATGTTAATAATGTTAATGCCATTTTATATGGATTTATTGTTATAACAAACAAATACAGTTCATATGGTCACTAAGCTGTCATTTATCTTTCCATTCAAACAACAATTTACAGAAAAATATGGCATAATTTTGCCAATAGTTTGAAATGCGATTAATTAATTACGATTAATACATTTTTAAGCTGTAATTAACTCGATTAAAAAAATTAATCGTTTGACAGCCCTAGTTAAAAGCTTTATCCATTTCCTGGTTTGTAGCATTGCTATTGAAGACATGGGGGCCATTATAGGGTGAGACTATGTAGAGTTTGTATGTTCTCCCTGTGTCTGTGTTCAAAACATTATTATAATATATTTGTTTACATATCTCCAATACATATAACTTTTAGAGCAGCCAAGATGCCCGTTCGTCAAATGAGTGCCTAATGAGTGCATGCGCCTCCTGTACTGGCCCCGCTCATCTCTGTGTGGAGTGAGAGGACAAATGCCCAAAAATAACAATTGTAAACCGCTTTGTGACTCTGGTCTGTGAAAGGCGGTATACAGTATAAATAAACATTACTTACTACTTACTTACTTACTTACTAAAAAGCCAATCACTGCTTTATTGTAGCCGTTTTGGATCTGTTCTTCCCGTGTTACTTGAATTATGATTTTTAATGTTAACATATGTTTGTGTTTTGTTTTGCAAAGATGTGTGAAGCACTTTACAAAAAAAAGCTGCTATTTTGATCCACACTGTCTCTATCTATAGATGCCCTGGCAAGAAAAACATTGAAGAGCCTTTTGTGTAGAAATGATTAATTTTAAAGATATCGTGACAATATTGTTATCAGGAGTTGGACATTTTTATTTTTATTTTTGCCCATATAAAACTTCAGAATTTTAAAAAATAAATTATTAGCATTAGACTGCGTATTGTAATCTATATATAAAACCAAGTGCGCAGTTAACGGATGGTCTGACACAGATTGTCCGAGTTTCAGATAATCTCTGTGCTTTTTGTTTCAGTGTAAAAAGAATATTGTGCATGTAGTGATAGTTCTATTCTTCACAGGATTTCTTTGGAAAATCGGATCCGTTCCTGGAGCTTTACAGACAGACTGAGTCCGGATGGCAGCTGGCTCACAGGACAGAGGTGATCACAAACTTTATCCCGAATAAGCGCTCATCCATACTCCACAAACCAGACACATCCGGATTAGCCTTTCAAATTACACATTAAAACTAGACGGGAGGTTTTGTAAAGTTTGACCCACGATTTAAATTCACACAAACTCTATGAATGACAAATCTGCAGTCAAGTGTGAAGTGTAGACTGTATATATACGGAAAATGCTAACCCTCAATGAAGCCCAATAGGGAAGTGCTCATGGAAGAAGTTTTGCTCCACCTCTCTCTGGCTCCTATTGACTTGCATTAAAAAGTAAACGCTTCTTTCTCAGTAATTGTGTGTGTCGCACTCAACATTTTTGGGCTGAAATCTATGTTTTTGTGTTCTCTATGATCCTGGTGTTTATATTTATATATGGGGTGACAGTGGTTCAGTTGGTAGAGCATTGGCCTTTGAGCCTGAAGGTCGTGGGTTCTGTTGTTGTGTCTGTAGCTCGTTGTCTACTGTAGCTGTGGTTTATCACTATGTATGGAGTGAATGAATAATGACATCAGATTCAGATTCAGATTTATTTGCCATTTGCAGTAAAAAAAAACACATTGGAATACATTAGCTAAAAGTCTCCAGTGTGCACAGACAAATACAGACATAAAACAACATTAAAAGACAAAAATAAAACAAATAAAACAGTAAACAAATGTCACTGTGAAATCGATCGACTAAAACAGTTTCAAAACAAGTGCAAATCATTAAAGTGCTCTGTTCACACTGATAACAGCTTGGGGATAAAAACTGTTAGCGTAACGAGATGTCCTACATCTCAGAGAGCGATATCTTCTGCCAGAGGGAAGAAGCTGGAACATGGCTTTCCCAGGGTGGCCAGAAGAGTCATTAACAATCCTAAGAGCTTTGTTTAAAAGTCTGGATTTATAACGAACCTCCAGAACAGGAAGCTCACAGCCCACGGTCCTCTTTGCAGAGCGGAGCACCTTGTTTAACGCTCAATGTAAAGCATCTTTGAGTGTCCAAAAAAGTGCTGTATAAAAACCAATGCATTATTATATTTTGATAATGTCTTTGTAAATCCAGGTATGAGCCATGTGACAAATATTTATTGTCGTTTTGCAGGTGGTCAAATACAACCTAAATCCAGTCTGGAAGCCTTTCAGAGTTTCACTACAATCACTATGCAACTGCGACGTCGAGAAGTCTATCAAGGTAATCCACTTTTATTCATATTCGATTCTATATTCACAAATAATACTTAATTTTAGCTCTAGTTGATGTTGATTCTGTTTAAGTTGACGCGCACCTGTCAGCTGGAGGTTACTTCCTGGACACAGTGTGAGTGGATGTTGTTGGATGCAGTGGTCAAAGTCTGCTTTAGATCCATGAAGACTGTTGTAGCTGTGGTTTTATAGATGTGTTTAATGTGTTACTAGTGTCCTCTGTAATCACTAGTCATTGGTTGTTCAGCACTTTTTAGAAAAATGCCAAGGCGTTGTGATGCTGCCAAACAGAAAAATAGGGTTCAAAGTTCTAAATATAAGTCCTAAATTAGTCTCTTTTCTGGGAGATTTGAATAATTAGAACTATTCCAGCATAAATTCATAATATTTAAATTATCGGTCCTCAAAATGCCAAAACAATTTAATCTAATACATGTTTGCTTATTGCAGCATATGTATAAACCAGGGCTTGCTTTAAAGGGGCTGTATGTAATATTTTCATCGCTCATATTTGACCTTTTCTGAACTAAATTAAACTTGAGTTCTCCTTAATTCAATATACAATAGACATCCATTTGAGTGCCACTGTCTTCCTCATCAAAAACAGACCTGGAGTTGTTTTTACTTCCATCCACGCTAATATCAGGGAGCTCTGTCTTCTTGGATCATTTCTCCAATCAAATGACTTTCTCCATAACGGCGTGCCTCCAATTAAAGCTGGGGTACCTACATTTTAAACCTATAATAAAATCCACGTCCCTAAACTGCTTCCATCCATTTTTCCTCAATTTTTCAGACATAAAAGTGAAAAGAGAGGACCACCCTTACTCAGCCAATCAGCTCTCAGCCCAAATCGTGACTCACAGGGCTCTTTCTTACGTACGCAAAGTGAAGATGAAGCACGTTGATCTGATTTGTTCACCTAATTCTACATTACAACTATTTCCATAAAGTTTCTGACCAAAAATCCCCATCTTTAAAACACACGTCATCTTGGATTTGAATGTAAATATTGAAAATGTTCCTCCTGATTTGCTGCTGTAGTCTTTATGCAGCTCTGGTAGAAGTTACAAAAGTTGAAGACGAGATAATTACACAGGTTTTAGTGATTTTAGTTTTAGTGATATTCATTAGTATATTTGGCAAAACATCCAAGCAGTTTTTTTTTTCTGGAGATAGGATTAGTAGTCTGTCTTTTTCTGTGATTGACACTAGACTCCCAGAGCAGTCGATTTGACGGCTTTATAGTTTTGAAAGCGTAATTACGTACATTTTAGCACTTCATAACTATGTGACTATTTCTGTTTTCATTTGTTGATTATTTCTGTCTTTATTTTTCACTTTCTTTCACTTTTGATAATGTATTTAAGAAGTTTCTGTAAGTAGTAAGTGAAATGTTGGTTTTGGTTTTCCACCGGAGCAGAGAGAGAGAGTGCTTGTTACCATAGCAACACAGGTTACTTGCTAGCTGTTAGCATTTGGTCACTATTCATTACTTTTTTTGCTGTGTTTCTTTTGTATTTTTATTCACCAGGTTTTTTTGTGTGCAATTAAGAATTAAGAATAATAAGAGTGAGTGAAACTAAAATCCTTTGGTCTCAGAATTCTATTGGTTTGACTGGGGGCAGTCAAAATGGCGGCTCTGGGAGTTTTAGTCGTTCCTGAATTCTGCGAGTCCTACTGTTTAATCTACAGTTTGAGATTGCTGTGAGTCTCCCGTAGCATGCATTTGTCCTTCCTCCAGTTTAGCTTCATGTCACTGTTTTCACATAAACGTTTTTTTTTTTCTTCACATTTTCGTTGGTGCTTTTTGCAGATCGACTGTTACGACTACAATAACAGCGGCTCACACGACTTCATCGGGTCGTTTCAGGCCTCGCTCTCTCAGGTCCAGCAGGCGACACAGACATATGCGGTGAGTGACAGGTCTAATGAGCAGAGATCAACGCTTTTGTCCTGATTTGTAGATGGTTTTAAACTTGTTGGGCAGCGGGGTGGCTAAGATAAGATAAGATATGTCTTTATCCGTCCCACAGTGGGGAATAAAGAAATAGCACTCTCGCTTCTCAGCAAGAAGGTCCTGTTAAAATCCCAGTTGGAACATGGCCTTTTTTCTTAGAATACTGAAAAACCATAGTCATTCTTTGACTTCTTCGACCAGTTTTTCTAGTGAAGTATTGGTTCAAATTGATTCAGACCTAGGGTTATGAATTTTTGTGATATTTTTATTATTATGATTAGAATAGTTGGATGTGAATTCATTGTATTTCTGGAGCTCACCTTTTGTTTGTGTTGTAAATGTCTCCAGGCTGAATTTGAATGCGTAAACAGCAAGAAGAAGCAAAAGAAGAAAGGATACAAAAACTCTGGTGTCATCGTCATTAAGAAATGCAAGGTATACTCAAACTTTGATGTTGTTATTTCTGAATAAAAGAGTCCAATCTGGAATCAATGTTAGAAGAATATGTTTGGAATAGTGCCATCTTAATGACCTCACTGAAAACGATTTTGTGATTTGTGTGCACTGCAGTGAATGGTTCAGATGTCTAATGCGCTTTCTCTCTGCTCTTTTGCTGCGCTCTCTCTCTGCTCTCTCTCTCTTTTTCTTTGGTCTCTCTGTAGTTTCTTTCTCTGGTCTCTTTCTCTGGGCTCTCTGGTGTCTCTCTCTGATCTCTCTCTGGTCTCTTTGTTTTCTGGAAACGGTAGCAAAGCCTAGCAGCTCTGAAGATACTGTAAGATATTGTATGATAGATAGATACTAATGTATCTATCTATCATCTCTCTTTCTGGGCTCTCTGTCTGGGCTCTCTCTGGTCCCTCTGTCTGGTCTCTCTTTGGTCTCTTGCTCTGGTCTCTCTCTAGGCTCACTCCGTGCTCTCGCTGGTCTTCCTGTAGCCCTCAGTACTGCTCCTGCCCCTCAGTGTCTGCCTCTGCAGTGTGAGGATTTCACAGACTTAAAACATACAGATTGTACTTTGTGGATTTCACATATTGCAGATTATATTTTAGAACGGAACCCCGTGATAAATAAGGGAACACTGTATTCATAAACCGCCACTGATCTTATTTCTCTCTTCCTCAGATTATTAAAGAGTACACATTCTTGGATTACATCATGGGCGGCTGTCAACTTAACTTCACTGTAAGTAACGAGATATTGGCCAAATCTTGAGCAACATAAGTGCAGACATTCAAATCTGATTTATTTCCTCAAAACACAGAAAAATCTGACTTTGATCCCAGAGTGAAGTAACTACACAACAGCTTTGTATAAATTCAAAAACAACATACATACATGTATTGTACACACACACACACACACACACACACACACACACATACCAGTCTGTTGCGCTCCTCTGTGTCACGCAGCCTAAAGGATCCTCGCAAATACGCAGCTCCAGTCAAACCACATGAAACATGTTTGTGCTGCTGGTCCTTGGCATTAGATCAGCTCCACACACATCACTTTTTAACTTTAACTCAGACCTGTGAGACGCGTCACTCGCTGCTCTGACCATGTGGACGAGCCGTCTTTTGCTTAAAAATGCTTTAACCCGCAGCACAGCAGAATGGGACGATTAAAACAGCAGTTCTCTGTGCTAAGGTGCCGAAACTGTTGTGGGTTTTGGTGCCGCTGTCTCGGCTCTGATCCATTAGAACGCTCAGCTGCACATATGAAAAGTACGCGGCTCGAAATGGCTTTTATTTCAAAGAACGTGGACTATTTTAAACTACGCGGTTAACCGGTTTCAACCTGAGGCTCGGTGGTCGATCATGAAAATCCATAGTTTTTTACATCCCTAGTTGAATTGTTTACAAAAGAAAAAGAAACATGATCAAATACAGCTGGTTTTACATCCTAATTATTCTATATGAGTTTATGAGTGCCCTTAGTTTGACAATAGCTGCGTTTCCATTGAGCATCAAATTTCGAAATTTGAATTTGCGCATCATAAAATGTCTAATGGAAACGCGCAAATTTTGAATAAACCACAGTTTTTCGATAAAAAGTTAATGCGCTTAAAATCTGTGGTTTTTTGGACGTATCGAAATTAAGTTTTTCGCAAAACGGCAATGGAAACACTTATTTCGATATAGCGGAGGAAGCCGAGCTGAGCTTTATTCAGTGAGTTTTGGCTGCACTTCGTGTGGAGACTTGGGAGATACGTGGGAGAGGCATGGGGGAGAGACGGGGGAGAGACGGGGAAGAGGCATGGGGGAGAGACGGGGGAGAGACGGGGAAGAGGCATGGGGGAGAGGCATGGGGGAGAGACGGGGAAGAGACGGGGAAGAGGCATGGGGGAGAGACGGGGGAGAGACGGGGGAGAGGCATGGGGGAGAGACGGGGGAGAGACGGGGGAGAGGCATGGGGGAGAGACGGGGGAGACAGGCAAGACCCGTGTCTATGGTTCTGTGCGCGCGTCTATGGTCCGCGCTCGGTACATGACCACACGCGTTCGCGGAGCTGTCAAAGCAGCCACAGTTTCTCCCGGGGTCAGAGAGGATGAGAGCCGCAGCAGAAGTCAAGACATTAATATATCTCACGTAAATCAAAGTGTTGTTTACTTCTGTTGCCATGTTGACGTACTAGAAACTAGTGAATAAACGCGCAAAAATAGTGTATACTTATTCGAATATGTCTTAATGGAAACGGCCGCTTTTGCAAATTACAGGTTTTTCGAATTTTGAAATGTATCGAAAAAGTTTTTGCGCATTATTCAATGGAAACGCAGCTAGTAAGACTAGGGATGTCCTGCTCCGATAATGACAAATGGACTTGTTTGACTCATGAGGAAAACTACAGCCCTGATTACAATGTCGCTGATCTGTATTATAAAAAGTGAACTCTCCATAGACTGTATATTAGTAGTGGACGTCTCAATAGTATATGTATTTGACGAATGTGGAAGACGTTGATTTAAAAGATAGCTGGAGCCAATTTCCTTAAATGGGCATTTCTTCCGACTAGGTTTGCTTCGTGCCTAAACAGGGGCAGATGGTTTTGTTAAGATCGTTGCTAAGGCAAGTTTGAGTTTCCCCTGCGAGTGAGAATGCATCTGATTGGTCAATCATTATATGGCTCATATCTGTATTTACAAAGTTTATATCAAAATGTAAAAACCAGGATCACAGAGAGCGTTAAACCTTAAATCTGTTAAGTTTGATTGACAATTTATGACTTCACACAACCACTAACAATGAGTTTAAAATCTAATAGTATGGCCAAAACAAGTTAAATCTCAGCTGGAGTGTGTACTTTTCCAAACACAACTTTATCTGCGAAAGGATGAAACAACACTGGAAAGCATTATATTGGAGTTCTAGTTTGTGCTTCATGTTTGTACCCATGTTGTATATACATTATTATCGCACTATATGAACCATGTCTCTGTCAGATTGCCATAGACTTCACCGGCTCTAACGGAGACCCCCGGACCCCCCAGTCTCTGCACTACATCAACCCTCAAGGCTACAACGAGTATCTGGCTGCGATCTGGTCCGTGGGAAACGTCATCCAAGACTACGACAGGTAAGTTCAATACAATGTTCAATGGAAAAGAACACATTTTTATGTCAAATATTGCATTTTTTTAGTGACAAGATGTTCCCTGCTTTTGGGTTTGGAGCCATGATCCCACCAACATGGCATGTGAGTGTTTGCATTTATAGCAGAAGTTGAAATTGATAAAAAATTGGGTAATAAATGCCTAAATCAAGTGTTTTTATTTTACATTATGACTGTCTTAAAACAACACAATTGCTTTATTTTCTCATTCTAAGGGAGACGTGTATCTTTATGATAATTTGTTTTGTCCCACTGGCAAATCTTGTTTTAAAGTAGCTCAAATTAAGATGCATTTTGCCAAATTTGAGTACATTTTGAATTCTTTTTCTTCCCTTTTTGCGGTGTACATTCTAACGGCTGATTCCAGTACAGTTCATATTCATTAACAAACTCATGTACACCACATTTCAGGCTTCAAACATAAATATATAGAATACAAATGTTTTGTCATGAATCAACAACAAGTGGGACACAATCGTGAAGTGGAACGAAATTTATTGGATAATTTAAACTTTTTTAACAAATAAAAAACGGAAAAGTGGGGCGTGCAATATTATTCGGCCCCTTTACTTTCAGTGCAGCAAACTCACTCCAGAAGTTCAGTGAGGATCTTTGAATGATCCAATGTTGTCCTAAATGACTGATGATGATAAATAGAATGCACCTGTGTGTAATCAAGTCTCCGTATAAATGCACCTGCTCTTTGATAGTCTCAGGGTTCTGTTTAAAGCGCAGAGAGAACCATGAAGACAAAGGAACACACCAGGCAGGTCCGAGATACTGTTGTGGAGAAGTTTAAAGCCGGATTTGGATACAAAAAGATTTCCCAAGCTTTAAACATCTCAAGGAGCACTGTGCAAGCAATTATATTTAATCTCAATCAAGGAGAAGACTGATCAGAGATGAAGTCAAGAGGCCCATGATCACTCTGGATGAACTGCAGATAACTACAGCTGAGGTGGGAGAGTCTGTCCATAGGACAACAATCAGTCGTGCACTGCACAAATCTGGCCTTTATGGAAGAGTGGCAAGAAGAAAGCCATTTCTCAAAGATATCCATAAAAAGTCTCGTTTAAAGTTTGCCACAAGCCACCTGGGAGACACACCAAACATGTGGAAGAAGGTGCTCTGGTCAGATGAAACCAAAATCGAACTTTTTGGCCACAATGCAAAACGATATGTTTGGCGTAAAAGCAACACAGCTCATCACCCTGAACACACCATCCCCACTGTCAAACATGGTGGTGGCAGCATCATGGTTTGGGCCTGCTTTTCTTCAGCAGGGACAGGGAAGATGGCTAAAATTGATGGGAAGATGGATGGAGCCAAATACAGGACCATTCTGGAAGAAAACCTGTTGGAGTCTGCAAAAGACGGAGATTTATCTTCCAACAGAACAATGATCCAAAACATAAAGCCAAATCTACGCTCTCCATCCAACCTCACTGAGCTCGAGCTGTTTTGCAAGGAAGAATGGGAAAGAATTCCAGTCTCTCGATGTGCAACGCTGATAGACATACCCCAAGCGACTTGCAGCTGTAATTGCAGCAAAAGGTGGCGCTACAAAGTATTAGCGCAAGGGGGCCGAATAATATTGCATGCCCCCCTTTTCAGTTTTTTATTTGTTAAAAAAGTTTAAATTATCCAATACATTTCGTTCCACTTCACGATTGTGTCCCACTTGTTGTTGATTCTTGACAAAAAATTTAATTTTTATATCTTTATGTTTGAATACTTTTGCAAGGCACTGTATCTTGCATAACATGAATAAAATGACATATTAAACTACATAAAGCAACACAATAACACAGAAATAATATCCATGCATCAGACAGTAAGTGGTACCAGCGTGTGAAGCACAGACAGTAACTAAATATGGTGTGAAGTTTTGTATATTGCCCAAAAAGTCTTTCAATATAATTTTGGACATACATAATTTATTAAAAATGTGTTGACATAAAGCAAATGATAAGGACATCAGCCAATCAGCGCTCCAATCAGCATCATATATATTTTGATGTAACAAGGGTTTGCTTTAACAATGCACTTTCTGGAAGGAAAGATAATGTACATATTACTGAGAATAGATTTCAAATAAATCCTGTTTTGTCTATGCAGGTTTCTCATGAGTTTCCCATCAACTTTAACCCAGCAAACCCATTCTGTGAAGGTTTGTCAGTTCATTGATCTCATCACATAGTATACAGTATATATATATATATAGCATAATGTCTGTGGACTTCTTCCATTGTTTGTGAATGCATGTATTGTTTTTGAAATAGCATGTTGTAATGTTTGGTCTCGTTCGTCTGGCCTCAGGTGTGGAGGGAGTGGTGACAGCGTATCAACAGTGTCTGTCTCAGGTCAAACTTTATGGACCCACAAACTTCTCTCCGATCATCAACCACGTGGCTCAGTTTGGACGGCAAGCCATGCAGCAGCAGACGGCCTTGGTGAGACCCCAGAGCTGTTACTTTTATCCAAAACATAGTACGAGAATGGCCTGGTCAAAGAAGAATCATGTTCAACTTCAAGTTCATGATGACGTGAATGTTAAAGTGAACATTTTACTTGCTTTATCTGTTTTTATCACCCTGGCCTGTACCATTGACTATATATAGATGGCCTACAGTGAAAAGTAAACTCCTCTAGCTCAGTTACTGTCAAAAATAATCCGTGGTTTAGCGCTTTCTGTGATCTTTTAGTTTCATATTGTCTTTGTAAATCTATACGTGAGCCATAAAGATTTAACTATCTGAAGCCTTTTGCAACTTATACCCCAGCTTGCCTTAGCAACCCTGTTTAGAAACGTGTTAGTTAGTATCCTCCCCTGCTACAGTGCGTAGGTAACCCCTGTATAAAGTAATTGGCTCCAGTTAGCTTATGTTCAAATTGGCTTCTATGGTTCACTTCTACAGTCTCTGGCCTGTACTCCTAAATTGCAGTTGTTCTTTCCCTATGGAAGCTCTTTGCTCATAACGGTTGCCTTTACAAAGTTGTAGATTCGCCAACATCAGACAAAGAATCACACAGTTCTAACCATAGACTGTAAATATTAACGTAGTCAGGCCTATTTCCGCCATTGGAACTAATGTGCCACCACTTTCGCCTTCTATGAGGCTTTTCAAAATGGCCGCAGGGTTGTAAAATGGGAAAAAACGAATCTGTGCATGCGTCAGCCGGCACTAGCCCCATTCATTTGGCAAGTGCCTTCAAAATTCCACAGCGACTAATCTAGACTGGTCAAAAAAAACACACTCCCCCCTGCATTGACACTCATGTGGAACGTAGCGTTGGGCCAAGAGCCGACTTTTGGACCATCCTGTAAACCCGTTTTCGAGAGGTAAGAAAATGCTATACATTAGCATTGGCTAAATCTTTGTCCGGGTCCTCGCCTATTGGCCCGGGGTGGTATTGCAAGCATGTCAGCACACGGCATTGTGGACATTTTTGAGCCGGGACCAGCCCCCACTGGTCCTAACACAGAAAATGCCGCGATTACAAACACATAGGAGCCATTGGTCCATAGGGGGCGGGATGACCAATGTCCATAAATGTCCTGGATCTTCACTGTCCTTAGACCCTCTTAAATCTGCAAGGAAAGACTCAAAAACCCAGTCCAGCTCTACCTGTCTATGTCCCTTTAGAAATACTGCCCGTCTTACATTGTCTATCATACAACAGGAAGTAATGCTCTCCTTTTCTTTGGTGAATTTGTTTTTTCTTGTCTTGGCAGCAATACTTTGTGCTGCTGATCCTCACAGACGGCGTGATCACGGACATGGACCAGACGCGCAGTGCCATCGTCAACGCCTCCCGTCTGCCCATGTCCATCATCATCGTGGGAGTGGGTGGAGCCGACTTCAGCGCCATGGAGTTTCTGGACGGAGACGACGGCATCCTGCGCTCCGCCTCCGGGGAAGCGGCCATGAGGGACATCGTGCAGTTTGTGCCCTTCAGAGAGTTCAATAATGTAAGAATCTTTCATTGTTGTGTGGTTTGGTTCTTGTGACGTGTGTGGGTTGGGTTCAATACAATAACATTCTTAATCATTTGACACAAAGTACATAATCCATGATCATTTCTAGCAGTGGTTGCTCTTAAAATGCATTAGAGCTTTGTTAATAAGGTTGAAGCTGGGGTTCCTAACTTTCAGACCACAGAAACCTGATCAATGTATTTAAAGTCCATTTAAATAGTTGCCCTCAAAAGTGTTTGGTTCTATCACTAGTTTCACATTCATGTATCTATGCCCTCGCTATGAATGACCCACATAATCACACGGTTAGTACTCTCGCTTCTCAGCAACAAGGCTCTTTCTTATTCACATGCAAAAGGTAACATGTTTCCTAATGAGATGAATACAGCATGTTGTGGTCTTATTTGTTCACAACATTTTCTTTTTACAAGACAATTGAACATTTTTGTGGAGTGAAAGTTGGTCACCCCAGTAGAAGGACAGCTCAAAACATCCATATTCATTTTAATTCATCCACATAACATCTAACTTATTCTAACTTATTTAGATATTCTTTAACATTCTCAAAATTTGCATAGACTAGGCTTGAGCTGGTTAGATGCATAATCGACATGTAATTTTCATTCTATTCCTTTCACTTAGTTTTCACAATTCTGATATTATTTGAGCTGGTTTCAGATTTGGTTTTAGAATCACTTTATTCTACTATGACGACTCAATGTGATTTTTCCACCACTGACTCCACATAAAGCATCACACAACCCTATTTCCCACAAACTCTCTACTGTGTACCTATCTACTGATTCCAGGCAGGTGCAGCAGCACTGTCCCAGAGTGTTTTGGCCGAGTTGCCCGATCAAGTGGCTTCCTTCTTCAATTTGTTTGACCTGAAGCCCCCCACCGAGCCCACTCCCTCATAAGGAAACGTAGGCTGTGTTCTCCTTTAGCACTGTCCTCTGTCAACAATTCAAACAAAAAGCTTTGCACGTGCATCTCTCCTGCTCTCACTGTTTTGATTTAACACATTATCCTTCAGCATGTGTGCAATGTTAGATGCTGGTGATTTTCTAACAATCTACTATCTGCATGTTTCTCACTTGTAACTAATATGTTGAGCGTGTTTCCAAAGCACAAGAAATTGGAGTACATTCAATTCAATATATTTTTTATACTGCTATATTATCCTAAATCACAGCAGCAGTCGTCTCGGAGACGACAAAGCTGTCGATTCTGCAAAAATAGATCAGAGAATCAAACGAAATGCATTGGAGCCATTGGTACATAGGGAACGGGATAACCACTGTCCATAAATGTAAACAAAAAACTGTACTTATCTGAGAGAAGCGTTCACATGGGTGGCCTCTGTTGGGTGGGATTATCAAACCGGTCTGAAGAGTTTTGGTCCTGCCTCCATGCGCCCTGTGGGAAAAATGGTCAAGAGTCCAGACATATCTTCACACATATAATATATGCAGCTAAACAGAACAGTTTTAACCTGGATGATGTCAAAGTCGAAGCCTGTCTCAGATTTTCAGGAAGATGGTTCCATACTTTAGCTGCATAAATCTGAAACTCTGCCTCCTCATAATTTGGTGGTGTTTACATGGAGACGCTGAGACAGTAAAACGTTCGAGTTGGGTGTTGCTTTTGCCTTCTGTTTACATGAAGACGGTCTTTCAGGGGGGGGGGGTGAAAAAAGTGTTGAGAAACAGCCTCCAGACTGGAACAGAACAGATGCTCGGCGGAGGCTGTTTCACTGCCGAGTGAAGAAAAAGTTGTAAATTCTCTGCTGTAATGACCTCGACTTCTGCACATAGATTTGGACATGCGTAGTAACAGAGAACAAACATAAGCAACAATTGCAGCAGATTAACTAATGCTATGTGTGCTTCGAGTGCTACACGGAGGAGGATTCTACTCTTTCGTCAAAATGAAACCACGCAAAGCTCTAGTTTTAGTTTCCATTTCTGCTGCTGCTGTTAAATGCAGAATATTGGTTCATTCTTTCACGTCTTTGTGGTGGCCATGGAGAGACTTGTTCACAACCAGAGCTGCTTTAAAGTCTGTTTTCTGAGCCACAGGAAGCCAGTGCAAAGACCTGTACTATATCTGTCCAAATACATACATGCATTAGAATGGCGTGCACGTGCACCTCGGTAGCACGTGTTTACATGCGTCTTCATCAATCAGATTGAATTGGAGTAGAGATAAGATAAGATAAGATGAGATATTCTTTATTTATCTCACAAGGAGGAGAAATGTACATGTCACATTGGCATGGATAGGAACACTCAAGATTGTGCAAGAGAATGTTGTTTTCACTAGTGCTTTGTAAACACGCTCAGTGGTTCTAACCCTAACTAGCTACAGTTCTAATGGTGAGAGTGGAGGTCAAAACGGAAGCCTAGTTGAGCGGTAACGCTGAGTTGGTAACACCGAGTATAAATTCTTAGCCAACTGTCTTACATTAGCACTAGAAAGAAGTCCGCAGCTGAAATCAAGTCCAAACCAGTTCACCAATTACCACTTTAATCATAAATACATTAAATATTTACATTACATTTTACATTACATTGTATTTTTAAATACAATTACAGTACATGTGAAACATGATTGGTGGACCCATTATGAATTTGGATTGAGTTCCACTTCATTACTACTCGAACAAAAGTTTGATTACCACTGGGGTTTACACATATGTTTGAGTGCGACAGTAGCTCATGGTTCCACCACGATACACGACACCCTATCGACCGCATACTACTGCAGTGTCCTTGTGCAAGACAGTGAAATAAGTATTAAAGCTGAGGTCCCTATCATTTATGTTCCCAAGATATTAAATACTTGTTAACCAACAGAAAGAGTCTTCTCCAAGTAACATTTTGTGAATAAGACCACAACATGCTTAACATGCTTAGAAAACACTGTGAGTCACTAGTTGACAGTTTGGGCTGAGAGCTGAGGGTGGTCCTCTCTTTTTCACTGTTCTGTCTGAAAGAACTGGCCAAAAATACACACGAATGTGAAAAGTAGGGATGGAAGCCAACTGTTTAGAGGAACCATTTACATTGTGGTTTAAAAGATAGGTACCCCAGCTTTTAGGTTACTTTTGTCAAGTGTGAATCTCTGTGGCTCTGATCCTAATTTCTCATTGTGACAATCATGGAAATAGATCTAATTTAATTATTATTTATTTCCTAAACTACTCTTATTTTTTTATTTTTAGGGTCCTCCGGAAATGTTGGCTCAGAGCGTTTTGGCTGAAGTCCCTGGACAAGTGGCAAGTTTTTTCACTTCTATGAATTTGAGGCCTCCCAACAGCGGTGATGCGCCAGCCTGAGGCATTGACTACACTGAACTCACATCCACACACCAAAGATCACAGTGGATCACGTCTGGAATTTGGGGATTAGGATTAGACCAAGACCAAGTCCGAATCCAGGCCACATCTGATTCATCTGACCGGGAACTTGGACACAAACATGATCCACAAAAATTCAACAATCAAAACTAGTGACGTAAAACTAGACCAGAGGACAGATGGAGCCTTCAGTCCAGGTTTTCTTTGATCCTTTTCTAATACTAATCCAGATCTAGTCCTAATCTAGGCCTTTTTCATAATTCAGTTATAAAGTGTATGTATAATTTTGAAATAATGTAACAAGAATCAGTGTTCCTGCTCACTTATTTTGAGCAACCTTTTTTTTGATGATAACGATGTGCCTTGATGGCTATTTTGCTTTTTTATTGATATTTCTCAAGTTTGTGTTGCCAGTTTCTTTGGGAAAAGCCAGTACATTTTAAATCACGCAAAAATGGTTTCATTGTCACCAGACCTGAAGAAACAATTCTAATTTGACATTAAAATTTCAGTCCTGTTGTAATTTCAATGACTAACACAATGTACAGTGGTCCATCGCTATGATGCGGTACCCTTTGCTTTTGTGTGTGCAGCGCTCAAACCCACAACCAACTGATTTGATATCTCTGGTCCCTCTCACTTCAGCATTAGTGAGTTCAGGTGATTAGAAAAGTGTATAAAGTGTGTGTGTGAGGGGTTTTACAGCTTTAAAACATACAAGGATTTCGCAATAAACGTGAGACCACTGAACCGGATCAGACTACAAACTTACTTACAGCCTTCCAATGGGTTGTTAGTTTTATCGGTGAAATCAAGCTGGTTTAGTCCCTCACTTTTTACTGCGCATGATTGCACAATTATACATATGAAAATAGGGTTAAAATCAAACTTTTCTATGGCCTATGTGCAAGTGTGAATATGTCCAAAATTCAGACTAGACCTGGATCGAAACTACATTAATATTTGGACTGAATCAGAGCTAAACTTTGGTGAAACTAGGTCTAAAAGTACCATTTGGATTATAACCCTGGATTCAGACTTATTGAACTGACCAGAGTGTAAAACTTTCCAATCAAAGAACATTTTAAAAACTTTTTTCAAACAACAGAAATACCTCCTTCAAAAAATGAAGTCACAACAACAAGTACTGAAAAGTTTGGTAAAAATATATATATTTTGTTCAGATTCAGTTTACTTGCCTTTTGCAGTAAAACCACATTGGAATACATGTACAAAGGTCCCCAGTTTGCCCCAGACAAGTACACGCATAAAACAAGTACAGTAAACAATTGTCACTGTGAAATCAATCAACATTACTAGTTTATGTATGTTTTTTTTACACCCATAGTGTGTAGCAGTAAAATAGCTTTCACAATCATGTAATGGCTTCATGGAATTAGATTGAACTTTTAATAGCATTTATAACATATGTGCATTTGCTTTGAACGTCAAAGAAATAACTGGAAATAATATCCAATAGTTTTCATTTTATATTTTTTAACTTTTTCTTTTTAAATCTTAGCCATAATCAATAATCTTGAAGCTAATCCAAATATTTACAAGTGCCAATTTTTTACTGAAAGCCATACTTTCTTATCCTGTTTTATGTTATGAGTATGCACTTTTTAACTATGTATGTAACTATGACTTTAAAAAGCTGGAAGCAGAGGACTCCATTATTGTGTTTTTCATCATGATTTAATAGTTTTCTATGTACATTCAAAATCCGTATCAAACCTTTATTAAATGCTTTAATGTATATATCTCTGTCTTATGCTGCTGGATCATCTCTTTTTACTTCTAAATATGTGTATCTCTGGAATATCCATCATCAAAATTGGCATGTTTACAGCACAGTAATAATCAGATAACAAGACTTGAAAATGAAAAAGTGCTTTCAAGTGTTAACTTTTGTCTGTGTTTATGACTCCACTGACTGTTATGGCACTCATGTATAATAAAATATTCTTTTATGTTGCTAATATAAACAACAATGTAAAATGACTTGTCCTTTTGTAAAATACTTAAAATGGATAATGTGATGTTTCAAAATAATGTTTTATAATGCATCATAAAATATAAATTAACACTATGCTAATGTGTGGTGTTATTTCGCGTGGAAATTCTACCTAAAAGTTCTGAATTTAAAAATGTTCTTGTTTTCATGCTGGTGATTATAAGCCCTTGTCATGTGAGCATTAAAACACTTCCCCACTGTGGGACAGGTAAAGGTTCTACTATCTACTTCTACAATATTGTATTTGTTTTAAAGCCACCCATTATAGACTTGTCTCACTGTCAATGGACCAACACATTACTCATAAAGGAACAACGTATGGAAAGCATGAGTCATGTTTAGAAAGGAGGTCAAAAGGGGAAAAGAAATGTGTATTTGTTTTTAAATCTCCGGTGGCTTTAATTTGAATGAATGATAGACAGGCTAATTACATACAAAATATAACTTAAAAGGGTGTCCGGGTAACTAATATGTCTGAGGTTTAATAGTGAAAATTAATAGTAGTAGTAGTTTGTATTAATAATATCAATAGTAGTGGTGTCCCTCCAATGAGTCTGGTAAGTGCCAATGCCAGTGGTTGCCTCACTTCTGTCAGTGTGCCCCAGGGCAGCTGAAGCAACAGTAGGAGTTTATCTCCACCAACAACATGTGAAGCGTGTTTGAGTGTCCGAAAAATATATATGCTATATCTTTATTTATTTATCTTATTTTATTTTTTATTTTTATTTTTATTACAAAAAACGCAAATATACAAACTATACATACAATGACGAAGACAAACAAAAATATATACATTATATACAGAAACAAATGACATTCATAATGGGTATAAAGAAATAAGGGTTTATATATGAATTTGAGATTTTAATGACTAATATTAGAGAGAAGGTGCATAATTATTGAGACTAAGAATATAGGGGGGCATTAGGGGAGACATGAGTTTTTATTTATGTAAAAGATATATGACGTATGACTTATATACAGTCTATGCGTATGACGTAGCGCTTACGCAGCGTGCCCGCTTACGTCACTGCCTGCCGTCCTCGGTGCCGCCTCTTTTCGTGTGGTTGGAGTATTTTCTTTCCTCACCCCGTTACTGATCTGCGAGTTTTACCTGAGTTCTCGCACACTTTGAAAGGTAAGCTAGCATTTTAATACACTTCAAAGATGCTAACTATGACATTGTTGCAGGGCTAGCATAGCGGCTAACACGCTGAGAGGAGCAATGTTGTTGATGAAGCTTCACTCTTTCCACTCCTCCTGTTCCTCTTGTCAACTTTTCCACTTACACTTCTTTTTCATTTCCTTTTCTGTCTTGCCACGTATTCCCTAAAGACTTAACCATAGTGCAGTCATTTTGTTAATGCATTTCTCACTATCTACGTCTCAGTTCTATCACTTGTTCACTGACAGGGCGTGTACTGTATTTACGCAAGGTTTAGACGTTCTGTAGCCGTGTTCGGGATTAGATCTATGTAATAACAATCCCGAGACCATTATTACCCTCTTACTCTTATTTTGGCAATCACTAAATATAATAAGTATGAATTTACTAGTGTTCATGGCCATGGGGAGCTTTGAGTATATGGACCATAACTCATCAGTCATTGGGTCAATACGATTTGTCTAGTGCAATTCATTCAATTAGTCTAAATAATTGTTTTGTCAGGGCTGGATTATAATAGTAAAGCCTTCAATCTGTAATAATATTAATTAAGTATTATCTTAAATTATCTAACTCACAGATAGACTAAAGAAACAGATTGAAATGTATTCTAAAGCCTACTCAGGACATTTAAGGACATTTATGCACATTTGTTATCCTTTATGGGCAGTGGTCATCACGTTCCCTATATTATTCTTGCATGTCCTGTGTTTGAGTCTCCGATCTGTTGTTGGGGCAAATCAACAACTTTGTTAAGACCGAGACGACTATTTTTGGGATTTAGGGCTATACAAAATAAACTCAAATTGATTGAACTGAACTAAGTCTTTGCAGTTGAATATGTCATTTTCAGTTCCCAAAACCCAAAAAGGTTTGGACTGGGCCTTCCCATACTTAGCAGTAGACTCATAGATATATTACCAGAAGATTTTAATGGAAATCAGGCAAATTAATATTAATAATAGTTTGAAAGTGAGACAAACACAATCTGATCCAATATCTGATCCACATTCTATATTAAGAGATTGGACCCTCATTTAAAACGGCTTTGTCTATTAAATCGCGACACAAAATCCCATTTCAATTAAACATTTCCCAGCCACAGTTGTTTTCCCAGAGCAAGTAACAAGTGCTTAAAGAATAACACTCCAGGGACTAGGTTTGTAGCAACACCAGAAAGAAAGTAAACCAAATTTTTTTTTATGTTTCTACTTTAAAGATGGCGGCGCAGTGTGTGACGAAGGTGGAGTTGACCGTTTCCTGCGAGAATCTTTTGGACAAAGACATCGGCTCCAAGTCCGACCCTCTGTGCGTTCTGTTAATGAGCAGCGACGACAGCAAGTGGTATGAGGTCAGTGAATGATTCTCGTGCACAGTGGAATAGGGAATGTTCACAGTAAAGAGTCAATTAAAGTGTCTGGACTTTAAAGGTTATACTGTAACTCAAACTAAAATCACCATCAGAGATTAGAGAAAATGTTTCAAACACAGGCATATCCAGGAGATATTGTGAATAAAAGCAAATGAAAAACAATCTAATTTTTGACCCTTTAGTGTGAGCAGGCCCAATACTGTCACATCATGTCTGACCACTACTGCAGCTTCATACAGACTTTCATCATAAGAAAAACAAGTCTGCACTCAAACAGCTGTGGAATAAGGGTGGGATGGCAAAATGTACTTTCAAAAACTTTGGATCATGTTCTGCTTCCCATTGTCGTTTACACACTCAGACACCCAAGATATTTTTTTTTTTTTTAGAACTATTCATACAAGTTTGAGTAATTTATAATCTCTTACTCTCCCCTGGATGCTCTGACCATTGCACTAAAACTGTTGTTAGTTTCTTTGTGGAGTGATTTTCCTTTTTGAGTCTGTGATACAGGGATGATTTGGTAGCAATGCTTCAATACTTATTATCCACTGATTGCTAATTTGATCTGCAGTTTGAGTGCAGGTCCTAATGTGTGGCACTTATTTAGTCCTTCCCCTTAAATTCTGGGATTCTTCCTATTATTGATTGATTTTGCGAATGCGTATGTTGTTTGATTTAGTGATTGATCTTAATCTAGCTACAGCAGGTATATTGCAGCATTCACATCATTTTAGAAGAAATGCAAGAACATGTTTCTTGGTCATCAACCATTGTACTTAAATACATATCCAGGATTCATGTACCTACATCAACCTAGTACCTACACATACTCTCTCATACACACATGTGTATATAGACGTATTTTTTTTTTGAAATATCACTGCTGTAGAGGAGATCTGCATGGAGGAATGGGCCAAAATACCGGCAGCAACAGTGTTTGAAAACCTTGTGAAGACTTAAAGAAAATGTTTGAACTGTGTCATTGCCAACAAAGGTAAATAACAAAGTATTGAGATTAACTTTTGTTATTGACCAAATACTTATTTTCCACCATAATATGCAAATAAATTCTTTAAAATTCAGACGCATTTCTGGATTTCTTTCCCCTCATTCTGTTGAGGTTTACCTATGTTGAAAATTACACGCCTCCCTCATCTTTTTAAGTGGGAGAACTTGCACAGTTGGTGGCTGAATAAATACTTTTTTGCCCCTCTGTATGAGACTTTTTCTTTTTTTTTTTTTAAATAGAATGTTTTTACGGCCTGTTGAACCTGAGTGAGTGTGAACCAGAGTCAATGTTTAACCCAAAGTGGAAACTTCTGAGTTTAGTAAATCCTCAGGACGTGACGACATCATGAGTCAATCTGTCCATATGACATCACACATTTCCAAAGGGTCTCTGCAATAATAATAATAATGATAGGGTCAATGGAAGCTACAAATTCAATGATATGTTGTACTCGTCCAAAAGAAATCAATAATATTCAACATTACTATGAATTAATGAATTTTCGAGACATGGCAGACAAGAACAAGTAACAACAACAAAACAACAATAGAATAGAAAATACATATACAGTATGTTTTGTTTTATTAACAAAAAGTCAGCTCGAAAAGGAGTGGGAAGAATTTAAGACTTAAACTTCCACCCCCTATTTATTTTTCTAGTTTAATTCACTTTAATGATGTGGTTGCAATAGCTTAGCTTAGTCAGTGGTATATTTACATTGACATTCACAATAATATGCACTGGATGTATACAGTAACATGTATAATACGTTTATATTCTTGCTACCTTAATAACTTATATGCCTTTACGTCTCCATGCTTCCCATGTTCTCCATCTGAAATCTTAACATTCTAGACCAGGAGACTTTTTTGTGCAAATGTTTTGGTTTTTTGAGCATTTAACCACATATGTTACAACATCTGAATCAGACCTGGAGTTGTTTTTAGCTCCATTCATGCTATTCTCAAGAACTTCTGGCACAAATATGTAGCTCTGCCCCTTCTGAGTAAAAACTGTCAGCTCAGTGGGATGTCATTGTTTAAAAAAGACGATAAATGAGGACGAATCATACCACTCTTGATGCCTTTTAGTGAACTTCATATTGTATCATCTCTTGCTCATGTTTACATCTCGTTTTTGCAGGTGGCCCGCTCAGAGAAAGTCCAGAATTGCCTCTCCCCAAAGTTTGCCAAGAAGTTTGTGGTCGATTACTATTTTGAAATTGTGCAGAAGTTACGCTTTGGAATTTACGACATTGACAACAAAACCATCGACCTCAGCGACGACGACTTTTTGGGAGAGTTGGAGTGCACTTTAGGACAGGTAAGAAGCTGCAGTGAATGCTAGAAACCACCCAACCCTGCGTTTCATAGAATGTAGCTATAGACTGTATGTAGATGGACAATGCTAACCCACTAGCTTAATGAAGCCCAAAAGGGAAGAGCCCATGGAAGAAGTTTTGCTCCGGTTCCAATTTACTTTAATTTGAAGTAGTAAACTCTAGCTCAGTAACTGTTTGTGTCTCACTCACCATTTTAGGTTTAAAAAAATCTGTGGTATAGTGCCCTCTTTGTGTTTATATTTTGCTTATATGAGCCTTAAGAAAAATTCTCCAGTGGGAAACTCCAGCATACCTTAGCAACCACCTTAGCAACATGTCTATCCATGGATCTATTCTAGTGTCTGGATTGGGTATTACTAGTTTGGATCTGAAGGACCCATGTGCTCGGGGATTCCCGCGTTACTGCAGACTAAATAGGACTAAATTCACATTCCAGAAATGTTCCCTATAGAACTCAATGTAAACTAAAACAGCTGAACTCTGTTGACAGAGAACTTACAGCTTTCATAAATGTTGGATTTTTTTGGGGATTTTAGTATCCCTTGTCGTCTTGAACTTTATTCTTCTTAAATCCTTTAGTTTTTGATAAATCCACTTTTTAGTGCAACAAACTCTGCTCGATTGTTTCCCGCTCTGGCTCCGCTCTGGCTCCGCTCTGGCTCCGCTCTGATCAGCAGCACCTGACACGCCGTGCCCCTCTGACAGCCACACATGTATTTGGTGGAGGGCGTCATGGGATCTCGTCCACTGCGCAGAACCGGGGGGATCATAGAAATGACCAAATAAGGGCTTTTTCCGCTTTCTGCATTTGCAATGTATAGGCATATAAGCATATACATTAAGTGGAACTTTATCATAAAATCCATGTACGTAATTTGTTCTTATCTCTTGATCACTAAAATTATTTTATTGTATTTTATTTTCTGGACTCACATCTCTCAATCAGTTTTGTCAGGAAAGTGAATAGTAGAGGATCGCTCTCAGCCCATAGCCTCAAAAAGTGGCTTACAGGGTTCTTTCTGTACAATATAAAATGTTTTCTAGCAGCATTTTATATTTCTACTTGATCAGGAAAATGGTTAGTTGCTTTAGCTTTAAGACTTACTGAAATGTGTCCTGTGTCATTTGTGACATGGGGCTATTCTGTCAATTCGTACTTCTACTCAAGTATAATACATTTGATTTCACTGTAGTGTTGTTAATTTTCCTGCATCTGTGCTTTCACATAAGCCTCAGAACTGGTTTCATATTCACTTGTGTTTATGTTGTAACAGGATGCTCTTTGTTAAACGTCCTTCTCTAACTGTGACCAACCATCAACATTCACCTGTGTCTCTGCTGGCTTCACACACTTGACAATGTAATACTTAGGATTACTACATATGTCTTGGCAGTACTGAATAAACTCAACAAGACATGGAAAAGGCAGTTTTTTTTCAAAGGTCAGATTTTAGGACAATTCAAATAAAGTTTTATCCCTTTTTGATACAATCCTTTCAAAATCTACTGCCAACAACGACACATTATTGAAGATTGTAACTAGAAGACTACATATTCCAAATTGAAATCTGTTTTGCAAAATCATTCTTGAACACACTTTTCACAGTAACGGGTTCTATCTGGAAGTGTTTACAGTTTTACAAAAATATCCTTTGATTTTATATATTTCTTTATATTTGCTGTGAAATAGTTGTAGATGTGCAACTACTGCGAGAGAAAGTGTATATACACTTTCTCTATTCTACTGAACGCTTTTTTAGGTATTGCAGCATTTCCCTTTGTTCTGAGAGCTGACAATAACATAATAAATCTGCTGCTACTACTACTAGTACTATCTAATAATAATAATAATAATAATAATATTGCTACTTCTGCTAATACTACTACTACTACTACTACTACTACGACAGTGAGTGTTTGGTCCATGTGGATTCTGACACTACTTGTTTGTATGGACTCTTCTAAATGCTGTGTAAACTTGTGTAGGTCGTGTCAAGTCGAAGATACACTCGGCCCCTTGTTTTAAAGAACAAGACTCCAGCAGGAAAAGGCACCATCACAGTGAGTGCAAATATACATCACATACACCGTGCAAAACGCTTTTCTTAATCTATGTGTTGTTTAAGGTCAGCGCTGAGGAGATTAAAGACAACAGAGTGGCCAATTTTGAAGTTCAAGCAAGAAAACTAGACAACAAGGTACGTCTAAAACACTGTATATAAGCAGTAGAATCCTTTTTGAGCCATGCGTTACACGGATTATGGAAATAACTTTGTGTGGTGTGGGTAAATTAAAAAGCAATATCATATGGTTAAAAGTGCTCATTACTAACAATAGCAGCTTTGTACTGTGTCATATACATGCATATACATTTATCTGTGTTTTAAATATGATCCTATACTTGCAATGCTGCACCCTAACCCTCTAAACTGCATTTTGTTGTATTTTTCTGACATTGTAAGGAAAGTAAAGTTAATAATGTTTTATCTAATCATTATACTTTTTGTACCCGTTTATGTACCCAACCCACCCTTAAAGCTAGGGTACATAACCTTCAAGTAAAGTCTATGTAACTAGTTCTGACTCTCAAAAGGGTAGAACCAAACCGTATTTTAGAGTGAGAACTAGTTACATATTCTTTACTTTTCTCATGTTCTTTTATGAGACAAAAAAGTTCGGCCTCAAAGCGCTAATACTTGTCTTTCTGTAGGATTTATTTGGGAAGTCTGATCCTTACCTGGAGTTTTTCAAACAAACAGAGACTGGATGGCAGCTGGCTCACAGGACAGAGGTACAGCTGCTTCTGTATTTAAGCTAATTTTCATGTCTTAACCTTAATCTTTTTCCTTAATGCGTGGCTTTTGTTTCCGTTTCTGTTTCCAGGTGGTAAAGAACAACTTGAACCCGTCGTGGAAACCCTTTAGAATTCCTGTTCAGTCTCTTTGCGGCGACGACATGGACAAACCCATCAAGGTAACGGCTCATCTGTGTTTCTGTGTCGTAAGTTTCCAGATTTAAGTCTGAGGCTGATGGATGCTATTTACTTTTTTGGCCTGAAGTCTGTTTCTAATTACTTTATATTCATTATTGTCATGAGGTGAAAGGAAGGAAGGGCCCAGAATGCAGAAAATAATGATTTAATGAAGATTGAATGAAAAACCAAACTAAAAGATCCAAACAGAACCAGGAACATGGACAGACATTGACGATGGACAAGCAACAAATGGGAGGATACATATAGACACAGAGAGACACAGGTACATACAGACACAGAGAGACACAGGTACATACAGACACAGAGAGACATAGGTACATACAGACACAGAGAGACATAGGTACATATAGACACAGAGACACAGGTACAGTACATATAGACACAGAGGGACACAGGTACATACAGACACAGAGAGACACAGGTACATATAGACACAGAGAGACACAGGTACATATAGACACAGAGAGACATAGGTACATATAGACACAGAGAGACACAGGTACAGTACATATAGACACAGAGGGACACAGGTACATACAGACACAGAGGGACACAGGTACATACAGACACAGAGAGACATAGGTACATATAGACACAGAGAGACACAGGTACATATAGACACAGAGAGACACAGGTACATATAGACACAGAGAGACATAGGTACATATGAACACAGAGAGACACAGGTACAGTACATGTAGACATAGAGAGACACAGGTACATGTAGACACAGAGAGACATAGGTACATATGAACACAGAGAGACACAGGTACAGTACATGTAGACATAGAGAGACACAGGTACATGTAGACACAGAGAGACATAGGTACATGTAGACACAGAGAGACATAGGTACATATGAACACAGAGACACAGGTACATATAGATACAGAGACACAGGTACATATGGACACAGAGAGACACAGGTACATCTAGATACAGAGACACAGGTACATATAGATACAGAGACACAGGTACATCTAGATACAGAGACACAGGTACATCTAGACACAGGTACATACTGTAGGTACACAGAGACACAGGTGAAACACTTTAGGGCGGGGCAGATAGTCAACACAAGGGAACAGGACAGGATATAAAACTAAAACAAAACCACACAGAACTAATGTCAAAATAAAACCAGTTAACACATAATCCACACCATGACATTTACATTACCACTATTCATACAGCTGCTTGAATTACTTATTGAGTGGGAATAAATTGTAGGACATTTGTATGTTCTCTGGATAGGTTTCTTCCATGTACTACGGTTTCTCCTAATGAGTGTTTGTGTGTGTGTTCATTAACATTCCTGTGCCAAACAAATAAACAATTAGTATCTGTATTTTTTAAAGCAGTGATTAAAAGTCTAATAGTTCCTGAAAAGAGGCTATATTTGACACTATTATTATATTTATTTTCTCTAAACCTGGAAGCACATGTCGAGACTGAGGCCACCCACACAATGCAAGTGAGTGGTCTGTGGTTTGTGGTGCTGCACTTCTTCTTTCACTCAGATTGACTTTCTTTTTCAGTTTCTACCTTAAACTGAGAGCAGTAATTTTCCACCTGAGAAAGGCGAGCGCTGGTTACCATAGCAACACACTGTTTACTGTTTCTTGGTAATTAGAGGTTTTACACCACCATGTGACCTACATAGCAACCGTCACTAGGCGGCCATGTTAGATGGCAGGTATGAAACTTTATACAGTCAGATTCAACACAGTGGCTGAGAGCGCACCTTTACTTAGACTGATGGGAAAGTTTTGCTGCGTCTTTAATTGTGGTAAACGCCCAGAGCGAGACAAAGATGTCGATTTTTTGTTTAAATACCGCCCGTAATTTGCCATCATGGAAAATAAACTATCGAAAAAACGGGGAAATCAAAGTGTTTGTCTGTTCTTGTCATTTTCACCTAGTTAGTTGTTCTAACAAAAACATTGCGTTGGAGTAAAAAGCCTGTCAGTGACGTGCGGTTGGTGACTGAGGCACTGACTTCATCACAATCAGATTTAATGCTACATATCAACAGGACATACAGAGGATTATTCACACATGGTCCGCATTGTTTGCTCAAACAAAACGCCAAAGTAAACAGCACATTTAAAAGTGTGTTATGGTCCTACCTTATATGAACTCCACACACCACTTCATTCAGTTCAGACCAGTTTCATGTTTAAGTCCAGATAAAAGTTTAGTATAGATTATGTAATCCTCCGTTTACAACACATGTGTCAAAGTCAAGGCCCGCGGGCCAAATCCGGCCCGCGAATGAATTATCTATGGCCCCCGGGACATTGCCTGCCATTGAGGCAATGTATTGACCCCTTAAGCTCGCTAGCCCCCGCCGGCGGGAGCAAACGAGGAAAAAAATACATCTGCTGGCAATAGCAGATGTATTTTGAACTTCATAAGCCACAAGCTATATATCATTTTAAAGCTTATTTTCTCAGCTATATTTATACGTAAGTGTAAATGATATCAGACTTTGCATTAAAAAGATATAACGCATAATATGGGCACAAAATAAATCACGTCTGTATTTGTTTTTTACCTTTCGTCTTCTGCTGCTCCAACAAATTAGACTTTCCCCATCCTTGCTTAGTCGCTTTCTCTCTGTAACTGTCTATTGAAGAAGAATATCCACTTGTATTTCCCAAAGTATATTCCACTCTGCAGATTTTATCACAAAACGCCCCGAAAAGATGTCCAGACTGCTCTTTTACATTTCACCAAGTTTGAGATTTTTTTTTTTTTTTACTATTTTCATGTTCTCAGATGTCTATTACATCTAATATGTACAGTATGAGGATTGGCTTTAGAGCATATTTTATCGAGCCAGAAGGTGTCACCGGCACTGCCTCTGGATGTTGAGAAACATTGAACCAGTCCGGCCCTCGGCGCGTAGCAAACATTTTTTTTTGGCCCTCTGATGTATTTGACTTTGACATGCCTGGTTTACAATGTAGATTACCATTGCTGCAGTCGCTGTTTCTTTTTCTTACGGGCGAATTACGGGCGGTATTTAAAAACAATAGACATCTTTGTCTCGCTCTAAGCATTTACCACAATTAAAGACGCAGCAAAACTTTCCCATCAGTCTAAGTAAAGGTGCGCTCTCGGCCACTGTGTTGAATCTGACTGTATAAAGTTTCATACCTGCCATCTAACATGGCCGCCTAGTGACGGTTGCTATGTAGGTCATATGGTGGTGCAAAACCTCTATTACTCTATTATTAGTAACTTTTAATAAAACATTTTTTGGGGGAATTCCCTTGTTTTGAATGGGAACAGTCAAAATGACGGCTCTGGGAGTTATTTCTTGCTTTTGTCCGTTAAAGCAGGGGTACATAACTTTTTAGTTTCATTAAAAATACATTCTGTTTGTCTCATCAAAAAGATTCTAGAGAAAGTACAACATTGTGAACATTTGAGTCCACAACCTGTCGGCTTTATCTTTTTAGAAAACATGCACATTGCATACTCAATAAAGAGCACTGTGAGTCGCTATTTGACTCTTAGGCTGAGAGATGATTGGCTGAGTGAGGGTGGTCCTCTCTTTGTCACTTTCAAAGCTGATCTGAAAATGAGACAGAGGTAAATGATAATACCAAACTGTTTAGAGAGCGTGGAAGCAGTTGGATTGGATTTTTTGTGGTTAATTTTGTTGTATTTTGAAAGTTAGGTACCCCAGCTTTACACATAGTCTCATTACATAGGGCTAACACTTCAGATACATGTTTTTGCTGTGTGCTTCTTTTAGGTGGAGTGCTATGACTACGATAACGACGGGTCACATGATCTGATTGGGACGTTTGAGACGACCATGACGCGGCTACAGCAGGCGTCCAGAGTTTCTCCTGTGAGTTTAACCACAAATTATACCGGCATTAGAGCCAGTTTTTGACCTTTTTTTACATGAAGTATATTATTCACATTTCAGTAATTTTTCATTGTTTTGTTTTGTGCTTAAATTCAAGGCGGAGTTTGAATGCATCAACAGTAAAAAGAAGCAGAAGAAGAAAGGATACAAGAACTCAGGAGTCATCAGCGTCAAGCAGTGTCAGGTGCAGTTTGGGTTCATTCACTCAAATGATGCGAAATCTCCATCCCCCAGTTCTCAGTAGTGTGCTCTATAACCGCTTGGAGGGGGTTCTGTAACTTCTGATGGCAACCCTGCACATTCTTCTTAGTATAAAGCCTCCAGTTCCCGTAATTTCCTGGGCTTCCTCGCATTAATGGCACATTTGAGATCTCCTCAAAGCAGCTCAATGATTATTCAAGATTATTTGAGAATATCTATATAACAATGAGTGAAGAAATATGGAGATTTGGCAAAAATTGGAATGTCGTTCAAAAGTCCATTTCCTTACATACAGAACAAGGTTTGTGAGAAGAAGCCAGGTCGTTGTATACAAAATGCCCTGGTTTGAGTCTAAAGGGTTAATATACAACAACTACACTTTTTATACTTTATTTTTATTTTTATCTGGACTAAAAATCCCAAAAAAGGAAACATATAATTTAAATGTTATGTTTATTAGATGATTGTATGTTGTAGTTTTGTTATGTCCTGGATTAAAAGCATAATTTCTCGCTGCAGGTGGTGAAGGAGTACACTTTCCTGGATTACATCATGGGAGGATGCCAAATCAATTTCACTGTGAGTTCTTTTTTTTCTACCTAAATCCTATCCTTCCAATGCATTGCTTTTAATTTCATACATAGACCGTATATAGATGGTGTTATCAAGAAAATGTAATCGTTGCTGTACATACTAGGCCCAAACCTAGTATATGTTTTGATATGTTTTGATATTATATTGTGTTTTTAGACTTGTGTTCAGCACTTTGGTCAACTGTGTTGTTTTTAAAGTGCTCTATAAATAAAGTTGAATTGAATTGAATTGAAAAACCAATAGATATAAAAGAGGACATTTAATGACACTGAATTATAGCAAAATACATACAGACAAAACAGAAAATATCATACCCCAAGGAGAGATGGTTGGAGAGAGAGAGAGAGAACCCTGGAGGCTCTGGCCCTCAGCATTAACCTGCTACATGTTGCACAGAGAGTTGACACCGACCAAGAGCCAAAACTAGTCCATCCCAGCTTTCTATATACTGGCTGTGAGGTTACTCCCAGGTTCCACTGGATTGGTCAGAGGGGTCAACCAGGAGCAAGCCAGCCCCCATGGAGGGGGGACATGGACATCAGATAATGGGGAAAATCCATACCAACAGATGGACAATGCTAACCTGCTAGCTCAATGAAGGCTAATAGAGAAGTGCCATAGGTGTATTGTATTATCAGGACGAGGTATTGCATGGACAAAAGGAGAACCAGAGCTGGCCAAATCGCGTCACTTCTGCTAATGTTTGGGACGTCCACGGTGCGAGTATGCCACAATGAGAGCAAGCCATTGATTTTAATGGTCAGACTTCTTGGAGACCTGGAGCTTGGGAAGTGTTCATAGACAAAGTTTCGCTCCAATTCACCCTGGCTCCTATTGACTTACCTTGAAAAGCGAACCCCTCAAGTTCAATGCTGGGCTTTAAAAAATTGTGGTTTCACGCTCCCTGGGATCCCGGTGTTTATATTGTGATATTGCCTTTGTAAATCCAGATATGAGTCTTAACAACTGACCAATGAGGAGCCTTTTGTTGGCAAATTTTACTTAGGCTAGCGAATAGTGCCAGTGGAGGCGCAGCTCCTGATTGGTGGCTGGAAACTCTACCGTTGCTAACTTACGTTCATAAGTTTGGCTCCAGATTCCCACTCAAACAGCCTGTTCAAGCTAGCTTTAATTGGCTTCTTCCGCATTGAGGCTAGCACCATAGTGACGTCTACTCTCAGTCAGTCCCTTCCTAAAATACAGTAGTGTGTAGTTCCCCTTCAACATCTATAACAGCTTAGAGTCCTCTGTTAAATATATCAGTATAAAAAGAAGCATTGCAGCTACTTGTATTATATATGTCGTGTGCTCCTTGTGTGCTCTTTCTACTGTCCTGTATGTGCGCTGCAACATTGAAATTTACGAAAAATGGTCCTCTCATCTTATCCCAGGTGGCGGTGGACTTCACTGGCTCAAACGGAGACCCCCGGACCCCCCAGTCCCTGCACTACATCAGCCCACAGGGAGTGAACGAGTACCTGAGCGCCATCTGGTCCGTGGGCAACGTCATCCAGGACTACGACAGGTACAAAGGCTTTCTGCTCACAACCTGCGGGTGTTTGAATAAATCACCATTTTCTGTTTTCTGCTGCAGCGACAAGATGTTCCCTGCGTTTGGTTTTGGCGCTCAGATTCCTCCCTCGTGGCAGGTGAGGTTGTTTATGTATATAAATGCAAACAGACAAACAAGCTCAAGCATAAAGTGGAGACGATAAAGTGAAGAATGTTAAAGGTTTTACAGAAAAGTATTATGTACAATGGTCTATAGTTGAAAAACAAACGTAAATTGGACACTGGAAAAAACCTTTAGATGCTTTAATTAGACATTGTTTAAAAGTTGGAACAAGCAGGTCAAAATAGAGCTGTAGTTGGGCCCAAACCCGACAAAGAACATTTTTTTTAAAGCCCAAACTCGACCTGAAGAGCTGTCTAGTCGGGGTGCAGTCAACAAAAAGATCTACATTTGAATATATATTTGATTACTTTAAAAAAAAAAAAAAAAAACGGGAATTTGGTTGTGGTTGTGACTGGCCGCTCGAAGGCAGAGAGGCACGACTGTAGCTAGTGCTGTGGTTCCAGTAGACATTGGCCTTTCAGATGACCGACTAAACCAGTGGTTCTCAATATGGGAGTTACGAGACACTAACGAGATGATTTTCAGTATCATTACTCTAATACACAACAAAGAATTATTAGGATAGTGGCCACCAGATGAATAGAACATACTATTAGCAGAATACTTTGTCTATAATCAATTGCAGTTATTTTGTCTTGACCTGTAACTGCTCAGAGACATTTTCAATCGTTTCATTTTCAGGTTTCTCACGAGTTTCCTCTGAACTTCAACCCTTCAAACCCGTTCTGTGCCGGTAACTGTCTCTCTCTGTTTTTGCCTCATTCCTTTCACACGCAGCAAACCTGTGCAGATTGAACCTTTTTGATGCCATTGTTGTGTTTTCTTCAGGCGTGGAGGGCGTGGTGGAGGCGTACCGGCTCTGTCTGCCTCAGGTCAAACTCTACGGCCCCACCAACTTCTCTCCCATCATTAACCACGTGGCGGCCTTCGCTCACCAGGCGCTCCAGCAAACCACTGCGTCTGTGAGTGAATACAGCCCGCTTCAGACTTTTATGTTCGCTCCAATTCATGTAGGAGCACTGATAACACTATATATATACATAGTTCTTTAATGATAGGCCTCTACCAAATGGTTGAGATGCAGTTTGATGGTAGAAGTGCCTCAAACCAGGTGATAGATATGCCCCAATTATGTAGATTTCAGTTCCAAGCTTCAAGCACATATAGTGACATACATAACTGTTCTGATACAGACGGATGATGACCTTTTATGACTTTAATAAAACACTTTTATGATCGGTTTGCAGATAGTAAACATTCAGGTTCTTCTGGTTACTTCACATTCTCTGCTCACGTCACTGTTGACAAAGTAATTAGTTTTTTTATCTGGTACCATTCATTTATCTGACCAAACACCAGAAGATTAACGTTATTTTTCACATGCATGTATTTTTTGGCCTCTGTCACAGCTTTAGATCAGATTTTTAAGGCAGAAAAGTGACAAAAATGTAATACTATCTTCTTTATTATGCTAAAGCTAGAGATTTTGTTCTTGCTTGTTTATTTTGCTGAAGCTAGAGATTATATACAGTACTTGTTCATTCATCATTCATCTTGTGCTGTGTGCTCCCCATTCCTACTTTTCTGTAACCGATGATGTAACACTGAAATTTAGGATCTCTTCATCTTAAAATATCAAAAATTAACATGTTTTATGTCGGTGTGTGTTTTTACTGTTGACTTTTTGTTGGGATAAAAAGAGATATTATTAATGCTAAAACAATTACCAAGTGTTTGCTTCTCGTTTATTGTGATTATCGTAAGTGTACTATTTCACTTCCAATCCAGCTCTATAGCACCGCTAAATGGACTTTTTGTTTCTCTGTCTTGGCAGCAATACTATGTGCTGCTGATCATCACAGACGGCGTGATCACGGACATGGACCAGACGCGCAGTGCCATCGTCAACGCCTCCCGTCTGCCCATGTCTATCATCATTGTAGGAGTGGGCGGAGCCGACTTCAGCGCCATGGAGTTTCTGGACGGAGACGACGGGCGCCTGAGGTCGATGAGCGGAGAGCCGGCCACGAGGGACATCGTGCAGTTTGTGCCGTTCAGACAGTTCAAAGACGTGAGTGAGAGAGAGAGAAAGAGAGGTAGAATGTGAGAGTGTGAGGGGGGAGACTGCTGTGTTTTTTTCTTGCTGCATGTGGCTAATTTGCACTAATCGCTAACTAAATCATTCAACATGAAATTATCATCCATCCATAGCAGTCAGAGCTGCACCTGATTCACAGAGCACCAGCCCCTCACTGATCCTCCTGCAGGTTCACAGGAGGACGGCTGCTCTGTCAGTGACAACACAACCTTCATCTTTCAGGGGGGCTTCAGACAAAGTGTGGTTAAATGTCTTTGGGCAAGGCAACTGAGCCACTGTCACTCCACTTATGAATATGTTCATTTAAAATATGAATCTTTCCCTTTCTTCACTGCAGCTGCATTAAGAGCAGACACATGGGCTAACATGGCCCATTGTATCATTTTATGAGGACCCCAGCCCCTAACACAAAGTTGGCTAAAACTAGCCAATGAGGTACTTTCACAGTGTCATCCAGCCAACTTCAGCTACACTAATATTGTCAAGTTTAGAGTTGAAACAATTCCTTGCATATTTTGAGTATGAAAAATGAGTGATTTCCTCTGCCTCGAGGCTTTGTAGTTTGTCTTGTTTTATAAATCCCAGTAAAATCTCACATTTTGCAAGATTTGGGTGTCGCACAACGTGTTTCCGTCACAGATCCGTTGTGCCCTGCACTACATGGTGCCACTATTCTAAATACTCGCTTCACTTGTGTTTTTCACACTTTATCGTCCACTTCACTCCATAGACTTCCATTGTGAGCGTCCATAGACAGACGCTCACAATCAGGGCCGGAGTGGGACAACATTTCAGGCCGGGAGCTTTTCATCCATTCAGGCCAAACAAGGTTCTAAATTTGGGTTTTTGTCATTGTATTTTGATGTTCTTTTAATAGTTTTAAGATTGACTGTCAAAACTTTTGTTTTCTTTATTTCTTTTTATATTGACTGTTTATATAATCTCGGACGTTTAAAGATTGTTGTACGTTGCTTAGCAACGTAACGTTTATGGAGTTTAGTGAGAATAAAGACACACACACACACACACACACAATGAACTAAGTGTTCATTAGTGTATAACTATAACAAGCTAATCAATTATTGTTAAAAAAGTAGTAAGGTAAAATCACATCGTTACAGCTCATATAAAAGGAAAAATAAAAACGTGTATGAACCATCAGTTGGAGAGACCACTCATTTCAACCGGGGAAGCTACACTGTGTGCACTGCTAGGCTGGCCTGGCTGTGTAGCCGACGTGTGACGTCACATTTGTTTAATTTTGCTCTGGCCCAATGACAGTAAAGCTTTGGCCAGTGTTGTGCCAGTTCACAGCTTTTCTGAACAAGTTCAAGTTCAGTTCATACATGCTCAAAGTGAACAGTTCACGTTCGAAGTTCTCAATTTTAATTCTGAACTAGTTCAAAGTTCAGTTCATTTTACTTTTTGCGAGATATTCAAATAAATATTTTTTTTCACTACGAGCTAGAAATCACAATACGTGATATATATATATATATATATATATATATATATATATATATATATATATATATATATATATATATATATATATCCTGTACACTGCACAGGATGTTTTGACTCCAATGCAGACCAGATTTACATGGGTTTCAATGGGAACTGAGTTGTCCCATCTCTGCTCATAAGTACAAACTGTAATGCGCTGCAGAACGTGTGTCTATACTTTATGTCAAATGTAAACGGCCCTGTGTCACTGACTTACCCCTGTGTTTTCATCACGGCACATGTGAGTCCAACAACCAATGAATAGCACTAGCATATAGCGCCGCACCGCAAGTACACTGAGTCGGGGTGCGTTCACAGACGGTGCAAACCGTAGGAATTTTTAGTTTTCGGCGGAAACAGTGCGGAGAATACAGGAGGGAGGAACTTTCTCTCGTTGCGTTTCAAAAGAGAAAACAGATTTCACTCAGTTTTAAATGGAAAACAAATTGTCTGCCGTTCATGACACATAATATGAACTAATTCACGTTCAAGTTATTTATTAAAAAATGTGTTCAACGTTTCACGAAAAAATGAGCGTGTTCAATGAACGCGTTCTTTTGAACTCGTTCACGCACAACACTGCCTTTGGCCTGGGCCTTGCTCATTGGACCAGGCCACCAGGCAGGGTAGGAGTTTGCAAAGACCGTGAGGATGAAATTAAATTAAAAGAAAGAAGAAAAAAAGAAAAGAAAAAAAGACCGTGATGATAGGGCAGGCCCAGGCCACTTTGACACGCAGGCCACCGGGAGATCTCCCGATGCTCCCGATGGCCAGTCCGGGCCTGCTCACAATGGAAGATGACGCAGAAAGTGTTGGGCAAGAACAGCAACACGGGGAATTAAGAATAAAAGTACAACATACTGAATAAAATACTGTATATTCTAGTGCAGGAAATGTCATTATCATTATTAAGTGGTTTATTAGTGATGGGTCCAGCAACACTGATACACCGGCGCATGTGCCGAGTTCGTTTGGCGAAACCTCGTATCGGCGCGCGTGTCGCTTTATGAAAAAGCCACGTGACCGATACAGCCGCAGGGTCGCTTGTCACCGACACGGCAAACTGTGTTTAAAAGGTTCCGCATCTGCAAGTGTCACCGGTACCGCTCTCAGAAAAAGAAAATAACCCTTTCAAAAAGGAAAAACATCCCATTTTACAGCATAAAAATGGAACCTGCAACTAAAAGAAAGTATTCTGCAGTGTGATACTGCAAATAATAGCAAATAAGGCAATGTTTGTATTTTACATTTCACGCTTTATCTACAATCAAGATTTAGTTTGAAACGGAAAATCTAGTTAGGCATGGTGGATGAGTGGATAGCGCTCTCACCCCGCGTTAGAGAGAACTTGGTACGAATCCCAGTCGGACCTCAAAAGCTTATGCTGACATCAGTCTTGAAGAATGACTGAGAAATTGAAGTGTAGAAAATGTCAAAGGTTTTTTCAAGTATACTTTAGTTGCCAGGGTTTACAGTGCACTTTAGACATGCTTATTGTTTTGAAAAAAAAAAAATAACAAAAAAAATTTATATATATATATATATATATATATATATATATATATATATATATATATATATATATATATATATAAATATATATATATATAAATATATAAAATCACTCAATGACATTTTGCTTAATGAATACATTCACAACCATCACTTTAATTTTCACATAAAAATAAAATAACACAGACAATGCAGTTACGTAATATAGTGTACAGACAAGTATGTAAAGCTCATTGAATAAGTGAGTTGCAATGATTTATCAGATCCACCAGGCGTCAGTATAGAGCAGCACAAGCAACACTGTTGCGGCACAGTATCAATACAGTTCGTTGGATGTGCCGAAACGATACGTGAGGTTTCATTTACCCATCACTATGGTTTATCATTATATTTAAAATTAATTATTATAAATTATGTTATTTGATTAATCGATTGGGATATTTTATAGAATACTTGATAACTAAAATATGGGATAGCTGCTCTACTCATGCTGCACCGTTTGTAAAGTTCAGAACTGTTAAACACAAACAGACGACTGGATTCCGACATTTGTTTTGGATGAAAGTGAATATTTGTTGCTAATGCAGCTGTGTTGGGATTCATTGCGGACACTTCAAAGAACAGACCGACTCCAGTCAAAGCAGTTTTACAATCCATGTCTGGTGAACTTATTAAAACATTTGGACACAGCATGCTAAATGCATATTATCAACTATAACTGTGCAAAAGTCTAAAATATCTCTGTGGTTTCATCTAAGGGGTGAATGGAGACTGTTTTGTCCTTTGGCAGGACACTTCACCCACCTTCACTCCTGCAGAGAGAGTGACTTACAGTGACTGAAGGGTCCCATGGATTATTATTTATTATTTTTTTTTATTGAATTGGGACAGTGCACCTTAATCATGTGTTTTTTCAACATGTAAATGTGCCACAGTTTGCCATGTAGGCAATAATTTTCATCGGTAGTCCCATGGCAAGTTGATATCAAGACAAGATGAAATACTTGTAGGGTAACTAAATGCATATATGCCTTAGATGTACAGGTATTTGGATACACTACATATCTTAACATATCTGCACGGTAGTAACTATTCCTTATTGGAAATTCCCTTATATCTACCTTTATAAGGGTGTGCTTGTTCTAAGAAAGGGTATCTCTATATTAGTCAAAATTAGACCAATCTGAAGAGAGGGAAAGAAAAGTCTCAAGACCCAACTAAAAGAATCAAGTGGGGTTTTAAAATCAATCTCATAAATATCTAAAAGTGTGAGTTCTATTCACCAGAGAGCCCATCTTCCAAACTACTAACTAATAACACTGGAGGCTGATAGAGATTTAGCTGTTTATTTACCAAACGAAAAACCTCAGAGCATAAGAAACTGTGTGAGTCACAATTCAAAGAATGTGCACAATAACCCAAAAGCAGACACATTTAAACACATCGGTATTCAACAATACTTCTTACTGTGTGAAGGTTGCTTTTAGTAAAGTTTCTTTGTTGGTGGACACGTGGTCCGGCTTTGATCCCAGAAAAGTTCCTTTGTTATTGTCTCCTAGTATATGGCTGTGTAGTGTCGCGTCCCTTCCCGCTTGTTGTTGTGCAGGGGAGAAAGCAGTTGATTGAGCAAGTTCAGAGAGTTGAAACGAGCCTGTTTGAGCTCATACGCGCGGGCACAGAACGTGAAGGCCGAAACCCAGGAGAGACGAAAAGCCGAGGAGAGCAAGAAGGCCAAAAATTCAAGAGAGCGCGCTCTGCATTCAGACTGGTTTTGTCTCCAGTCAGGGGCGGGTACGTTGTAGTCACTTCCTGTTTCCGGCTTTTCACAACACAGGAACTTCTGGGCATGAGACATATTAAACATAATTGTTTAAAGCACAAACACTTCAACAGACATCGTGACTCACAATTCAATAAAGATTAATGACAACAGAGATGCGGGTTTACATTTTAGTTGCATATACAGCACACCTAAGTTTGGAATGTGTGTAGTCCGCTAGGGGGCACTAAAATCACAGTCTGAGAGTCCTGGTCTGGTAGATGGAACAGCAGCAACAACGGTTTGGATTCTCATCCTACATACTGTAGGACATACAACAAGGCACAAACAGAAACACACCGCAAACACACACAGATTGAAAGTAGAACAGTAGCTGATTTAAATGTTCCCTACAAACAGTGGAATACTTTGAAAGCAGTCCTCCAGAACAGCTCAGTCCCACAGATGAGTTACTCTTGTCCCTTGTTGTGCCTTGTCATTGCAGGCGCCCGCCCAGGCTTTAGCCCAGAGTGTATTGGCCGAGTTACCGCAGCAACTGTCGTCATACTTCACTTTAATGAAACAGAAGCCTCCCCATGAGCCCAGCCCGTCGTAGGGGTACCTCATTCTGTTTAACATCATCCCCCGTCTCCACCTCTGCTGCTGGAGCCTATGTCTGCATGTTTCGCTCATGTTTCCCCCAAATGCATGCTCCAACTGCAGATACTAATATAAACCCATACATTAACCTGACATTGTTATTGGTCTAGATTGGACAATATTCTTAAAGCGACAGTATGTAGCATTCTGAAGGGATGCTTAGAAAAAGAAAACGATCCATAACTTTCCTTTTCTACTCTAAGAATATTGAAGTAATGAGTCATTAGCTCTTCATTAGCTCTTCAGTGATGATACTCGTGATGATACTAGAAATTCACACGTTAGAAACCTTTAGCCCAGAGCCTCATGCTGCTAAGTAACAGATGTAAGTAAGTAAGTAATGTTTATTTATACACCGCCTTTCACACACCAGAGTCACAAAGCGGTTTACAATTGATATTTTTTTGGGCATTTGTCCTCTCACTCCACACAGAGATGGGAACGGGGTCGCCAGTACAGGAGGCGCATACCAGACCTATTGTACATACTTTTAGTGGTAGGGGAAACCGGAGTACCCGGAGGAAACCTACGCAGACACGGGGAGAACATGCAAACTCCACTCAGAAAGGACCTGGTCCGACCGGTAAAACAATGTGAGGTTCACCAGTCTTTGTTGTTCGTGGTACAGTCTGACAGCCGCAGGGAGGAAAGACCTGCTGAACTTCTCCCTCACACAGCCAGGGTGGATCAGTCTGTCACTGAAGCTACTCTCTAGTGCAGGGGGTGACAGTCATGGTCCAGAATTAGTTTGTCCAGGAGCCTCCAAGGAACATGACAGGACAGAGCTGGACTTCCTGATGACCTGTTCCAGCTTCTTCCTGTTCCTCTCTGTGAAACACTCCTTGAATCTCACTGCAGCTTCATTCCCGTTTCCTTTGTTGTGTGATGTCGCTCGCTGTTTTTGTTGCATGCTTCACGTCTAATCACATTCTGTACGTTTCACTATTGTTCCAAACGACATCTCAGCTTGTCCATTGTCTCACTCCTTCCTCTGTCCCTTTACCCTTTTCATCTTCAGGCTCCCAGAGAGGCGCTGGCCAAGAGCGTGCTGGCCGAAGTCCCCTCTCAGCTCGTGGAGTTTTTCAACATCATGAAGTTAACTCCTCCCACCACCAACGCTGCTCCGCCCCCAGCTGGATCTGTCTGAAGGCACCAATCCGACAAACGGCAGAAAAACTGGAAAAATAAGCAAAAATGTGCCACAAAAACAGCTTTGTACACACCACTTCACTCTTTTTAGTACGGCTGCTTTGCATCGTAGATACCAGCCAATAGGACTTCCTTTGTTATTATATCATTATGGTACATTGAAACGGAAAAAGCAAGAATTTAACTATTACACACAGCAAAGCTACAGGGATTACATACATACATAGTTTTATTTAGCTTATATTAAAGTAGGGTTGTATGCATTACTTTCAAATAATCGTACATGTATTATTCATGTATTCATTGCTAGTGTTAACTTTTGGTATGATGATATTTCAGAGTAAATATATCAGGTTTACAATTTACAAAAGTTTAAGGCTAAATGCATTTCCATCTGGACCAAGGCCGGTTTGTTATTTTTGTAATGCCTATTTCACGCCTTTTGTCTCAATCCAATGTACTTTTTATGAAATATGAATCATTAGAATACGATCCGCTCCATTTAGACCAGGTGTGTCAAGCTCACTTTGGTCAAAACATATTTTAGTCTTTCGACACATTATTGTATTAAACATGAATTTGTACATTACTTTGCTTTGGATTCAACCTCAACTGGGCCAAATATCAAGAAGATGTGATTTGAAGGCTGAGAGTTCAATGTAGAAGATAGATATTTATTTTCTAACTATAACTTCTACTTCACTTCTAATAGTTAACCTTTTAGAACAGATTCAATTACACGGTGGTTGTCTTGAGATAATAGGCTTTAAAATATTTAAATAGTATAACATGCAGTGTTAATATATAACATAAAAATAAACCCATTTATGGCAAGTAGCCCATTGCCATCAATGCATAAAAAATAATTTCAAGGCCCACTAAAAATGGTCTTGCGGGCCAGATTTGACCCACAGGCCTGAGTTTGACATGCAAGTGCCCCTGCAGCCCCACCATACTGTATATAAGAGTGGACTGACCGAGTGCAGACCTCACATGGGATTTTCCTTAATGCCTTCTTCCTAATGGCTCATATCTGGATTCACACAGACTATTTTAGACTATAACTTTGTCCATGTGCGCTTTCCTATTAGAATTAGGATTATTAGGATTCATTGAGCTAGGGGCTTAGCATTGTCCATCTATATACAGTTTTCACGATCTACCTTCAAAACACCACTATATCAATTCAAAGCCAGTGTCTTAACTATCTGTAGCCTGTACTGAAAATGTCCTATGCAAAACTGACCAAAAACTGCACAATCAACTTTACCACAAGTTTTGAATCCTCCAATGCTTCTGGTTCCAAACAGATATTACATTTCTATACATTTTGATAAGATTTACTGCACATGTTTGACTTTGCACTGTTGACCAGAACCCAGGTTCAAACTAGTGGCATTTATTTTTGTAGTAATTTAGAGACATGGGCTCTTTTTGTTAGTTTTAAAAGCTATAAAGCGTTGTTTGTTTTGTGTATGCATATTTTTAACGTGCCATAGTGCTTTTAATTAAGTCATTATTGTAGGGTTTGAAAAAGGACCATAGACTTTAGTTAGAGGCAAAGAAGTGATCGAGCTGGGAGGTTTTTAAGTGATATCACATATGCATAAACCAATAATTAGCGATACAAGAGTTACCTCGGCTCAAGCCTAGGTGAAAATTATTATCCAGTTACATTTTCGTCACATTCCTCGCCATATCTGTGCTAAATATTGAAAACCTCTTGTAATCTAGGCCACTTTTGCTGCTACACTATCAAAATCGCCATCTCCATATCGTCTCAGTATTAAAATTGTCACTTTCCTTTGTGCTCGATGTCAATGTTTTGTATAAATCACCCCATGTAGATGTATCATTTGTGTATTAAGTTGTGTTTTCATGATCAGACCTGTGGCTGTTGTGCCTTTTGCTGCAAAATCCAATTAAAACAGCTTCATAAAACAGATCTTTGGACTGTGTTTTGTACTATATCTCCATTAAGCAAGCAAGTGTACTTTATATAGTGCTTTTCACAGTCACATAGCACTTGTAAATGTGGGTGTGACATGTATTCGCTTGACAATAGTGAGCCGCAGCTGCCCTGGGGCACACTGACAGAAGCAGGTTTCACAGGAGGTTGCACCATCGAACCACCACCCACCATTCAATAACATGGTAATGAGCAAAGAAATAATTAAAGTAAAATAACTGACCAAAAATAGAACTTTAGTCAAGAGTATTTGTAAACTTAAGGATGGAATACACAAGAAATATATGCTTTATTATTTAAAAAACAGCAGATACATTCATCTGTTTGAACAATAGCTTACAGAGGGCTATAACAGTTATGCATGATACATTTGTGATGGATTTTGTTTTGCACACGATGTGAAGCATTAAGGCTTGTCTTGCAATTATATTCAACTTTTTCCAGCGTCAATATTTTGTCAATTTGGTTGGGAACACTGACATCTGGTGGACACACTTAATCATTGCAGCTACACTATTCACTATACATAGTTCCCACAGACCAATGAATGTCACATGACCTCCTCGGAGACGCCACGCTGCTGTGTTTGTGCATTCCATTAAACAGAAGAATGAGAATAAATGTAGATATTCAAACGCAAATTGGAAAAAAGGGCAACTTTTGAGCAAATAATTGTATATTAATACAATGGCACCACAGTTTAACGTGCTACGGACATGTTTTACATATTTGATCAAATTATGCAGCAAAAATTAACAAGCAATGCAAACATTTCTCAAAAACTTTAGATTTAATACCAGTTGGAGCTCCATTTAATTATTTTAATTATATTAACAATTAATTTAATTAATGCTAATGCCACACGGACACTCTGGATTGCTGTTATTGTTTATTTCCGCGTTTTTGACCGTATGTTTTGGTGAATGGTGGGCAACTGATTTTTCCAGGCGTAAAGAGCAGTTTATTTTATGACACAGATCTTTTTACAGAAGCAATGCTGTTTGTGAACATTGTTTTAGCCCACCATAGAACTATTATTATCTATTTAATACATTTACGTTGCCCTCGAGAGCCTCGGACGCGACACCGATCCTCCTCATAATAAAGTAATCTAAATAATGAAACTCTCAAGTTACCAGATCAGCATACACAAGTTAGTACTGAGTAAATTACGTCTGTCAACACATTATAAGATACGATACGCACCTGACACAAAGTGCTCCGAGCATATTCTTGCGTGTTTTGAGGGAGTTTCTTGCCTGTTTATCTTCGCAAGCCATAACCTCCGTGGTTGTTCTGACAAAAGCTTAGTCTTCTCACATTCATGAAGTCTAATGATGGGTATACTGTAAAATCCAAGTTTAACGGAACCTCCGGCACGATTTGAACATCCATTGACCCAGCAGGAGATGACCATTTTCAACTTTATCACGACATTAACACGTTTCAGCTTCTTTTTCTATTGTTTTGCCCACAGCATGCCAAGACAAATGGCGCCGGGTCGGCAAATCCCCGTATGTAGTGACGTCATGTGGGAACTATGTATTGACTTTTTTGATACTTGAATTTGGATGCAGCCAAGAACTGACTTGAAGCTCAACGTCAATGACTTCATAATAAATGGTATTCCTAGTGAAAAATAAGGGATATTATAAAAGTAACTTGATCATTGTGAATAGTGTAGTCAAAATGTGATCTTCAGAATCAAAAAAAAAAAAAAAAAAACAATTATAGGAGCAAAATGAAAGCTGGGGTACCTGGTTTTCAAACCACAAAAACGAGGGCCTTGTTTGGTTCCATTGCTAGTTTTCACATGCATATGTTTATGGCCTCTGTCACATCTTTGATCAGCTTTTTCAGACAAAAAAGTGAATAAGAGAGGACCACCCTCAGGCAGCCAATCAGGTCTCAGCTCAAAGCATGACAAATTGTGACTCACAGGGTCACAATTTGTGCAGAAGAAAACATGATTTATAACTATATGGAGACAGAATGTTGTGGTCTGATTTTCTGTTGGAACAAACACAAGAAAAAATGAGTTACCCTAGCTTTAACTTGACTGTATCATGCACAAGATTCATTAAACAATATCCTGTTTTTGCAGTGTAGCAGAGGGAGGAGACGTGGGATTGGAAGACTCATGTTTTCACATTTGAGTGCCCTGTAAGAGCATTTTTCTCCTCACACTATTTGAACAACCTACATTTTGAAATGGTGGCGCCCCCAGTGGTCAGGAGGCTGGTTACATGCGGTGGATCTTGTGGTGGTCCATAAACTGCTTGAGGTCGTGTAAATTGTCCCACCACTTGAACAGAAAGGTGTCGGCGATCAGGCTGAACCACGGAGTGACCAGGACCTGCTTCTGTTTGGCTTTTTGCAGCAGTTCTTTCAGCTCCTCTTTGCTCACGTAACAGTGGCTCTGGATCTCATTTGGGTCCGGGTTCAACTCCACGTCCTGGTTAGAAAGTAGACAAAAGAAAGGTGTGAAATGACAGCAAAAATATTAAAAGTAATACTATAACCACAGCTGCCCTGGAGCAGTGTCAACCACCACCAACCATTCTCACACACACCAGACTCATTCTAGGTTATGGGGGGAAGTGGCACTTTACAGCCACAGCCGTCCCACTGTGGCACATGGTGTTCCCAGAGGTCTCCCATCTCAGTACTAACCAGGTTAACCAGCCCTACTAACCAGCCCTGCTACGCTTCAGAGGTCTGACGGGATCTGGCTTTCTGATGCAGGTGGCCCCACAGACAAAACATATTTGATCAAACTTGAGATGTTTTTAAATGTTTTGTATCTATATCTTGTCTTATCTCTTCCATCTTATTGACTGTATGTACAGCTATTATTGGAAGAAAAATACTGACTTTTTTTCTTGAGAAATAGTATATTTCATACAATTATCTCTGCAATTAAAACGTACCTTTTGCATGAAGAGAATGTAGTCAATCTCATGTTCTCCCCAAACTCCGTCTGACTGAGCTTTGTAGTGGATTCTAGTTAAATATGTCATTTCTTCTGGAGGGACCTGTACAAATATACACATTAGTATCAATTCATCTTTTCTGCTTTTGTTAAAGAAGACATTGTGTGCTTTGGCCTGCTATAGTTCAAATGTATGACTTCAAAGTTGCTTCAAAAGTTCAACAAAAGACCATAGTTGCATAATTGAGGGACCTGTGCCATGGGGATGCCCAGCTCGGCCTCCAGCCTCCTCTGAGCCGCTCGCCTCACTCCGATGGCGTCTAGTTCCTCCAGCTCTGAGTCCGTGTGGAGAGGGTGACTGCAGCAGGTGTTTGTGAAGCAGCCTCAACACAAACAGAACACACAACTTACAACGTGCACCGGACAATTACTCTCTGAACTCTGCACAATGAAACAAATGCAGATTGTAATGTGTCAAAAAAGGTGTCCATCTTATGCTAGCAGAGTCATTTACTGCAGCCACTGCTATAGTGTAAGTTGCAGATTTGAACATACAGTAAGCTAGCTGGAGCCAATTTCCTTATATGGTCGTTTGTTCCTCGCCGTTGCAGGAAGGTCCAAGGACAGCCATTACTAACATTTTATTTATGAGCTACTTCCTATGGACCAATGGCTTTTATGTGTTTATAATTATTACATTTTCTGTGTTTGAACGGTTTCATTCTCTGATCTGTTGTTGGCGATTTGAGAACTTTGTACAGTCGTAGAAGTCGACTGCTGTTGCGATTTAGGGCTTGGGTTAGAACTGTTCTGACGGCGTTTGTGTTACGCCACAACAGGGGCAGATGTGTTGCTAAATTGGTTGGTAAGGAAAGCTGAAATGACAAAAATGGTGAGTGTTCAATGTAAATGAATTAGAGCCAGAGTGAGCAGGAGAAAAACTTTGCGACTGATCTCTTCCTCTGGGCTTCACAGAGCTAGCGGGTTAGCAATATATACAGACGGACACAATCTAAAGTGATCTCTCTAGAGTAATCTCAGAATGATTGAATTGACAAAAGAGGGATACAGACTTTCTTTTTATTCACAAAAATCTGGGAGCTGATAATTCTAATTTTCTGTTGGTTGACAGAAAATTAAGATTTAGATTAAGAGATCCTTTATTCATCCCACAGTAGGGAAACTTCAGTCAAACGTCCCAACTAAGGCTGTGCCAAAAATCAACGAAAAGCTCAACTCAACCTTGGTCGATCTCCATTGACAACTTACTTACAATTTATAGAAACTAGGGCTGTCAAACGATTAATTTTTTTTAGTTGATTAATCGCACAGTAATGATGAGTTAACTCACGATTAATTGCATTTTTAACATTCTATTTCAAATCCACTCCAATTGAAGTTAAATGAGATTTTCAAATGTAATGACACCTTGTTATTCATACCAAATGTACTTAAATCTGTTTGACTTGCTCACAACAGTCTACTTTTGGGTACAACCAACAAGAGCTGTTAATGAAAGGAAAAATGTAGGTACCCCAGCTTTAATGTTGCGAGTTTGGTTGCATTTCAGTGTGTCTCCTCCTCTCCTCTGTGTGTCACAACATCAGAGAATGGCCCTGTGCGTGTATTATATGACCACGTTACTGCTGTCACCATCACACACGCACGTGTCCGCGGCATTCTGAGTGATATTATTATAAATGGGCGGGTCATTCGGACATGCGATCGACTGCCAGCCTATTTCAGAACAGGTACTCCCATATTGCCAACCGTTTCTGATGATTTTTACTGAATTTTCAAGACCCACAAAATATTGTGTACTATGACTATCTAAAATCCAAAACCAGATTCTGAAAGAATGGATTGTTTACTTTCATCAGCAAAAATAATTTTGTTTCTAGCTTGTTTCGTTCCCCTGTAATCCCCAGTCGAGTAGAGGTAAGTTTTATTGAAATCACCAGAAAGCTGAGAAAAAAGAGGCACTTGTGCATCTAGCTGTTTTCAAACCATTCATAGAGCAATGCTGCCATCTGCTGGCTCGATAGAATATTGCCTCAAGCCTTACATATTTGATACAATAGACATTTGGGAACGTGAAAATGGCGGAAAAATGCGTGAATTATTTTTTAACGCGTTAATGAAAACGGTAATTAACGTGAATTAACGCGATAATTTTGACAGCCCTAATAGAAACCAATTGGGGAAGAGAAAAAAACAACATTAGGAGGCAACACAGCATGAGTTTTAGAGCGTTGATGGTTGTTATTAAGGCAAAATAAAACAGGTTAAAAACAAATAGAAGAACTCTGAGATATATTTGCCAAACAGTTTCCTACCTGGGAAAGTGATTTTGGCGTCAGATCTCTGTTGTAGGAGCAGTTTGTCTTCACTGTTGAAGATAAAGACACTAAAAGCCCTGTGTAATAAACCTGTTAAAGACAGTTATCTTCATGTTACAATAGGATGCATTCACTCATTCATGGATTTTGGTTTTTGATTTGAACCTTTGTCGATGTTGGAGTTGAGGTGACAGTTCTTTTTCGTGTCTGCTCCAATCTTGTGGTCGTTTTCGTCGATTAAGATGCACATTTCTGCCAGAAGCTGCACCTGCTTCTCGTCCAAATGATCCGTCATGACTTCAGGCATTTTCACGGACGACTTTGTTCCTCCGCTGTCGACCGCAAACAGAGTGGGAGCTCCATGAGACGTGTTGTTACAGACAGTCTTTGTCAGTGTATGCCCTCTGTCTACTTTGTTTTGTATTTTTTGTAGTTGATATTTTAAATTTGTGAAGACTGACCCCGCCCACACCTGCTCCAGCTGTTAAATGGCCCTGAACCACGACCACAAGACGGGAAGTTCGGGAGATTTACATAATTTACAATCATACCATTTTAGTGGCAAATATGATTACTATTATTATTATTGCTAAGGGGATTTACTTTCATGATACTTAGCTAAATTAAGTCTTGTCACCCCCTTTAATGTCTGTTGGTTCACCCTTGTGTGTCTAGGGTATGGTTGAGTTGATTTATATGTGATTATTGACTTGTTGTACGGACGTTATAAACATTGGTTTTGAAAAGTTCATACAAATAAAGAAGTATCATTATGATCTGTAAGTTGTTATCAGTCTGAACAAAGCAGTGTTGCACAGTCTTGCACTTTTTATTCAAATGTGACTGATTCCACAGTGACAATTGTTTCATTTTTTATATATTTGTCTGATGCACATTGGAGACTTTTGCACATGAATTCCAATGTGCTTTTGAATCTATTTTTTAAAATGAATATGAATTATTATCATTGTTGTTCTGTTGTGCTGTGTGACATACGCCCTTTATAGCTAGTACCCTTTCATTGTTTCTCGTCTTATCAACCACTATATTTTGATTAGGGCTTCAGTTATGGATCCTTTTGGAAGTCGTTGGTTGAGTTTTACACCACAACATGAAAGGCTTATATTCAAGTGTGGCCTATATAAGTGGACAATGTGTACTTTATCTTAAAATGAAGCCGGTGTGGTTTGTATACAGCTGCACTTAATAGTCCAAAAAGTACTGCAATTGTATATATATTTATAAGATAATTTGCCACGCCCCGTTTTTAATTGATTGACAAGGCTAGAGTTTAGTCCATCTAGAATTTCTTTGGTTAATACAGTCCGACTGCATATATCCAGACTCTTCTATTGCCACAAAAAGGTTAGATACCCCAGCTTTAATAATGGACATTATTAGTACAGTGTGATACAACTGCAACAACTTTAAACATCAAACCATTTATCAATTAATGCTGAGTGAAGAAACATTAACAACTAGTAGGATCATTGTCTCTCTGATCATACCATGTCATATCATATCAACACCAGCTTCCCAAAGTGCTTCATATAGGCTCAAAAGAAAACAAAATCACAAGATACAAGTAAATGATTAAATCCATTTCTAGAACTATATGCGATACATGTGTAGCCAAACATGAGTTACATTGAGGTGGATGACAGCCTGCAGCTATCCCGAGCCCAGACCAAAATAACAGGCTTATCTCTGACCCGCTGATTGCTAACATCATAGTTTCAGATCTCAGACCAGCGCACAGATCTGCACACGCACCTGTAGATTGTCCTGGACGCGGTGAAGTAGCGCTCTGCAGCCGCTTTGCTCCAAAACCCTGATGTTTTTGCACAAACAGCAGCAGCGCGTGGCTTTAGCAGGCGCGTGACGTCACCGGAGAGCAGCCGAAGTCCCGCCCACATGAGCACCCGCACCATCACGTGACCACAGCGCACAGCCAATCAGAGCAGGAGGAGAGAGGGCCGCGGAGAAGAGATGGAGCAGGATTCACGGTCTATGATCTGGACCTGGGATCAGACACAAGAGAGAAGACTGCTGGACCCCAGAGTTTCTCCAAATGGAATCAATAGAATAAATGTATATAAGATAAGATAGACTTTATCTCACACTGGAGAAATGTACATGTCACATTTGGCAAAGATAGAATACTCAGATTGTGCAAAAGACAAGTGTGCAACATGTTAAAGTTTAAAAATGTAGTCTGTGCAGGATATAGTTATGTACAATAAAAAGTGGCAATAAAGCAGTGAAGGTTTTTTCAGTCCAAGTGCATTAGTGACTTATTGTACAGTCTGACAATAAGTCACTATCTATCTAACCATAGACTGTATATAGATGGATAATGCTCACCTGCCAGCACAATTTAGCTCATTAGGAAGGTGCTCATGGGCAAAGTTTAGCTCCAACTCACTTTATTGAAACGATAACTCCTCTCGCTTAATAACCGCTTGTGTAACACCATTTTGGGCTTAAAAAACTCAGTGGAGTTTTGTATTGGACAGCAGCCATATAAGAGTTGACCAATCAAATGCATTCATTCTTGGGGGGGCTTAACAAGCATCATAGCAAAACTGCCCCATGAATTGCTCTCTGAATCTGGGCCCGGCATGGTGTGGTGAGAGACAGACTTCCCATAGACCAGGAATTCTGAGACCATTCCCCAATGAGCACAAGCCATTGATTTGAATGTACAGACATCCTGGGTCACCAGGGCTTGGTCTGCTTCAGTTCTGACAAAAAACTAATGCCAATGGAAAGGATGGCTATCAAATTAAAAGTATCTCCAGCTAGCTTATGTTCAAATAATCTTTTTCTGCATAAAACAATTGTGACATCATAGTGTGAGTGTCCACTCACATTCTAAGATCTAATATAAGGTCTAAAACTCATCTAAATACATCTACGGCACAAGGAGTTCTGTATTACTGTTCTAAGACTCCAATTTCAATGGAAACAATAAAGTCTGTAACAACTCAATAAAGTTAAATACAACAACAATTTTCCAGCCCATGTTAAACAAACATGCTATTACATTATTCAGATCAAATATTCAGTTTGAGTGTCTAAGATGGATATTGCCTTTGTGATTTAACAAATATAGAGAGAATTCAGTGTGTGAGTTAAGTTTACGTACACAGGCTTGAAGTGAAATATTATAGTCTAATCTAGTCTAATATCTACCAAGGAACAAATGCATCAATGGCATCCCATCACAATACTAGTCCTTCCACAATTTCTCTTTTAAAAGCTCCATTTGAGAGGCATGAGCTATTCTGAGTGCCCAAGACAATGTTGAACTTCTTTTGACAGGTTTTCCCATACTAGAGTTTTTGGCTTTTATTATATTTTTGACGAGGATGCAGACACAACACTTGCTATTCTGTAAAATTACCAAATAAAATGGTATGTCACTGAGAGTCAAAAGCTCAGTAATAAAAGTCAATTACAGCAAAGACACCCAATTGTCCCAAAAAGTCACACTCTCCACATTACTATCAGCTTCCACCCTTTTTGAGCTTTCAGTCATGTTTGAACGCATCCAGTCAAACATATTGCTTTAAATCAGACTTCTCCACTTCAGAAACAGCCCTAGCGTTGTGAAGCTCCCATTCCAGCGGATCTTGAGCCACTTTTCTCCGCTAACCCGAGCTGTCAACACGCCATCGGACCATCTCTGCAGAGAGCCACACCAGCCTCTGATAAGTACAGTGAAAGTACGCACTTCGGCTTCACTCACGCACATCTCACGCACACAAACACACAGGCTATTCTCTTACAGCGACATGAATCCCGCCGAATCTGCCGCAATCTGCACCTCTGTCCGCACTTTTCCTCTTTGATTGCGCTAACGCTCTGAGCCGACAGACAGAGGCAAGGGCCCGAGCCAGTGTGACTTACGGCCTACCTGATTGGTCCAAACACACAAACACAGCTCACGTGACGCGGAAGTGACAGCTCCACCAAAATATTTGATGTGTCAAAAATATGTTATTATTAAAACTACTGACCTATTTCGTATTATTTTGTGTATAAAGCTACATTTGTGACTACACATATTTTTAAAACACATTAATTTTGTTTTTTGGTTGAGCGATTGTATAGCTATATTTTTAGGCTAGCTAGTTTTCAGGAGCAGAGGTGGCGCTTGCTAGTTCCCGCAAATCAGGCTAATTTCACTTTTTACATTTCTTTCCGTGGTTTTGCCTGGTAACATCAGGTCTTGGAGCGTGAGTAGTGAGTGTTTTATATATGTATTAATGTGTCAAAAGATCAGTCTGTTTATGTACAGTTGTATGTAGTCGTGATCATTTATGGCTAGCGTGTATCGTAGTGGCTGTAACCTTGTGCCACTTGTCATTAGCTGGATTATAACGTTTATTTATCTTATCAACGTCAATTTGTATCCATAAACGTACAATACATGTCTAATCCTATGATTGTGACAGGTAATAAATCACCAACGTATGTCCACTTTGCAGAGCAACCTTATGAGTTAATCATGTATTGAAAACAGCAATTGTCAACTGTAATAGCCACTGACTGAGAATATGTTTTGTTATGGACTTGACAAATATGTAAACTGGTTTTGTTTGAGGGGGTACTTCTGGTTACAATACATGTTTACGACTTGACAGGAACTATGAGCTTGTAAAACGAGTTGAGTCAGTGATATGATTGTGAGTAAGCCTTTGGAAATGTATAATTGCTAAATTATGAATCTGTAATATGTTGCATTCTGGACATGTTTAGATACCTAATGGATGCTTGTTTAAACCTTTGTGGCTGCTGTTGCATTTTATTTTGGGGCAAAGATGCCACACACAATAATATGTCTTAACTTGGTTTCACAGTTGAGTTTACAACAGTAGTTCCATTCTCATTTATTTCAAAATATCTAAATTAACACTTATTGTATTTGCACCTGACAATAGGGTACACTGACCAAGCCCATGCTGATTTACACACTAATAATAGAGAGTGGGGAAACTGAAAACTCTCACACTCCAATAAGCAAAGTGTTGGTTTCAGTGACAGACTGAGAGACTTGGGTAATCACCCTGAAAATCCCTTACCTTACTCTTGCAGTGTTTATTATAGTCTGTGGCTTTTAAGACATTTATATAGTCCTGTTTGATATAAAGATTAATGTTTGTATTGGTACAATGCCACACAGTGGAGAGGTTTGCAGACTGCAATTTCTTGTTGCTTTCAATTTCATCGCAAACACTTCCAATCCTTTTTAATTCAGGCCGTCACAATTTAAGGAATAATATTCACAAATTGTTGTGTCTTTATGTTGCTTATTATTGACAATTTGTGTCTCACAAATGCCAATAATATGTATTTGACTGGGAACAACATCCAAAATGAATGTCATACACATGGCATAAGATCTAAAAATACAACAACTAAACAATCGAAGAGCCTTCTAGTCTGAATGCTATCATCTTCTCACTCTGTCTTCTCCCCTCTCCTCTCTCACTTTCCCTCGAGCAGATCGACGTCAGCAGAGTATTTCCAGCTCTTTGTTTACCTGCCGGGTGGATAAGGCGTGTGGGGGCGTGGCCTAAGCTGCAGAGATGCCAGTGGAGGGCGGGACCAGCAGCGGCTCCGCGTCGGCCTCGAGTCGTCACCCGAAACAGAAGAGAAAAGCCCACAGTCTGTCGATCAGGAGAACCAACAGCACAGAGGACAGACCAGGGGGATTACTGAGAGGAGAGATGCTGGACGGACAGGTAGGCCGTTTACTCAAGCCTCGTTACAACTGGTTATTATTCACACATTGTGGACATGGACATGGCAACATAGGTTTTTCAAAAGCAATTTAATGTTGCGGTTCCATTAAAATTACATGTGGTTTGTGAGCGATAGTGGTCTACTATTTTGTATTGTCCAAAAAAGCTGATCTAAAGATGGTACCCCAGCTCTAACAATTTTATCTTGAAGTACACTTAAAGTATTATTTACACTCATGGTTATAAACATTGCAATACCTTTTCGTCGGGTCATTTGACAAAGGACATTTTCTGATAAGAACAGGTTTTACTGTTTAGGGCTGTATCATTGAAACTGTTTTTATTACACATATGGACATAGACAACTCATGTCTGTAAAAAGGCGCTATGAAAATAAAGATTACTTACTTTCTACGCCATACAACGTTACCTATTACAATATCGTATGGCCTTAACAATTCTATCCTAATGAAGGACACAGCAGAAGTAATGATGATAAAGATATATAAAGAGGTAGGTTTACACATGGGACTTAGACCTGTGGACTGCGGCTGTTTGGTGTGTCTTGAGATTGTTTGGTGTGCCTTTGGAAATGACTCGATATCACTTGATTGGTCAGACTCTGGAGAAAATACTGTATGAAGATTAGAAAGACTTGTTTGATTTTCTATATAAAACACATTGATGAATGACTTTGCTTTGTTCCTAAAGGCAGAGTTTCATGTCTGGATTAGTTTTGTGTGGTTGATTTCAACGAGAGAGGTTTGCCACGGTTCAAAACGGTTGGAAAAACACTGACTTGGACAACAGTTTTTACATACAACTTGGAAAAATGGCCCTTGATAAATGGGTGTATCTTTGGACATAGAGCTATTTAAAACAGATTATTTACATAACAATGCACACACGGCATGGGCAAAGCCACACAGTTGAGGTAATACCTGGACAATAAGATGTTGTTGTACATATTTCCAATTCAAATTTCCAATATTTTTAATATAAAGACCTGGTTATAGACTCTAGAGACATCCAAGCTGTTCAAGTGCTTCAAACAATCTTAGAAATCTTAACAAAGGAAATGTGCTGCATGGACAAGTTTGTTGTTATTTAAAGTGAGTATAACATGCAAAGTCACCCACAGCTTCTGACCATCTGTCATTTACAGTCTTCAGAGGGGTTCATGTAGGTTTGTGTAAAATATACAATATCACAGTCAATTACAGAATAAAGGATCTCTTAAATAATCTCTTAATTCATCTCTTAATTTCTCTGTTCTTCCTGGGCCAATCCACATGAAACTAAAACGGTCACAAAGTTCCACATCTTCGTCCGCACATTTCAACTATGACTAATTATTATCACATAAAGGTTTCTAGAAGTGGTGACAAACATATGCATGATGTTGGTCATAAGAAAGGACCCTCAGAAATGTATATGCCTGAAATATATGAAAATGTTGTTGGGTTTGTCAAACAATGGTCAAGGAAAAATCTCTCCCTTAGAGCCTTAGAGTAAAATCAGCAACTGCCCCCAATTGAAATAGAACAATGGACTCTGGATGCTTTTATGTTTTAATGAGCCATGATTAGATATTTGTACATACAGCAGAGAGAAGCGTTTTTTTATCCTCTTTAAACAGTTTGTTTTATACATAATAGTTTTAGGTGACACACATAGACCTGAAAAACTAAAAGTAACAATTGAGGCTTTCCATACTTCTTCATCATGTTATTTATTTTCCATGTGTTTGATTAAAAGTAACATCTCAGATTTAATATAGTGTTTTAATACTTTTGAATTACAACACATTTGCTGGTTTTCATATTTACAATTTTATTTACAATTTTGACAGAACTTTAATCTTATAAATAATAAATTGTAGTTATTTTCAAACTATAGTATGTTTTTATTAAGTTTTATTTATTTATCATTATTTATATCAAACTTGAGCACGAGAAGACAAAAACAAAACGGATACAAAAATAAACAGCAATACAGTTTGACACATTATTACTATTATTATTTTATTTTGAGCATAGAAATAATTAGTACAAATTAATTACAAGCGGCGTAGGTACATTTACAAAATATAACAAAAAAGAGTAAATGTTACTAACATAACACTAATGGATGCTCGAAAAGGAGTGGGAAGAAGCAAACACTTATTTAATCCCACCTCTTATTAAACAATAGCTTTGCTTTTTCCGATGTAATGTCATTTTGTTAAATTTTGGCATCAGGCACAACAAGGACCTATAACTTTGTGGTTCTTTGCTATATTTTCAATGTTGCTGTAATTTACTGCTCAACCTTTTTCATGTCTTTCATGTTATGCCGTTGTATAGATTTGGAGGCTTGACATATCTCCATGTATCTCTGCTTGTTTGGAATGCAAAATGAGCATTTGTTTTTGCATCATACCCTTTAAAATATTGAGTTCAATTCTGCGTCTGAAGAGGATTTGAGGATTTGACACTACTACTACTTGTTGCTAAGAAGTCAATATGAGCCAGAGCGACTAGAGCAAAACTTTGTCCATGAGCACTTCCCTATTGGGTCTCATTGAGCTAGCGAGTTATCACCCATTTTTATTCAGTCTATGGATGGAGACAGTATATTGTAGTCTCATTTGTTCATAACATGTTTAAGGCTCTGGACCAGGGGTCCCTAAACTTTTTCCTGTGAGGGCCACATAACTTTTGCAAAAGTCCAACTTTATTATCACAGTAAAGTGACAATTGAAGTATCTGGATTTTAAAAGGTTACAACTCAAAAACTAAAATTACTGTCATAGATTATAAAAAAAGATTTCAAACACAGACACATTGAAGAGCTAGTGTGGATAAAATCAAAAGGAAAGATTGACAAATATATTTTTGGCGTCATTTTAAACAACAAAATCAGCCTCTGATTTGACCATTCTTCTGTGACGCCGGTTACATAGAAAATAAAATGTCCTCAGTCTGAAAAAGCGGCAGATGAAATCCCACAAGATTAACATGGTTAACACAACATAAGTAAGTCACTTGATTTAAAAAGGAATCGTTAAAAAAATAAAAAAATAAATGTCCCTTGAAAAAGGTGTAACGGACGTGATGGTTTCCGTCCATTTTTCTCTAACAATTAAACTTGAGGAAAAAATCTGGTCTGATTTCACATTTAATTGGTTGACTATATGAAATTTTCACTTTGTTTCTACTCTATGTACAAAAAATAGAATCTCTTAATCAAATGTGGACATCTAAAAATACGTAACAAACTTCTGCAAAGCTCAGTCCGTCAAATCATCACGTCCGTTACATAAAAAAAACAGGGCCGCTATAGGAAACTTGTCTAATGTAAACAGTTATGTTCTAGCAACTTCTAATGGACAGAGGAGGGATTTGGATACATGAAAAACATAAAATATCTTCTGATTATTGATTATCAAACTTTTGGCCTTTTGTCACACTTTTGTGCCCTTTAGTTTGAACAAGCCCATAAATGAAAATACTCTCTGGTATTGTTCAGGGGGCCGGAGCAAATGTAGAGCCGGGCCGTAGTTTGGGGACCACTGCTCTCGACAAACGCAATGCATTACTTTGAGGGGAGGAAGTTTGGTACCCCAGACCAGGGCCTTTCTGAGTGGAGTTTGCATGTTCTCCCCGTGTCTGCGTAGGTTTCCTCCGGGTACTCCGGTTTCCCCTACCACTAAAAACATGCACAATAGGTCTGCCCAAAAATAATAACAATTGTAAACCGCTTTGTGACTCTGGTCTGTGAAAGGCGGTATATAAATAAAGATTACTTACTTACAGCTTATTATATCAACAAAATATAATTAAAAAAAAATAATAATTCTATTTTCATGGGAAATGTCTCTGCAGATACAACTTGGAGCAGTGGTGTTGTTTCTCTTTTGTCACCAGGCCAAGCAGTTGTTTGCAAGCCGGTCCAGCAGAATGCTTAGTTATTTCTGTTGCTAAATGACAACTTCCACAATGCTTTTGAGTGAGATGGATTGTAAAAACAAACCTCCAGGGGTTTCAAGTCTCTTTGATTTTCTTTACAAGTGTTCAAAGCTGCTTTTAATAGAAACACACACTGTTGTTAACTACATTGTGACTATAGATATGCAAATTGGAGACCGTGGTTTTCTATAGCTGAGGTTACAAACTGTCAACGGTCGTGGAGTGAGAGTGGGAAGTCAAGGAGATTTTTTATTGTGGCGTTTTTGATTTTTGTTTTGGTATTCACATTCACTCTCTATTTAAAATGTAACTTTAAAACACGGACAATCCTATAGTTAGTTTTTTAGTGTTGAGTGAATAGTTGAAAAGGGGAAGGGAGTCAGCTGACTTCACTGCAGCAATAAACGTTTGTTTGACCAAGTACATCCTGTTTGGGAGTTGCCTTTAGCTTTTACAACGGCCCTCTGCGTGTTTGAATTGTGTCAGTTTGATATGCAGCTAATTTTCACAAAGATTAATAGGTAAAGAAGTGCAAATCCAAAGGGAAGCCTCTTTAAATGAATCAAATGAATACGATGAGAAGGAGGCATCTTTTACAGTTTTAAAAATGATTTCGTCTTGTTCTTACAGCTGAAGTAAAATAACATACAACATGGACCTACAATAGGACCCAGATAAATATATATATTCTTTAGGGCTGTCAAACGATACATTTTTTTAATCGAGTTAATTACAGCTTAAAAATTAATTCATCGCAATTAATCGCATTTCAAACTATTGGCAAAATTATGCCATATTTTTCTGTAAATGGTTGTTTGAATGGAAAGATAAATGACAGCTTAGTGAACATATGTACTGTATTTGTTTGTTATAACGATAAATCCATATAAAATGGAATTAACATTATTAACATTCTGTCTTTCTGTTTAGACTCAGACCAAAACCATTGTTTGTTACAGATGAGGGACATTTCAAAATAGTCTGAAGCAGAATGTCATTAAATCTGTTTGATTTGCTTTACTTTTTTTGGCACAACTAAACATGAACTGGTAGTCGAAAGGAAAATTAGGTACCTCAGCTTTAATTTAGCGAGTGCGCTTAGGGAGAAGACACGGAGGAGAGCTCCGCAGTCCAGCTTCAGCGCTGTACATATTGTGTGCATCGGTTACGCAAAGACACGTACGCACATTAGAGAATAGTTCTGTAATTGTTCTGTGCGTGGTCTTGGATATGATCCCATTACGCAGCGCCGTTCGCCGTGATCACAGCCGCTGGAAGTGGGACCTGCTGTCCAGAGCGCTGTGGCGCCCGCAGCTCATCATGCAGAGTTCATACAGGAAACTACAAGAGCTCCGCGGTCACGCGTGTATTCTTTCAAAACTTGAATTCCCAGAGGGCCTACCTGCTCTGTCCCCATCTTACACACGCGCATGTGTCCGCGGCATTCTGAGTGTTATTATGGGATGCATGGGCATGCGTCAAATGCGTTAATTTTTTTAATGCGATTAATGAAAAAAATTAATTAACGTGCGTTAACGCGATAATTTTGACAGCCCTAATATTCTTTTCATGTGACATTGTTTGAATAATGGAGGATGGCTGGAGTGGGACAAGGGCCTTAAAAAGTATATTTGTTTCCTTTTTGACATACACTGGTCCTGCGTAATAACCACAATTATTTTCTCGGGTCACCTTTCTCGGCTTATTAATTAGTAGATTTTTATTTGTGACTTTTGCGTTCTTTTTTACAGTTTGAATTTCATACGCCGCATGTATACTCCAACATCATACAACCATAGACTGTAACCACAGCTAAAATCCAAAGACTGCAAGTTTTTTGAGTTATTTTTGGACATAAAAAATTAAAATGTGACTATTTACTTTGTTGAAAATCATTTATAATAATGGTAGTAATAAAAGTATAAATGGTAAATGTTTTCTCACTGTAACCAACTCTGAGCTACCACCAGAGGGAGGAGATTTCTTTTTTTGTCGCTTCATTTGAAAAATCGCAAGAGATTATAAAGAACATGAATCACCTGAAAAATTGCCTAAACTAATTTAGAAGCAATACTTTTGTTTTAAAAGTAGCATAATGTCATCGGGGTACAGTGACATCAAACTATTACTGGAGCTTTTGGACAGAAATGGGCAGAGTTAAAGGTTTTGTGCCATTTTATACTTTCTCTTGTTAATGCTAAGTCAGTAAAAAACAAAAAAACAAAGTGATCCCCAAAACAGAATTATGAGCTGTGGGCTTTAACAGATGCAACACTGAAATTTCCCCACTGTGAGACAAAATCCAGGTTTCCACCAAAAAACGTCGGTTTTGATGTAAATTACATCAAAGTTGAATTTTACCCTCCTGTGGGACAAATAAATTCCTGGTTTTTGGCATGGATGGATCTTTAAACAACTCCAGGGTTATTGCAACACACACAAAAAAGTCGAAACGTCAGACAAAATCGTAATTGTATATGCTGCTAAACTCGCACAGCCTCGCACGTTGTGGTATCTTTCCGATCCCCCGTCAGTCGCTCCGTGTCCCGTCACTTTCCCTGCTCCTCTCCGGCCGTGAGTTATGGCCCCAGAAAAGGCTCAGTTTGCAGTTTGTCCCCGAAGCTTCATCAACTATTAATACGGCTGCTGTTCGCTCCTGATTAGTCTTTTCAGCAGCTTTTGTGTCGCTGCCAGACGCACTCTCGCTCCGTCCAGATGCACTGACCCCCGCTGGCTCCGGACCACGGAAAACCTAGAAAAATATGTTTAATTTTTAATGTTTCAAAAGCAATGGCACTTTTGTAATTCCCCTAATATTGAATAGACTTTTATTCTGTCTTCTTTAGGTTTCATCATCATTTTATCAGTACAAAGAATCACAATAGTTGACGAGGATTAAAGCTGGGATACCTGACTTTTTTGTTTCATGAGAACACATGTTTGTCTCAGTCTCTCAAAGAATCTTGAAAATAAAAATGTTGTGAGCAAATCAGACTAAAATATTCTGGAAACAGAACTCTTTCTTTCCCTGTGAGTCACTATTTGATACTGATTAGTTTGGTCGCCCGATTTTTCACTTTTCCGTCTGAAAAAAGCTGATAAAATTATTTAACAGAGGCCAAAGATTCATGCATTTGAAGACGATAGTGATAAAAAAACCAAACTTTTTTTAAGCGAGTTGAATAGATTATATAACATTTTTAAGATATTTATTTTGTGATTTGAAAGTTAGGTACTCCAGTATTAAAGTTTTTTTTTACATGTTTATGATAATGGACAATGTTGAAACTTGATTTTAAAGCCAAAAAACCTTTTCTGTATAATATGGGTTGAGAAGTTTCCTTATGAAAACCATCTCCTCCATCGCCTGCGTTCACATGACAATCTTATAAAATCAATTCATCTCTAATTTGTTGTTTTGAATGCCGTCATTATGAACAGCGTTTTCCACATACAGGATTAAGCGCGACTATAAGCTGCTTTGAAAGAAGGACTTTGCTCCGTTGTTTTGAAAATGCACCTTTTTGTTAATTTGTGTTGACATATGGAGCAGACAGATGAGGCTGTGGCTGCCTGCTTTAGGACCTGTCAAACGCAGACCGGAGCGTTTTTCAGTCTGTTTCTCTGCCCGGCTGGGATCTTTCTAGTAAAGCCATGGGTTGTGCGTAGTTAAAATGGAGGTAAGACTCTTAAGAACGCAGGTTTTTATTGTGGTCTGGTAGTAAAAGAGGTTTGTTATGGTAACTTGCATGTTTGCTTTATGGTTTCGTGAGAAGACTTAGAATAGATTTTTTGACTTAGAATAGACTTAGATTTTTGTCACATGTTGTATATTTCCCATTTGCGTTTAATCGTTTCTTGCAATCCTACAGCAAAGCAAAATATGTAGTAGGAAATATTAGTATTGTACTCAAATATTTTGTTGTATTTTTTGTAACTTTAAAGGTTTTTCGTACTCATGGAATTGGACTGAAGCATTAGATGTAATATGTTGGATCTGGATCTCTTTAAAGCATGGGATTAATACTGCTCTACTGGATTTCACAATAATGCCATGATTATATAGCCAATAAGAGGGATTTAAATTGCAAGCAGTATTTCCTTCTATCAAAATGCTTTTTACTTAACAATATAATACCATAGTACAATGTCACTACTGTTCATTTCAGGGAGTTTTTGTTGTTTTGTTTGGATGCCAATGTTTCAGAGCTTTTCCCGTTTCTCTCTTATGCTCTTATACTTATTTTGTGTTCAAATTCAATTCAATATAGTCCTAAATAACAAAAACAGTCGTCTTGGAGGACTCTGCAAAGTTGTCGCCAACAACCGATCAGAGAATCAAAATGTTTGAACTCTGGAAATGCAATAATAACTAATGCACAGGAGGCATTGGGCCATAGGGAGCAGACCAGAAATATTTAGATCTAAAATGTAATGTAAAAGGCCTTGTTATTTTTTACCTTGGAGCAAAGAATCATGGTCAATGTAGTCCTGTCTTGTTTCAGCTGCTGCTGGAACAAAACAATTCAATGATTCAGTGTATTTGGTTGATATCACTGTGTGTCTTGACATTGTACCAATAGCCAGCATATACGATGAGCTCTTGGTACATCAAAAATGTTGCCCAAAGTTCAAAGGACAACCTGTCTTGGAGAACTTTGCAAGATTGTTGATATACCAGCAAAAAAGAAAATCAAACAAACAAGACAAACACATTTAACCAACGTTCAAATAATTTACTAAACACATTCTTGCTTCTCTTTCTTTTTCCTCTTTGTAGGACTCTAAGCTTCCCCTCACCTTAAGGAACAACCTTTTGGACCTGTTTGGACAAATTGAACGAGAGTTTGAGAATCTCTACATTGAAAACATAGAGCGTAAGTGACATTATGTATTTTAAAATTATAAACATTTTCAGAATCGACATTCTCTGAGTCTTTGAGTGTGTTTACAAAGCATGTACATATTTTTTTCTAATCATCGAGCAAAATGTCAGAAATGTCTTATAACTTTGCCACTCACACTTTGGAACAGTAATTGTAAATAAAATATCTGCCATACAGTCAGTACATATGGTTTGCCTTTGGTGGCCTTGCTGTTTCACAGATTTGTTTGTGAGCAGTTTTTTGTGCATTTTTACCGCATGCTTCTGTGTGTACTCCAGCGACATCATATAACGCTAGTATAACATGACAGTTTTCTTTATTTAAAGTCAGATGAAAACCTTTTGTCTTGTCTGCATCGCAGTGATTAGTTTCGAGGACTGCCGGGGTCTTCCTGTAGCCCCCAGTCCTGCTCCTGCCTAAAGAAGGGTCCACTGTATACTCAATATACACACTTTTGGATAATGTAACCACACAACATCTTCATCTACATAAGTTCACCTGCACTTTTCCACAGCACACCATGTTTCCTGCTTTTGCCACACAAAACATAACAAAACCAAAACAAACCAATGAAAGGCGCACAGAGGGACTGTGTGTCATCTTGATCACAGTGATCAAGAAGAGTGAGTCGCCTGAATGTGTCCAAATACATGTATTTCTCATTAAAATGTCTTTTTACTTTACTTTTAAATGCATCTGCTGGCCTTGTCCCAGTAGTATCCGGTTTTTGTGGATACATGCAGCTCAATTGCAGTAGAAGTGTTCAGTTTTTCTAAATGGACTGATTTTTCACACTTGATTCGCAGTGCACGGGTTTACATGAGTTCAGTCAAATGAAGTTGGAGACGTTGAAGGAGCCGCTTTTTGGTGTTGTGCTTATGGTTCTTTCTCATGTTCACAGTTCGTCGTGAGATCGAGTCGTTGAACGATCGTCTGACCGGAGATGGACAGACCGTGGACGGAGCCGATCCCAGCAAAGGAGTGCTCAAAGCTAAAGGTGAAACTTAACCTTGAATTATTATATTATTTACCGGAATAACAGGTCGTTGTAGGTTAACATGTGTCTGTTTGCTGTTCTACTTTATTAACTTAACTTACTTGTACCACTTTACTATATTGAAAATGGTTAACTGAATATATTTTTATTACATTTCAGCGAGCCATAGCACGAGCCAACTGTCACAGAAGCTAAAGACGACTTACAAAGCGTCCACCAGCAAGGTACAGTCTCTCTACTTTATAATAATCTATTATAATAGTCTGTTACATCTACTTCTGTTTTGTATTCAGACTTATCTCATGTGAGTAAATGTTTAAACTGCCGGGTTTTTGCCCAAAGGAGCAGGAACAGACTCATGCTTTGTTGAGAAGAATGAGGAAAAATATTCTTTCACTGTTGGATCAAAGATTGTATACATATTAACCAAAAATCTATGTATGCTGCTGGTAATGGGTTTGTGTAGGCAAACGCTTCAGTCATAAATCCATAAAACAGAAAAACAAACAATGGAGAATTCAATAGGACCAGTTTCCATAAGCGCACATCCGGAGGGGCAGATCTCTCACCTCACAGCAAGAAGGTCCTGGGGTCAACTCGCAGGTAGCACAGGGTTTGCATGTTCTCCCTATGTCTGGTCTGGTTTCCTCCTACCCCTAATAATACAGTAGTTCAATAGGCTTCTCCCGGCCAGGACTCCCCTGACAAAAGAGAGTCTGAAATCCTATCCTGGGACTATCCTCATTTAGAGATCAATAAAAGAATGTACTTTAAGTTTTATTGTTCATGTTTGACTTTGCATGGACATTTCTTTGACTATAGCAAAGTAGACTCTGCACACCTGACTGAGCGACAGGTGCGTAGTGAAGGCGCTCACTGTCTTCAGACATGAGATATCTGAATAATTATTATTATAATTATTCAAGTCACTACAGATCAGATTTGTCTGTTGTCCGTGCAGACCTTGACAGTTCTCTGTGTAAAAAGATAATAAATGTATATTTGTCAAATTAGTTGCAAAATCTGATATGTTTCAACCTGTCAAACATTATAATGAGTTATAATGAGATAATTGGATGAGATGGATGTGTGAAGTAGTAAATGTTTCTTCCTCCTCCTCACGTCTCTGTTGGTAGCGGTCGCACATGCTCCAGAGTAAAATAGGAGGAATAGCTGGACCCTGCGGCTTCAGCGCGGCCTCATGGGAGCTGTGGGGCGGAGACTCGTGGGTAACTTCTTGAATGACGTTTGAGAAACAAAAAAACATCTAAAACTTAAACAGAAGTCCACACTTGATTCTTTATGACTGCGGCGATGAGAGAAAGTCGAGAAGTGGCTAAGACAACTTTCCTTTACACCAGTTTGTTTTTATGTTTATCAGTCGATCATAAACAGCTCAAGTCTTCTCATAAAACAAAAAACTAGTTCCATTCTACAATCAGGATCACAGGCCCATGTCCCTCCTGTCCATAATGAAATGCTCCTGAAACATGCTCTTGGACTTGGTACATACTTAGATCAGGGTGACTGCTGTTTGTATATTACACTGACTTACGTCAATAAAGAGCAGTTTTACCTAAAGCTCAAAGTCAGATCATGACGTCATGAACAGAGCAGTTCCTAAATTCAAAAGGGAACTGCGTCCCTTCATTAGCGCCGCAGACTTTTAGGAATTTTCCAAATTAGCAGAATATTATTGGCTCATAGTAAATGTTCTCATGATCAAGGGTGAAAATGATCACACACAGTCCACATTATTTAATATTTCCACAATAATCCATTTTCTACAGTCCAACAAGCATCACATTATCATTGTCGTGTCATCGTTGTGTCATCGTTGTATCATCTGATGAATCAAACACACCACTCACCTCTCATTTAATTCAATCTAAAAGCAGAAGAAGAGCCGACTCACAGAGAATCAAGGGTGGACCTGCATTAACTGTGTGGGCAGAGCTGCTTTGTTTAAACGGCTAACACATGGGCTGCGGTTTGGATTTACAAAGTACTAATGAGGGATTTCCAGGTTTTAAATAGGACTAACTTGAGCTTGATATTAATGATGTTTCACACAGACGCATTGATACATTGAGGAACAGCAACAACGAGGGTTTGGTCGTGGAAAATCTCAGAATAGCAAGTTTTATACACTGCAAAAAATGATAAAATATGAGGTAATCATATTTTGGATTATAGGGTTTTTCTCTTACTTTGAGTACATTCTGACTGTCTTAAACCAGATTTACAAATGAATCAAAGCTATTTAGGTGTATTTCAAGAACTCTTGCTTTATTTCTCATTCCATGTATTTATTTTCAAAAAAAGACATTTCGCTTGTTACATTGGCAAATCTCTGAATGTACTCAAAATAATAGCAATTTTTGACTTCTTTTCATCATTTTTGGTGGTGTATAAATCCCTCAACTAATGCCTGGTACAATAATTTGCCAGTTTAAACTATCCCTGTGACAAGTGGACTTCTTAACATAGAGCTGCTGCATTGTCCGTCAATCAATCCAATGGGAAAATCTGGCCTTGATCCAAAGTGAGATCGTTCTTGAGCATAACCATCGTCTTGTTCAGCATGCACCAATATGGCTTACCAAATACGTTCTTGTGCTTTTGTTTTGGGCTGATGTTTTCCCAGCGCCTGCAGTAAGTAAAGGTCAGATAAAGCTGGATCAGAAGAGCAGGGTATTCTTAGCGACTGAAATGCTAACACCACCACATGCACCGAGATGCGTTATTAAAAGGCCACGCATACTTTTCAAACCATTTGTCTAAAGAGTCGAGCGTAACAAGCAAGCACCCATTCATCACCACTGTATTTGTTCACGGTTTTTAATAGCTATGAGAAAGTTGAATTGGCAGTCATTTTTACCATTGCCAATGATGAAAAGCTATAGTCTATTTGAATAGGAGCAGGCAATATCCCATTATACTGAAAAGAATGCTTTAGAATTGAAAGATCTCAAATGCCTAAAGCCTCTTTTCCACTTACTATCAAAGTTCCGGCTTTTGCATGTGCTGCTCTTTCCTTTATAAAGTTGTCCTTATTAAAAAATATGTTTGATAATGTCTACATAGCTGCATTTGGATGATACTCTTGTCGTAGTAATGATTCCCTGCAGGTCCTGGGTGCACTGTGCTGGGACTTAAAGTTGATTTAAGGGATGCAAGGGATAACAACACAAAACACAAGTGAGAATGCTCTGAGAGGCCTATATCGAGGGAGGGATCAGTTCCCGCAGATGAACAGGCTGTAGATCCAGGACTCAGGCTGTAGATCCAGGACTGAGGCTGTAGATCCAGGACTCGGACTGTAGAACATGGACTGAGGCTGTAGATCCAGGACTCAGGCTGTAGATCCAGGACTGAGGCTGTAGATCCAAGACTCGGACTGTAGATCATGGACTGAGGCTGTAGATCCAGGACTCAGGCTGTAGATCCAGGACTGAGGCTGTAGATCCAGGACTCAGGCTGTAGATCCAGGACTCGGACTGTAGAACATGGACTGAGGCTGTAGATTCAGGTCTGAAGTCGTAGATGCAAGACTGAGGAGGCTCCCAGACAGGGATGGGGTGCCGTCTACAATTGAAATAAAACCCGCCAATCGTAAACATTTGTAGTTTTATGACTCATTATCAGGACTCTCCATAGCTTTCAAAATACTGCGTTTGTGCCCATCTTTGAATCCACACAGTGCACTGACAGACCACACACTCGTCTCTGCCCCACATTAAATAAACATGCTGTCGTCTCCTCCGCTGCAGTGATAACCTCTGGCTCTCTCTGATCTGTAGATTGTGTCGAGTTTCAAAGCCACGGCGGGCTCCAGAGCTCTGTGTCAGCTGCAGAAGGAGTACATGGGGCATCGGGACGGGATCTGGGACCTGGGCATCACCAAGACTCAGCCTGTGGTCCTGGGCACGGCCTCCGCAGGTGAACCGCTGCTTCCATAGTTTAGAATGGTTTCAGATGCGGTATTTCTGACCTACATTGAGATTGTGATGTGATTTTCAATATCTTGTATGTTCAAAACAATAATTGTGTTTAATAAAATAGTTCAATTTGATTACATACGAAGCAGATACCTAATATGCAATTCCCACACATTTCGAAAAATATATATGGAGTTCCAACCTACGGTAAATTTACCCATTTACCAGCGGAAATCATGTAAAAAGTTTGTAGATGCACAAAATAAAACAATAACAAGGTAAAAATTTTTGATGATATAAAAAAAACTGAAATCAAGCATTTGGATCCAACCCCTCTCTCTGGCACACACACACACACACACACACACACACACACACACACACACACACACACGCACACACACACGCACACGCATTCACAGGCCTAAACATTCTTTATACAAACACAAAAATTAAGTAGGTTTTTATTTTGTCTTATTCTTATTATAAAATTCTTATATATTCAGACCAGACAAGACTAAAGGCACTTGCTTGTTCCTTTTTTACAAATATTCAAAATGTATTCAAATCAACAGAAACTTCACGTGATTTCTTTTGCTTGAATCTCTTGCCTCTTTTTTTGTTTGCCAAGAACTTGCGAAATGCGATTAATCATGCCGCCCTATTTGTCAATCTAAATATGCTTTATAAAAATGTATAAAGCAACAGGGCATGGGACACGACAAAATAATACTGTTTACTCCAATTTTCCCTCCAATCAACTATTCTGGGAGAAATCAATGAATCGTATATTTCTCTTGTCACCGACAGAATGTTGTGGGAGTAATTTGTGTGTATTTGAACAGATCATTCTGCTCTGCTGTGGAGCATCGAAACGGGAAAATGTGTCCTGAGATACGCAGGTCACGCAGGATCAGGTAACGTACTGTTCAAGATTACTAATTACTAATCGGCTTTAGTTTTACTAGATATTCAAATGTACTTTTTGTGTATATGTCATGTTTCTGCCTGTTTTTACCGCACTATCCACTAATGTTTATTTAGGCCTCATCACATTTTCATTGTATTGTGCCATAAATGTTATAAATCCTGGTTATAACAATATCATTTTATTTGCTTCACAGTAAACTCCATCAAGTTTCATCCGACAGAACAGATGGCCCTCACAGGTAAACCTCTCACATTTCACATTTCTTTGCTGGTTTGAACTTTTAGACCACACAGAATGGAATTTAATGAATGTATGATTTCTTGTTTTGTTTTTGTTTGTTTGAATTGTATTACATTCCGCCCGAAAAGGAGTGAGTTGGCCAAACTAAAACGCTTATGAGCACCCCAAACCCCCCAAACAGTCAGTCAAACTTTTCATGACACAATCAAAGTAATAGGCAAGGTAGGTTTTATTGCTCAGCCAATCAGCTCTCATCCCAAAACATCAGATAGTGACTCACAGGGCTCACATATGCAAAAGACAAGAGAAAAGAGTACAAAAACATGGATTCGTCTTGATGAAAAAGTACATACATCTAGAACTTATATGTGGCTCCGGAGTAGAAGTTGCACCAGCCCAAAAATGCATTATAAAGAAGGAAAAAAACAAGTTTAATTGCTCAACTTACCATTATTTGATATATAACAATAAATAAAGTATAACATTTCTAATCTAAAATGTAATAATCTCACACATAAGTCGCTCCAGAATGTAAGTCGCACCCCCGGCCAAACTATGTCAGAAACAGCGACTTATTATCCGAAAAAAACTGTATATGTTTTAGTCTCAAACTGCTTCATGCCTGATGTACACACTGTATTCTCCACATGTTCCGTTCACTGGGAAAAATAATGAAAAGGTTTCCTGCTTCTACTTTGAACAGTATTTATTATTCTTGTAGATTGAGTTTAATGTGTGATGTTCATGTGTTTGTTTGCGCAGCCTCAGGGGACCAGACGGCTCACATCTGGAGGTACATGGTGCAACTGCCCGCGCCGCAGCCTCAGCCAGATGTTACCGTGAGTGAAGCTCCGTTCATGTGTTCGGGGAAAAGTTTCTGGTCATTTTAGAGTTCATCACATTTGTCGCATTACAGAAAATACAATACATACAATACATACAATACATACAATACATACAATACATAGTGCAAATGCAGGAGTCAAAATCATTATAGGTTCAATGTTTTCTTCTAAGACTTTACTTTTTACCAAATTCTCTATTGTTTCCTTATCGTGGAAAGTTTTGCTATAGTCATCTTTATATACTTACTTTTATTTTAGGATATTATTTTCTATAGAACTTGGAGGGTACTTTTCATGACATTCACTCCATACAGTGAGGTGATGAACTACTGCTATAGCTGCAGCTGCCCCGGGGCAAACTGGTGTAATTGAGGGCTGGCGGTGCTGTGGTGAGCACTTGTGCATCTCTGCAAGAAGGTCCTGGATTTGATTTCCCCTCCAAACCTTTATGCATGGAGTTTGCATGTTCTTTCACTGTCTGCATAAGTTTCCTCTTGGTGCTCCAGTTTCCTGCTACAGCTATAAATATGTACCAGTCTGTTATGCCCTTCTTGTATGGCAACTCCACTTCTGTCACTTTAACATCATTACGCACATACACACACACACATACATGCACACAGACATGCACACGCACACACTGTTGCACAGAAATTTTTGTCATTTGTGTTGATGTACAAATATATTTTGATTTCATTGATAATCTGTTGAGCTGAATCTAAAAACATTCGGTAGAACTATAGTCTCTGTGTCCTCCTCATGTTAATGTTGTTGATGTTTTTGTCTGGATTTTTTCAGTCAGCATCGCACACACAAATGACAAATCTTGTATTTACCTAATTACGTGTCCGCCGCTGTAGCCTTCATCCGATCATGTTTTCTTGTTTTTTATGAAATCATAAATGTAAAACAAAAAATAAATCACCTTAGTATTTTCCTTTCCTGCTGTACCACACATTCTCACTGTGATTCCTCGTGTCCTCAGGCCCCTCCGGACGACGACCAGGACTCCTCAGACCGGGAGGAGGGGGAGGTGGACGCGGAGGGACCGTGCGAGGTGCCCACGGTCCGGGTCGCCACTGCCACGCTGAAGTCCCACCAGGGCGTGGTCATCGCGGCTGATTGGCTGGTGGGCGGGAAGCAGGTGGTGACGGCGTCCTGGGACCGAGCTGCAAACCTGTACGAAGTGGAGACCTCCGAGCTCGTGCACTCACTCACAGGTGAGCGAGAGAATGTGGTTTAGCTCCCTCTTGACGTTTATATTGCAGGGTTTGTACAATTCTTGGGAGTTACATCCATCCATCCATTTTCTATCCCATTTCTGGATCAAGGGGGGTGGCAGTCAGAGCTGCACCTAATCCGCAGAGCACCAGCCCGTCACTAATCCTCCTGCAGGTGATGTGTCCACAGGAGGATGCTCTGTCAGTGACGTCACAGCCTTGATCTTTCAGCGAGGGCATCATACCGTCTGATTCTCTGATCTGGGTTGGCAATTTAAATAGTTCAAACAAAAAAATATAAAACGGGTGTTGGTCCATAGAGAGAGACCAATGTCCATGAATGTTGATAAATGTCCATACATGTTGTAGAATGTTAGAGTGTCCTGGATCTGGACCATCATCACATTCCTTCTGGTTAGACCTTTAACAGTTTAACAGACCCTCCTGCATCAGCAAGGACCGGGACCCACCCCACTGGTTTATCATGACTGTGTGTGTATGTGTGTGTGTGTTCAGGTCATGACCAGGAGCTGACCCACTGCTGCACTCACCCCACTCAGCGCCTGGTGGTGACGTCGTCCCGGGACACCACCTTCAGACTGTGGGACTTCAGAGACCCCTCCATCCACTCTGTCAACGTGTTCCAGGGCCACACCGAGTGAGTGACACTGATCAGACCTGTTTTATCTCTGTCTGCTGCCTTTGTCTACACCTGATGTTTCACCTGTCTGGCTCTGACACTGAGCATCACATATGGATTTGTTTAACAGTTGAACAAAGCAAAGTCATTTAAGAATAATGAAAATCCTTAAAGCTGCGGTACCTAATTTCCGAACCATAAAAACGTAACTTTGGAATGAAATCAATCAAAATAGTTCCTCGCTCTCTGTTTGCTGTATAATTTTTTGATTAGATTTCAATGGAGACGTGCTGGTTGCTTTGCTTTCAGCTATTGTGAGCCATATTAAATAAAACCTAAAAAAGAACAAATTATAGCTTTCAATGAAATAGATGTGCCACTGAAAAGGTCGGAGATTGCTGATCGAGGCAAAAACAAAACATCTATTCCCTCTCACTTTCTCGTTCGCTGTAGCTTCCACTTCATGCCACTAGATGGAGCTATGGCTCTTCTTTTGCATTGTTCAGCGTCTGTCATTCATAGATGTGTTTTGCTTCAGGCTCAATCCTGTGGCTCTTATTCATTACTGAGCCTTTCTCTTCACTCCACTGGACTCTTTTTCTCTCATTTATCTTCTGTGTGTTTTGTGCGTTAATCCTTTTCTCTGCGTAATTAGACGATGTGTTTTTATGTCACATTTCAAAGCAGTGAATGTCTGCGTTTGCCTTTAGCCCCGTGGAAATCTCCAAATATCCAACGCTGATGGGGTCGGCAACAGTATTCAAAATCAGATGCTAATCAATGATACAAACTAAAAGTAGATCTAGTTTTTAGGCAAGTGTGTGGGGAAAAATTGTTTCTGGTTTGTATTTAGGACCTTACATATCCACATTTAAAAAAATTCTTTAGCTGTTGTAATATACCAACATTGATATTTACAAACAAAAAGTTATAATTTCCTAAAAAGCCATTTATTTTGAAGTCTGACTGACTTAAATATTCTGCTTTGAAGAGTGTTTGACCATTGCTCCCTCATCAAAGGTAGATCTGGAGTTGTTTTTAGCTCTATCCATTCCACTGAAGTATCAGGAACCTGTGGCTCAAATCTGCAAAAAATGTCCCCCCTCAATCTGTCTAAATGCTCTGTTTCCAAACGTCATCCTCATTTTGCCTTCTTTCAATTAGACAGTGCTATTTTAAACCAGAAAATACTAATGCTTGATATTTGCATTGAAACAATATGTGAAAGGGTTTCTAGTTGCTCGTTACCAAGCAGCTTTTTGAAAATCCAGATATTATTGTTGATATTATTTATTATATTGTTTTAGCGCCATACAATTTTAAATAACAAAACATTGTGAAGATTGTAATTTGAGGATACACAACTTCTTCACAGATTTCCTCATGTTTTTATGCAAGTGAACATTCCATTTGATCTCCAATGCTGGGGAACCTAACTTTCCAACCACAAAAATTGGACCACGTTATTCAAATCAAACTTAAAGGAAAACTAAACATCAGTGCCCAGCCTTATTCCAGCCACATGAACATTTGAAAATTCTCTCTAAGACGGACGTCACGCTGCACAAAGCCATGTCACAGCGATGTACAGATGCTAACATACTGCTTCTAACATGTACAGATGCTAACATATAACTACACTTTGCTTGCACTAGAAAACACAGTACTTTGTACTTGCCTCTTATTTTGCCGTGTGTTCCTCTTTCCTACTGTTTCTATAACTTGTGATGCAACACTGAAATTTCCCCACTGTGGGACAAATAAAGGATCTCTTAATCTTAATATTAATTTTGCACTCCAGAGCCAATGGAGAGGCCAGGTACAAAATTCAAATGTAGAGCCACTGAAAAGGTAGAGAGGGCGCCACACAGACGGTTATAGGCTCAAAAGTGTGATTGTAACTAGTTTGCTCTGAAATGTCAACAAACTGACAAACGGACATTTAGGCTGAGTTTACACGGAGACAATGTGGCATTAAAACGGTATAGTTGGATGTCGGTTTCTACCAACCGTTCATACGAAGACTGTGTTCCAGGGGGGTGAAAACGTAAGTGTTCAGATCCAGCCTGCAGAGTGGGACAACTCAGAAACGCTGCACAGCGGTGAAAGGTGTGAAATCCCCCTCTGCTCTGACCCCCACCTCCGCGCTGCTCCCCGCACGTACATTTGGACATGCGCAGTAGCGGAGAACAAACATCAACAACAATGGCGCCGCGCACACAAACTAGCTTCGTGGGCTTCCAGCGCGGCACAGAGGATAATTCTACTCCTTCGTTCGTCCAAACGAGACCACGCGAAGCTCTAGGTTCAGTTTCCATTTTCACAGATGCTGTTGAAATGCAGAATGATATTGGTGCGTTCTGAGGGTCTGGCACAGGAAGTGAGTACACTGCCGAGAGGGGGGCTAGGCACGGGGCTGGGGGTCGTGTGAGTGTTGTAAAGTTTCTCTGCCCACTACTGGCCGGGCGCTAGAACTACATCGTTTTTCAACCTCATGTGAACGCTGAGAAATTTGCATTAGGAGCCAGGTCGTTTCTGTTAATAGCCTGGAAACGTCTGCGCAGCGTCTCAGTATAAATAGGGCCTTAGAGAGCACTATTTATGAAACATGTTTTTGCAGTTTATGAATAAAAAAAAGTTGATTTGGTGTTTAGTTGTCCTTTTAATTTGCTCTCAAAACAGTTTGGTCCTATCGCCTGCATGTGTCTTTGGCCTCTGTCACTGCTTTAGATCAGCTTAATCAGACAGAGAAGTGAAAAAGAGTGAACCACCCTCACTCAGCCAATCAGCTCTCAGCCCAACGCTTCAAATAGAGACTCACAGCCTTCTAATGAGATGAAGGCAGCATGTTGTAGCCTGATTTATTCACATCATTTCACTTTTACACGACTCTTTCTCCATGTATTACGGTTATTTCTTGTGTTTGTCTCATGGTTCTATGTTTCTCTATGAGACAATGTTGTTAAATATCATGTTTTCTCCCACAGTATTTGTTTACTGCTCGGCTCCTCTCCTCGTCTTCATCTCTTCCTCTCTGCTTTGATTGCGACTCGTGCCGGGGATTACGCGCTGCTCATTTTGTTCGACCCCGACATGTTTAATTCCTGCAGATCCGGCTCTAATTCTCTCCCATAGACAATGACTGTAATGAGATTAAACCCAGTGCTTCACAGAGAGCGACGCTTCACTCTCTCCCCACTGCGCTGCCTCCACTCAGCTCCACTCAGCTTCACCGACCAACACACTGATGACAGAAGTGCTCAAAAGTCCACCGTGAGAGTGTAGAAAATATGAGAACCAGTGGACAAGGCTTTGATCGTTAATATTTGCAGATACCGTTTTTAAAAGGCAAATAATAATGGAAACTTCTCATGAAAATCTGGTGCATCTTACTCAACGTATTTACATTTTTTATTTGCTCAATTTCAATTCATTTTTTCACCAACAACAACAGATCAGAGAAAAAAAACGGTTCAAACTCAGTAAATGCAATAATAACAAAAGCATAGGAGCCATAAGTCCAGGCTGGTCAACCTCAGACCCATGCTAAAGATTCTGGTCCGCAAGACTATTCTATGGGGTTACTATGGCATGTTATACTTAATTTTAAAGCTTATTTTCCCAGAGAAAACAACCATATAATTGAATTGGTTCTAAATATGAACAAACATGCAATTCAAAGTTAAGTTAGACCAAACATTATTTTTTACATCTTTTTTGATATTTGGCCCAGTTGTGGTTGAATCCAAACCTAAAATAAAAAATAATGTCCAAACTAATGTACAAAAAATACATACAAAATTTAATTAAAAAGGGCTAAAATTATCTTTTTTCAGCTGCCAAAGACAATATTTAATTTCCTTTGGTATTATTAAAGTATTTTCAATCAATCAGTCTTGGGCAACACAAAGCGCTTCAGAGTCCACAACACCCAAATGATGTTTATTTGACATAAATGGCTAGTACACAATGACTAACTTTTGAGTGGAAAAACAATTTTGTGTTCTCAATTAGGATCTACAAAACATGGGCAAATGATTTAACTACCAAAGTGAAAAATTATAAATATATGCCAAAATAATGTGGCATATTTCTTCTGTAAGTAAGTAAAGTTTATTTGTATGGTGCCTTTCACAAACCAGGATCACAAAGCACTTCACAATTTAAAACATACAGAAAAAAAAAAATAAAATACAGCAGCATCATGAACACAATAAACAGAAACCTAATGTACAGTGTTGTGAGAGAGCTGCCTAAACAAATAATGGGTCTTTAGTTGGGATGTAAAATTATCGACAGACTCTAACGTGCGCAGTGTTAGCCTGGTCGTACCACACCATAGTACAGATTACATTTCATACTAAGGTTTGTAGATGCTCCATTGAGCTCCGTTAACAGGCGGGAGGGGTTATGTAATGCACACGAGTGAGTTGTTAGCATTTACCATCTCCTTTGCCGCTAATGGAGCCTGTGGGGAGTAGCGGCACATTCTTTGCCAGTGATTACATTTAATAAACATTCCTCTTGCTCCGGCTTCAACTTTCTTAATTGAACCAGAACGAATTACTTTACTATCGCATTCTTCACCATTGTCAAATTACAACCTGTCCGTTCGGCGCAAATTCTTGACGTTTCACACACCTTGATTGGTCGGATGGAATCCAATCAATTGTAATCACAAACACAGGGACCAGACCCAGATGTTACATGCAGGAAAATGATGATCGACCGGAGTGTACGGATTGCTAAGGCCAGGCTTGCGCAGTCTTAGTCTGTCATTTATTTACATTAATCAACATTTATGGACATTGGTCATCTGCCCCCTATGGACCAATGTCTATGTGTTTTCTATCCTTGCATTTCTTGTGCTTGAACTGTTTGATTCTCTGATCTGTGTTGGCGAATTCAACGGTTTTGTTAAGTCCTCAGAGACTTACTGTTGTGATTTAGGGCTATACTTACAGTGAATTGAATTGAATTGAAGCTCTTTCCAACAGCCTGTAATGATCTGTCTCGTCTGGTTTTAATAGGGCAAGTACCACTCTGTTCTTGAGTGTTGCACCAAAAGCATAGCCACCGGTGCTCTCGTTACGTCTCCAGGTTGTGACATCACTGCCTGAACTGTGCCGTGGCGTTGTCAGTGTTGTCAGCTCGTCCTGTGCCTCTCGTCTTTCCCACAGTGACCTTGTCCGCCGCACTCTCCCTCCTCCTTTTCCCTCCCACCGAAAAAACCTTTTAACCTCCAGCACCTTTTAATCAATTATCCAGTCTGATTACACCCTCCCCCCCGTTGCTCCCAGGTGGGCCGTACTCCGCAATGTCAGAAGGTCCGTGTAACTCTGCCGTCAGTTTCCGCTCTAATCGCCCCAAGTTTAGTCCCGTAATTAGGCCGTAATGCTGTGTCAATTTGAATTAAGGTCGGGAGAGGGTTTTTCAGAGCAGAAAGTGTAGGCGCGGAGGAATAGAAATATGAAAGACTATTAAATGAATGGCTAGTTTTGACCTCGACGCTGCCATTCGGAGCGGGACATCACACCTCGTTGGACAGAGGGAGAATGGTGGAGAATTCTCAAGTTGTTTAAAATGGGAAGTTAAGATGGAAAGGGTGATATGGGAATGGGTTTTAGTCGCAGCGGTGCAGGTAAAGAATGCAGAGGGATTTATGAGGGTCGATAGACTGCGAATGTTGAAACTGCACCATGCCACCGATGCAATTACAGTATAACAGAAGAATCCTAGTTTGAATAATTGTACTTTTTAATGAAAATATATATAATAAATATGTTTTTTTATTTTTTTATTCTTCAATAGCACTGTGGCGGTTGAATGGGTTAAAGCTGTGGTACCTAACTTTCAGATCACAAATATTAATATAACCTCAGTCTTGGATCTACAGCCTGAGTCTTGGATCTACAGCCTGAGTCTTGGATCTACAGCCTGAGTCTTGGATCTACAGCCTGAGTCTTGGATCTACAGCCTGAGTCTTGGATCTACAGCCTGAGTCTTGGATCTACAGCCTGAGTCTTGGATCTACAGCCTGAGTCTTGGATCTACAGCCTGAGTCTTGGATCTACAGCCTGAGTCTTGGATCTACAGCCTGTCCATCTGTGGGAGCAGATCCCTCCCTCAATGTTGACCTCCCTGAGGTTTCTCACTTTTTTCCCACTGTTTTTTTTTTTTGAGTTGTTCCTTATCGATCTAGAAGAACAAAGATGGTCCAGGAGGACATTTATGGACAGTGGTCATCCTGCCTCCTATGGACTAATATCATCTCCATTGTCTGACTCTGAACTGTTTCATTCTCTGATCTGTGGTTTGGAAATTGAAAACTTTGTAAAGTCGTCTGAGACCAGTGCTGTTGTGATTTAGGGCTGTTTAAAAAAGAATGGAAGAGCATTAGATTATTCAACAAATTGCCCATGTACGATCCTATTAAAAAATCAGTTCATGAGTTTCTCTCCTACTTTCATATTGTTGAATCTGGAAACGCTTTGAGAAAACCCATTCATAGTTGAGAGTCATGAGAATTAGCCTGAAAAAAATCCTATTGCTCAGTGCTTCCTTTCTCCCTTGTCATTCACATGTTACTAATAAAGTTTATGTATTTGATTCTCAGCACAGTGACGTCAGCGGTGTTCACGGCGGGAGATAACGTTGTTTCCGGGAGCGACGACAGAACTGTGAAAGTGTGGGACCTGAAGAACATGAGGTCTCCCATCGCCACCATCCGCACCGACTCCGCCGTCAACAGGTGAGCGCAGCCACCGCAGACTCCAACCAATCCCCAGACGGTTCTACTGCTATTATCATATCAGATACTTAAAGCTCGGGTACTGAATTTTGAAACCCCAAAACGATATAACCATTTAATAAAAACCATCTGACTATCCTTTGATCTGTTACATCTTTAGATCAGCTTTTTCAGACACAAAAGTGAAAAGGGAGGCCCACCATCTCTCAGACTGTCTGGACTGAGAGCTGATTGGCTGATAGCAACTCACAGGGCTCTTTCTCACAAGTTTGCAAAAGATAACTTATTCTACTAGTAAGATACAAAAAAAAACATTCACTTTTCGTTTTCTCTTTCTTTTGGGAGAAACACAATGTATTATTTATGGAACAAAACGTTAAACAGAAACATTACACGTCTGCTATATCAGAGTCCTTTGTTTTAAAGACCTCATAAAGGCTCCTATTGGTGCTTATGTCACAGTATTATTAATGTACAGTAGGTCATGCTCTTCTGCCTGCACTGTGCCGTGGTGTCATGAAAACATCTTTAAGCCTTATTTCGGGTTCTAATGTTTCTTCTTTCCATGCACTCCCACTACGTTTTGTCCTTTTGGTCAAAGTCGACATTTATCTGGCTACAAAGATGTCTGCAGTATTCTCACGTGTCACTTTGGTGTCTCCAGGATCAGCGTCTCCGCCAGCAGTCGCATCATCGCTCTGCCTCACGACAATCGGCAGGTTCGTCTGTTCGACATGAGCGGAGTGCGGCTCGCCAGACTTCCCCGCAGCAACAGAATGGTGAGACGCACAACAGGTTCACAGGCAGATCGTTTTTTTTGTGTGGCCATATTTCACAAATTATGAGCACAACAGAAACGTCTCTTCTGAGCCTGATCAGAAATCTTTCCCCCAGTACCTGGAAGCATAGATTTCCCATATAACATCTATGACAGCTAAAAGTCTTTTGTAGTAGAGCCTTGAGTTCCCCTAAATTACTGGGCTGCATTGTATGAACTACATATTTTGGGATCTCCAGAATGGCTCAATTATGTTGGAAATCACATTAATTTGACAATATATGGATACACACATCTACTAATGATGTGTTTTTGTGGTTTCTTTCATAATCTCCAAAATATGGCCCAAAAGAAAATCTAAATTTCCATCTGGGTGTGTAAAGTTTAATAAAAAAATGGTCTCTCTCACTCTCTCTTTGGTTTCGCTATGGTCTCTTTCTTGTTTCTCTCTGGTTTATCTCTGGTCTCTCTCTCTGGTCTTTCTTTCTTTGGTCTCTCTAGCTTCTCTCTGGTCTCTCTCTCTGGTCTTTCTCTCTGATCTCTCTTTCTTTGGTCTCTCTAGCTTCTCTCTGATCTCCCTTTCTGGTCTCTAGCTTCTCTCTGGTCTCTCTGATCTCCATCTCTGGTCTTTCTTTCTGGTCTCTCTTTCTTTGGTCTCTCTCTCTGATCTCCCTCTCTCTGGTCTCTCTCTCTGATATCCCTCTCTGGTCTTACTTTCTGGTCTCTTTCTTTGGTCTCTCTCGCTTCTCTCTGGTCTCTCTCTGATCTCCCTCTCTGGTCTTTCTTTCTGGTCTCTCTTTCTTTGGTCTCCCTGGTTTCTCTCTTGACTATGCCTCTGATCAGTTCATGTCTTGTACAGAGCCCAGGATGAGCACTCGAATAGTGGATAGAATCTCCAAACTCCTTTCATAATGAGTGCTGTTGGGTGTCTGTTCCAGGGCCACAGGCGGATGGTCTGCTGCACGGCCTGGAACGAGGAGAACCAGTCGTGTAACCTGTTCACCTGCGGCTTCGACAGACAGGCCATCGGCTGGAACATCAACATCCCGGCTCTGCTGCAGGAGAAGTGAAAGACGACCACGAGAATCCCACACACCGCTCTCCTGCACCGATACTGAGCCCAGTCTGAAGGAAGCAACTTTAACCAAGACATAACATGCAACATCTGCTTTTCCCAGCTCTTGGCCGTGTTAGAGTTGTTTGTTTTTGTCAATGCCAAAAACAAACACACATTTCTGCTGATTGGTAAACGTCTTAGGAATTTAGCTAAAGATATCGATATTGTATGAAAAATATTCTAGTAAAAATAAAACCTTTGCAGTTCCCTTACTGTCCTGTAATAGTGAAATCCCCTCCTTTACTATAGCTGCTCCCTCTGTTGGTAGCATAGGGATAAAGCAGGCTGATGCTTTTATTTTTTACTAGAATGTTTTGCATAGAATATCACAACATTCTAGTAGATTCTTTTGCCTTGAGACGTGTTGCACCATATATTTTCTATCATTTCTCAAACATGAAATGACAAAATTTGTCATCGAAACATTATTAGCCAAAGATTATGCAGAATAATTCTTCTTTAAGTTAAAAAAAACATTGCCACCTCTGAAAGCAGACAGACGCATGTTATGTCGTCTTTAAAAATCGACATGGGTTTTCCTGTAATGCACACATAAACATTTGAAGAAGTGCAGAACAAATCCACTCTTTAGCTCGAGGTTATAACCAAAACTGAACTAGTAACAGTGGATGAGAGCGCGTTGAATTCCATGTCAGGATCCATCCCTGTGAAAACAATACTGTCATCTGTGGCCTCTGAAACAGTAGCAGTTTATTTACATTTGTGCACTGATTATCACCAACAAATGCTGTATGCTAGTTTTACGTTTAGGGCTTTAAAGTGTAGGTGTATGTGGCCATCAAAAACCAACATTTCAAAGCTGTTTGATGGTTCATTCTGTATTTGGAAATGGCAAAAGTAACAATAGCTGGTGTTATAAAGTCATATGTCCTCTCCACACATTTATATACAACATGGTCTTCTCTGGGCATATTACTCAAACGTTAAAGCTGGAAGTTTGCCATGTACAATTCTACTTTCTCTCGACTTGCGTACTTCCTGCTTTTCAGCCTGTGAATTCTAAAGTACACAATGCCGTCTGTCTGTTTGCCGCCACAGTTCAAATCGACTTGTGTTGTTTTTCAGTTTCTGCTGCTTCTCGTGCTGTAGATAAAGTGTAAAGTTTGAGAGAGTTATAATTTTAGAGTTATGTGTAAATAATATAATGCTGTAGCCTATTATATGAGTGGAGCCGCAGGGTCAGAAAGGAGGCCGTTGATGTGGGGGGAAAAATATTCATTATTGTGGACTAAAGATTGAAATGGACATGGTAAATTCAATTGGAAGAGGAACAATCTGGTCCAAAATGTCATTAATCTTGCAATAAAAATAAGAAACTATATAAATTTTCCCCATTACATTGTTGGTCTCTGTATCTGTATGCTAACCCTATATAACCCTGGTAAAGCACAGACTATCTATTTAAAGCAAAATGTGTCAAAAATGTATATAGAATTTTAGCCTTTCTCTTTCAATGTTATTCGTCCCTGAAGTTGCTGTAATTATTAGACCGTGAAAATAGTCAAAGAAGACAGAAATATTGCTCCCATGTAATGAATGTGATGCGTGTGTATATTATAAACAGATAATCTATACATTATTTGTCAATGTCAGTTAAGTTTATCAAGATATTCATCGCTTTGCCAAACCATTGTGTATATATTACTTTTGCCTTACTTTTAGAATTAGCTTTTTGTTAGCATTAGCTTTACGTTAGCATTAGCGTATTAGCATTTCTCATACGTATCCAAATGTGAAAGCACTTTTTTTTTTTTTATTTCAGAGCCTTTTCTCGGTCAATATTGATCCACTGTTTTACGTTCAAACTGCTGTAACTGCCTTGTTCCACGAATTGAATGGAAACAAATTGAAAAAATAGTTGAATGGTGTCTTTAGCCTTTAGCGTTTGGATGCTAACAGCTGAGAAAAGCTTATAACAACAAGAAATAACTTAGGGCAAAAACGCATCCTTCAAAATAAGAATCTTGTGTGTTGTCTGTACATGTGTAAATTAGAATATGAAATGTAAAAGTCCTTTTATTTTTCTGGGTTTATTTTGAAATCCACGTCTTGTTGCCAATGTAAGCCACCTCCAAGTGCTTTTGTGTTACTGGTGAAGTCAGTACAGTCCCAGTGTGTGTTTACAGAAAATCTTTGCCTTCACTTTTCAATTTCGCACCGTTTTTGTTGAATTGTTCCATCTGAAAACTGTTACTTCAAAAATGCAACAATCGTCATTTTCCTCATGTGTGCTGTTCATAAGGAGAACTGTTTCTGTACCATACTAATAAAGATATTGGCTATTATTTGGTTTATTGTGTGAATTATTAGCAGCTCCGGCTCCAGAGAATTTACATAAGGCCAAAAATGAGACTAGATAATGTGGATGAATGAAGATAAACCATCACCATTAGTTCTTGTGACATTTATATGTATAAACACTGGCTTTTTAGAAGTTCCCAAAGTCTAGAGGAAAGAACCCTTAGAGAAACCTCAGGGCCAAAATAATAAAATGCACTTAATGTTGAAATATCTGCAGTTTCCCCAATATTAGACCAAATGTATTGATTTAATTTTATGTAAAAAAAAAGTGAAAGTAGTTGTGGAGTAATTACATAATCGGACATTTGCATTAAATCCTAGTTTTGTGGTCAATGATTGTGAGGGTAAAATTAAATATAATAATGCAGGAGGTGACATTAACTGTGCAATACAAATAAACTTGCTTTAGCTTGTCCTTGTGGAGACATATATTGTGGAACATTCCAGTACAATGACATAATTCAAAAGCTTTAATAAAAACGCTGCTAGTGAAAAATGTCCTTATCGCTCGTGTCTTACCGTATTGAATGAATAAAAGCATATTTGCATAACTTCAAATTACATTTTTATTACAAACTGTAAGTGAAAGCTGAGATGAAACACACCTTTCGCTCGCTTTACACTTAGAATGATCTTTATCCATATTAGAATCTGCACCTCCTCACGATACTTACAGGACTAATGGAGTCTGTAGATAAACGGTTTCTCTTTTCATTCTAAAGTCAATCTTCTGGCTGTATATAAAAAAGGTTTTCTCAGTATCTCTAATGTTACTGCATTTGTGTAAAAAAGTAATTATTATTCTCCTGTATTTTAATATCAAAGGTCAAACAGACGATACACATACTTTCAATCCTGACAGGCACTATTGGTTTTTTAGTTTTCTAGATAGAATATTCTTCAGAAACTCATTTATAAAACACTTCTCAATGAAACGTGTGATTCCAATATGGTGCTGTCATTTTCTTCAAAATCAGAAAAGAAAAGCGTAGGAAATGGCAAATAACTGTGTAAGAAATGTTGCTTTTTATGTGAATAATAATACACAGAAAGGTCAAATGTCTGGAATTGTTTGAGGAAAGAAGAACACTCTTTTATGAAACTTTAATTTGCAAATTAATTCAAGATGGGAGAACCTTTACTCACCCCACAGTGGGGAAATGTTGGTGTTGCAGCGCACAAACAGTGGGGGGAAAAGTATTTAGTCAGCCACCAAGCCACCAATTGTGCAAGTTCTCCCACTTAAAAAGATGAGGGAGGTGTCAGGAATGAAGCAGACAGAGACGGATCGTGGTGCGCCAAGCTCTGGAAGTTTATTTAGGTCTCTCTCAAGTTCCAGTGGTTTCAATTGTTTCTTTCTCTCAGACAGAATAAAGGCAGTACACAGTTTATATAGTCATTGTTTCGTCACACATCGAAAGACGTACGTGTCAAATCCAGAGACACCAGAGGATAATAGTCAGAACATGGATACACAGTCAAAGTCCTTGTAGAGTCTTGCAGTTGTCCTGCACTTAGGCCAAATAGCTACAGTATCTAATCCTCACAGAGGTATACTTCAACAATGAGAGACAGAATGAGAAAAGGCCAGTTATGGTGGAAGTATTTGGTCACCTTCAAACAACCACGATGTGTCTCTCACAGACCTGCGCCTCTGTCTTTAAGAGGCTTCTCTGTCCTCGGTACCTGTATAATGTCTCCTGTTTAAACCTGTTATAAAAGACACCTGTGCACAACCTCAAACAGACCACAGAGCTGTCAAAGGACACCAGAAACAAAATTGAATCTGCCATAAGAAATCCACTGGGAGCATTCGTTCATTCATTTTCATCCCTTTATTATCCATTTCTGGGTCAGGGGGGTGGCGATCAGAGCTGCCTCCCAGTTCACACAGCACCAGTCCCTCGCTGATCCTACTGCAGGTGGTGGGTCCACAGAAAGATGGATGCTCCTTCAACACAGATACAGTGCCTTGATCTGGGAGCATCTAATAGAAAATGGAAGAATTGCAAGACCATTGATAATCTCCCTCTATTTTGGGCTCCACCATTTCAGGTCCTCATGAAGCTCATTAAGATAATGCCAAGAGTGTGAAGCAGTAATCAGAACAAAAGGTTCTACTTTGAAGAATCGAGAATATTAGACATATTTTCAGTTGTTTCATACTTTTTTAAATTTAGCACGTACATAATTCCAATTGAGTTCATTCATGTTTATAGCAAGGAGTGCTGCAGAGGGTACGAGTGGTAGAAGGCTTAACAAACAGGTGCTCTTCAAAGACAGGGCAATCTAAGCAGATTTAGGATGTCCAAAAGAAAACAGAAGTCTGAGGCACGCTGTAGAAGTGAAAAAATATAAAAGTCCTTCATTAATTCATTGACTGCCATTGACGTATTTGTCTGAGAGCGGTGAAACCTCCGTCTATATGACTGGCAATTACAGGAGAACAAAACAAGCTAGAAACCGACACATATTTGCTGATGAAAGTAGACAGTCCAATCTTTCAGAATCTGGTTTTATATTTCACATAGTCATAACACACAATATTCTGTGGGTCTTGAAAGTCGGTGAAATCATCACAAATGGCTGGCAGTCGTTAGCTGCCTACGCGTTTCGACCAAAGCGGTCTTTGTCAGGGCATGAGTTAATTCATAGTTTTCATGCCTTCAGTTTGAATCTACATTTTTCATAGTCATGAAAATTGTTTTTATTGCCCTGTTTTTAATGCACCGTACATACACAACTGTTTTTAATGCACCGTACATACACAACTGTTTTTAATGCACCGTACATACACAACTGTTTTGTATGCACTGTTTTTAATGCACCGTACATAAACAATTGTTATTAATGCACTGTTGTGACTGCACTTTAGATAAGATAAGATAAACCTTTATTAGTCTCACAGTGGAGACATTTCAGTAAACGATGCACCAAACCTTTAACCTGTTTTTAACCCGCCTCATCCACGGACTGCATGTGCATTGCTGTTCACCGGTTGTCCCTCTGTCTTTTTCATGGACGCGCTGGTGGGACTCGAAACTCTGACTCCCTGGACCTAAGGACTGGGCCACAGCCGTTGGGAGTTGTCGGTTCTGTGACGCCCCTCGAGACGACTGTTGTTGTGATTTCGGGCGATACAAATAAAATTTATTTGATTTTTATTTGAAAATAAAATAGGGCAACCAGTATGTGCTGTTGGCCCCTCCCACCACCTACACCCACACCTACACCTACAATAGGGTCAGCAGCTGGCACTTTACAGCCGTAGCCGCCCACTGTGTTCCTAGAGGTCTCCCATCACAGCACTAACCAGACCCTGCCCAACCCAGCTTCAGACGCCTGATGGGACCTGGCTTTCACATGCAATCAAGAGTCTTCATCACAATACTTCGATACAGCTCTGAGTGCACACGCTGCTCCCTCATCAACAGTCCGATACCTCATCACTGCACACGTCCTTCCCACACTCGTGAGGAAGAACCAAAGTCCAATATTCCAAACAACTTTTCCCATAAATGAAATAAAACACGGACTCGTCGATGGTACAAACATTGACTTTTATTGATACTGAGGTGCACCGTCTCCACATCGTCTCTGTACATCCTTCTCTGTCCATTGGAAATGTCTCTCGTCCGTTTTTCTCAACATATATTTTACACTTCTTACATATGTACACATCTATAGCTACAGTATTGCCATTCGGACATGCCTTAGAAGTCTCAAAATAAAGTCATTTTATTTACTTTACGGATGCATTTCTGGGTACACTTTACACATGGAGAGGATTCACAGATGCTACTGCTTCACTGGATAAAACCATATCAATAAAAATAGGAAGTTTCTCTAGCAAAATGATAATCTATGTCTTTAAAAATGCGTCATTTTTGGTATTAACTCTTCAGAAAGGCAGTCCCATCCATCTGTAATCTCAGCGGTTCAAATGTACATACGATGGACATTTAGGATTCGAAGTCGGGAGAAAGTGTTTATTGAATCTGGCGTTTTGGAGGTGATGGGGTCGTAAAAAGGTCCAACAATAGTTTGAGGTTCAGGCTCAGGTCAGATCTGTCACAAACATGATCAGAAAGAAAGAAAAATATTGCAAAAACATTCTGAATATAATAAATATGACTTAAAACAGGGGTAACTTACTTTCAAAACACAAAAAATAGAACTAGAATTTACAACTTGTGCGTTTTGTAAATTTAATGATAAATGCTGTTAAATTGCTTATGTATTTGTGCGTATGTATCTATGCATGTGTATTAACGGCTTATTAAAGTGCGAGGTCTTTTTGTACAGACCTCGTCACGGCTCGGTCTGTACAAAAAGACCGCCGTCTGATATTTCTCCGCACAGACCGAGCAAACGAGGTTAATAAATGTTTTATTATATGACTATTTTTAATTTGTGCAAAAATTAATCGGTTTCAACTACAGCAAAAACACATGCACCCAAACTGTCAAACAGTGACATGGAGAACTGATCAGATGATTGAGGCCCGCTGCAGTTCTCAGTCTCTTCTGTGCCAATGCTTTTTAGATATTTGTGAAGTATGTTCATGTCCGACTTGGTTTTCCTAATCCTGTTTTTATCTTTCTGGTCTGTAACGAAGTTGTCAATCTCTTCTTGACTGTTAGGAGTTGTGTGTTTGTCGTTATTTGCTGTTATTACTTCCTCTGGCTCTTCCAACTCGTCCGGAAAATAGAACTCACTGAGAATGCTCCCAGTCGTCGCTCATTATTTCTTTTACACAGAGGAAAGATATCAAATCTGATACTCGCTGCGGACCGATTGTCATGGTAACGGTCCGAGATGGGAAAATATCAGACAGCAAATCAGCCAATCAGAGCGCGCATAAAATAAGTGTATGTTATTATGAAATATGATGAATGTAAAATGTTTGTTAGTGAAGTTGACCGTCTGTATTAAGTTTAATGAATGTATAAAAGATAAGATAACCAAGTCAGGAGGTCACTGGGTTACGTTGCCATGTTTGTAAAATATGTTCAGGTTGCCATGGTAGAAAATATGGACTTTGGCTGCGCAATTTTTTGGGTTGTCAGCAAGGTTGCGAGTGGAAAGCTTATGTAAACAAGTGTCGACAAACTAACGGTTAAGACCAGGGATGTCGAACTCATTTTGGTCAGGCGCCAATAAAAAAAAAAAAGGAACATAAAAAGACATTTCCTTTTCTTATAATAGTTTGTTTATATTATGAAGGTATTTTAACATGACTTTAATGTGACGTGAGTTTCACTGTTATTTTCTGGTTGATTTTTCTGAAAACAAAATGTGTTTATTGTTTAGATTGACCCAAATCTGAATCAAACATAAAGTTAACCACATTTTATATGGAACTATTCAATTTCTAATTACGTGTTTTTGGGTTAAAATGTTAGAATACGTTAAAATTGGTTGATTACCTGAGAACATAGATAACGTAAAACCAGCCTTAGTCGCCCATTACCATCAATGCTGCAAGTTAATAATAATTCATAAATCATTTAAGGGGCCACTAAAAATTGTCTTGCGGGCCGGATCTTGCCCCTGGGCCTTCACTTTGACACCCCTGGTTTAGACCATATGGAATCTTTGATGCGGAGATAATGTCTGTTTTTGTCTGTTAGTAAACGGCTGAGACACGGGGGACCGAGCTCGTCGTAGACTCACCGCAGCAGGACCACCTTAAACTAACGTGATTGGTTTGTGTCCCGGTAAACTGTAGCTCCAACTTACACTATTTATTCTCAAATCCATGTAACTAGTTCCTCGCTCTAGTTCTATCATAAGTTTTCACCTGTATGTTTTTATGGCCTCTGTCACGTCTTTGGATCAGCTTTTTCAGACAGAAAAGAGAAAAAGCGACCACTTACTTTGACCGGCGCTAAAGACGACATGTGTTATAAAAATGAAGAAGAGCATGTTGAGGTCTGATTTGCTCTGAAACCGTTAACTAACTATTACAAGACTTTATCTGTTTGGCCAAAAAACACATTCTTCTTGAAACAAAAAGTTAGGTACCCCAGCTTTAATATGGCCACAAGAGAACATAGAATAGATCTTGGGTTCCACTGGTCATACCTCAGCTGGAGAAGACCTGAGCTACTGTATAAGTGCATGTTTGAATGAAGAATTGGATATGAATAATGGTTAATATTAATACACAAATAAAAATATGCTACTGATCAAAATATAGGCAATTGTTTTAAGGGTAAAACTACAGCTACAATTTTCTACATTTCGGTCCAAATCTTTTGCTGAACTGAACCCTTTTCCCTACAGTCTTTCTTATGGCCACATAAAGTCATATTCATTAAACTCTTAAACAGCAGTGTGTTGAATCTAAACCATTTGAAAAAACTTAAAATAATTGTTTTGTTGGCTTGTTTACTTTTTGGGAACTTCCATAATTGACCAGACTTTGCGACAGTCTGATCCGAGCCCGAACTCCTCTGCGTCTGTTCACTAATCCACCACTAGAGGTCAGTATTACGTTTCCAGCAGCCATCAGGAGAACCGTGAGTCAACAATACACGTCACAGATAAATAAAAATATACTTTATGCACAACATGAGACCACATCATCAGTAAAATCAGACAAAAAAAGCAGGTTAATGTGTGCAACGGGAAAGTCATGACCCAAGGATTCACTAACGACGACAGATTTTTCATAATTAGGTTTGATTTGAGTGGATAAAAGCGGGAGGCAGGGACAAGGCGGTCAAAGTGACAAGAAAAAAGACAGGAGGAAAAACTGGGGGATAAGTGTCTTCAAAAGTAAAGAAGGTTCTAAAATCCTTAAAACATTTAGATCTACACTGAAAAATTATCAATGTAATTTAATACTTGCTCAGATTTGCCAACATTTAAAAAAGGAGCAGTCATTTCTCACTTGTATTAATGCTGTTTTTTTGTGACCGGGATAAAATAAGCAATTTACCCCAAAAACTCACAACAGAACTGTATAAAAGTACGGCGCAGGAATTCTGGGAAAACCTCTGTTAATGGTCTTACTACATTAAATTAAAAGCATCCACGTGTCGTTAGGATTTTGATGATTTTGTAAATTAAATGTTCACTGTGAAATAACTAATCGTTAAAAACATATTGTAATTTACAGGAAGTAGATAGCTTTTATAATGACATTACGCTATAGGAGAATTTGTAAACCGTCCACAATTTGATAAAGCTCTAAAGTAAATAAACATATGATCTTGTGTTGTATTTTGTTGGAAAAATATAATATAATTTCCAAAAATATTCTTTGATTTTGGTCAGTTTTACGATGGTCTAGTGTGATGTCATCCTCTAAAACCAGGAAGTAAAATGATGTATAAATAAATAGCTAGACTTTTTGAAAAATGTCAAATCTAATTACGTTAAAGCTGAGGGTCGCAACTTTTAATCTGGTGGAACCTGACAAATCCATTTACCACAAAACCTGCATCAGCACCGAGAGTTTGTGCTAATGTCGATCTAAAATGCTCTTTGCTACTCTCTCTTTCTCTCTGGTCTCTCACTTTGCTTTCTCTATGATCTCTCTCTCTGGTGTCTCTCTAAGGTCTTTCTTTCTCTCTGGTTTCTCACTTTGCTCTCTTTATGGTCTCTCTCTCTGGTCTCTATCTATCTCTGGTCTCTCATTTTACTCTCTCTCTGATCTCTCTGGCCTCTCTCTCTCTCTCTCTCTCTATCGTCACTAGCTCTGGTCTTTATCTCTCTTTAGTCTCCCTCTCTGGTCTCTCTCTTTCTCTCTAGTCTCTCTCTGGCCTCTCACTTTGCTCTCTCTCTCTCTCTTCTTTCTCTCTCTGAACTGCCAATACCGATAGTAAGCACACATCTGGATCTAAAATGGTCAGAATAAATGAAAAATCTGGATGAATTTAACTTGAATCCCCAAATATGAATGATTTTGTGCGTCGTGTTGCGGTGATTCAGGCTCACTCCCCAGAGCACACAGAGAGCACACAGAGAGCACACCCAGAGCACACCCAGAGCACACAGAGAGCACACCCAGAGCACACCTAGAGCACACCCAGAGCACACCCAGAGCACACAGAGAGCACACCCAGAGCACACCTAGAGCACACCCAGAGCACACAGAGAGCACACCCAGAGCACACCCAGAGCACACCCAGAGCACACACAGAGCACACAGAGAGCACACCCAGAGCACACAGAGAGCACACCCAGAGCACACCTAGAGCACACCCAGAGCACACGGAGAGCACACCCAGAGCACACCCAGAGCACACAGAGAGCACACCCAGAGCACACCCAGAGCACACCTAGAGCACACCCAGAGCACACCCAGAGCACACCCAGAGCACACCTAGAGCACACCCAGAGCACACCCAGAGCACACAGAGAGCACACCCTGAGCACACCCCGAGCACACCCAGAGCACACCCAGAGCACACCCAGAGCACACCCAGAGCACACCCAGAGCACACCCAGAGCACACCTAGAGCACACCCAGAGCACACCCAGAGCACACAGAGAGCACACCCTGAGCACACAGAGAACACACCCTGAGCACACCCAGAGCACACCCAGAGCACACCTAGAGCACACCCAGAGCACACAGAGAGCACACCCAGAGTACCTAGAGCACCCAGAGGCAGCAGGCGTCTGGTCGTGAGTGACGTCTCTCTCGTCTCACTGACATCTCTATAATTGCGCCTCTCTTTCCTGTATTTGAACTCTATATTTCTCCGTACGTGTCTGCGCTGAACGAGTCCGGACGCTCTCCTCCTCTTGTCCCCCGTGGATCCACTCCTCCGCGGGCTCCCTGGGGTCCTCAACTGTCTGATGACACCATACGCTCCATGTTTCAAGGTTACGGCAAAAAAAAAAACCTTTTCTCCACAGACGGCAGGACCAAATGTGTTTTGTGTGAAGGATTTCTGATTTGTAAAAAGGCAGATTGATTCTAAACATATATTTTTTTCAATGGTATAATCTTGTTTCGGACAATTTTCTCTTTTATTTCACACAATGTCCCCAGAATAATGAAGGAGTCAGAGTTCCTCGGGCCTTTTCCTCTTTGTTTTCATTTTTATTTTATCCCTCTCTATCAATCTAAAACTTTTTTGCCAAGTTAAGAAAAATGTCTGAAAATGGGCCTGCTCTAGATTTTCCGTTAAAATGGTCATAATTAGAGAATTTTAAACAATTTCTATGAATCCAAAGTGATCCTGTCTGTACTTTTCTTGTCTCTTTGACCAAAACATGTTTCTTTGTGACTAAGAAATGTCACTTTTACAAACACATCTATATATGAACTTCACTTCAAAACCTCGGTGGATGTGTTCTGTTCTCACGTCTCCACTCAAAGGTTCGTGACTCTGCTCCAGATTAGACTTAGTCACAGCTGCAGAAGATCAACAGTGTCAGTTTAAAGCTGGGGTACCTAACTTTCAAACCTCAACATTGGAACTACACACAATCCAGGTCACTCTTTCTGGTTTCTCTTTCTGCTCTCTCTCTGGTCTTTCTCTCTAGCCTCTCTATGGTCTCTCTCTGGTCTCTCGCTCTGGTTTCTCTCCGTTCTCTCTCTCTGGTCTCTCTTTCTCTGGTCTAAACCTTCTCTCTCTCTGGTCAATCTTTCTGGTCTCTCTCGCTGGCCTCTCTTTCTGCTATCTCTCTGGTCTCCCTTTTTTCTCTCCTGCTCTCTCTTTCTGGTCTCTCTTTCTCTGGTCTCTCTCTCCGATTTCTCTCTGTTGTCTCTCTTTCTCTGGTCTCTTTCTGCTCTCTCTGGCCTCTTTCCGCTCTCTCACTGGTCTCTCTTTTGCCTCCCCTTCTGCTCTCTCTTTTGTCTCTCTCTCTCTCATCTCTCTTTCTCTGTGCTCTCCCTCTGGTCTCTCTCTCTGTGGTCTCTCTCCTCTGGACCCAAAATCTCAAGTATGCAAAAGCTAACATACTGTATTTATTTTCTAACAAGACAGCGTGATTGGATTTGCTTTGACAATCCTTCTGTTGAGACACAGACAGAGTTAGGTCCCCCAGCTTTAAGAACCAGTTTGCATTGAATCCAAGCTCACTCCTTATTATAAAAAAGAAACTAAAGCTAAACACACAGACTATTAAGAGAAGAAGAAAGCGACAGTCACCTCGTGTGTTGGCTCTCTCTCTCTCACACCGTACTGGACTTGTCATTGCCCAATTTTATGCTTTTCTAGTTTTAATATTTGAACAACGGCAATAAGTTTTTATCACAGGAAGAGAAATAAAAGTGGTGGCATTTGTATGATAGAATGTTAAAGACTTCACACCGGTAATTATTCAGTTTAAAAATGATAAAATCTCGCCTCTGCAGGAAAAAAGGAGGCTTAAGGCTTAAATTCTAATTATTATAACAATGTGTATTTTACTACTTTTGGAAATTTTTCAAAGCCTTTTCGAGGGAGAGAGTATTTCATTTAAGCTTGAAATCACAATTACTAATGATAACGGAGAGTCATTTTCTCGCACCATTCGGAAAATAGTTAAAATAAGGAGAAATCTGGTGGAATTTTCTTTCAAAATGTATACTTTATGTGCTTTTGGCTGAACACAGAGAGGCAGAGGAAACAGGGTTGACTGAAATTCTGATCGTTTGACCCAATCTGGAAATATTTATCATAGTATTTATCAACAAACATACATTTCTCGATGGTTAAAATGGTGTTTTCTGACCTAAAATGGCCATAATTAGAGTATTTTAAATCATTTTTATCAATCCAAAGTTATTCTTACCTTCTGAAACATTTATCGTATCCTCAATAATCACTATGACATTAAAGGAGCAGTATGTAAAAATGTGGCCAAAAGTGGTACTGCAGCCTCTCCCACTCTCCCTGACTCAGGTTGCCAGATATGCAGATGAATCCAGCTGGGACCATAACAGCAGAATATACAGTTAACAGTTAGAAATCCTTGTTTTGTCAATAATGTTTTGAGAAGAGTAATGAGACTTTTTTTCATTCTGTGCCCACATGGTACTTTACCAGTGAGATTAGCTCGATGGGTTGAGTTCTGGCGCCCGGATCACAGACTTTTTGACTGGTAAAATGGTGGAGGGCGGGGCATCGAAATGAAAACAATAACAACATTTAGGGGCTGGAAAACTAATTTTGATATCCAAATATTTCTGAACTACTATTATCAGTATTTGTTATTATTGCATTATTGCCCTGTTTGATTCTCTGATCTGTTGTTGGTGAATTGACAAAGTAGTGATGTAGGACTGTACACACTGTTGAATTGAATCCTCCAAGGTTGAGGGTAATTTTGGGGAACTTTCCGCACTGGGCCAAATGAAAAAAATCTAAATGTTTTCAGACAATTTGCAAAAAGTTGTTGGTCATATTTGCAAAAACATCTAAAATCCTGGAGCTGAAAATAAACTGAATCCAAACGGTTTCAGGTCATTTCTAGACACATTTCTGGGGAAAAGCAAATTGGGCAATGACAAAGTTAAAGGGGCCTCAGACGGACACGGACAGAACGTTAAAGGCAAAAGCGTTTTCATGGTGGGTAAATAAAGATCGGGGATGGATCGTGACGCTGAAGACGTCTCACTCTATAAAAAATAAAGATGGCCTTTGTCTGTGTGTTTCATTTGGACAGGAGGAAGTGGTCCTGCTCCGGCGGCTTGCGGACCCACGTTCCCAGGCCGCAGTCCTGCAGCGCCCGCACCCACTGCTGCTTCACCGTTTGGTAAAGACGCGACGACAGTTTGGCCTCACTGTACATCAGCGGCTGGTCCTCAGAGACGTCCAGAGCCAGACCCAGCTGCAGAGAGAGAGAGAGAGAGACGAGAGTTATGCATATGAAAATACCAGTGGGGGAGGGTCCCAGCTCAAAAGTGGCCAAAATGACGTGCGCTGACATGCTTGCAATACCACCCCGGGCCGATGGGGGTGGACCCAGAAGTAGAATTAGCCAATGCTAACATATAGCATTGGCAGACCTCTCAAAAACGTCTTTACAGGATGGACCAAAAGTTGGCTCTTGGCCCAAATGTGTGTCAATGCTGAGGGGGGTGGATTTTTTTGGTCCACTCTAGTTTACTTGCTGTGAATTTTTGAACTGTCTCGTTCAAATGAATGGAGCTGCGCCGGCTGACGCATGCACAGATGCGTTTTTTCACAATTTTCTTGTGGGCGGGACCACTCGCGGCCATCTTGGATTGCTCCAGTAGAGCAGATTTTTTGGCCCATTAGTTAGAACGGCGGAGATAGGCGTGACTCTGTCCATTAATATATACAGTCTATGGAAAATACATGTGTCCACGGTCACTCTGCCTTACTCATGTGTGCTATAGTCACTCTGATAATGTTAGAATGTGCAATACAGAGCCACATGTGTCCACGGTCACACTCACTCTAACAATGTCAGTATGTGCCATACAGTATGTCCACGGTCACTTTACCTCACTCTAATAATGTCAGAATGTGCACGGTCACTTTACCTCACTCTAATAATGTCAGAATGTACAATACAGTAGGTCCACGGTCACTTTACCTCACTCTAATAATGTCAGAATGTACAATACAGTAGGTCCACGGTCACTTTACGTCACTCTAATAATGTCAAAATGTGCAATACAGTATGTCCACGGTCACTTTACCTTACTCTAATAATGTCAGAATGTGCAATACAGTCGGTCCACGGTCACTTTACCTCACTCTAATAATGTCAGAATGTGCAATACAGTATGTCCACGGTCACTTTACCATACTCTAATAAAGTCAGAATGTGCAATACAGTGTGTCCACGGTCACTTGACCTCACTCTAATAAAAACAGAATGTGCAATACAGTATGTCCACGGTCACTTTCCCTTACTCTAATAATGTCAAAATGTGCAATACAGTATGTCCACGGTCACTTTACCTTACTCTAATAATGTCAGAATGTGCAATACAGTAGGTCCACGGTCACTTTACCTCACTCTAATAATGTCAGATGTGCAATACAGTATGTCCACGGTCACTTTACCTCACTCTAATAATGTCAGAATGTGTAATACAGTATGTCCACGGTCACTTTACCTTACTCTAATAATGTCAGAATGTGCAATACAGTATGTCCACGGTCACTTTACCTCACTCTAATAATGTCAGAATGTGCAATACAGTATGTCCACGGTCACTTTACCTCACTCTAATAATGTCAGAATTTGTAATACAGTATGTCCACGGTCACTTTACCTTACTCTAATAATGTCAGAATGTGCAATAGAGTCAGTCCACGGTCACTTTACCTCACTCTAATAATGTCAGAATGTACAATACAGTATGTCCACGGTCACTTTACCTCACTCTAATAATGTCAGAATGTTCAATACAGTATGTCCACGGTCACTTTACCTTACTCTAATAATGTCAGAATGTGCAATACAGTCGGTCCACGGTCACTTTACCTCACTCTAATAATGTCAGAATGTGCAATACAGTATGTCCACGGTCACTTTACCTTACTCTAATAAAGTCAGAATGTGCAATACAGTATGTCCACGGTCACTTTACCTCACTCTAATAATGTCAGAATGTGAAAATCAGTATGTCCACGGTCACTTTACCTCACTCTAATAATGTCAGAATGTGCAATACAGTAGGTCCACGGTCACTTTACCTCACTCTAATAATGTCAGAATGTGCAATAGAGTATGTCACTTTACCTTACTCATTTGTACAATAGTCACTCTAAAAATGTCCGAATGTGCAATACAGCGCCACCTTCAGTATGTCCACGGTCACTTTACCTCACTCTAATAATGTCAGAATGTGCAATACAGTATGTCCACGGTCACTTTACCTCACTCTAATAATGTCAGAATGTGCAATACAGTATGTCCACGGTCACTTTACCTTACTCTAATAATGTCAGAATGTGCAATACAGTATGTCCACGGTCACTTTACCTTACTATAATAAAGTCAGAATGTGCAATACAGTATGTCCACGGTCACTTTACCTCACTCTAATAATGTCAGAATGTGAAATTCAGTATGTCCACGGTCACTTTACCTCACTCTAATAATGTCAGAATGTGCAATACAGTAGGTCCACGGTCACTTTACCTCACTCTAATAATGTCAGAATGTGCAATAGAGTATGTCACTTTACCTTACTCATTTGTACAATAGTCACTCTAAAAATGTCCGAATGTGCAATACAGCGCCACCTTCAGTATGTCCACGGTCACTTTACCTCACTCTAATAATGTCAGAATGTGCAATAGAGTATGTCACTTTACCTTACTCATTTGTACAATAGTCACTCTAAAAATGTCCGAATGTGCAATACAGCGCCACCTTCACTCATCTGTGCAATAGTCACTCTGATGATGTCAGAATGTGCAATACAGAGCCACATGTGTCCACGGTCACTTTAGTTTCTGATGCTAATGTACAGATGTTTACACACAACTATTCATTTCTTGCACTTTTGAAAACACACTATTCTAGACTTGCTTCTGGATTATGCTAAAGTAACGTCTACTGGCTTTATCTTTTATTTTATCTGTACTCTTTGGTCTGGTCCTGAACTAGTCTTGGACTGCTTTTGTACTGGTCCTGGACTGGTCCTGTACTGGTCTTGGACTGGTCCTGAACTTGTCCTAAACTGGTCCTGGACTAATTCTGTACTGGTCCTTGAGTGGTCCTGGACTGGTCTTGGACTGGTCTTGGACTGGTCCTGGACTGGTCTTGGACTGGTCCTCGACTGGTCTTGGACTGGTCCTGGACTGGTCTTGGACTGCTTTAGTGAAAAAGCCAATATATCAAAGAGTTTTTCATAGAACAGGGATTTTTCTGTGTGGAGCATGTTCTCCCCGTGTCTGTGCCGGTTCCCTCCAGTGCAGCAGCCTCTACACCTCCAACCCTTCCCCTTTCCTGCTCCTGAATCATCATCTGCCTCATACCTGCTGAAAGATATTATGCCATTTTTATGCGTGAGGTGAAGAAAAGTAAAGAGAATGTGGAAAAACAGAGTGAATGAGGCGGTTCACGGAGAGGTTCAAACAGCTGCGTAATCTCCCCCCCATTTAAATTTCACAAGCAATTGAACATGGCGCCGCTTTCTGTGCGTCGCTATTGTCGGGCAGAGGAAGACAATGGAGATGGAGCAGGAGACAAGAGCGAGAGAGAGAGGGAAAGAGAGAGAGAGAGAGAGAGAGAGAGAGAGAGAGAGAGAGAGAGGAGAGTGAGTGTGAGAGAGAGAGAGAGAGAGAGAGAAGAGCGAGAGAGAGAGCGTGAGAGAGGAGAGCAAGAGAGAGAGGAGCGCCCAAGTTTCTTTTGCAGATTAGTCCGGTCGCTGGAGCGTGGCGGGTTGTATAAGCGACGTCGTGGGGGGGACTCTGAGAAAGACTGCAAATAATTCTGCTTTATCGTCATTAACGGCTCCATTTGGCCTGGCGTCACATCCAGGCTGCTTCACATCCCACTGACGCATAGTTCACACGGTTATGTTTAAAGGAGACGAGGCGAGGCAGGTTCGTTTGTATAGTTCCACAATTAATTAAAATCTACATACAGTACAGACCAAAGTTTGGACACATCTTTTATTTTCATGATTATGAAAATTGTAGATTCACACTGAAGGCATCAAAACTATGAATTAACTCATGTGGAATTATGTACGTACAAAAAAAAGTATTACACAACTTAAAGTATGTCTTATATTCTAGGTTCTTCAAAGTAGCACCTTTTGTTCTGATTACTGCTTCACTCTTGACATTCTCTTGATGAGCTTCAAGAGGTAGTGACCTGAAATGGTCTTCAACAGTCTTGAAGGAGTTCCCATGATGCTTAGCACTTGTTGGCCCTTTCGTCATCACGTCTCTGTGGTCCAGCCCCAAAACCATCTGGATTGGGTTCAGGTCCGGTGACTGCGGAGGCCGGGTCATGTGACCCAGCACCATCACTCTCCTTATTGGTCAAACAGCCCTTACACAGCCTGGTGTGAATCTACAGTCAATAGTCATGAAAAGAAAGGACACTCATTGAATGAGAAAGTGTGTCTAACTATAGTCTAATAGTTAGACACCATATACAGTCTAACTATAGGTTTAGCTGGCTGACTGCGCCCCCTGCAGGCTGCGTTGCCATGTTCAGGAGAGCAGGAAGCCGCCCATGTTTCGTAGAAGTCCAGGGGCTTGTATTCACTAGACTCCTGTTGAAGATTCTCCAACCAAGAGATCAAGCGAGATAAATCTGGAAACTTCTCCGGTCTGACTGCGGTTGTTGAGATCAGCTGAATGTGACATCACTCACAGATGTACTCTGAAGTCACCCTTGAACTTATAATTCACCCTTGATATTAACAATGAGGCGGCACGGTGGCTGAGTGGTGAGCACTTTTTCTTCTCATCCAGAAAGTCCTGTGTTCGATTCTTCCTACGGACAGGGCATTTTTGAGGGGAGTTTGCATTCTCTCCCTGTACCTGCTTAGTCAATCATATAGTTATAACCAGTTTTAGAAATTGTTAAATATAACAACTGTTTTTATCTTTTAATCAAAATCAAATTAGTGCAAAAATATAAAGATTTTTAGGGATTTTTCCAGAATCCAAAAACGACTGCTCTATGAGTTCTAGTTTCAGATTCCTGCACAAAGAGCAGAGAGAGAGAGGTGCAGGGTCAGAGAGTGCCAGTGCAAGTGTTAATTGGTTTTCTCCAGGTGCTCCGGTTTCTCCTACCATTAAAAACATGTACAATAGCTTTGGGACCAGGACTCCCCTGAAAAGAGATTCTGACATCTCAGTAAGACTTTCCAGGTTAAATAAAGTTATATACAAAATAATAATAACAGCACCATTATCAATGTGTCTGATATCAAAGAAAAAACATTTTTTAAGACAAGATGAGGAATACCTAAACTTTTAACAGATAACACATGTTCAAATACACCTGGTTAATGAGGGTAAAAGCTTTTAGTTTCTGCTTTGTGTGACAACAAGGATTACCAAACCAGGCGATATTCATTTACAATATTCAATTATGACCTCATCTTTAAACCTGAAGCTTATATGACTCACAAAGAGTGTGAAGAAACACATTTTTTGGACTTCATTTTATCAAAGTAAAAATGTTCAGAATGATACAGGGGTGAAGGCTGTTGGAGAGGAGATGTTTGTTGAGTGGAAATAACAAGCTCTGCATAACTCTGACTGTGAGTAGAATTCACGGCCATCTCTTTATTTCCCGTTACGCCGTCCCTTTTGCCTGACCTTGCGTTGCAGACGGCTCCAGCGGGTGAACAGGGCGTGCTTGCAGAGGCGTGAAGGCCCTGAGTCCCTCCTGCGTCCCGTCCACGTGTCCACCACCTCCAGCTGCAGGTCTCCGTCGCTCCAGTTCAGCCCCACACACGAGGCCTTCCCCTGGGGCTGCACCTCTGCTCCACTCAGGCCTGGAGAGCACACAACAAAGGACATACCCGCGATATAATAGTTGTATTTTTGGTGGTAAAGTGGCCATCGATCTCTGCTGGATCTTCTCAAATAATAATAAAAAACAACCCCATCAACACCAAACCACCATCCTCTGCTCATGCTGCTTTTAACTTGGTATTCCTTGGTATTTAAAATACAGTTTCTGCTTTTAACTGTACATTAATTGTATTTTAATTGTATTTTAATTTGTATTTTAACTGTATTATACAGTATTTGTATTATAACTTGCATTTTAACTGTAAATAAAATGCATTATTATTATTATCATTATTATTATTATTAAAGCAGGTGTCAAACTGCCTCCAGAAAAGGCAGGTATGGCTCCAGGTTTTCATTCCAACCAAGCAGGAGCACACCACTTGAGACTGTTCCTCAAGTCTTCAGGTTAAGACTGGACTCACTTGAGGAAGTGGGTGGAGTCTGCTGTGCTCTGGCTCGATTGGGATGAAAGCCTGCAGCCTCACTGGCCCTTTGAGGATTGGTTTTACAGCCCTTTTATAAAGATCTTGTCGTACAATACGTTGCATCCATAAGACATCACAATATTCCAAAGGGCTATAGTTTTACAGTGTGGTGGAGGGCAGCTGTATTTTCTTTGCTGGTAACTATGGGAACTGTCAGATTTGTTGTTTTAATCTAAAGCTAATCTTTCTGTAATCACCAAGGAACAAAAGTCACAAAGTTCCACAACGTCTTTGTCCGCACAAATCGGCCGTGGTCTAATTATTTTCTCTTAATTCCAAAAGTTGAGGCAATATTCAAAAAATCATATCGACCCATAGAAAGTACTGTCAGACGTGAGGATATTATGGCAGCTTTGTGAATCTAATCACCGTCAAATAATGATCTGGGGAAATATTTGGACATTTTCTATTTCAACATTTCTTTCATAAAGAAGAAGAACATGATGTACTTTTTAAACAAATGAGTTCATTCATTAATTCAACAATGAGTCCGAACTCGTTCTGCAGCTTCTCCTTCTGCAACATCTAATTATTCATGATATAGGTTTTTTGATTCAAACTTATATTTTTCTTACAAATACAATCAACAGGATAAAAAAAGAGCAACACAGTTTGAAAAGAGGTCTTGATAAAGCAGACACACACACGGTCAAGTTTATTGTATAGCACAATTCATACACAAGGTAACTCAAAGTGCTTAACAAAACAATAATAGCAACTAACAAACACACACACTGAAGACACAGGCCCAAAAACTCTCCGACCACGACTGAAGATGTATTGAGCGTTTTTCTCCACTTTCAGAGAGACCATTATCACCGATCGCTTTGGTCACGTGACTATCCTCCAATGTCAGAAACCGAGCCCTGGTCCTGCTCTGAACCCGGGTCAAATGTAGCCGGCTTTAGCAGCTCGACACCGCTCGAGTCGGAAAACCCACACCCATGGATCTCCAACCTATAGCTCACCATCCTCTTCAGAGTAGCTCCCAAATCATAATTTTACCGTCACACTACTGAAGCTGTGGAGGGCAGGGCCTGGTTAGTGCTGTGATGGGAGACCTCTGAGAACATCAGGTGCCACAGTGGGACAGCTGTAAAGTGGCAAACTGTTGATGTGTCTATAGGCAAGACACTTCACCAACATTGCCTGGAATGAGTCTGGTGTGTGCGTGTGCGTGCGTGTGCGTGTGTGTGCGTGTGTGTGTGTGTGTGTGTGTGTGTGTGTGTGTGTGGTAGTAGAGGGAGGGGCTGATGGCACATACTGGTGTCAAAACGTTTTCAAATCAAGAAAAAGAAAAACGACTTCACCCATTGTATGAATATAGAAGTAGCTGTAGAAAAAGTGGCTCTCCATGGAAAAAGGTTGGGGACCCCTGGCCTAGAGTGTCTCATAGTTGACAACAAAACAATGCTCTGGTATAAAAGTGAAACTGTTATTGTGAGCGCATGACTCACTGGTGAGGATCAGAGCATCTGCGGCTGGTGTTGGTTCATTTCTTTCACCTTTTCCTTCCTCTGTCTCTGTGTGAAAATGAAATATACGCTTGTGCAGGGTTAAAGAAAGCTCAGAGAACCTAGAAAAGTAACATGCTGCTGCTTGTGAAGCTTTGGAACGGAAAGATGGGTCGGTTTGCATTTAATAATAATAATAATAAAAATCCATCTGTTTTATAAAGCGCGGTTTTGGACACAATTCAAGTGTTAATATTATTTTACTACAAACATGGCGGTGATAAACTACTATTGTAGCCACAGCTGCCCTGGCACACACTGACAGAAGCATTATGTGCCATCTGCCCCTCTGACCATTCACACACACCAGACTCATTCTAGGCAATGTGGGTGAAGTGTCTTGCCTAAAGACACAACCACAGTTTGGAACGTTATAGCCGCCCCACTGTGGCACATGGTGTTCCCAGAGGTCTGCTGCTGCCATTTCAAACATTGCAGTGTGTATAGATTATTTAGTATAGCATATGATTTCAAATGTATTCTTTATATTCAGGCTCTCAATCTCAATGTCAATTTCACCCTTATAGCTCAAATCTGGATTTACTAAAACAATAACAAACCGCAGGATCATAGAAAGCGCAAAACCACAGATTTTGAAAGCCTAAAATGGTGTGTGACACAAATGGTTACTGCACTAGGTGTTTACTTTTCCATGTAAGTCAGTGGTCCCCAAACTACAGCCTCTACATTTGCTCCGGCCCCCCTGAACAATACCAGAGAGTATTTTTCATATATGGGCTTGTTCAAACTAAAGGGCACACAAGTGTGACAAAAGGCAAAAACTTTGATATCAATAATCAGAAGATATTTTATGTTTTTCATGTATCCAAATCCCTCCTCTGTCCATTAGAAGTTGCTAGAACATAACTGTTTACATTAGACAAGTTTCCTATAGCGGCCCTGTTTATTTTATGTAACGGACGTGATAATTTGACGGACTGAACTTTGCAGAAGTTTGTTACGTATTTTTAGATGTCCACATTTGATTAAGAGATTCTATTTTTTTACATAGAGTAGAAACAAAGTGATAATTTCATTAAATGTGCAACCAATCTTTCCTTTTGATTTTATCCACACTATCTCTTCAATGTGTCTGTGTTTGAAATCTTTTTTTCCAATCTATGATAGTAATTTCAGTTTTTGAGTTATAACCTTTTAAAGTCCAGATACTTTAATTGACACTGTGAACACACTCATACAGTATGTGTATTTGATACAAAACCGTTGAATTTGCCAACACAGATCAGAGAATCAAACAGTTGATAACATTTATTACACGGCTCCTCACAGCAGCAGCAGAACGCTCCATTGATTTGAATGTAATTTCAAAACGTTCATTATTTCTTGATAACGGACCTCCATCCATCCATTCATCCATTTTCTTCCCCTTTATATATTTCTGGGTTGGGGGGGGTGGCAGTCAGAGCTGCACCCAGTACACAGAGCACCAGCCCCTCACTGATCCTCCTGCAGGAGGTGAGTCCACAGGAGCTGAGATCTTTCAGTGGGAGCTTCAGGCAAAGTGGGGTTAAGTGTCTTGCCTAGGGACACAACGACAGCAGTCATCAGTGGGAGTCGTGAAGTCGTGAAGCCCACCGTAGGGCTTACGGTGGGCTCGAACCCACGACCTTCAGGCCCAAAGGCCAATGCTCTACCAACTGAGCTACTGCCACCCCATAACGGACCCCTCAAAACAATAAGGACCGCTGCCCATGGCAACGCAACCTCTGCTTGTATTTCAGATGCGTGGATAACTCCGCAAGTAGTTCCGGCCACTTCGACGCTAGCCATGCTCAATAAACGCAAATACCAATCAATCAACACATTTAAATGTTAATCGAAGAATACATTATACATATACATTCTTAATACATGTGCACGGAGGTTTTCAGAAGTATCTGTTCAGGTTTTCAGGACAAAAATACTGTTTTAATGCGAGAAAAAGTTTTCGCAAAAAACCTGGAAGTAGATTCCGGGACATTTTAGGAACATTTGCAGAGGATCGGAAAATGGATTTAGGTTAGGTTTATGTTTGGGTCACTCACCGCTGGTGTTCAGAATTCTTTGTTCAGTTTTCATGCAGTTCCAGAGAGTTCTAGTTTGGAAGTTGCCAGCCTAACTGTTACTCGCATAGACACGGGAAAGCCTTTGGGAACTATTTTATTTTCTGTCATTAAAAAAACCTTTTGGCATTCCTCAGAGTGGACTGAAGTTTATTTTGTGTGTTCTGTTGGTACAAAGCCGTATAATAAGCGGTATAATGTATATTACGCAGGCCGGAATAAGCCCTGTCGGTACTTATTTTCCGATAACGACCTGCTTAATATAGATTATCCCTCACAATTATTGAGTGTCTTGGATCATCCTCTTACACCAGACCCTCCTGCATCAGCAAGGAGAAACTCTGGAATCCTTCTGCCGCTGCTTCTCTCACTGTCACATGATGAAGCTACAAATCATTGATGATTCATGAATTGTGATCTTTCTGCTCCAAGAAAAATCTGAATTTCTCGCCACATTGCCGCCTCTACTATAAGAACTAGTCATGAGCAGGTCTATTGTCTGATTCCCTATGTAATTACTGTACAGGCGTCTGGATCATCGTCCGCTTTTGTCACATATCCTCTCGCCTCAGACTTTTCTATAGACCCTGCAGCCGACAGCAACTGACAATCTTCCTTATTACTCCGTTCCTTTGTTCAAACGCACAAAACTGTCCGATCCGCGAGTCTTTCCCCCGCCTTTTCGTGCCTCATTTCACCGCCTCAATGGTCTGCTTTCTGTAATAGGCAATTTTGATTCGTCTGTCATTGAAGACTTGATCAATTTCTCTTGTGGGAAGTTGTGGGCGGACTATTTCTCTGATCTCATAACGCCACAATAGACTGGATACATACAGCGCCACTGGTTTAATACGATCTTATTATAGGCAGCCCGTGTGTTTGTGTACTTAGTGTGAGAGAAATGACTTTCAATAGCTGCTTATGGACAAGACATTAGAGCTCGGCCCTGGATAAAGCAGAAGTATGTCTGTGTTTATCTGAATATAACTCTATTTCTATTTTCAGATGTCTTTGTGACTTGAGCCTACTGTATATCTGTGCCGCTTTATTAGAGGTTAAAGCCTAATATATAAAAACAAGGATTCATTTTAAAATCGCTAAGACATTTTAACGACATCACAAACCCAATGAAGGTGTGCTAAAAAAAAAGACAAATTTTAAATATATAAATGTATTATTAAAGATTAGATACAATATAGATTTGCATTCATGCAGAACACCCAGGAGGCCTCAGACACAAAAAGAAAACATTTTGAGTAACAAAAATATACATGCATGTAATCTATATACTTCTGATTGAAATATACAGAGATTATTGATTTGTTATGAATATATTTTGAATTTAATTACACTACAATACATGCAATATTAATGTGTGTTGTTTTTTGTATCTGTCAGAGCCTTACCCAGGCTCTGACAGATACCCAGGCTCTGACAGATACCCAGGCTCTGACAGATACCCAGGCTCAGACAGATACCCAGGCTCTGACAGATACCCAGGCTCAGACAGATACCCAGGCTCTGACAGATACCCAGGCTCTGACAGATGCCCAGGCTCAGACAGATACCCAGGCTCTGACAGATACCCAGGCTCAGACAGATACCCAGGCTCGATACCCAGGCTCTGACAGATACCCAGGCTTGGACAGATACCCAGGCTCTAACAGATGCCCAGGCTCGATACCCAGGCTCTGACAGATACCCAGGCTCAGACAGATACCCAGGCTCGATACCCAGGCTCTGACAGATACCCAGGCTTTGACAGATACCCAGGCTCTGAGAGACACCCAGGCTCTAACAGATACCCAGGCTCTAACAGATACCCAGGCTCTGACAGATACAATCAATGGCAGTCAATGAGTTAAGATTAAGATAACATTTTTAGTTTTTAGTTTATCTGTTATTTTTATTTTCTTTGTGTGTTATCAGGGTTTAGGAAAAAAATACAGCCATGATGCATATTCAATGTTTTTATTTTTCGAATTTTGCTGTTGGACAATGTTTAATGAAAGTATGAAAAAAATAAAAAAATATTTCTTATTATTTCTGTCATTGCCCGTGTGCAAAACATCATTTAAAATATTAAAACATATACATATCTGGGTGTTTTTAGCTAAAGCAGACTATGTTTTTTTCATCCGTGTGATTTAGAGAAAGATAAGATCCCATTTGACTTTATGACTTGATGCAAAAATGTGAGAAATTCCAAACGCTTCGGAAACTTTTGCAGATTACTACACGCCTCATATACCACCCATTCATAAAAAGAAAATTGGTTCACAAAGAGGACCCAGGGGGAAAAATGCTGTAAATGACTTGGGAAAACTATGGTTTGACCTTTTGCGAGAGCCTCCGTCTATTCCTACTTCATTTTCTTACTTTTTTTTGGGGACAAATTACGACACACTGCACAATTCAAGTGCTCTCTCTCCGCCTGCGTCCTCTCTGCTCCTGCGCTGGGACCTGGACTTTTGTTTCGAACATGAATGAGATGGAGGGGAGATTCAGATCTGAGGCCCAGAGACGGGGGAGGGGGGTGTGGAGAGTGTGGCCGGGACCGAGATAAGACCGAAGACTCACGGCAAAAACATGCAGATGCAGAACAGATACGAGGCACGAATGTAGACGTCACATCTTCTGTCAGGTGCGGAGGAGACGAGTGAACGTGTACGTATGGAGGGACTACTTTTCTGCCCGTATCACTGCACATTTCAGTCTGGAGCAAGAAATTCATCTTTACGGGAAGCTGGAGTGTGGCCCTGACATTTCCTAATTCATAAGATAAGGCTAGCACCACCACTAACTTCTTTTAAATCTGTTATGGTGTGGATTTTATTTTTGTATTTTTGTTTTATTTTTGAAATTTTGTTCTCTGTGGTTTTGTTCTAGTTGTACTTCCTGTCATGTTCCCCTGTCTTGATTGTCCGCCCCACCCTGATGTGTTTCACCTGTGTCTCTGTCAAGCCCCGGTGATCCAAGATGGCGTTGTATTCAAATGAATGGTTTGTGCTCAGTGGCGCTTTGTGCCGGCACGGTCGCTGACATACTAGCAGAACTCGCCTGGAACTCGCAAAGATCCATGGGAAACTCGCCTGCGTTTGGGCATCGTCTGGTCCTCCAGGTTCTGCGCAATGGATGAACTCCCATGATGCGTTGCGTGTTGTGTGGCTCTCGTGCATGTACACAGAGGGGCTGATCAGAGTTAGAGCGGGAGCCAGAGGAGCAGAGTTTGTGGCAGTAAAGTGTGGATTTAAAGAAAACCGAAGGATTTAAAAAGAAAAAAAGTTCAGGATGACAAGGGACACTAAAATCCCCACAAAATCTGACCTTTATGAAAGCTGTAGGTTCTCTGTCAGCTGAAGTCGAGCTGTTTTAGTTTACATTGAGTTCTATGGGGAATATTTCTGGGTAGCCCACGTGAATTTAGTCTTGTTTAGTCTGCAGTACCGCGAGAATCCCCCGAGCACATGTGTTCTTCAGCTCCAAACTATAATACCCTATCCAGTTATTATAATAGATACATGGTCTCTGTCTATATGTACCTGTGATCCTCTCCTCTTGTTGCTGGTCCATTGTATTGTTTTGGTCTTTGTCTGTGTTCCTGGTTCCTTGTTCCTGTGTTCAGTTTGGATTTAGTTTTTACCTTGGACATTATTTTTTATCTGGCATTAAATCCTTATTTTGCATTCTTGCATTTTGAGTCCTCCTCCTTCCTACCACGTGAAAAAAAATCACTTCTTAAAACCCATTTTTATCGAATTGCTTTTCTCATAACATATATTTAATCTCTACATGTGTTTTACTTCTCTACATTGTCTTTGTTTTGTCCTTCTTGTTTGTCTGCTTTATTTGATATCTTTTATTATTAGGATTAGATAGATAGATACTTTATTGATCCCCGTATGAGGAATTCAGGTGTTCAGTAGCAGCAAAGATGATTATTGACTGTTTTTATTGCTAAATGCTGACCATGCAGGGTGTTAAACAAATACAGATGTATTATTATTATATATGTTTTAGGAGATTTTTAGAGGCAGGAGGGTCTAAGGACAGTGGCGATCCAGGACACTCAACATTCAGCAGCTCCCTGAGACAGCTTAGGGGCTTATTTCTGAACATTTGGATAACTTTATTGACAATGATGCAGTTTCATGACCTTGACTTGGACATACTGTACACTAAAGGAGGATTTTGGCCCCTTTTACTGCCACTTTCTGACCACAGGCCGACCACGTTGGAATTCCATCTGTGACAACAACACCTTGGTCATTTTTTGGATAAGTGATGCCACACAACTGACTTTTTTTTCAGTGTATATGACTCTGGGCAAGCTTGTCCTGCCATCTTCAGTTGACCGGTGAGTCTGTCTGCTCCGTGGGTGCAGCGGCCAGTGCTAAACGCTGCATCTAGAGTTTTCCATACCAGCGGTAAACCATGCCTTCTAAAATCCTTAAAGTCCACCTACCGCGGGCTTTTTATAATCGTGATTATTGTTAAACTGGTTCATCTCTGCAACCCTACTTTTCAACTCAACAAAATTCACCTTTTTGAATCGTGGTCCTCTCTAACATACAGTGTGAGCTCAAATAACTTTCTAATGACATGTCTCACCGCTGAGCAGAGGCTGGTGTCTGCGGTAGGAGGGAGGCAGAGGTCCCATTCGCTCCTGTCTCTGGTTCAACACTCTCCCCAGGTGACCGGTGTGACGCAGGCTGCCCACCGTCACACTGTGTAGGTATATGGGCTCCACAAAGTGACTCAACAGCGCCCCCTGGACCCCGAGGACGTTCCACCTGCAGGAGAGAAAGAAGAGGCTCATCAAGAGAACAATTGCATCGAAAAACATTTTATTTCTTCTCATGAAGTCCTACAATCAAGGCCCACAATCAAAATTCACGGATAATAAGTCAGACAATAAAACAATTGGAACTCAGCAACTGCAATAATAGCAAACACATAGGAGGGATGATCAATGTTCATAAATGTTAATAAAGTCCTGTATCTATATTGTACAGCCTGTCTCCGGACCCCCTCTCACTATGGGCCTACCCAGAGGTTTCTCACTTTTGTTGTTGTTGAGTCGTTCCTTGAGGAGGGTCCAAGGTCAGTGATGATCCAGGACATTTATTAACATTTCTGGACAGTCATCCCGCTCCCACTGACTCCTATGTGTTTGTTATTATTGAATTGTCTGTGTATGAACTGTTTGATTCTTAACTGTTAATGAGGAATCGATGAACTTATAAAGTCCTCCAAGACGACGGCTGTTGTAATTAGGGTTATATACAAAAACATTGAACTAACTCAACGTGAAGCAAGGTATATTTAGATAAGATAAGAGTAATAATGTTCGTGCCACATTTGGCATGGAATCACTCAGATTGTGCTAAAAGACGGACATTTGCAACATGTTAAAGGTTAAAAAAAGGTCTGTGCAGGATATAATTATGTACAATAAAAAAAGTGGCAATAGCAGTGCTGTTTTTTCAGTCCTATAGTGCATTAAGTGACTTAAAGTGACTTATTGTACAGTCTGACAGCGGTGGGGATTATAGGATTTTTTAAATAGCGAAACTAATATTAAAACCATCAGATCACTATCACGACATATACTTAGCTAATTTTTTTACGGAATTTCATTTTCTCCACAATATGACAATCGTTTACAACCGAAAGCCATCCTACAAGGTAACAAACAAATTATAATCCAAAATATGCACTTTTTGATTATTATTATTCAACATCAAGGTTAAAAGCGTATTCAATATTGATGAGAAGAGAAAGAAGAGAGTCTATATATTGTGATTGTATTGAGAGCAGCAGAGATGAGCAAGGGCAGAGTGAATGACCAAATAGTGTTTAGAAATAGGAAAAGCCTGCGATTGGAGGAGCTTCATGTGGCTTTAGTGACAGATAGAAACAATTTGATCATTATCTTGATGCGGGACGTGATGATTCTGCCGTCAGCTCAGCAGCACCAGAACCCGGAGAAAAGCCACATGGTTTTTGTTTTTTTTCCCCCACAGAGCTCTCAAAGGTCGCGGCGTCTCCTTCCATTACAGCATTAGCATATGTGCATCCAGGCTAATGCATCGGACGCGGCCAAAACGCATCGATTACAGACTCGCAGATTGGTTTGGCTCCAAATACAGGCCAGAGAAAAGTCACAGCAGGAACACATGTGGGAAGAGCCTTCATGGTATTTGTGAATGTAGTTTACCTCTCTCCTCTCCTCTCTCCCTCCCCTCCTCTCCACCCTCTCTTCCTCCCCTGCTCTCCCCTCCTCTCCAGCCTCTCTCCTCTCCCCTCCTCTCCACCCTCTCTTCTCTCCCCTCCTCTCCACCCTCTCTTCCTCCCCTGCTCTCCCCTCCTCTCCAGCCTCTCTCCTCTCTTCTCTCCCCTCCTCTCCACCCTCTCTTCCTCCCCTGCTCTCCCCTCCTCTCCAGCCTCTCTCCTCTCTCCTCTCCCCTCCTCTCCACCCTCTCTTCTCTCCCCTCCTCTCCACCCTCTCTTCCTCCCCTCCTCTCCCCTCCTCTCCAGCCTCTCTCCTCTCTTCTCTCCCCCTCCTCTCATCTCCTCTCCACTCTCTCCTCTCTCCCCTCCCCTCCTGCCTCTCCTCTCTACCCTCTCTCTTCTCTCCCCTCCTCCTCTCCTCTCCCCCCTCCCCTCTCTACCCTCTCTTCTCTCCCCTCCTCTCATCTCCTCTCTCCCCTCCCCTCCTCTCCACCCTCTCCTCTCTACCCTCCCCTCCTATGCACCCTCTCCTCTCTACCCTCTCTTCTCTCCCCCCTCCTCTCATCTCCTCTCCACCCTCTCTCCTCTCTCCCCTCCTCTCCTCTCTACCCTCCTCTCATCTCTTCTCTCCCCTCCTCTCCCCTCCTCTCTCCCCTCCTCTCCTCTCTTCTCTCCCCTCCTCTCATCTCTTCTCTCCCCTCCTCTCATCTCTTCTCTCCCCTCCTCTCATCTCCTCTCTCCCCTCCTCTCCTCTCTCCTATCCACCCTCTCCTCTCTACCCTCTCTCCTCTCCTCTCTCCCCTCCCCTCCACCCTCTCCTCTCTCCCCTCCTCTCATCTCCTCTCTCCCCTCTAAATGCATGAAATAAATAAATATCATCAAGTTATTCAGTCAGTTTTTTTTGGGACAATGCTCTAAGAAATTGGTCCAAAATTGCTTGAATTTGGAAAAAAAATATTTAATTTTGAGTAACAACAGTTCTTGAAATAAGACTAAATGGCCATGTCCCATCGGTGACTCTTGTTTGTTTGTCAGAATGTGCTCAAAGTAAGATCAAAACCACACCAATTTGGGCATATTATCTCTTCACTTCTTGCAGTGAAAAAGCGTGGATGCTTGGTTAGCGTGTTTCCATGGAGACCGTCAACCACCTTCAAAATAGAATAATAAATAAAAGTTCCGTGAAGATTAATAGACAATTTACACGCGTCTTTGGCAACGCTAACATGATTATTAGCCTTTTTTAGTATTCCCCGCGGTCTCTCCGACCCGACCACATATCGCATATCTACCATTCCTCTAATGAACTCTCATAATTGCTTTTACACCACTCTTCTTTATTCAATTAAAGCTTAAACGCAGTTAGAGCTCCGTCTTGTTTTCCATTCTAACGTAATCATCACTCAGCGGCTTCACGGGCAATTAACGGCGGGCTCGCTAAACGGGACCATCGCCACGGTTACCTGCCACACGTCTGCGCCTCGTAAAAAAAATAATAAAAAATCCTCCAAAACTGAAATAACTTTAGCCCCGGATGCTAATTTAGCCAAAACGCAACGCCGCGAATCAGCAACATCTTCTAATCTCATGCAAGAAGAAACAGCCATCTGGTCCCGGCGCCTCCAGAGCGTCTCTCTCCTCGCTGTACGGACAAACTTCAGGAACTGCACTTTCCCTTGTCTTCCACTGACTGCTCTGTTTGGACTTTTTCATTTCAGCAGAACAACGGAGACGTAACCTGCTCCTGTTTCTGTTTCTGTGGAGTGAGAGCGACACCCAGGGCCCCTACCTTTAATTATGAGAGAAAGGAAGGGTTAAAAAACACTTATTTTGGTAGACAACATTTATGTAGCTCTCACTCTTTCCCCCCTCCCTCCACTCCTCTTTCTCCCCTCTCTCTCTTCTCCTCTCTCTTTCCTCTCCTCTCTCTCTCCTCGCCCTCTCTCTCTTCTCTCTTCCTGGCCCCTCCACTTTCTTTTCCCTCCCTCCCCCCCTGTCTCCCCTCCCACCTCCTCTTCTCCCCTCCCTCTCCTCACCGCCCGCTCTCTCCTCTCTCTCACCCCTGCTCTCTCTTCCTCTACTCTCTCTCTCCTCTCTTTCTCCACTCCTCTCCCTACTCTCCCCCCCTCTCCAACCTCTCTCTCTCGCTCCCCTCAATCCCTCCCCTCTCTCTCTCCTCTCCTCTCTCTTTCCTCTCTCTCTCTCCCCTCTCTCTCTTCCTGGCCCCTGCACTTTCTTTCCTCTCTCTCTCCTCTCCTCTTCCTCCCCCTTCCTCCCCTCCCTCCCTCCTCTTCTTTCCTCCTCCTCTCTACTCTCCTCCCTGCCTCTCTCCTCTCCTCTCTCTCCTCCTCTCTTTCCTCCCTCTCCCCCTCTCCCCCCCTCTCTCTCCTCTCCTCCTCTTTCCTCCCTCTGTCTCTCTCTCCTCCCTCTCTCTCCTCTCCACTCCTCTCCTCTCCCCCCTCCCCCTCCTCTCTCCTCCTCTCTCCTCTGTCTCTCTCTCTCTCCCCTCTCTCTCCTCTCTCTGTCTCTCTCTCCCTCTCTCTCCTCTCCTCTGTCTCCTCCTCTCTGTGTCTCTCTCTCCTCTCTCTCCCTCTCCCTCCTCTCCTCTGTCTCTCTCCTCCTCTCCTCTGTCTCTCTCTCCTCTCTCCCCCTCTCTCTCCTCTCCTCTCTCTCTCCTCTCCTCTCTCTCCCCTCTCCCTCCTCTCCTCTCCTCTGTCTCTCTCTCCTCTCCTCTGTCTCTCTCTCCTCTCTCTCCTCTCTCTCCTCTCTCTCTCCTCTCCTCTGTCTCTCTCTCCTCTCTCTCCTCTCTCTCCTCTCCTCTCTCTCTCCTCTCCTCTCTACTCTCTCTCCCCTCTCCCTCCTCTCCTCTGTCTCTCTCTCCTCTCCTCTGTCTCTCTCTCCTCCTCTCTCTCCTCTCCTCTCCTCTCTCTCTCCTCTCCTCTGTCTCTCTCTCTCTCTCTCCTCCTCTCTCTCCTCTCCTCTCCTCTCTCTCTCCTCTCCTCTCTACTCTCTCTCCCCTCTCCCTCCTCTCCTCTGTCTCTCTCTCCTCTCCTCTGTCTCTCTCTCCTCTCCTCTCCTCTCCCCTCGGTAAACGCTGCTATTAAACTAATGCGATCATCTGCATAAAACGACTATGGAAATCTAGAACATCATCGTTATATAAAACCCATTATGGTCCCTCAATTAAATCCAGCTGTCGACTTCAAATCAAATATTAGCACAGGAGCCGGGGCATATGCAGGAACTACAACACGCTAAAATAACGGCTGGGAGACGGTAAACGTGTGCGGAGGGTGAGGATCCTAAAACTAACGGCGGAAAAAGCTCAGAGCGAAGACAGGGAGTAAATAAAAAGGGATAAATGTTGAATTGAACGACAGAGAGGCGTCAGGGGAGACATTTAACCGCGACACGAGTTCAAAGCTTGGAACAGAGGTGTTTTAGTGCTGCTGTGAGAGGTGAGGTGGTAAAGCTGGGGTACCTGAATTTCAAACTGTGTAATCAAGTCAGTCTCACAAGCTCCTCGCTCTCAATGTGTGGTCCTTCATGAACGGTTTGA